CTGAGGCAGTACGCGAGCTGAGAGGCACTAGCGAGACGTGCGCCCGCATTCGGCAAGGCATACTTGGTCCTAGCTGGAATCACGTCCCGGTCAAAAATCCCTGAAGGAATCTGTGCAATGTCACTGTGATGAAGGTTACTCGAACCTGAAGGAGATGAGAAGCGAGGCGTGACTGAAAGAGAGACAGGGGAAGCTAGTGCGCGATGGATGGAGCTGGTCTTGTTGCTGCCGGGCCGAGAAGAGGCGGGTGATCGTTGGTCAACGTCCTGGACATGTCCCCATTTCGCTGCCTTCTTGTAGCTGGTTTGTGCCAATTCGCTATACCCCAAGTTGTTTAGTAGTTCTCCGTGCTCGAGATAAACACTAGCGACTCCATCACGCAAGGTTTGATCTACGCCCGACTGTGGAGAGGCCAGAGTCTTTTTTGCTGCTCTTTTCATCCGAGATAACGCGGCTTCCGCATCGGTGCAAAACTTTAAAGCAATTTCTGGATCATTGGTTTTGCGCGCATTTTCCAATAGGATATTGGCAACTTCCAGCTCCTTTTGTGGTGAGAGAGTGCTTCCTGATAATGAAAAAGTGCTGTCAAACATGTCACTTCTCTATGGTATTACAGAATAGATGGTGGCGATGTTAGTGACCTTGACTTCAACTAATATACTTGTGCGAGTAATTTGCGTACGCACCTTCAGCAACTGGCACGAAATAGGACACAACGGGCTGGGAAAATTGCAGATGTGGTGGCAGTAGGCCGGTCTATCCTCAAACAAATCGATTAGTATCCATAGCAGCAGTCTGAACTTTATCATATGTAGCTATTCTGCGCAAGTGATGACGCCTCACCTCGGAAGTATTTACTCGACTCTTGTCCTCTGACTGGGTACCGAGATAGTCCAGAAGTTTTGTTCTCTTTGTGTCTTCTAGCAACGATACCAAATGCCCTTAGTGAAGCATGACGGATTAATAACCATTACACAAGCCTGTAGCCTACTCTCGAGTGACAAGAAACAATGTCTCACCACAATACGGGTCCGTTTCTTTAGCTGGCTGAGGAGATGGTTCGTCCTTGTGCAGTATTCTCTACTCCAATTCTTTGCTCAAGGCTGTCCGCGCACGAATAAGGTAGTCGAGTGGGGTAATGTTCGCTTCCTCTCGTCAGTTCTAGCAGAGGTGCCTGTTAGATGCAAGAAGGGGTTATTATCTATTGTACGTTCATGGCTGTTCTTTCGACCTTTGCGCACCCTTATCCCAACTGTTCTAGCATTAGTATTCTTGGATCGATTCTAATGGTTCAGGCACAGGCAGGAAAGGGGCCTCCACAGATAAACAGTGTTTTTTGTTACCAATAAGTCGCCGCCGGACTGCGCTTATTGAGATTAAGCAGAGACGTATGAGGGACAGATAGATGAGAAAGAGAAAAGACAGTTCCTGATGGATTGAGGGCGGGCGTAGCTGGGAAGAAAGGAAAACGGGAAAGAGCGGAAAGTGGGAAAAGAGTGCGCAGAGACTCATGCTTTCCAGCTCCTCGGTTTCCTCGCCCTCGCGTAACGTCGAATGGGCTCTCATCAAATGAGAATGCTGCGGCAGTATGAGGATGCGATGGCAAGGGTGAAGGCAAGGAAGAGGCCGTAAGTATGCGATGTTTAAGGAAAGGGACTCAGGAACACTATGAAATACATGTCGGTACAGCCAACCCTCCTAAACACATAAATTTCTTGTGCATTAAGGAGGAGCCAGCCCCGTATTCAATCCAATTGAAAAATATATTAAAGAACCATGAATCTCAGCACTTTTGCTCCCACATACACTCGTCTCGAGCCCATCTTATACTCTTTCCTCTACCTCCACTATGCCCAATGAAAATACTCTGGCAGTACAGCTCTGGCCCCCAAACGACCGGGTGTCGAACGCTCTGACCCTGTCACCTCGGCTTCCAAATCACACATATCCCAAACGAAGTATACGCTTCACGATAAGGTGTGAAATACCATGCAGAGCGAGAACACAATCCAGACGCCTTCCATGTCGCTTTCGCAAAAATGTTGAATATGCATCCCAGGATAGTCGCCAGTATACTTGAAAAGGAAGATAGGATCCATCAAGCAATGGTGACGCTGCCGCCTGTGGCAACAAGAACGATTGTACACAACAGGCCAAGACCAATGGCGGTTGTGGAAGAGGCTGTTTACACCTGGTATAAACACCAGGAATCCTTAGGTATGGAAGCTCATGCAGTTGCTCGCTTCTGAAAGCACATTCCCTCATCCATATACTTTGATAGGCATCAACGAATCTGACTGTCGCCTGAAAGGCACTGCTGTGGTGATGTGGATCCTCATGAAAGATTTTGTTGGCCAGCAGCCACCGAGGGTACGCAGAGTTTGAATTTAGGTTTTGGGGTTGTGCCTGTATAAAAGGAGGATCGAAGCCAGTGCTCTTTCGTCCCTTATTCCAGTTGAACAAGAAGACCGTTGTGCTGATCACTCGCTACAGTGCGCGTAGTTGTGCGTTAGACCCTTGTATTCAGTGTGGAACACAAATTATTCGAGCATTCAGATTGGGAGTTTCCTTACTCCATACAACTGTAAAAGAACTAGACTAGATAAGTTGGCCTGATTATGGCTTGATTATGGCTGGGAGCGATAAAATGGATTAGGGATTAGGGAAACGGCACAATGCAGTACAACCAGCACAACCAGTACAACCAGCTCAAATTCAGCACAATGCAGCGCAAATTCAGCATAACAAGCACCATTTCACCTGCATAGCAGGGATCAAGGAGCCAATATCAAGAAGGCTGTGGATATTCTCAGCGAAAAGAAGAGTTATGGATGGTTTCCTTGCTCTGCCCACAACATACAGTTATGGCTGAACACGGTCGTCCCGGGAATAGCAGAAATGCAAAGACCTAGTCGCCATTTGAAATCTGCCCATAAATCAGCTGATACATGAAATTCTTGCAACTTTCCTTGAGTCTACAAGTTCACATATCCACCTCTGAGCAGCTATCATGGACTCAATAAAAATCAATGAGTGATATCGCTCATTTCTGCTCAATTATCTCTGCCGTTCCATACGACTTCACGAAACAAGGACTTTTACACTCCCGAAACTTTTCGATCGTTGTGGGAGCAGGAGAGCCTAGCATATCAGTGGATTCATTTCTCTGAGAAGCACTCTCATACGTTTTACTGTAGAGACCCGCCCTTAGATGGGCCTCTGTCTGTAGCTCGCACCAACGCTACCGGCCGCCCACCTCTTTACGACTAGTCCATCAAATACGCGTGTAGTCACTCAGGACGTGAAAAAAAACATCAATTGCTCGCAACTCAGTGCATCAAGGTCGTCTTGCTTGTATTAGAATCCGGAAGTTACGTGCCGAAGATAAGACGCAGATAGAGTACTGCTGGGAGCATCCACACGCGACAAATCTATCCGCCCCAGCGGCATATCCTCTGGGTTTGAATGAGCGCAATTGGACAAAGAAAATGGTCAAAGAGGGCAAAGATTGGCACTTCATCAGGAAGAGACTTACACCTTCCACTGAACAGCTCGCGCGAGTACAGTTATCTTTTTATTTTTTTATTCTTTTGTATTGTCAGACGCAAATTTGTGCTCTATTCAACTAGCACCTTCGTACTCTAGCTGGAAACCAGCAATGGAACTGTACTTCTAGGCCTTCGTACTACATATGAGAATATCCGTAAATGCATGTATCGGCACAACACAGCCATCCCGAGGAAGCATGTTGGAGCAAAAAAAGAACGAACAGCCCTTATTCGGGAGCGTAGGCGACGCGTCATGCACTGGGATACCGATCGGGAATGTTCTTGGAGTCAAGCTAGACCGTCCCCGGTTCGTCCCCCTGTGCAAATTTCGACAGCGGTCATGAGATTGAAATCCGATGAGAGTCAAGCGAGAAGCAAGGATGGCGAAGAGAAACAAACGAGAATGAAAGCGAGAGGGGACGAATGAACAAGATGAGTGAACAAAGACGAATGTGTGAAGACAATAGTGTATTGACTAGATTGTTGTGAGTACATGAACTAAGTGTCAACTACATGGTCTGGCCTGTCTTATATACCTACGAAATAAAGGTCCTAAGTAGTAAACAATGGTTCAAGGCGGTTCTTGGTGCTGTCCTTGTTCGTCTTTACTTCACTGTGATGGAGCTTTCTGAATACCAATCAGTCGTGCCTGCGTCAAAAAAAAAAAAAAAAAAAAAGCACGAGTCCTTAGTCGCACTTTGTTCAAATGGTAGGGTACTATCACTGAAGATTCCCAGTCGTGTAAAATCGTCTCGAATATTTTACTGACTTCGTCTTGGTGTCCCATAGGCCAGGCCCCTAGGCTACTTTGCGGTTGGTGGGTGTAAATGAATACTATACATCCAAGAAGTGCCCGATGTGCGAGAAATTTGTTGGGCAGGTCAAGATCCGCAAGCTGTACTGCTCGACCTGCAAGTTTTACATGCACCGCGATATCATGGCGGGGCACAGCATTGCCATTGCGATTTGTGACCATTTGGTCAATCAACAGCGACCTCTCTATCTTCAACCAGTGGATAAAAATGGGCACTACCCTTGGATGCAGAATGCAAGATCGCACACAGAAGCCGGCGGTAGCAGCAGCAGTAGCGCGGCGGGGCCAGGGCAAGGGCGAGTTGGCGGTAGGTGCAAGCGAACAGCGTTTATACAAGGTGCCCGCCGTAAGCGAGTTGCCAAAAGTTAATCTAGCTTTATTTCCACTTTTAGTTTAGAAGTGGCACGTCCTCGCGGGAAGAACGTCTCCGGTGACGTATTTTCGGCCACTTTCTACTCACTTTGTCGCGTCCATGGTGCCCAAACCATCACTCTAACCATCATCGTAACCTTATTCATCACACCCTAATCGTCGCAACCAACACTCTTGCACGCTGAAAAACTCCTTTGTTCAAATAAATATAAACTTCCAAAACCGACTACATCGGGCGCCAACCCAGAGCATACAACGTCTTCACCATGAGCAGAGTAAGGCGACAGCTTGGAGCAATAGGATCAGCACCTCTTTCTTCATTCCAGGTCAGCACCGGACTAATCGATTAGACATTGTTTCAACTTGTCTAGGATTACGCAGGAGGGCCCCGGGTGCGGGAGAACCTCTATTTCGATATAGGCGTCGTTGGAAGGTAACAGGAGCTTGGCCTTTGGTTCGCTCACAGACACTCGGACAGGACCAAGACTGTAGAATCAGCTATCGCTAACGCATATCTTCTTTGTGTGTATGCTTCTGTCGCCATGCTATAGGAAGACAGGAATCGCCATGAAACCCAATATTAAAAAGGACCCAAATGGACTGGATAACATTGATGACTTTTGGGACGACGGCAATGACGACCCTGAACCTGCAGAAGATGGATACGATGGCCATCTTGAGGAAAACTACCTTGCTGACCCACAACAGATATCACCGCCACCCTCACGCTCGCAGCGGTACATGGAGCAGGAGCTTCCTGCTGAACTGTTGTCAACGCCTACGTCTCGTCGAGCACGGAATATATCCATGTCAAAAGGGTCAGGGCCTTCCACCCACGCTCGAGGTATGTCCGGACAGAGGATCAACTTTTGTCGGGAAAGAACCTCGACAATATCGTACTATATTGTCGATCGGAAAGCTGATATATCACTATCTTTGGATTTGGCTAGGTCTTTCACTCCCAGGCACCGGCTTAATCGACGACGAGGCAGAGGAATACCAATCACCATCTTTTCATGCGGTCAAGAAACGACTCATCTTTACCAACGACGACGACTCTTCAGATCAGGAACGTCATCAGGATGACGGTCGCATTCGACGGTCACTCAGCTCAACCACTCATCAGCGAACTCCACAGTCCTCGTTGTCATCCCTCAATAAGGGTACCACAAAAACACCAACGCTGGATAAGCTTTTGACAGAGTCTCGGCAGAAGAAGGCGCAGCTGCAGGCGAATACGGCTCGAGGACCACCTTTGGCGGTGGCACAACCACGACAGCAAGCTGCCTCTAGACCTGCTAATCGACAGAATTTACCAAAGGCGTTTGATTTCGGAGTGGATTTCGGAAGTGACGATTACGAGGATGGTATATACCAGGCGGGAGCCAATGATGGAAATGAGAACATCAATGAGGATGATGATGGTGATGATGGTCATGATGGTTATGTAGCAACGACGCGGACGAAATCGACGCCTGTGCGTTCAACGGCAACGAAACAGGGTCCAAAAGCTGTCAGGACGCCTGCAGAGTTCAAGCGGAAGACAAAGGCTGTGCCCGCGCCAATGTCATCAGTACCGTCGCCAAAGCGAGTCAGATCCCAGCACCTCATTCAAGGAGGGGAGGATGAAGATGGGGAGCTTGATGATAGGATGTACCATGAACGAGAGCAGAGGGAGGAAGAAGACTATGGCCGGTTACAGTTCTCGGATGAGGAGATACCGGAGCACGACTATGACCAGGAGCAGGATGATGAGGATCATTACCGGAGGGAGATACAAAGGAAGAAACAACCGCAGCCACAACCAAACAAGAAGCAGCCCATCAACACCAACACCGCTGCTGCCAAGAAATTGCCAGCCAAGCCGCCTACCGCCACCTCTACCGGCAGCCGGAGTATCAGCGAAAGGATGGCGGGTGTCTCATTGACGGATACTACTACACCTAAGAAGACAACGAAAGCGTCGTCGGCCTCATCGAGCATCGTTTCTTCCCGGAAGAAAGCATCACAGAAGGCACTGTCGTCAACAGCAAAGGGTAAGGGTCATCGACCAAGCTCAACAGCAGGAGATTCAGAGGAGGGAGAGGAAGAAGAGGCGAGCAGTAGGACAGTTCCAGGGTCATCCCGAGGCAGGACAGGCAGGAGAGCAGTAATAGGAGCACAAACAGAATATGGGTCTGGAACTGATCGGGGCGGCAAGAAGGCGGTACAGCGGAAGCCTGGTCGTCCTACGAGCAGCAGTACTGGCGCCTATACTGTCCGCGAGAAACCTGTTGAACTGGTCGAAGTGCCGATCGTGCCGGACGTCAGTCAAGACGATCAAGGAGGTGCGTGAGGCTTTTTTTTTTTTTTTATGATTTCAAGGGTGTTTACAGCACTGCAGCATGTGTTATTCTTTATATTAACAGCTAATTTTCAATTGGATTTCATTCACTTTTCCTTATGGGCACTTTAGTACGAAGGAGCCATAGGACAAAGATCGCACCGCTAGAGTTCTGGAAGAACGAGCGCGTTGTTCTCGGAAAGAGCGATGGTCCAGCACCGATGATCAAAGCTGTTATGCGTGCGGAGACGAAACCTACCCCAGGCCCTGCAAGGAAACGGAAGCGGGCCCCTACTGGATCAACGGCGCAAAAGCCGCAACAGAGGAGAGGCGGAAAGCGCCAGGTCAAAGTCGATAGCGAACTCGAAGCAGTTGAGACGGGAAGCTCGGAGGAGGATTTGGAGAACGTGCGATCGACACTGAGACGTCGAGGTAAGCAGGACACGGCGTCTCGGACGACGGCGGAGGTGTTTGATTATGTGAGCAACAGTATACAATCGAAGAAGATTGCGGAACCGCATGATACGGTTCGGTTCCGGGATGTAGAAGGAGGGGAGTATCAGTACCATCGCGGACTTGAGGATCCGGGAGCATTGGCGAGTGGGACGATCAAGTTGCATCCATCGGGAAGCAAACCAATGACGAACACGAGCGGCCACAGCAGCAGCAACAGCAGCACGAGTAACAGTGGAGATGGGTTCTCGATGGTATTCTTTGTGGCGAAGGGGATTGTGGAGGTCACAGTGAATAAGACGTCGTTTGTGGTGTCAAAGGGAGGGACGTTCTTGGTGCCGAGGGGTAATGCGTATGGGGTAACGAATATGTCGAGGGAGAGGGAGGCGGTGCTGTTTTTCGTGCAGGCGAGTGCGGGCGCGGATGCAGAGGGCACGGTTGTGTTGGGGGAGCAGGAGGTGGACGAACTGGAAGAGGAAGATGGCGGCGATGAAGATGCACAGAGGAGACCGGCGGCGGCCGTGGCGGCGGCGAGGAGCGATTCTGCATCGACGGTGGAGTTGCAGTCGCCGGCGAGTCGGCGACGTGCGAATGGAGGCATGATATCGTCGTTCCTGTAGTCGATAGAGTGAGGACTGCCCAAAACCAGTAAAGTCGACTACCATCTCCATCTCCACCTCCTTCACCTTCAAGTGTGCTGTGCTACTCTTTGGAGACTAATTTGCGGTGATGAGGTGGTGGAAGTTGATCGACACTAATACCATGGGCAATAAAAAAAAAACACCCCTCTCCCTCCCTTCCTAAAATCGGTTATGTCTTTGTCGTCTTCAACGCTGCGTTCTCATCATACTATATACAGCGAGGCAAATGCATTCAAGAAAAGAGCTTCATCTTTGCGTAAAAATAATAATAGCGCATTGTGGTTCTGGTGTATCACTTCTGTATGCAATGTTGGGTATAAGAACACGATTCAAGAATATTGATGTTCCCCATGTAGTGAACGAAACTTGACACTTCCGGGAGCTATTTATTAATATCGAGAACGGCTATACAAGAAGCAAAAACTGCTCCTGTCGAGTTTTGGAAGTGCGTCGAGTCGTGATAACAATGCATAATACATTCCATATGGTCCTGAGTCCGGCACAACCGGATCTGGAGCATCGTCCTGATATTGCATTTCTTCATCGCTGAACTCGTAATCTTGAACGCCATCTTGAACGCCATCTTGGTCATCCTCTTGGTCGTCCTCATGGTATTGAGCGTACCTATTGAGGTACCGCTTAACATGCGCCTCGGGTGGTGCCCAGTTCATGTTGGGTCCAATGAACGACAGCTCAAGGACCTCTAGATCGCGGCATACCAATTCCGTGCCCGACCTACTGATAAGCTGAACCATATCCCAAGCGTCAACGACGCATTCGTTCATGTGGAGCCTCTTGAGTCTCTTGAACCTTTTCAACATCTCCACCAATATCGTCGTATCAGTCCCCAATATGGAACCCATAGTCTGGGGTCCGAACTTCCTCCAGCGACTCCCACAGGGATTCCTGGTCAATAAGGATCTCAAAGTAATCGTGACGCGTATGAAAGACCTCCAAGGCCTCGAACCGTCTCAATCTCGGGAACGCCGAAAGGAGATATTTGAAGCTGTCGGGGCAGAGAGTGGTTTGGTCGAGTCGAAGTTCTTTGACACACGGACAATAGGATTTCAATTGCTGACAGAACTGCTCGACTTGAGGCGATATGAAAATACGCTGATTGTGGGTCCAACTCTGTGCGAGCGAGAGTTGTTCGAGCAGGGGAGTGCGGCGAACGATCTTGAGGACGAACTCGTGCCCGTCTGGATACCCTTGCAAGTGAAGTGATCGTAATTGGCGCTGCGGTGCCCTTTGCTGCTGCTGCTGTTGTTGTTGCTGTTGTTGCTCAAGTTGGCCTAATTCTGTCGCTGAGGCCAGTACTGCTGCTGCTGCATGCGACATCAATAGTCCAGTGACCGGATCCACTCCTCGGCCCGGGCATTGCCTATGTTCCCAACGCACAATGCGAAGCGACCGAAGGTCATATCGTTGTTCCAGTAGATACTCCAATGCTCCTGGAGGGGCCTGGAAACCGGTCAAGGACAGGCGCCTTAGGTTTCCCATCCCTGCCACGAGCCTAAGGATCTCCATCGTCTGTTGGACGCAGACTGTCTCCATGTCCAGGTTCATGTCCCTGTAGATCATAGAAGACGACAGTGACAAGTCCTCGATGCTTCGGTTGGACTCCAGGACCTGTTTGATGTCATTGAGCTTGGTAAGGCTCAGAAGTGGGGCCTCGAAGACGACTAACTGGGTACATTGGTAGCCAAGATAGTCCAGTTTTACGCCTTGAGAGCACCGTAGTTCGCGGATGTAGACTGAGTAACGCGGAAATGCAGTGCAGAAGATGTGATAGTTCTTGTGGTCCGCGTGAATCGAGCGCCAGAGTACGCTTGCAAAGGTGACGAGCCAGTGGCGAGAGACACAACAGGCCCTGGCCAGGTCGGGTTGAGGGAGGTGCTTTGCGATGAGGAGACAGACCTCAGGGAGGTCAAAGATGGAGGAGGTCATGATGTCCTGCAGCGACAGATGAGGGATGGAGATGATGCGCGAGGCCAAACAAAAAACCAGTTCAATCGTGGGAGAGCGCGCGCGCGTGTGTGTGTGAAACCACACGTTATCCGCTCCTTACTGCTGCCATTCTTTCCTTCGGGACCATGGACCAATGGCACACTCGGTTGCTGGGCGAAGCCAGAAATACGACGCCTTTTTGGATATGATAGGATGAAGAAGGACTGAACTGTTCGACCTGGGTGGTGACATCGCGTTGGGCGATCCTGAGGATAGTCTCGTAACGGCCCTGAAATATACCCGTCCGTCAAACTAAGTCGTGGCAACTGAAGTAGCCGTGGCTGATTCTGCTCCTCCTGTGCGCGCCCTCCAAAGACCCCAAAACTTGCTATCGCAACCGCTGCTCTGCCGAGAGTAGCACTCCTCTGATAGAGCCAAGCATCCTGTCCAGGCAACCCTGTTTGCGTTTGCTGGATGTCATGCTAACGAATTGAGTTATCTTCGGCCTATGATACGACGAGCCATATCTCCACCTGGGCTGAGCACATTCGCTGTGGGTGTGTACACGCAGGAAGTCATGAATAAATGACATTATGCTCTGTGGAACTCATCCTCATCACACATTCATCCCTTCAACACGATGCACCAGTCCCCCACTCTGTCATTCATTTTGAACATCCCTCTTCTTTGCGACGAGATCGCCTTCTCGCTCTCGCCAAACGACTTGGCTCAGTGTCTGCTCGTCAATTCTGCCTGGAACTCCGCCTTCGCGCCCTTGCTCTGGAATAGCATCTTCCTCAGTAACCAGCGGGTCGTCTCACTATTCCAGACCTCGCCTGCTGTCCAGCAGGGTCTTCAACGCAACGCCGACTATGTTCGCTCTATCCACAGCGTCTTTTGCTATGCCTTTCAGTCCTTTCCCGAGACCACTCCATTCCGCAGCCTGGTTCGGCTCGACTCTCTCGCCTCGGAACTACACAACAAGGGGATCGTCGATCACACAAACACCCAGCGGCTACTCCGTTTCATTAAAGTGAACACCAATCTAAGAGAGATTGTCCTCTCCAATTTCCCACTAGGTAGCGTGCCGACCTCAAAGCTGCTTGGAGATACAATCGCACATCACCCGAATCTCGTCAGCGCCAGCATCAACAGCTTCAGGGCCGCCGAATTGTCGAGTGTTCAACATGTCCTCCGAGGATCAGCTCTGGGTAGACTGGAAAAGCTGTCGCTCATCAACAGGTCAAATATCAAGCTGAGTGAGGATCACCAAGATGGCATAGATACCCTGAATGAGCCTGGCTCAGCGCCATTCCAGCTCTTACCGGAGGGTCATATCGCCACACGACTTAGGGATCTCACCTTGGACGCCAATCTTATTTCTTCGCTGCATGCCACACTGCTACCGATGTTGCGGCACTGTCGCAACCTGGAGCGATTATTTGTACCTTGGACCGACGTAGAGACATCCTACAAAGAGCTGTGTCCTGTCCTTGAGCAGTTTTGCCCGAAGCTTCAACACCTTACTGGGGGATACCATTATGGCAGCAGGGACGAGCACCAGGCGATGTTACTCCGTTCATGTCAACATTTGCGCACGTACATCATGGGAGGCCCACAGCCGATAGGCCCACTCTCCATCGCAGCGCTTTTGGACCATCGACACAGCCAGACGTTGGAGACACTGGATATTAAACACTGCTCAGCAATTGAGAGCAGACATATCCAGCTCATTTTGACATCCTGTCCCAACCTCGCGTCCTTCAGGAGCTTGACTGATACCGAAAACCAGTATGAATACGAGTCCAGACTGGACATCAGTGATCTACCACTTCGGTCAGGTGCAGGACCAGCATGGGTGTGCAAGGGCCTGAAAGACCTTCGGATCGGGTTCACGGGCTTCTCTACCCTACTGGACAAGGAACCTGTACAACCCTATGTCGATTACATCTTCAGGCAACTCTCCGTCCTGACTAATCTCCAGACATTATATCTCGCAGGCGAGACGACGGCGACAGCGTTTTCTGCGTCGTCCCGGGCATGGGCGTTTGATTTTTCGCTAGCGAGTGGACTCGGTAGGCTGCAGTCGCTCAGGATGCTGACAACCTTGAACATTCAAAGGCTGAGGCACCATCGGATCGGCAAGGGTGAGGCAGAATGGATGATCCGGCACTGGCCCTTATTGAGGAGGCTTTATGTGCAACCGGAATTGTCGAGGGTGGAAAATATGGGCTATAATGGTGATACCATCCACGAGGACAGGACATTGACAGGGTTTTTGGAGGAGCTGGTCCGCTGTCGACCTTCATTGACCGTTTCTGTGGGCGCTTGAATAGAGAATGCGTACATAGATTGCTTTTGCACAACATAAACCTTCCGTTTTTTTTTTTTTTTTGATTTGATATTTTTGACGACCCCGGACTCGGGTCGTCCCTCCTCCAGAAAATAAACAAAGCATAGCTCTTGTCTATACACTCTTCTGTGTATAGGTTACACAGCGCACACAGCATGTCAGCAACGATAAGTGGCAGGGTTCTCAAACAGGACAGCTGTTAGTCTAGAGTCCACGCCAATAGACTACCTTGTTATTTACCATACGTGGTCCATAGTATAGTATCCTAGAATCTCAGTTGGTAATACAATACCTACCTTGCCTTGTCCCTATTGTTGCTTCATTGCCTTCCTACCTGCTTTGGCCCTGACAGCGCCCAAGTCCGATACGCGTACTGGGTGGCACTGAAGAAACCGGGATTGTACTAAGAGACTCGCTCCCTTACATGCTATTTCATTAAGAAATTCTCTATCTCTATCTCTCGAAGCTCTATCTACTTGCAATCAAGCCCAATCCTTTCACTGGTAAAATGTTCGCAGTCCGTGGTTACTTGCCTACTAAAGGCACAATCGAGTCCTCCCCTAAAACAAAACAGACCAATTTTCCCTGAGGGGCTGCTACTGGGCACTACTGCATCGCAACAAGCAGGCTCCCCACTTGTTCCCATCATCAGGCAGCTGACCACAGCGAGAACGGATAGAAACAGACAAGTCGAGCTCTTAATGAACGTCATGGTGATTGTGAGTGATCAGGGGACGGACTAGTCGATGGCGGCGAGCTGAAGCAGAGTGGACAATACGAATGACACGATCTTCACGGTGGTGGTTCTATTCTTAAAAGCATGTTACAATTTGTCTTTGGTTGAGTACCATGAAAGCATGTAGCCAAGATATATCCAAACAATCCCTACGTTTACAGCAATCGGCAAAGACAACCAGCCATATCTTACATGCTTTGTGAAAAAGCGACGGATGACACCCTTGGAAGGTCTGGGAGATTCTTGAGGAGGATTATAAGAGGGTTCTTGTGGAGGATTACGAGAGGGTTCTTGCGAGGATGGTATGGGGGTCTTGAAGATGGTTGGGTGAGTTCTGGTGGCGGTGGACTAAGAGGTGCGGCTCCCTTATATATGTGAGGCGGACGTTTCTGCCTCGACTAGGATGGCCTCGTCCTCGTCCTTGTCTCTTGCCCCCTGCAGTATGAAAATATCCCTCAGACCCCTTGCGTCCACGGAAGAGTGCATGAGTAGTCTGTAGCCAGCATGAACCCTAAGGGGGCCAGGATGAACGAGATGGAGGTGCAGGGAGAGGGGCCCTTGCCCCTATGCCGAAGAGAAACACAGTGAGGGGGCATCTGTCTCTTTTGGTGCAGTCCGGAAAAAAAGGGGGGAGACCGAAGAAGAATGAAGGGGGTACTCAAGTAGCCTAAAGAGGATTGACTGGCATGTAGGAATCCTATCTAAACACAGTTAAAATTGCCAGCATTCGCCCAACAAGCCCCTCCTTTGGCAGACTTCGTCACGAGTTGCAAGCTGGATAAGCTCAAGACTATCATTATTAGCACCAGCTCAGCATGACAACCTATGCAAGCAGGCCAAGCAAGACCGCTGCCGCATCTAAGACAATTTGTGTATGAGTAGTGGAGGGAGGAGGAGGGAGAAGCCAAGAATAAAGCTGCGATTATCTTTATCACAATTGCGGTTGGTTCGCTCTCTGTCCATGAAAGGCACCATGACTTCTTCAGCTCGTAGGTTGGTCCTTGCCAGGACTTGAAGTGTAAAAAATTAATGGAAGCAAGAGACGCGCTGTATGTCTGGCTTTAGGGCCTGCAACCGCATTGAACTGGCGACTGCTTGCCTGGGCTCTTTGGTTGGCTTGATACACATAGGATGTCCTTTTTCAGTTTGAACCATTCTAGAGACTGTGGCTGTCACCTCCATAAGCATGGTTTCTTTACCACCTGCACTTTTAGAACAGGTGGTCAAGCGCCGGAACTGTATCATATTCCATTCTCAAGTTTTGATTTGAATTCAAAACATGTCTTGCGGTTCTCTAATGATTGGGGTCCTAGACTTGTTAGGTTCAGGTGGCGTGCTGGGCCGTCTTAGCACCGTCTCGTACAACACATGCCGTTGTGGATGCTGATCCGCATGTGGTGACGGTTTGTGGGGGCCTCAATTGTTTTTGTATTGCACATCAGATTTCAATAATGGCCATTTCAAGTCGTATCCATCGCTTGGTCGAGCTATTTTCTCCGCGTCGATAGTGCGTATCGGCGTTAAAGTCCTTTTGTAAGGCGTCCTGAGAAGCGTGCTATAGTCGCTTGAAGCGCGGGTCATTTCCAAGGGTCAAAGACCACTAAAAAAAATGAAGTGTAGTACACGGCTTATAAAGCAGGCGGATGTCATACAGAGCCATGTACGGGAACCGTAACACTCGCCAGCTCGAGCAAGTTTCGGGCAAGTTGATGTAGCATGTACATGTTCATGTCTTTTAACTGTCTGGATGTTGGCTGCTTTGCTTGCCGCTTGCTTGTCCTAAGATCGTTTCAGAGCGCCATCGCATTGCGCCATTGACCGCCGCCTAGCTGATACCATAGCCTTCACTGATATGACAGGACACACTCGCCATTCTTTCTTCTTTTTCTACATGTCGCCCCTCCCTTCTCTTCCCCTGGGCGAAGCGGTTTTAGCACTCTCCCTCGCGTTCTGCAAATGATATTCTTTATTTTTGCAACCAGCTCTAATCGGAATCGGGGTATTAGGGTTCTTGAAGACTTAGTCGTACATGAGGGCACCGCTGCTGCAACCACTGCAAATGCTTTGGGACCTCGACATCAAGCCTTTTCTCGTGGTTTGATGGCAGGAATTCGATAAGCTCAACCTTGGGCCAATGGTCGACAATCCACTCAACCTCCTTTTGCCCGAGGCTCGTCTTCGTCTCCTTCGTGACTGCACGGACCGATCCCCGTAGCTCTCGCAGTTCGCTCAGTCCGGCCAGACTGGACAGGTATCCTTGAGTTTGTCTCTCAGGGTCGGGAAGATTCAGCAGTCGCGGAAAGGACAAGGCCTCATATCGAGTCTTTTCGACTTCACTGTCATCCGAGGAACTATTTACAGCGATGCCGATTTTCAATGCCAACACTCTGAGGTGGACAAGACGACCAATTTGATCATACAATGTCTCTATTTCTTTCCAACGTCGTTCCGACAACTGACCATCCGTCCAGTAAAGACGATTACCATAGTCCGCCAAATAATGGTATATATCTAATGTAAGTTCCAAGTGCCTTATCCGCCTACAGGCCCATTCCGAAGCCACGGCATCCTCCAACGATATCGCTATCCGGTCTGGGTGATCGCCAGTAATCGTCGTCAGGCTTGGGTGACCACTAGTGATCGCGAGGTACTCCAACACTTCACATGTTCCTAGGATGCGGCGGATAGTACCACTGCGGATTGTTCCTGTTTTCGAAAGCCGAATCATCGTCAGCATAGTTGAGTGTCTTTGTAGAGCAATCCCTAGCTGATCGGGAATCCCCTCGACATAACGCTGGATGTTGCATGACCTGATTTGCTGGGGCGTGATCGTGTCCATGACGGCAATGATATCCTCGCCATTGCCTTCGCTGTCGATTAACAGATGCTGGAGCTGTGGACACTGGGCTTTGACTGTCTTTGCGACTGTTTCCCTGTGGCCAGCGCCCCTCGTAAACGTCACATCCCAGATTTCGAGCGCCGGGCATTGTTCCAGGATGGGGCACACGATATCCGCAGGATATCCATCCTCGTATAATGGTAGTTGTAGCTCCTTCAGTTTCTGCAGCGGCTCCTGTCTCCGTATCCACAACTCCTCCGCATTCGGTCGCTCAAGAACTTGGAACTTCAAATACAGACGTTCGATCGATGGTGGACAGCTGATCCAGATGTCCTGGATAATCTGTGCTGGAAGTTCACCCCGCCATGTGTGCACAAGCTCCAAGTAACTGAGATGATCGAATCCTGAGAGGGTCCGTGTCAGAAGGCCGCTGGCCATGTCTTCCCGTAAATCAACACTCCAGACCATAAGATACGTCAAACCCGGGTTCTGAGCGGCTAATCGAAAGGCGGCAGAACTGGATCTGGAGCGGTGAAGATGGAGGGGTTCATCGCCCACTGTGCAGCGGAGTTGAGTCAGACGGGTCAATTGGGTTATCGTTTGTTTCGCTGGCCTAGCGGGCATGTTATCGGGCTGTCGTCCACTGTTGTCGTCGCCCTGCTCGGAATACAGGATGTTGAGGAGCCTGCTGTTGGCTACGAGATGGCGAACATGGTGTGCGTTCTTAGCCAGGGCCTGCCGACTGTCCTGAGGGGACCATAATCTTTTGGAACGAGACTCTTCTTCGAGGTCCAGGGACCTGTAAAACGGGGATGCGCAGATCTCGTGGAGGACACTGTCTGTTTGCATAAGCTGTGGGAGGTCGCGGGGTGTCAGGTGTAGGGCCAGAGCATCCACCAGCTCAGGCAGGTGGAAGAACTTGGTGGCGGACATGGCTGAGGAGGAATGAGGGATGGAGCTGAGGATCGGAGAACTTCATCCATCCACCTTTTAAACCAACGCATCCCATCCTAATGGCTGCAGCACTGCCTCATGGCCGCAGCACTCCCTCAGGGCCCCAAGGGCTACGCTTCCTGAAGTTTATCGAGTTTGCCTGCCAATAGGAAGCGTGCACTTGAAATAGAGTTCTGTGACAAAGAGAGTCCCGCACCATATATTTTTTTTTAACTAAAGTTTTCCGCGGGAATCATATAGCAAAAGCAGCACGAGCATTTATTCAGTTCAAAAAGGATATGGTGCAGGATTTTCCAATGAGATAGCAACGTCTAGAGGGTGAGTTCAACAAACAGCAACAAACCCTTAGCAGGGCATTATTCTCGTTGCTCACAGATGGTAAACAGCTCTTTATTTTACTACATATACTCTTATAGGTTCCAACAGTTTTTGTATCGAAATCGAACGGTGCTCTTATCAAGCATTGGCAATGTGTCGAGTTGCTCCATCACTGCGTCATATAACTCGTATGAAGCTGGTCGAGGGGATGACGGAGGGCATGGCTCAGACTCATCCTGATCTATGAACCCGAAATCCCTCAAGGCGTCGTACCTGTCATTCGGAGGGATGTCATTCACTGAATACACACATCGTGGGGCCCAGTCCGCGTCAGGCCCGATAATGGGTACCTCGAGTACTTCCAGTTCGCGGCATGCAAACACTCCGTCAAACGTGCCTGTATGACGAACCATCTCCATCGAATCAATGGCGCCTAGCGGCATGGAAAACCTCTTCAGTTGCTTCATTGTCCCCAGTAGTGTCAGTATCAGAGTCGAGGTTGCGACGTTAGGGACTCTATCAAAGTCCACTAGCCGAATATCCTCTAAGGATTCGTGCAGAAACTCCAGTCGGATGATGGTAGCTAAGATTTCCTCTTTTCTTGTGCAGCGACTATGGATATCGAGCAACTTCAGCGTTGGAAATAACAAGATCAGGTATTCAAGACCCTCGAGATCAATGCTGCTGTTCCAATAGTAGCACCGGAGCCGAAATTCACTGAGACGCGGACAGTGAACCTTTAGGTGCTGATAGAACTCTTCCATTTCTCTCGACGTGCGCAGACTCGACTGTGAGTGATACCCCTCCAAATGCGAGAGGTGTTCAAGCAGAGGACAAAATCGGGTCACTCTGAAGAGATAACTGTAGTCGTCCTTGCAATCCTCCAAGTGAAAATACCGAAGCTGGCTCTGACGCTCCTGTTGATTCGTATGTCGTTCAAGCTTTGCCTTTGCCATCGCCTCGGCCGATGCTGCTGCTCCATTTGTCGAAGTCGGCATTATAATTCCAGCGGTGGAATCTACGTCCAGATCTGGAAGAAATTCCTCCCAGCAAGTAAGACTCAGTAATTGCATGTCAGGTAGTTGCTCCAGTAGGTACTCGATCGTTCTTGGAAGGACCTTGAAGTTTTTGAGGGCCAGTTTCTTCATCATCCTCATGCCTGTTATGACTCTGATAAGCTTTGCTGTTTGTTGCACATCAGCCGCGTAAATTCTCAATGTCAGCGAGAGCTCTTTGATAGCTGGGTTGGACTCTAGGACTCGCTTAAGGATCGAAAAGTTCGTGGGCTCCACTACCGACGCCTCGAGCAATGTCAGATGTGTACAGCTGAAGTCGAGGAAGTCAAATCTGGTAACGCGACTGCACCGTAGCTCGCGGATATAGTGCGAATAACGTGGGAATGCCATAAGAAAGGAGCGGCGAGAGCATCCTCGGTGATGAATCGAGTGCCAGAGCTCGCTTGTAAATGGAAGGACAAAGTCTTTACAGACACGGCAGGCCCTGGCGAGATCTGCTGGAGAGAGGTGTTTCGCTATGTGGATCAAGATCTCTGGAATGTTGAAGATGCTTTTAGACATGGTTGTGTCCGCTGGAGGAAGAGGGTTGAGCGAGATAAAGTGAGCAGATGGACCGCTGCCCTTATTTATGTATCGGAACAAGTACAAAAGACGGTAGGCGCAGTAAAGAGTCGTTCGTTTATTGGGCAAGTAAACAGACTAACAAGAGTCTGCTCAAATACTTCCTCAACGAGCTCGCGTAGAAGCGGCGCGTATAGGACCGTGACTGCGGCGCGCATCGGACCATGGCTGCGGCGCGGATTCAAGAAGCCGCGGGTGCGTGCTTCGCGCCCTTCTTTGTGCACTTTTCACACGGATGGGGTCGCTACCACACTATCCCCAGCGAAACGGCCCAGTATTCAGTATCTGCTCGACAATGAGCAATGGGCTATTGGGTGAAGCCCCCCCCCCCCCGGAAATTATACTTGTCAACATTCCCTTAAGCGCTATCAATCATTTTATTTAACTTAATGGAAGACACCTTTGAGTGATGCCGATAGCGTCCAGGGGTCGCGTTGCAATACTGGACCTTACTTACAAAAACCCACTGAGCTGTATGTGGGGCAAGTGTAGCTTACGATGGTTGTTCTGCAATGCAATCGCATCGGCGGTGATTGCCGCGCCGCCATGATCTATGATAAGGTTCATATTATCCGTGCCATGCATGGAGCACATAGGCTTAAAGCCAAACGCAGGGCATACGATGCCTAGTGACGCTGTGCATAATCTGCGGTTGGGATAGGCTCCCCAATCGCCAAAAAGGAAGACAGCCTTTCCCAGTCCTCCCCCAGTCCTCCCCCTTCATACTTCACACTTCTCTCACGGCCTTCGTCGATCCTCCACAGCAATGCTCATCAAGGAATCATACATCGATCTCCAGACCTCATCGGGTCCGATGAGGACCTACATCTACCAGCCCAACCTGCCTGAATACCCCGACGCAAAGTTCCCAGGCGTCGCTGTCTTCACTGGTATCGTATTTGCGCTTTTTTTTTTATTACCAGACGCGTCAGGGATTAAGAGTCGTTTCGCAGAGGGTGCAGTTGCTCATTTCGACTTTGTGTGATTCAAGAGATCTACCAGGTCACCGGCCCCTTGGACAGGTTTTGCAGGTACTTTTCGACCGGCTACTGAGTCTTTTTCTCACGCGGTAATTGCTTCAATAACGCGCGATGCTAACCTTCTTTGTTGTCGTGTTTTTATTTTAATGAACCTCCTCTGGAATAGACAGATCGCCAGCCAGGGATATATTGTCGCGTGCAACGAATCCTTCCACGAGTTTGAAGCCCTAGGCACACCTATTGCCTATGACACCCCTGGCACAGGTGCGAGAGCAATGCATGCGAGGTTTTTTATTGCGCGTGATGTTGACCAAAAAGGACTCTTACAATATATCGATGCATTTTTCTTTCTAATGGCTCCTCTAGACAAGGGAAACCAGTACAAGGTCGAGAAGGAGCTGACAGCGTATGATGAGGATGCAACTCTGGTGATCGACCATCTCATGGATCACCCCGCTTGCACTGGCAAGATTGGAGCCACAGGAATGTGTCTCGGTGGACACTTGGCCTTCCGCGTAAGCTTCTCACTTATATCCTTCATCTCTCCCCTTCTCTCTCTCTCCTATCGTCCGGCAAATATTTGGCTTGTTGACTGATTGATTGCTTTCCTTCAATATAGGCCGCATTCGACCCACGCGTGCTCGCCAGCGTGTGCTATTTTGCCACAGACATCCACTCCGAGACCCTTGGAAAAGGCAAAAAATCCAATTCCCTGGCCCGTGTACCCGAGATTCAGGGCGAAATCGTCATGATCTTTGGGAAACAGGATAACCATGTCCCCCGAGCCGGTCGAGATTTGATCCGCAAGACTTTGGAGGACGCAGATGTGACGTCGACGTTCTTGGAAGTCCAGGCGCAGCATGCGTTTATTCGTGATGAGATGAGTAAGGGGCGGTACGATGCTGCGATCGCGAAGGTGTGCTTTGAGCTGCTATTGGAGTTGTTCCACAGGAATTTGCGTCTTGATCTGGGCAAGCGAAAGGGGCCCAAGACCGACACGAAGAATATGCCGTTGGTTTGCTAAAAGCAAAGCGAGGTGGCAGCTAGAATTCTAAGGAGAATAGCAACAATACATTCGAAATATGCATTTATCAAGTGTATTGCATATAATGCTTCGTTCATGAAGGCGCAATAGTTCTTAAGCTCACTGCCGGCATGGCTAAGGACACTTCTTTGTCAAAGACAGTGGATGGTAATGAAACTCTTATTTCCTGAGCGTCTTGATGAAGAAGACAGAGATGAGGAGGGGCTTTCAGGGCTTGACAAGTCATCACGGAGTTCTCAGGCATATCGGGTACAGGATCTTTGCCTGAACGAACAAAATACTAAAAATGCGCGGCCTCACAAGTGGAGGTGCATTACTGCAAAGAAACGCACGTTAACGCCGCATTTAGCATAGTCCTGTTGTGTGATTGCCAGTGTTGTCAATTCATCCATATCCATGCGCATGTTGACTATTTGTTCAGCAGTTGCTCCTTCCTCGGGAAAAAAAATAAATAACAAACGGTTATTTGGAGTTAAGCGCAAACAGACAGGCGCAGTGCCACAAATAGGATGAGAATGATAAAACAAACATCCATGGCATGAGCACAATGAGCATGTAAACATGCACAGCCACAGTCTTGCTGTCCCCTATGTCGGATATGAGAATGTGGATCTGGGCCTCGAGGATAGAGTAAAGGAAGGTGGTTTGCTGGGAAAGCGCATGCGTATATGCGAGATCTGCGCAGAGCGAGGAGATGCTGCTCAGCCCAGGATCACCCAAGTGACTATTTTTACTTGAATCAAAATTACGTCGGCGGTATACCATTCTTCGTGTTCTGCCATTACTACCAACGCCATCACCACCACCACCACCACCACCGCTTCTACCGCTGCTTCTTCACACGCTCTCGTCATCTTTTCTTTTATATCCCCCATCCCCTCATATCCTCGCTCATCTCCACTTTCCGTTCCACCCCTCACACACACACACACCATCGACCATGACACGACACCCCTCCGCGCTCGAGATTGCCGAGGTCCTCCAGACCATTGCCTCCTTACTCGACCCCAAAAGCCTCGTCTCCGCCTCCCTCGTCTCCCACCACTGGCACGCATGCTGCACCCCCATCCTCTGGAGCACCATCACCCCATCCGACTGGTCCCTGGTCCGCTTCAGTCCTCGCCAGCTCTATGCGCACGCGCACCTGGTCCATGTGCTCCAATGGCATTCTTCTCTACACTCAAACTACAACATGCCCCACAGCCACGGCATTGTCACACAAACTGAGAGCTCTCCTATTGGAGGACTGGCGATGTCGACCATGGGAATCTTACCATCTTCGCCCTCCACACTACCATCGACCCAGCCTATCATCCAACTACCGAATTCTTCACATGTGTATTCTGAGAAGTCTTCAAGGGAGCACAAAATCCCCGACGGACATGTACGCACACGAGGGCATGAACGCGAAGAATCATCTCCAGTCCAGGAGCGACTCTCGCTCGTTTGTCTAAGCAAGATCATCGGAAACTGCGCAAACCTCCAACAGCTTAGCGTCCATGACGAGCGCGACGGGGTCCCTCTCGATATCATTACGGCAATTAAATCCTTGCGGTTCCTGCAGTCCTTGGAGTTGTTTGCGAATATGGTTGTTATGCCCGATCAGACGACGAAGACGACAAAGACGGCCACTCGGCTGTTGAATGTTCAGGATATGGTCCAGGCATTACCCCAGCTTAAGAGACTTGTTTTGCGAGGAACCGCATTCTCGTTCCAGTCACTGCCATTCACACGGGAAGCAACACCAGCACTAGCGAATGATGATGACCTGCGGAAAGGGGAGTCAGGAGACACGACCCGACAATTAGCGGCGTGTCCGTCTAACTCAAACACATCACACTACCAGCTCTCGATTTACACACCCCTTGCTACCTTCCCAATCCAACATCTGTCGCTCGACGCACCGGTCTCCGAAGCCGAGTTAGCCTTGCTACTCCAGCAATCCCCCTCCCTTGAATCCCTCGACCTCCCTGGCGGACTCCCCTGGGAGCTCTCCTCGGAGTTTATCCAAGCCCTTGCAACTGCCTGCCCACACCTGTCTGGGTTCTCCATCAATGCGTCCTGTTACCCGCCCGTGCCCGAAGATCAACTCACAGCTCTCGTCAGGTCATTGCCACCGCTACAGAGGTTCGGTGCCCGATCGTGTATGGTGGGCGATTCGACGTTGGATGCCCTCGCGGAACGGTGTTCAGAGCTGGAGAGGTTGGATATTTCGTTGACGAAGGGTCATCAGCTGTCAAAACAGAGGTTGTATGAGTATTTGAGGAGTGCAAGAAAGTTGAAGGAGTTGGAGGCTGAGGGAGTTTGGATCCTACTGCAGGATTTGAAAGATAACCAGCAACAGCAGCAGCAGCAGCATGTTGGTGAAGAGGCACAAGGACAGGAGAGTACTCATCCTGCAGCTACTTCGTCCGACCAACAACACGCCAGACCACGATGCACCGACTGGGCCAGTCGAGAAACACTGCGTCGACTGACTATCGGCTTCACGAGCCCCGACCGAAGCATCCGCCAATGTTCCTCCATGTATACCCTTCTCTCCTCCCTAACCCGTCTCGAGCACCTCCAGCTCTCCTACACGTGTCTCAGTCTGTCGTCAGATTCTGGGATCCACCAACTCGGCGCGCTGAAGGATCTGAGGACGATTAATATCGAGACCTGTGGCTACGTCGCCTTGACACAGGAGGATCTGGCCTGGATGGCAAGGACGTGGCCGAAATTGGAGAAGATCTGTGTGCACGCCCTGGGCGTATCCAGAGAAAGACAGCTCCATGCATGGCTGAAAGATGCGGGGAGGGAGGATGTTGTCATCGAAAGCCCACAGCTCACGATGTTCTAAAGCTTATTAGGAATCTATAGTATCGCCCTAAAATGGCCTAGAGGAGAACTGGCTATTCAATCGGACGCGTCCGGTTAGTAGTTCCTCTTTCCTCCATCCCTCCATCTCATTTCTTGCATGCTCTCTCCACTTTCTCTTTTCTAGCTTTTCTTCTATCCTTTATTATTCGTTCTATGTTGTCGCTATCCTACGCCCTATGCCTCTTCCTCCCCTCTCTCTTTTGTTTTCGTTCCTCCTTATACCTGTACACATCTGCACTTCAGTAAATAAACACTATTTACACTATTTATTGAAGAACCAAGAGAACTGCCCGTGGCACACGCCATAGGTCCGAGACAAAAATAAATTAGCTATGGCAGATTCAACAGATTTCTACAGACGGTATTTCGGGTATAAACGCCATCTTTGGCGCCATTTTCGACCAGAATCTTGAGGTTGTCTCGGCATTTGCAACACGAGAAGCCAACATACAGCTGCTCAGCGCCAAAGACGCGCTGAGGAAGGCAAACACCAACGCGGTCAAGTGTTTGTCCTTGTGCCTTGTTAATGGTCATGGCAAACGCAGGCTTGACAGGATGTCTTCTCGGTGCTATTCAGGAAACTGTTTAACCTGCTGCAAGTGCGCCCAATCGATGAGGAGGTTCTGGCGACCGCAGTCCGAAGGGGGTTCCTGTCAGTAAAAGACCGCCTTACAGCCCATGGCTACCCCAACTTTTCAACCACAGCCAAGTTGCGGCTGGTCTTGGATGAGGCCCAGATTCTAGGCGACTGGAGCCCCACACTATTCCAATCATTGTTCCAGGAATCTGAGAAGCGGACCATGTTTTCTTCTGTGTTGGATGGGTTCCGAGGAGTTAACTCCTCGAAGCGGGATGGAGGCCTCCGGCTGTGACGTAAAGGAAGCAGGCTCAGTGATATTCCCATACGTCGAGTTTGAAGGGTTAACCAGCCGAGGATCGATCCGGTCATATATCGATCGTGCGAAGGAGCAGCTGCGAGATGACAAGTCGAAACAGAAGATCCAAAGAGTTGGAAGAGGGTCATCGACGACAACGAGGCCATAATGGTATCCTAGGAGAATCGGGAACGTCGAGAGAACCTCTGCGGTGAATTTGTCCGGCTTGGAGGCAAGACTGCCAAACACCTCAGTCAGTTCCCATCGTTCTCTTCCATTGAGGAAACACTGAGGCTCTTCCTTCTCCGGTGGTATATCCTGGGCGAGACCGTGCTTATGCTGGACGACCAGGTGCAGTTGGTGAAGGCAGCATTTGGACGGATCAAGTTGCTTGGAGGTATTGCAAGAACAGTTCTTGATGAGCCGTTTGCCTTGAAGGCAGCTGAGAACTACATCCGCGCAAAGGGTCCACTATTTGTTGATGCTGCGGAACGGGCGATGCTGCGCTCGACCAATGCTTGGGTGCACGGAAACATGTGTGAGACCATGATGCCGGCCTTGTTCGTGGAGACATTCAAGGATCGTCCTCTCTCCTCTTGGCGTCTATTACCTAACGACAGCATCCCCGATCTGCTCGCTGGCCAGGTGATGATTGTGGGATACAATGAGAAGGACCCGCAACTCGGAATCCCATATAGCTACATCACAACGACGGAGTTTATGAAGGCACACTTCAAACACAACTCGAAGCGGGGAGACAAAGCTATCCCCCCATTCTACTTCCCATCTCCCCAAGTCTCTGGCCCTGACATTATTTTTTTCGTCCAGGTCAACGGACAGTATTTTCCGGTGTTTGTCCAGCTCAAGCTGCGACAAGCACTTCCACGCAGTGACGCCGAGCAAGCGCTTGCAACGGTCAGCAGTCGTACTATCGAGGAGAATCTGGAGCAGGAGAGACCGGAGCAGGAGGCAGACCATCAAAAGCCAGAAAAGCAAAAGCCGCCAAAACTTCAAGACTATTGCTCCGCCAAAGTTTATATTAGCATAGTGATCTCCTACCCTGCAGCGGTGGTCAGTTCCCGAGATCCGATCCATCCTGACCCCAAGCTGGAGTTGGAGCCCGATAATCTGCACCCTGTTACCGTCAGGGTGGACGACAGCAGCTTTGCGCAGATCTTCCCAGAACATCATGTCAAGCTCCTCGACAAGCTTAAACATTTTAAGCGAGGCACGGAAGACCAACAAGATCAGGATCAACTTAAAAAGCTGAGGGTCGATCCCAACTAGCCCAGGCCTGCCCTGGTGCCTCCTGGTTATTGATCACTATGAGTACATCTTTTGCATTTACTACCAAGAAACGTATCGCGGCATTTGTCGAAGAAAATTGCCTAAGAAATGATTTACTTGAACTATTTGCAGCTACAAGAAGCACACTGCTGTTGGTGGTGATGAAGAAAAAAGACATGCCAAGGACCACAGGAGAAGCGAGATGACGAAGCACAAGACTTCAGGATAGCAATAGCAGGGTCGGGCATGGCCCCCTGGCGGGGTTCAACCGAAATAAAGATACATTCTCTCCTTTGTTAACTGACAAATACAGCGAAAGATAGACTTAGTGTATGTGTGCCCACGATCGCGGCTTCATGTATCGTCGGGACGGCATCGGGACTCCTGCATTTCTACACTTTCGTAGCAGTTCTTGCAATTGCACTCGTTGGACTGTCTGGTTATTCGACTTGATTCAAAATGATGGTTGTGCTGGCTGTGCTACCTATTCAGCTGTGGTATGCTACGGTGTGCTGTGCTGAGTTGCACTGTGCTCACCAAAGTCGTTCTCGCAACTTCGCGCGAACCGAGTTGGCAAAAGCAAAGGATGATTTGGAAAGATCAAGGCACAAAGGCATAATGTAAGCCATACCACGTCTGTTTCAGCTCTGCTCAAGTTTAATATGCAAAGTAGTAGCCTTGATTAGGGTCATGCTATCAAGGATTGTTAATACTGTCGCCCCCTATTCTCATAATTTACGCTGACACGCTCGCTAGCCCTGATACCTCTTTCATTGCATATTTAGAAAAGTTTGCACAGAAACACATACCAAATGTCACTCTGAGGTGAAGGTTGAGTAGGATGGGATTAGAGAGAAAGCCACGCAAAAGATCTATACAGGGACATATGCTTCTGAAGGTGGAAGGGAGCGTTGGTTCTTAAAAAATACAAAAGCATTGGCCTCGCTCATTTTTTGATTTAATTTTTAAGAAGCCGTGCACATTCAAATTAATATTCTTTGCTTCGCCCAAAAAAAAAAAATTAAATTAGTTATCTCAGCTCCTCTCACAATTTCAGCTTCGCCCAAAAAATAATTTCTTCTCATTCACTGTTTTGCCCATTCACTCTGAACCACTCCTTCTTACTTACACATACCACTGTACTACTATTACACTGGGTAATATTGGCACGATTTGCAACCAGCTGTATGTCGCGCGCTTTTGTTACTTTTTACTTCGACATTGGCTCCTATGCTGACTTGACATGAGTCTATCATATAGCCCCGCTGTTCGGTCTGCTCAAGTCCATCGAGCATGCTGATGCAGCCAAGTAGGCCATTGCAAAACCAACTTTAAGGATAGCCCCGAGGATCCTAAGAACACTTTCGAATGACAAGCTGTCTTTTTTTTTTTTTTTTTTTTTACGGATGGGGCATACAGAACAGTCAGAACTAACCCTTCTTAACAGGCGCGCAGAGCTAATCGTCACTTACCGCTCCTAACATAATGCAATACACCTAGGTGTTGATCCTGATACTGCTATTCCTGCAGCGCCTGCTCCAGATGCTCTTGCTACTCCTGCAGCCCCTGCTGCTGAAATACCCCTTGCACGAAGGTCTTTCACTGAAGATTCGGTGGCAAGAGTTATAGAAAATAACCGCCACTACCTTGGGCATATGGTCAAGTGTAGATATTGCAGGGCCGAGATGTGGATGCAAGAGCGGTGCAATGGAACTTTCAAGAGGAACCCATAGTTCATGCTTTGCTGCTCGAAGGGCTCCACAGCGCAGTTCCGCATTGACCCTCCAAAGCCCTGACCCAAGGTATCCAGAGAACTCTCGATTGATGGAGCTGACCACGAGAAGGTCAGAAGAGAGCAAGAGCTTTCATTTACACATTCGAAGGTACGACAAATCCCTTTCCTTCACATTGATGGCTGCAACGGTTGACAGAAGCTTGGCGAGTGCTGCAGGCGGCATATATATGCTTCGCATCTAGAGAGATGTGTGCCATTATTATGGAAACCTTTTTCCAGAGCGTGGGCTCAATGACATGTCCAAGTTTGCACAGATCTGTTTCTATGAGCCACTTAGTCAAGTAACTCGCCGCAAGTCCCTCTATCCTCAGCTGGGGAAAGGTATTTTAATGAAGCTTTAGGCCATGCTCGAACGAATCAGTCCACTTACCCATGCCTACAAGACTATACGTGAGTATAAGAGATTCAATTATGATCGCATTGCTCAATTCAGGGTTGCCCTGAAGGCCGGTATCAGGTATGGGAATATCAGGTGTTACCAGTACAACCTTCCGTGTCTTATGAAATCGTCGTTTTGTTGCCAAACGAATATGGCGGCGAGAAAAGATCACTCTCTAGAAGAGTGGCGTGACCAGGTAGAAAGAGTCATGAAGACGAATGCCAAATATGATTCTCTTCGTTGTGTCCTCCTCCATCCTCGAGGCGAAGTCGGTCAGAGCTTCAAAGCATATCCATTACTTGACCCGGGAGATGCCATAGAGCTAGAGTCCGATCCAGCGCCAGATCATACTGAAGCTCAGGGCCAGAGCAAGTCGGGGTTCAGGCAGCAAATGTGACCGCAAACGGCACTCAGGATCCTTTGAGGGGTGCAAGGACGAGGAGAGCAACCAGCAGGAAACTGATGCTGAGGACGATGTGCTATTGGAGGTGATGGCAAGAAATTCATGTCGCTTCACCGATTTACAACACACCGACTACAGACTAGGGAGATCAGTGAACGAGAAAATCGATGTTACTTTTAGTCTATTGGTCGCCTTGCCGAGTGGTGCGTGGCGAGCCAGTATGCCAGAATCGAGATGCAGCGTGTTTTAAGCAGTGTGAATAAAAAAATCGAAAGGTGTAAAACTGCTCTGACATGAGCTCAAGACAGACAAAGGAGAAGAAGAGCCAAAGATGGATATACATATACCTGTGCAAATAGTTTAACTGTGGGCGTCGCTTCGACATGACCGCATTATCCAGTTTAACAAGATAGTCGCTGCATTGATCGCTCTCTTCAGGAACCTGTCTACATACACATGTCGCAATAGAAGGGCTACTAGGACGCAGTTTAGACGCTCTGTTTGGTTTCGACTCTGGAACCCTATAGCTCAGGAAACAGAAACAGCTTTCGAGTGATCCAACCTCAAGGAGCCGCCGGAAGGACCACTGAGCTTCAAGATCTTCAAATATATAATACAACTGTGGTATTCTTCAGTGGGGATGAAGAAGGATGAGGCTGAAGTCATGCTTGCCAGTGAAAGACACGGAGAAACAACCCCTTGGAAAATGGTGGCGACCAATGAATCAGTCGTGTCAGTGGCCCGGAGCTTTTCGTCGTCACCGATAAATGAATCGTTCGAACTTTTTCCGCATTAAGCATCAGGCGGCTTCAATTTACCTCCTATATCCCTAGTCTCCCATTCTAGATGCATTTATAGATATTCCCTAGTAATAAGGCACGACCTGCCATTATTAAAAGAGCATTGCGTTTTTCACAGATATCGATCCCACATACTCCGTAGGCCGCAAAAACACGCATGTTGCTGGCGAGCGCATTATCCTTTCTGGGACTCACACAAGCACCCACCTCAAGCCTGCGATCACTAGTCATGTAGCTCCAGGCGCTTTTGCAACTCATCTCCTATTTCTACTAAAATTGCAGGCAAGGGAGCCGCTCCCATCGCGACAGTACGAGAACCCATCGGTGAACAGAAATGCGTCAAGGAGAAGCCAAATCTATGAATTCGGCCCATGTACCCTGATGATCACCTCGAGATCGAGAAGTACAAGGGCATTACCTTGGAGGATCTGCCCAAACACGTAAGGATCGCGCGTTTCTTGGAGTAGAAGGGCAATGAGCCCCCTCACATCGCCTGCAGGAGAAACAGCCAGGCTTGCCACCAGGACGTTGAGAAAAACAAACTTAGCTCAATATCAATGTCGGTCACAGCGAAAGCGGCATCGGCTGCCGGTGGTACGTCTTCACAGAGCACCGATACCGAGACAAGGTCTTCCAAGTTTGTCGGGGGCGTCACAAGCAGTGCTTTCGCGCCCTCACCATCCTCTTCTTCGCCATTGGCAGCAGGGATTTCAGAGCCATCTTTGACACCTTTGCCATCCTCTCAGTCCATAACTGCAGCTCCACAACCGTTGTCTAGGCATTCAGTACAATTCTCCCTGTGACCTTACTCTCTAGCTGCTCAGCCACAAGCATCGCTTGACATTAATATACCCGCGTTCTTTTTCGACATTGTCAGTTGTCCCTCATGCACAACAGAACATTTTTCGCCCTCAAAGCCAGCAATCGACACTACTCCTCCTTCTCCACCATTCATAGGTCTTACCTACACACGACCATCAAAAGATGCACCCGCAGAAGCGCCTAGCAGTAGGTTTACTATCTCAAACCGCATACACGCCACAGAAATATCATCACTGCGGAGTATGTGAGATGCCCTTTAATAATGGCCGGTCGTGCCTTATAGGAGACTAGAAATATAGGAGGTAGTCCAATGCTCTTAATAAAGAATCGGCACCGAGTGGCGATGGATTCAGAGAAATGGAGGCACTTTATATAAACAAGACAATATGGTGAATACGCCCCAATCACCGGTCGCCTGCGAACCTATTCCTGCCACTCAATACACCATACTTGAGAGCAATGAACAGCGCCTCGCCAATCAATACATTCCATCAGCTATTCGATCTCCCCATCCGATGCGACCGACGGGGAATGCTCGCAGATAGGGTCGTAGCCTATGCCATCGCTTTCACTATCTACGAGTGAAGTAACAGAGCACATATGGCCAGGACACTCTAACTTTTCAGATTTAACACACCCACAAGAACCATGTTATTTCAGCGAATTTTCGGGCGTAGTGACACCCAGGTTCTCCGATTCACCACCCATGGCCAGCGCAATCGGTCCCATCGATACAGTGCTCCCAAACTTATTCTTGTGTAGTACTTATGAACCCCCTGACACCGATACCGATATGATAACGTGCCATAAGGCACCAGGGCTTGCACTCGGCTCGAGTAACTCCATCACCTCGGTTGTATACCCCTCCAGGATATGTGTTGCCAGCCAAAGCGCCACGTTCGGCACCCCTATCAGACACACGTTCGATCGAATAAGGAGCAATTACTCAAAAGCCGCCATCCTATAGTCATAACAGGAAACCAGGCATATCGCACCATCAATATCATTTACATATTACCTCAATAGGCAAGGACTTAGATTGATGTACCTATGGCGAAGGATGACCTGATCCCGTATTTGGTAGACAAAGACAACAAAAGACAACACGGATGAAGAAATACGAATGACTGTGGACGATGAAGAGTTGCAGGTGACTGGCTTTAGAAAGTTTGCTGGCACCTAACACAAACATGGCTCTCATTAAGCTTCCCCAGGCTCACTGTAGCATCACTCCTGGAGGAACCACCATGATTGCTACCAGCGTCACCATCACTCATTAAGTATGATATTATATAATAAAAACAATGAACATGTACAAATGCGCATGGAAATGTGCCAAAGATGAGTGTCATTGATAGCGCTTGGAGACGAAGTGGCCCAAGGGACGCAATGTGATGCAGGTTCGTATGATGCATAGAGCTCAAATTGGAGCACTTGACGCGTTCTAATCGTGTCAGTTTGTCAGCTTCACTGAAGGGAGTCGTGAACGGGGCAGGGCGGTACATCGACATATTTGAGACTGAGTGCTATTGTTAAACGGTATGCTATGCGCGCAAGCTTAGCTGGGAGGTTGTAGACGCGCGCGCATGGGAATGATCAAACAGGTAAAAGTTCAAACCACCGAAAATGTCACTCCTGAAATTGTCCTGTAACTGTCTCATTCGTGCCTGGTGCGGCGCAGATTTAATGAAAATTTCAGCGTACAGCAATTTTCCTCCAGTCTTGAAGTAATACGCCACTGCCGGGTTCGTGTAAACCAGGCGCAAGCATCCTTCATCCGATCTCTTCTTTGCATCCTGCACAGCGGGGAGTCTTTGCTATTTTGAGTTTGGTGTGTATCCCATTCATTGGTGTAGTCAAAGCCCAGGTGTGTACGCACCACAAGCCTATTTGCCCGATGAAGAAGACATCGCCTCAGCCGCATGTGAACGTGTCTCAAAATGGGTGTTGGTCCCCCACGCTTTGACCACGGACAAAAAAGGCTGTCCGTGGTGGAAGGCAAGGAGCGAGTGATTTCGACCAGCAGCAACCACCTTTTGTCTCATTTCGACTCATTGCATTTCCTCATCCCACTCTCTCACTTCATTCATCGACATCCATCCCCCTCAACCCTACCGACTTTCCCTTCAGCCCTATTCCCAAGAACAGCGCCCACGCCTATCCACCCGCCCGCAGTATGGACGCCCTTACTCAGTCAGAGTTCGCTTGGTGTCTGCCGGGCGAAATCATCCAGGTGCGCTTCGACCACGACTTTGACTTTTCTCCAGTCAACCCCCTTGGTGACTCTTCCTTCTCCTCCTCTTCTTCCTCCCCATGGGCTGAGCCACTCAAGAGCATCATATACCAATCCGCAGAAGCACCTGCATCCCTCCAGGGCACAGCATCCACATCGGATACCTTCCTCTCTCCAAGTCCTGAGCGCAGCTGTGCCAAGAAATCAAAAGCCCACCCTGTACAGAACCCATTGGCTACGCTTCTTTCTGCAGCTGGAAACACCATTCACAGCAGACTCACCCAGGACTCCTCAGATCTATCTCAGCATCATCATCATTACCATAACCATTATCAAAACCATCAACAGCGGGACTCATCTAGTCAGCATCACTCGCTACATCATGGACATCATGGATACACACATCACCACAACCGGAGCCGCACACACCCTGGACACGACCTGAATAAGCAGCATTCATTGGGGTCTGGTTCGATGTCACAAGACCCGGGCAAGCCTGCTTTGAGGACATGTCTGGTCATTACCAATTTCCGGATCTGCTCGACGCAACAGTCCCCATTGGGACACGATACGATCCTGGCGCAGGTCGCACACAGCTCGATTGCCACAATCACGCTTCAGGAACACCGAATCAGTCTCACGCTCAAGTTCGATTCTCCGCAATACATAATTTCGCAGCAATCACATGGCCCGCCCACCATTAGCGATGTGATGTCCTGTTTGCGAAGACTGGTGTTTAATGAAGAGGTCAGAACCCGGTTTCCGTATTCGATAGGACAGTTCCTTCTAGAGCAGGATCGGAGGGCGGCTGTGGAAGGGAAAGATGTTGGACAGACCAGGGCGAATCTGTGGACTGCCGAGGATGTCATTGTGCCATCGTCAAGGAGCAAACGAAACGCGTCCTGTGGAGAACCTTCGGAAAAGCGGATGTTGGGATGGACTGGGGGATACGATATCCACAGAGAATTCAAGCGGTTGAATTTTGACGATTCTTTATGGTATGGTCAGTCGCATTAGGTGTTATCTCGCTCTAAAGGATATCAGCATGGATTATACATTGACCTTGCTTGCCTATTTTTTTTTTTTTTTTTATCATTGAACAGGACGGTAGCGCATCTGAATAGAGACTTCGAGTTGTCGCCAACATACCCAGAGCAATATATTATGCCGATCAGCTTCCTCGACCATGGTGGTGCGAGCTCCTCGGTAGATCAGGCAGCACGGTTCTCAACTTCTCCAGGATCTGATCCACCATCCTCATTGCATACCCATGCCGCGTCCGGGTTTCCGGAGCCTCGGCACTCCTACAGCGCCAATGCATGCATGAAGCAACTGGCTGCCTTCCGATCGAATAAGCGATTTCCGATGATTTGCTGGAGGTCGCCCGATACGGGTCTTGTTCTTATGAGGAGCTCGCAGCCAATGGTTGGGTTTCTCGGCGCTAGGTAAGGCCGCGGAGGGGAGCAAGATACCTTTTTTATTGCAGGAACGGAATTTGCTCCTGCATGCATTAATGCTCGCTATGATTCATACATCAAACGTACGGCTTTTTAGAGGGCCTGAGGATGAGACTTATATCAGGACGGTTTTGACAACCGCGGCCAGAGAACATCGTCGCTCTCATTCGGGTCGGAAATGTACGCCAAAACTGTGTATCATGGACGCTCGTGCGTATACATCCGCTGTCGCTAATGGATATGTTGGGGGTGGTCGCGAGAATCCAGGTACGAGGATGGTATAGCTGAAGAATGATGTTTTCGCTGGCGTCTTTAGCGGTGAAGATTTAGCTCACCATCGACGCTCATACTTTGTGTATGTAGACCACTATCCGAACGCCACGATATCGTACATGTCTCTTGCCAATATTCATGTCATTGCCAATTCTCATCAAACCCTTCTCAAGGCGGTATCAACTCAGTCGGACTCGACAAACTGGTTCACGCTGATCGAATCGACGGGATGGTTAACACACGTCGCCGATCTACTGAAAGCTGCATCCGGGCGTGAAGGCATCGTCGGAAAGATGCTTGACCAAAACTGCTCGCTTCTGGTGGTAATTACCTCATGGATTCTGGACCACATGTATCAGACTCGGACATTGAGGATAGTTTCGTTAACCATTTTTTTTTTTTTTTTTTTATACTTGAAAATTGTTCACAGCATTGCACAGATGGATGGGATAGAACTACACAACTCGTCTCATTGGCTCAGATCCTCTTGGATCCGTACTACAGGACCATACAGGGTCTTCGCGTATTGATCGAGAAGGAATGGCTATCTGCCGGTCACCCATTCCAGTCACGCACAGACGCACTGTCCAGCCAAAAGAAAGCAATGTCGGTGTCACCCTTGGAGGATGAACCTCAGGACTCGTGGCGGGCATCTGCGACGATGCTTCACTCTAGTCCCAACGGCGCTAAGGAGTCGATATCCTTCTCGCGAAAAAAATGGAAACGACCGTTGCTTTCAGACTCCGAGTCCAAGGTGGAGTCGAAAACGACCTTACCGTCTACGTGTCTTCCAGAGACTCGGCCGACACCCTCTGTAGAGAATGGAAGTCCCTCAATGCGGCCTCCTGTTCTGCCCTCGTCGTTCACGGGAACGCCATCTTCGCCAAAGTACACTCCCATGCCGGTGCAGACAGTCCCACTCGCACCTTCGCCCGTATTTTTGCTCTTCCTGACGTGTCTGCATCACATTGTTCAGCAACATCCGACTCGATTCGAGTATAATGACTATCTGCTCGTGGTGCTCGCACGCGCCGCGGCCGGGTTTTCTCCGTTTGGCGATTTCCTGTACAACAATGAACATGAGCGTGCACAGGACCGGCTGAGGGAGCGGACATTGTCGATCTGGAAATGGGTTCACGAGAACCAAGGCTGGTTCACGAGTCATGATTACATCCCTCCGGAACTGGGAGAACGTACATCAAGGAACTTGGGCGAGGGTGGATGGCGCGAGCATGTATTGCATGTGCAGACAGGGGGTCGGTTCACGTCACTGTGGACAGAGTATTACTTTAATTCGACGCCGAATTGGTTCCCAGATCCGAGGATGGTGCTCTCGAATGCGACTTCGTTCTATGACAGATCAGGGTCAGGAGGTCAACTGGAGAAGCCGGTGGGGCTGCGGTGTTTAAGGCATCATGTACGGGTGCTGGCGGATCCGTGGTATGGGAGCCAGTTTGATGAGACGCAATTGCAGCATATTGCATTCCCGGGTGCTGCGTCGATGCAGCAACATGGTTATTGTCCGCAGGGTGGACACGGTCCTGGGCAAAACATTGGCACGGTGACGACGATACCACCAGCGCTAGCGTCGTTGAAGGGCCAGGAAATGCACATGTACTATATGCTGGCGCAGCATCTACGGGCGAAACGACGCAAGCTGATGCAGAGAGCATTCCGAAGTTGGCGTAAGTGGGCAAGACGAAGGGTTGCGGTTAAGCCCGCGAGGGAGGATGGGTGGGAAGATGGAGCAATCTCGGGTAGTAATAGTAGTCAGGAGGACGACTTTCGCCATGAGGATATGGAGTCGGACGATAATGATGAGGAGGAGGAGGAGGAGGAAGGGGACATTAAAAGGAAGAGAGCGGCCCCAGAGCTGAAGATCCTGGGAGCGAAGAAGGGAATTGAGGTGGTGATGGGACGGATTTTGGAGAGTGGGCCGTTCTTTGGAGAGCGAATCACGCTTGAATATGAGGAAGACACTGAGGAAGAGGAGGAGCAAGCTGCGAGGAATGAGGAGGAAGAAATAAGGAGGAGGGTAATGGAAGGGATAGAGGGCGAGATTGGGGGGATAGTGGTAGATGAGTCCGAGGAAGGACTTGAGGGTGCTTTTGATGACTTTGGGTTCCCAGTAGGAGTCGATGAGAAGGAGGTGTTTATTGCGGTGTGAGTGTGAAGCATAGAAGGTAATAAAAAAGTGAGATACAGCTTTGTACAACTGTAGCAGTTATGAGTGCAAAGGAACAGGTCCAGAAAGCAGGCCGTTTGTCTGGTTGGCCCTTTTGAGCTGCTATGCAGATGAGACGAGACGAGGACAGAGTCGCGTTTCCGTGAGACTCGCGACAACGGGAGCCAGAAAAGGACCAATGAAGGAGGAGGGAGCTTGAGAGGAATGGTGGGCTCGAGTCTTTTACTGCTCCCAAACTAACAAACAGACAGGGATGGGATGGGATGGGATCTGGATGTAACCGCTTGCTAACGCGATATGATTAGCCAAACAGATTAAAGAAGTTGGCATAGAACGCGTACCTCCCTTTCCCCCTCTCCCAGTTGGTCGGTGCACTGTGCTGAAACCCCGATCGTGCAGAGCACTTGCAGAGTACTTGCAGAGCAATGATAATGTTTGCAAGCATTCTGGCGCGGTACAAACGTTCGTTACTGATTCACTGGTACTTTGTCGCCTCTGTGTCTGTGTTAGCGTTAGTGTCCAATTCCTGGTTTTCCTTCTTTCAAATAATACAAATACAAATCGGCAAGAAATGGAAGCAGTATGAGGCTCTAGGGAGGAAGAATTAAGCATGCCGACAAAAAAAAAAAAAAAAAAAAAAAAAAGCAGTATGGACAAGAGCTTCTGCAACCTCTCAGTGTAACATACAAGCAGAGGAGGCCAAGTGGATCGGACGGGGATGTGGAGGCCTTTACTACCGATCTTATGTATCCACACTTCCCCAGTTCCAGTTCTCTCATGTAGGAAAGATGCGACAACCACACATGCCCTTTTTATGCGATCGATCAGCACACAACATGCATCCTCTTTTGCATGGTGAAGTGGGAGCTGTCCCTTTTCACTGCTTCCGCTCTTTTTTTTTCTTCCTTTTTATCTGTCGCGCGAGGAAGGCGGAGTGTGTCGGGGTAAAGTTGAGTGGGACAGGTTGCTTGAGTATAAAACCATCCCGACTAAGCGACTAGGAGCACTTTCATTTTGCGCTTTTTCTCTGCTTCCTTTGGACTACCGCCTAATACACTTTTTTTCCCCTTTCAACTGCCTCCCATTCCTACACACGCTTTGTCTGTCTGTCTTTATTTAATTCATCTCTTTATTTCCTGTCAGCCCTACCACATCGTCGATTTCATATTAGCAGACAACGCCTTTGTTCACATATCCACAGATATACCCCCAACTTTACAATACGCAACTCATTCCCTCGATCCAACCTTCATTCGCATTTACCAAAGACATAAAAAAAAAGCCATAGGACCATATTGACTATCAACGACCTTCCTCAACATGAACTATCAGCTACAAACATCACCCGCCCAGCTTCTCAGACACCTACGGCACACACAAGGTAAAGAATTAAGTTTTGTATCATCAACGTATTTGAATTTGATCCTACCATCCCCTACTTTTTATAACATCTCCTGCTCGATACTGCCATTCTCACACTACAGATCAAGATGAGGAACAGTTCTCCGATTTCACTGCAGAGAGGACCAGGTCCTCTTCAGTGGTCTTTGCAGGCCAGAAACCTTTTTTTCATTCACAAGTTCAGCGTACCCCGCTTTCCCCAGCCGCCCAGTCAAGCCAATCCATATCTTTACGGGCAAAGAAGCAGCTAGATCTGACTCGAGAGGGATCCCCGTTCATAGGAATTGAGATGAGCTCTCCGACGATCAGTGAGAGCTCTGGATTGGGACCGTGTCCACAAGTACACCTTTACGAGCCATCGCATCGGCAGCGAGCACAACGACAACAGCAGGATGGTCGCTTCCAGCAGGGGACAGGACATCGTCGTCGATCGACAGTTCAGTTTGAGGCAACAGCAATAACTGACCATGAGCATGACCGTTACCATCACCACCATAATATGAACAACTCTACTGCAGTCAAGCAGCGTAATAACCTATATAATGATCATCAAGCTAGTACGCAGTTGGAGGATAGTGTGGACAGCTTGACTGTGAATGCAGTGCCCTCGACTAGTGCGAGTAGAACTGATGTGAAATTATACCCAGCCGTTACCATCACTCGGTCGACCACCGTCATTAGCGCCACGAGTCACAATGGGAGAACGAAGCTGACGCGCCGACTGTCGTATTTGGCACATGCGGGGGACCTAGAGGACGGGGCGGAGCAGAACATCGTAGTAGAGGGTCCTGACCAAGTTCTAAACAATCTCCCTGAAGCCAAGGGAAATTCCCCTGGTGGTAAGGAATACTTCTTGTCCACGAAGAATCACCCTCAGCGACAGTCTCCGCAGTCTGCTGTTTCTCCTGCACACCGCTCTGGCGGTCCAAAGTCGAGGCTGTTCCAGGACATGAATGCCACAGGTCCAGTGCCAATCCCCAAGTTGTATAGGCGCTTGCTTCAAGTGTTTAGACCTCCTTTAGAGTCTTTAGATTTTGATTCCGGTGTCCCTTCTGCAGATCCCATTGCTTCTGTCGTGAACAGGTCCCAAACACATGGTCCTTTAGGTCTTCCATCGAGATCTCAGAATAACAACAACAACAATGACAGCAGTAATAACTGTGGTAGCCTTAGGACCCTGCCTCCTAACCAAAAGCCCTCCATCGATCGAGCTCGGATTTCTTCATCTGCTGCTGCTGCTGCGCCCAACACAAAGGTCACATCGCCTATTCACAGACCACCCGAATCGACCGGGTTCCGGGTACGGTTCCTTAAAAAGTTAATGTCATCGCCCAACTTGAACACAGTTGTCCATCCAATGGCTGTCGCCCCTGACGTCGCAGCCCCAGGTCCATGCGTTGAGTTTGTGCCAGCACAGGTCCCGCCCCTGCCGTACTCGGCCTATCCGACATTGACATCGGACTTTGAGCACGAACACTCTTGCCCCGTGAGCCAGCGGATTCAGGAACGATGCAATGGAGGACGGCCGAGTGCGGTGAGGTTACCTAGGGAGCCGGCGCGTACGCCGACGTTGCAATCAAAGTACGGTGTTCCGGGTCGTGAGCTGGGCGCGGGTACGCAGGCGCAGGTGATGCTATTGCGAGCAAAGTCGCCCAAGAAGCTCAAGGGCGCTGTCATAACGACTGCATCAATTGAGAGACCCACGTCTGCTGACCTCCGACCGGAAGACGCGTTCTTGAGTCCGCGGCTGTCTTCAGGGATGATGACGATGACGACAGAAGATGAGGTCACGCCGGAGCAGAGGGAGGCCTACAGGAGGAGACTCCTCCAGAGGACGAACACGGACCAGTTGCCGGTGAATGCTCAGGGGGGATTGATCTATGCGATCAAGAAGTTCAGACCGCCCAAGGCTACAGAGACACATCGACAGTATTTGAAGAAGGTCTGTGCGGAGTTCTGCATCTCGACATCGATGGACCATGAGAACATCATCCGGACGATTGATTTAGTACGCGACCAGCCTGGGCAGGATCTCGACGACGACGACGATGATGATGGTGGCGATAACAACAGAGATAAAGTGGAGGAGCAGCAGGGGCGGAGGGGGCATTATGAAGGCATGGGTAGGAAGGCGGACGAACAGCGAAGGGATGATGATAAGGATTGCAGTTGTCCGAGGGAGCACCGGCGACGAGTTCGGGCGGTCGAGAGTGTGAGCGGATCGGGGATGAGATCTGGAGGGGATGATCGACAGCATACGGAGGCACCGTCGTATCCGACGGCTTTGAGGCACCCTCATCGATCTGTACCTCGAAGACCTGTGTCCGTCAGGGCCCAGCGACGACGATCTGTGGATTCGTCATCGAATCGAAGTAGCGTTATCGGAGCCCAGGATGACTATGAAGGACAATACGGGTATAGACACACACAGCATCTTTGCCATCACGCTCACCATCATCGCGACTGCCGTCGCCAGCAAGCTCACCATCACTTCCAGAACAAGCAGCAGGCCGAGGTGGCCGTGACGGCGGCGACCAAGAAAATGAAAAAGAGGCAGCAGCAGCAACGGTTGGAGCAGGAGATGCGACGGAGGGAAGTCCAGCGGTTGAAGAAGCAGAGGCAGCTGGGGAAGAAGCAGCATGCGAAGCAATTGCGTCTGGAACAGTTCCCGGAATACTGTATGGTGATGGAATTTGCAGCGGGAGGAGATTTGTTCCAGCTGTTGACAAGGTCCTCTCCGCCGATCGGTCTACTGGAGAAGTATTGCCTGTGGAGGCAACTTGTGAATGGTGTGCAGCACATGCACAGCATGGGCGTTGCTGTAAGTCTGTGTTGTTATCGTTGTTTTAATTTTAATTTTATTTTTGTGTGTTTAACATGGGTCCTTTCTCTGTTTGTTAGCACCGCGATCTGAAGCCCGAGAACCTTTTGATCGATGCGACGGGCAGGATTCTGAAGATAACGGACTTTGGGATCGCGAATGTGTTCAAGTCCGTGGGCGACCCCAGTCCGTTGCCCTGCAGGGGCATCATCGGCAGCGGTAAGTTTTTCTCTATCCACTTTTCTCCTTCCCTCCCTCTCTTTATTATTTTTTTCCTCGTGTTTTATTCCTACAACAGCTTCCAACAGTGTCTTTTTTTTTTTTTTTTTTTTTTTTTTTTTTCGCTCTTCCAATAGAACCGTATATTGCCCCGGAAGAGTTCTACCAGGACGAATACGACCCCCGGGCTGTGGACGTATGGGCCTGCGGGATCATCTTTTACGTGATGTATTACTCAGCCATGCCCTGGGCACGCGCGGATCGCAAGAGTGATGCCCGGTTTGCGAAATTCGTCGGTAACATTGTCACACACCGATATGGGGAAACCCAACGAAGACTGCAGTTCGAGAGGCGACAGGCTCTGAACCGAAAAGTAGCATCCGCTTGTTCGTCATCGAGCTTACTGAGCACGGCGAGCTCGCAGAGTTCGCAGAGCGTGAGGTCGTCGCATTTCTCGACCTGGAGATCATCAGCTGCGGCTGTGGCTGCGAGTGCAGGCGTGAATGGGGAGGCAGTGCCCGGGAGAGCGTATGAAGTGGGTCAGCAGAAACACCAAGGGGCTGATAAGGTAGAGAGTCCGAGTTCTTCGGCCGTAGGATCGCCAGGTTCTTACCCTTCGTCGTCATCATCGTCGTCATCTTCAGCAGGGAAGTTTACTCCGAAACCCAACGAGGACACAGTGATGTCTGCGGTAGCAGTACCCCTGACGGCGTACAACACATTCGCATATAATGGGCATATTGGCGGGCACGAGTTCATTGACCGGATCGAGACGCCTGGGTGCAGGAGGGTGCTTTATGCGATTTTGGAGCCTGATGCGAGGAAGAGGTTGACGATCGAGCAGGTGGTGAGGGATGAATGGGTGAGGAGAATTAGGTATTGCACGGATAGCCCAATGAAGCAGGAGGAGCAGGCGTTGCTGTGTGGAAGTGCGGGAGCCAATCATTCGCATGCCGTGCCCAAGAAAGTTCGTACTTGAGTGAAGTGGATAATAGTGCGAATAAAAATAATGTCAATAACTCTCTCTCTCTCTGTTTTATTGCAAAAGACGAGCGCGTTTTCTTTTTATGTCCATGCAGCTATTTGAATGAATGCTTCGGATCGGTTGGGAGCATAAAGCTGGGCATAATAAAGGAAGTCGCCAAGGTGACCAAGCCAGCGGCCAGGGCTTCGTTCTCGGAAGTACCCTGAAACCCTTTCAGATGCACTGTCCGTGATTCTTTTGCGATATCGTCCAGGAAAAGTTTTGTCCGCTGCAGGCGCGTGTCAAGTCTGAGTGTTGCGACCCGACCGTCGTTCGCACCTTGTAGCAGGATCAGACCCGGAAGATGGATGGTACCTATGACATGGTCAGAGTTTTCTTCAAAGAGTTGTTGTTCTTGTTGTTGTTGTTGCTGCTGTCCTCTGTTGACATCTTGTTCTTCAGCTTCGACCCACGAGTCCGTAGAAGATATAGTCGATGCTGCTGTTGCTGTTGCTGTTGCTGTTGCTGTTGCTGTTGCTGTTGCTGTTGCTGTTGCTGTTGCTGTTGCTGTTGCTGTTTCTGTTGCTGTTTCTGTTGCTGCTTCTGCTGCCTCTGTTGATGCAGAGGTCTGGTCACTGTAGAGTACTTCAAGTGTGATATCACCCAGTGTGAGGGACAACTGGCTCGGATTAGGGATATCCAACAGCACCGTCATCTGCAACATATCCTGTTCTCGTTCCTGTCCCTCATGGATTTCTGACTTTACATCCTTCACATCCGTACACTTAATTCCCGGCAAGTTATTCAGCCCCCTCAAGGTCAAATCTGACAAGAAATCGACACCATTAAGCGCATGGACACCAAGGAGTCGTCCGAGCTTGAACTGGATATCGGCGGAACCCCTGATGGTGAAGGTGTGGTAAGACTGGGTAGTGAGGGCGGCGATGAAGGTACTGAAGGCGGTGTGGGACTCGGGGGGGATGTGGAGGGGGGAGAAGGAGATGGAGGAAGTGATTTGGCCGCGAGAGACGGATGCAGGCGTGAAGGGTGAGTATAAAGAGCCGAGGTGCTCGCCCTTGTCCTGAAGAAGGAAAAAAAAATAAAAAGAGGCGCGAGAGGAATGGGCGGTGAGAGAAGGTGAGTAGTGAGCAAAATCGATCTTTGTAGGAAAGAAGAGTCTCATGAAAGTATGGCATGCGATTTCCATGGTACCTGAACAAGGACCTAGAGGAAAGATCGATTAGCGTTAATTTTTTTTTTCTTTGTACACTCTACACCGCATCGTACTACATGGTAGTATTCATTTTCCGCGGTGAATGACATGTGAATTGTAAAAAGTGTTGGTTCTTACCGTGAGTTGGACCTGCTGGATGGGCCAGGTGAACCCGGGGATGTGGGTGAGACGGGCGACGAGGCGGTCGGAGGAGAGGGTCGAGGTCCAGTGGTCGGGGCCAGTGAAGTCAATGGCCATGTCCTCGAGGTCGATGTGCTTGACCACACTCAGGTCGAACCGTTGACGGATCTTTTCCAGCACCATGTCGGTGTATCTGGTGAGTCTCCTATGCCTAGGGTGAGAAGAGGGAAGTAGGGGAGAGGAGATATATGTTTGTGTGCGTGTGTGTGTGTGAGAAAGGAAAGAGGGAGAGAGAAAGACAGGGATGCACGACGATGATGACATGTCTCTTTCTTAATCTCTCGGCGAAAAACAATAATTTCCTCTTTTGCTCAGCCCTGGTCTGTCTGGGTACCAGCACCACCATCAGCATCATCACTAGTGTCACTATCAGTATCACTACCCCAGGCGCGGCGCTGTGTCTGTGTAATTGTGTTTAGAGTATCCATGGGCATAGAGCACAGCAGTAGATCCACACAAACACACGCATATGTCCATAGTATTCAAATACCCCTCCGGAAGATCGACATTGCTAGCGTAGCTGGCGACAATACGCTCAAGGTTGTCTTTTGAATCGAACGTCTACACTCCATTGGGCCATATTGGGATCAAGTCCGTCCGCAGAGGAGTGTGATCTCCCTCAGGGCTCCTCTAGGGAGCTGGGGGGAAGAAATCGAGAGTAACCACTGTTTCCCAAGAGAGAGTGGGGAGGAGGTGTGCAGTCAGCATAGGGATGGACATGCTGGCAGCATGGGCTTTCATCCCTCGCATTCACTTCCTGGCTCGTCGTTTGAGTTTAAGCAGCCTGAGCTGAGCGCATTTAGTTTTGCCCGCAATTAATATCCTCAGTCCTCAGTCGTCCTCTCCGCAACTCCAAAAAGGCGCCTCCCCCTATTGGTTTCTCTTTCTTTCATCATCACTCCCCGGTGCACACACTCCATCTTTCCTCTCACCCTATCATCACCCTCTCTGTCCGCCACATCCTCTTCATCCTCATCCTCATCTCCCTCATCTCCATATTCTTCTCCATCCTCATCACTCTCCGCCGTCTCGACTCCGCCCCGCTATCGATCGATTTATTCACACACCGTGCAAGAGAAAGAAGAGCGAGGTAGGTACCGTCCATGCCTCTCATGTCCCATTTACCATCATCTCCCCATCTCCTCCATCTATTCCTCATCTCCCTTGTCCTACTCCCACTGGAGCCGCTGTCCTCGTGATTCGAGCCTGATCAGCCAAACAGCGCAGTCTCATCATCTTGCTTGGCAGCCTGCATCCTTTTACACTATATCGCCCTCTTCCGTTGTCTAGTGAGTCAGAGAAGGGTGATGTGTGCCAGGAACCCAGCGTTCCTTACACACACACAAAGAAAAGAAGAATCGACACTGCAGCCGCATTATATCCATCGTACACAATTGGCCATGTGTCAGATCCTAATTGTCCCACGGAATGAACGCGTTCGCTTGCCCCTCCCCCGCTCCGTCTCTCTTTGCAGCTCTTTCTGTCCCACATCGACAATAACAACAATCCAAACATCCGTCCTATCTTCGAATTCACGCCTATCTGTCTTGTCTATGTGTCTGTGTGTGTCTATCTCCATGAATATGTGTGTATATATATGTATATGTGTGTGTGTGTGTGTGCTCGCTTCGCGTTTCCCATTTTGCTAACGAACCATCGCGGATCATCTTTCTTAGGCAGCGGCGATAGACTTTATTATATTTTGAACAACGCCCAAATCATCTAGCTCTTCTCTTCAATGGCGCATCCCGTCCGAGGAAGTTCACGTACGAACGAGAGCAATGCTCCTCACCCCCAGCTCGTGCTCACACCCCTGCCGCCTCGGGAAAACTACCAGCCAAATGTCGTCTCATACGACCCCTACGAGACCGATTATTCAGAAAGCCCTCATCCGCTCAACCCGCACGCTGGCGGTGTTCCTCCCCAGGGCTGGGACCACCAATCTCCTCATCTCAACAGGAGTAACACCCTCTCGCCCACCACTGCTTCTGGAGACGATATCAGGAGCGACTCGGCTTATGCCACCCCGTCCGCACCACAGCTCGATCTGGATCTGGGAGCGCTCTCGCTGGACGATAACCCCAATAACACTCAACAGGACGATTCTTCCTCGGCCGCCGATCTGAACTCACTACCCATCCGGCTTCCGGAGCAAGAGTCCAAGCAACCCTTAGAGAGATCTGGATATGCAGACGATACGCGTTACTCTGGCTCGGATCAAGGTCATCCACCTACAGAGTCCTTCGACGCCGGAATCGAACTGAACCAGCAAGGCGACGACCAAGCTTCTCCTTCAAGGACCGCCAGCGTTGACTCGGGCCACTCGGCCGTTCGCGCCTATGCGGCTGCAAACCCGAACGCCCCAACCTACTCGGAGTCATCAAGCCATGGTGCCGGAGCCTATGGTGCCCCTCAGCCCGGTTATGGAGGCGGTCAGGATTATGGATACGGTGGAGAATACCAGCACCCCCACCAGCGACCGCCATTCAGGGGCCCTCCTCAGCCCTATGGTCAATACCCACCACATCAGCAAGGCTACCCGGGGGGACCTGGATATGGCAACGGATACCAACAGGGATACCAGGATGTGCAGTATGATCAGTATGGACAACCCTATGCCGGATCAGAGTATGGAGGAGATTATTATCAGGATCCACAATACCAGCAAGGAGGATATGGTGGTGGATACCCTGGTGGACCTGGTAGCGGATACGACTATGGCGGTGGATACCGTCCTCAGGGCCCGGGCTATGGTGGCCCTCCTCAGCAGTACTATGGAGGACCTGGTGGACCTGGTGGTCCGGGTGGCCCTGGAGGTCCTGGTGGGCCTGGAGGTCCTGGTGGCGCCAATCTGCACTCATCACCCTCGATGCGTGGCCCACCACCTAGTCGTGGCGGCAGTGGACCAAGACCCATGGGACCCGGCGGATACGGTGCACGTCCGCCTCATCGCGGTGAGTCTGGCAGCAGCGTGGCCTCTGGACGTGCGCCCGCGCCCGCGCCCAAGAAGCGGCCATTGACGATCGAGCTATTAGACGAGATGCGCCAGCGTGCGAAGAACAGCAATGATCCGGCAGCACAGCTGGAGTATGCGAAGGCATTGATCGAGGCAGCGGTGACGTTCGGTAACGATGATCCGGATCCGAAGCGGCAAAAGAAGAACAAGGAGGCGCTCTTTATGGAGGGACTGAAGATCATCAAGCGTCTGGCGACGACGGGCATGGGCGTCGGCAAACCTGCGTACCCGGACGCACAGTTCTTTTTGGCGAACTGTTACGGCAACGGATCATTGGGTCTGCAGATCGATCATGACAAGGCCTTCAATTTGTATATCCAGGCCTCGAAACAAAACCATCCGGCTGCGACGTACAGGACCGCGGTGTGCCATGAGCTCGGAGCGGGCACGAAGCGTGATCATAGTCGAGCGGTGCAGTTCTACCGCAAGGCGGCCTCGTTGGGTGATACGGCCGCGATGTACAAACTGGGAATGGTGATACTGAAGGGATTGTTGGGTCAACAGAGTAACCCACGCGAGGCGATTACGTGGCTCAAGCGAGCGGCGGCGAATGCAGATGAGGACAACCCACATGCGTTGCATGAGCTCGGTCTGTGCTTCGAAAAGGCTGGTATTCCGTCGGTGATCCCGGATGAGGCCTACTCGAGGGAGCTGTTCACACAGGCGGCCGGGTATGGGTATGCGCCAAGTCAGTTCAAGCTGGGACATTGCTATGAATATGGACTGTTGACGTGTCCAGTGGACCCGAGGAGGAGTATTGCCTGGTACACGCGGGCGGCAGAACAGGGCGATGCGGAAAGTGAGCTCGGGCTATCGGGTTGGTACCTGACGGGATCTGAGGGGGTGTTGAAGCAGAGCGATACGGAAGCGTACCTGTGGGCGCGCAAGGCTGCAGATAAGGGACTTGCACGCGCGGAATATGCCGTCGGATACTACTCTGAGGTAAGCAAAGCGTCTTTTTACTTGCCTGATGCGTATTCTCTTTATTTACTTTTATTTTTTGCAAGTTGTTGTACATTCATGGAAAGAACTGATCAACGAACGTTGCTTTTCTTTTTTTTTATCATTATTATTAGGTCGGAATTGGTGTGAAGCAGGATCTGGAGGAAGCGAGGCGGTGGTACTTGCGGTCGGCTGCACAGGGCAACGGACGTGCAAAGAAGCGATTGACGGACATGAAGAAACTGGGAGCGATGCGTCGAGTGCGTCCGGAGCGTGGTCGTCAGAACGGACAGCAAGGTCCCGAGGATGAAAACTGCAAAGTGATGTAGAAAAAAGACACAGCATGGACAATTTTTTTTTTTTGCCAGTTTTACTTCTTTTTGTTTGTTTGTTTGTTTTTGTCTGCTAGCAAAAATCGTTTTTTTTTTTTTTTATTACGATAGTATTTTACGCTTTTAATGATAATAAAACTCGAGAAAAGACCAAAGACAAAGGAAGGATGCATTTACACAAGAAGGAGAGAAGAGGATAGAGCAAAGGATAATAAAAAAAAACTTGTGATACAAAGGAAAACGCGATGCTTTCGATTTCTTGAAGAATATGTATGAAATTGCGATTCCTACTGCATTACCCCTATTGTTCTTATGGTTTCTTTCACGAGAAGCAAATAGTGCTTGACTGATGATGCTATGCAGGCGGACGCTGCAGTCCGAACCAAAGTTTGTAAGGCGTGGGCTCGATGACTTTGCCGTCAATCAGGATATCATATTTGAGTGGTAATTTCCAAGGCTTCTGGATGATCGTCAGGCAGAATTCCTCATGATCCAATTCCACCCTCGTCGTTTCTGTTTTTGTTGTAGGTGTCAAAGGTCGCGCCTCTGTTGTCCCTGATAGCGCCGGTGCTGGTGCTGGCTCTAGTGCTGGTGGAGATACGATGGTCGCCCATAGGATGTCCTAACGAAAAATGAAAGGAACGAAAGGGAGTGGTTCTTTTGTCAGAGCAGCCGCAAAAGGGAGGGCACGTTCGTGTAAAGGACTTTATCGTGATTATGGACTTAGTACCTGTAGCAGCTTTTGTGCTTTTGGACTGAGTTCCGGCATCTGGATACTTTCCTCTTCGTCACTGCTGTCGTCGCCATTGCCACCATTGCTGCTTGGAAATTACGTGTGAGCCCATGTTCGAGGGTCCTGTCCTGCATCTACATAGACAGGAATCGAGGGTCAGTTGATGGCTTACCTGAAGAATGTCCGGACCTGGGTGATTCGCGAACCGACTCGGACGAGTGTTGTTCCAGGAAAGTCAAATGAGTTCATGAGGGATGAGAAGGAACGACGAAGGCGGCGAGTGGGTAATGGCGATGGTGTTCAAGAAATGAAAAGAAAGGAGGGCACGATGTGCTTTGCCACCAAATAAAAACGTAAGCCGTGAATATTTTCTAGCGGCCTATGGGATCCGTCAGTATCCGTATGCCTTGTTATTATTCCTATATGCTTTTTTGCTGTGCCTTGTCGCGTCTACAAGATAGCACCTGCGACTACGCCCATTCGTCTTTCTCTCCCTCTCTTCTTCTACCACAACTTACCTTCCACACTTCTTCTTCGCACTATGGTCAATTGGTCAAATATCCCCTTCGGCGTCCTAATCCTCATCGTAGGCGGGCCCGTCAAGTCCGTCGTCATCAACACCACCTTGAACGAACCCATCTCCGTCATCTTCGGGCGCATCTCCCTCGCACTCCGCGAAGACTTAACCGAGATTTATGTGCGCACTCTGTTCATCAATGGCATCCCTATACACGATGAGAATAAGCCCCTGTCGTTCCATCGCGTCTTTGGCAACGTTATCACCTACCGCGCAATCAAGCCCAGAACTTGTCCTCTCCTTGTTAAAACCCTTGACGGTAACATCCTCCCCTTCAATTGCAACCCTAACGTCTCCACTGCATATGTCAAGAGTCTGATCAGGGGAGAAACCGGCATACCTCAGGAACTCTTTAAACTATATTCCTTGGAGAAGGAGCTTCAGGACTCCGATAATATCCAGAACGGCGCCTTGGCCATGTTTCCTCAAGTGCTTGTAAACGGTCCCTGCGGCACCTCAGACGCGAGGCCCGTGGGTACGTTCGAGCCAGTGGATATGCAGATGAAACTGCTCACAAACACCGCTCCACCAGGACGCAATGTTGGACGAGGAACAAATGTTGAGTGCTGGTGCAATTGTACCTCTGAATACCCAGTGATTTGCCCGCAGTTCCTTGGGCAGACTGAGGTATCCCAAAGGAAGTTTCGATGCCCGGTCTGCAACCAAGAGGACGGGCGCCCCATCACGGCGGGATTCGTGGACTGCAAGTATCGGGTCCATGGGATCAAGGATACAGGAGAACAGTATACCTCTGACTGGAAGATCGTCAGGCCTGAGGATTGCTATGAGCTGTTTGATTCCGGCGATCAGATAAAGTGGCAGCGGCTGATTATTGAGAGTGCGAGGGTCGATGACCTTGACAAGTGCTTGATTTGTCTGGAACCGATGGCCGAGACACTGGCGTATGGATGTACGCACAGGCTTCACATGAGGTGCTCTGGCTCACAGCAGGGGAAGTGTCCGCTGTGCGAGCACAATACGACTTTGGTGAAGGGCTGTATCGTCCCTTGAAACGCGTTTGCAGATTTACTTCGCTTTTGATGTTGCCTGAAATAAAATATAAAAAAGATATCGCTTGTTCCAGGGTTCGTGTGTTTGTACATCAAAGTCAACAGTTTTTCCACCTCACGTGAAAAAGACTCAATTCACTCTTTCTCTTTTTACCATGTCTCACGGGGCCAACCTTCAACAGACATAGGCCCAGCCACGCCTAATTTCTCTCGTTCTCGATCTACTGCGTATCTGGACGCCTTCCCTTGGCCCCCGTTTTCCATGGATGACTCAGAACTGTTCGATGACTTCCTGGGTTGCTTTTAATGGCCATTCAAGCTCAAAACACATCCCGTCTATCCTCAAACTCGATTGCTTCCGTCGTTGCCTCAAGAGTATCAACTTCAGCCGTTTCCGTAATTCGTAAGCTTTCGACAGTTGTGATTATGGCTTCGGGATCGCACGTCATTGTCCTTTGCCGAGGACGATCGGTGCTTTCGCCTCGTCCATGCGTCGTACGCTGAAATCGCTCAAAAAACACGACCAACCCTATCCATGCCTACCTCGGTGCGCTTCTAACACTCAATGGCTATTACACACGTCCTCAAGTAGAAACACTCCTTCTGATGTTTCCTTAAGACCATCTCACTCCGGACCACCGGTGCCACGAAGCCGTTATTTATACAATGAAGGTAGGTGCCGGCGACTCTGCCAAAAAATTTACTAGCCGAATGGGCAGACTATTTATCGCTTGACCCCAAAGGTCCAGTACTGCAAATACTGTGGCGGTGCTACACTCAGTATCCTATGCGTTCCATCCAAGCAGAGAGCCTGCTAATGTCGGAACCTTACTTTTCAACAAGGTATGTACGGATGAGTGTGAGAACAGCATGAGTTTATGTGGAATCGATAAACACGGCGCGGGAGTTAAGAGTGCTGTACGGCATGGCAATAGACACTTACTTGGTCGATGTTATCGTAGGTTAAAAGTGCATCTCACAGGAAGAGTTTCTCCAGAACGACACTTCTGTGAAGGCGGTGCTAAAAAATCTATCCCTCGCTCTCCCTCTCCCATCTACCAGCAAACATCTCCATAGCCAGCGAAAATCAATGGCTACTTCCACCGACGACGTCATCGCCGACGAGCCCGGCAAGTTCATCTCCGTTCGATCTCAGCCTCACGAACCCATCTTTATGCTCCTCGAGCGTATCGTCCAGGCCCTTCAAGAGGACGACCCCACGACCTACCAACGCTCACTCGCAATCAACGGGATCCCTCTCAACGACTTGGAACAGCCCCTGTTCGAGTACATCATCCACGGAGGCGGTCTGGCCTATCACTCCCTGAAGAAGGGCACACAGCTGCGGATCAATGTCAAAACACTGACTGGCAAGACCCTTGAGTTCAACGTCAATTATCGATACTCTATCATGTGGATCACGATCATGATCCAGAAAAAGGAAGGGATCCCCCCAAAATATTAGAGATTTGCCTTTGCGGGACAGCAACTCCAGGACCCGAATACCATACAGGACTAGAATATCATTGAAGGATCCACCGTGCATTTGGTGCTATCCCTGTGCGGCGGTGGTGGTGCTGGTCCAGCCCTGGGGATCGAGTTCGCGGATGTGTCGAACAGAACTGGGGTGATGAACCTGCAGTTTTCGGAGGATGCACCTCAGGGACGGACAGCAGGATATGGGACTAATATAGAGTGCAAGTGCAGTTGCACGCCTAGATATCGAGTTATCTGTATTGAAAATTTCAGGAGGATCGAGCTCTCGCGCAAGACGTTTCAATGCCCGAACTGCTGGATGGCCGGCGGCAGAATTGTACCGATAACGGTTGGGTTTTCGAATTACAAGTACAGGTTCTATGGGATCAAGTCAGCGACGGGGATGCAGTATACCTCTGACCAGAAAATCGTAACATTCGAGGATGGATACGAGCTTTTCGATGTCGATAACCAGACCACTTGGAGGAGACTGGTGATTGAGAGCGCGAGGACAGATGGTTGTGAGGATTGTGCGATTTGTCTAGAGCCAATGAGTGCGATGCAGGCGTTGGGTTGTGGACATCGGTTCCATGGCGCGTGTTGTGATGGCTGGAAGAGATCATGTCCGTTGTGTAGATTTAACAGACATTTGGTCAATATCAGTCCGACTTTAATGCAATAAAACAAACCACTCCACCTCAGTTTCCTGAAGAGCACGACGCGTCCGCGGCCCCCCTCGCAACTCCTTAAAAATTTATATTTCAAAAAATGAGTGAGGCATCAAGTGTTCGCCCAAGGTTCTTTCCCAATCACAATAGAACCTGGAAGGTCAATTGTATTGAACCGCATATTCGGTAGAAACGTGGTTGAAAATGGCGAAGCATAAGGAAGGAAGTGTGTTTCGGGGGGAACGGGAAGAAGTGCGTATACAGCATTCATTCGTGTAATTGAAAGGTTACCATCATGCAAACCCCTTCCCGCTGTCCTGTATTTTCCACTTCACATCTCATCGCCATCTTCTTTGCTCCACCCTTCCTTCCTTCTTTCACACTCGTTCTCACCACCGCCCCCAATGTCCGCTACATCCGTCGAAGTCCTTATCGCTACCGTGCCTGGCAAGTCCATCTCCGTGCGCTCCCACCCTCACGAGCCTGTCTTCTTCCTCCTTCAACGCATCTCCCATCTCCTCTCCGAGGCCACGACCACGACATACGCGCGCTCCCTCTTCATCAATGGGGTCCCTATGAAGGACCTCCAGCAACCCCTTTCGTTCTACCGAATCTACGGCAATGGCCTCACCTATCTCTCCCTCAAACCGTCAGAATCCCAGTTCTTTGTCCGAACACTCACGGACAAAACTCTAGTCCTGCCCTACAAGGCCCTGCGCTCCATCGAGAGCATCAAGGTCGTGATTGAGGAGAAAACTGGAATTCTTGCGCAGGATCAAAGACTCATTTTTTCGGGTAAGCAACTTGAAGACTGGAGAACTCTTCAGGACTACAGAATCTTGTTCGGATCGACACTTCATTTGGTGCTTAGTTTGCGAGGCGGTGGCCCACCTGCGGTCTCGGGGGTGTTGTTTGCGGACGTATCCGATACGAAGAACGTCCGCAACATTCAGTTCTCGGATAGGGCTCCTCGGGGACGCGCTGTGGACAACGGAACCAACGTCGAGTGCCGATGCAGTTGTACTCCCAAGTACAGAGTGATCTGTCCGAAGGGCACCGGGATGCTCGAACTCTCGCGCTCGACTTTCTGTTGCCCAAATTGTAAACAAGAAAACGAACGGGTTGTTCCTGTCACGGTTGGGTTCTCGAACTGCAAGTACAGGTTCCATGGGATCAAGTCAGCGACGGGGGAGCAGTATACTTCTGATTGGAAGTATGTGAGGTCCGAGGCCGGGTATGAGGTGTTCGATGCGGGGAACCAGACGACTTGGAGGAGGTTGGTGATCGAGAGCGCAAAGATGGATGAATGCGAGGATTGTACGATTTGTTTGGAGCCAATGAGGAATGTGAAGCCGCTGGGATGTGGACACAGGTTCCATGGAGAGTGTTATGCGGCCTGGATGGGGTCGTGTCCGCTGTGCAGGTTCAATGCACATTTGATTGACGGCACTGCAGCTTGAAGGAGCAAACGCCAAGGAAATAGATAGTGCGTATTACGCTCGCTTGTTTGTCCCAGGGGGGTGGGGGTTCCTTCAAGGGAACGAAGTATAAAGATACGTCTCGGGAGAACAAATGGGACATCGCACTGTTCGTCATGCAGTACCTCGGCAGAGTAGCATCCACAGGTCCTGCGTCGTCTACATAAAACCTGCCGTTGTTTCTTTCGTCTCTACTCATCCACTGTGCATTGGCGCTCGCCTCTTTCACCTCCAACCACAATCATTTTCGCCGCTGCTACTAATGTCTGCCTCCAGTCTTGCCGTTCTCATCGCTGCCGAGCCTGGCAAGTCCATCTCCGTGCGCTCCCGGCCGAACGAGCCCGTCTTCTTCTTCCTGTTGTGCATCTCACACGCGTTCCAGGAGGACGAAATCACCGCCCACAGACGTTTCCTGTAAGTCAACGGCATCCTTATCAACGACCTAAAGGAGTCTCTGTCCGATTACTCGATCTTCGGCAGCATTCTTACTTATCAATCCTTGAAGCCGGGCCAAAGCCTGACACGAGCCCTGAGCGTTTAGCCAAAAACATTTAGCGCTTCTCCAGTCGAGGTTCAAACCAAGAGTACATGGAGAGAGCTAGTCCGAGAGGTGTTATTAACAGGTCTGTTGGTGGCAAGTGCCTTGGCGACAGGTGGCTTGGTAACAAACTGCACCATGGCAAGTGTCTCTGTAGGGACGGTGTTCCCCGACATCTCTAACAGTACAGGTCTGCTTCATCGCAAGTCATCGCCTTCAGCTCCACGAGGACGCAAGGTATCTTACGGGACCAACGTTGAATGTCAATGCGACTGCACGTCCGGGTACCGAGTCATCTGCCCGCGAGAATTTGGCCAATTCGAATTGGCGTGCACTACCTTCCAATGTCCCAATTGCAAGGAACAGAAAGTGGGGGTCGTTCCTGTTACCGTCGGCTTCACGAAATGCAAGTACCGCTTCCACGGAATCAAGGCTTCAAAGGAGCAGTATACATCAGAGTAGAAGGTTGTGGACCCTAAAGCAGATTACGAGGTGTACGACTCCGGCAACCAGACAACCTAGGAACGTTTATTGATAGAATCGACCGATGTGGACAAGTGCGATGTCTGCGTGTACTGCCTGGAGCCCATAGAATGCTCGGTGGTGCTGGAATGTGAACATCGGCTCCATAAGAAGTGCTCTGAGGCGCGGAGTCTTCCGTGCCCGAAATGCCTCTTCTTGACGAGCCCGTCTAAGGACATACCGGTTTGATACGGCGCTGGAGGTCATAACTGACGCGTTTTTCAATTCGCGATCGTCGTTATATTTTTATACACAGCTTTTAGTCAAGATTAGAATCGCTGTGCATCAAATTGGTTCTCAAAGAAGTGCTCTTTTTTCATATGACAGTCACAGATATTATATGAAGCTGCATGCGAAGTTGAGTGTGCTGTTGAACAAGGCACTCGGGGCTCATAATGTTGACCCCATTCGAAACCCCTTCCGCCTTCCGAAATTGACCATCCCTACTTTAATACTTAATATGACCTCCATTGTTGCGATAGAGCTTCTCCATACACCCGGGCATGTTTTCATACAACTCGTGCAGGAGATCGAGAGGGACCGCTGTCCATATGTCCTGAATACGCTCCCAGAGCTCTTCCATCGAACTTGGAGCCTCGGGATACTGGTCCAGCCGATGCTCAAGGTGCGCCCAAACGTGCTCGATAGGGTTGATGTCCGAGGAATTTGCGGGCCAATCCAAGAGTGTAACCTTGGATTTCTCAAAGAACTTCATGACTACGGCTGCTGTATGGATCCTGGTCGTGTCCTGCTGGAAAATAAATTTCTTCCGATTCATGCGATACCAATCTCGAGAAGCGAGAACGTACTCCTGGACCACATCCAAGTACACTGGCGCATTGACCTTTTCCTGAAGCCAACAAGCGTCGCCTACGCCATGATATGTCATGCAGCCCCAGATCATGAATTTTTCTCTTCTTCCGCCCTGCGTGGAATTCCGGACCTGCCCAGGCTGGGTGTTCTTCCTGTCGGGATCTTGACTACGGAGCATCCTGATGTTGTTGCTAATAATCTCAATCCTGCTGATAATCGTCTCATCCGAGAACATAACATGCTTCCAGTCATCGACGGTCCAGTTCAAATGTGCCTTGGCGAATTCATAGCGTGCTGCGATTTGACTCGAGGACAGATTGGGCTTCCTCGGTCGAAGAGTTGCTTTCAGACCCTGCTGCTCAAGATAGTTCCGGACTGTCTCTGGATGGACCTTGATTCCTAGTACCGATTGGATAAGTTGCTGGCCCTCGCGAAGGGTGGTAGCCTTCCCTGAGCGGAAATGGCGAGCAAGCAGAGCCTTGGTCTTCTTGGTGGCCTTTGATGGCCGGCCTATTTCCGCATTCGGGATATTTTCCTCGTCTGTTTGACGGATCCTGGAGACAGATGCGGCTGAGATCTGGAGAGACTTGGCGACTTGGCGGATGGATTCTCCGTTTCTAAGCCGGATCGTCGCATCCTTTACGGTCTGTTGTGGTAAAGGCCTCATTCTTGGCGGGTGTAAAAGTTTTTGAAAAAAGAAAAAAATATGGCTCGGGGTAGTTGAACAGGTCAGAGCGTTTAAAAATCCAATTTATACATTAAAAAAAATTATGTAAATGTTTCTGCTTATCCAGACTGAATCCACCAAGGAAGTTCCGCCGCATACAGCGCGTGATATAAACAGAAGCGAAAACGCCTTTACTCCATGTGCACTTTCCCGCCAGTGTTCTCATCCACCGTAAATGCACTTCTAGAGGACAGCACCGCACTTTTCGTCGTCAGTCCTCACTATTCGATCAAGTCAACTAAGATCATGGCCCAATAGTTGGAAGACATCCCTCCCCCCTCTTGATCAGCAGAGATTTATATTTGCAAGTAATCCTTCATACATTTGGGATTGCGTATGCGTGGTGGCAGTGGTTCCCTTCTCTCTCTGTGATGATGTTTGTGGACGTATCAAACACAAGCGGGTGTCGACAAAATCGAGTACGCTAACAAGACACCGTGTGGTCGCGTGGCAGTGCACGGATCGAACGTTGAGCGCATGTGCGAATTACAGGTACAGGGCGATCTATTCAGAGCATGAACGTCGTGCCAGCCATCGCAGGCTCTACCAGCTATAAGCACCGCCTTCATGGCACCAAGTTCACTACGGGGAAACAGTACATCTCTTCCTGGAGGATTATTGGATTAGAGAAATCTACAAGCAATTCGACGCTGGCAATCGGACCCACTTGGTGCCGCCCAGTGATTAAATCTGCAGACTTGACGGGTACCAACTGTGCCCGGTGTGCATTACCTTGGGATACTTTTGGTTGAGCCTAAATAAATATCGTTTCCATACAAGTGTATCTTCTCGCTGAATGGAAATTGGTGGCGCAAAAAGTACGAGGAGTACATGAACGTAAATCGTCATGTGCTCAGCGGGATGAGTAGATGTTCAGTTGATCTGATCGAATCCTTGTCTAGCAATCTCTTGAATCTCTTTTTTTTTTCAGATTGCAGCTAGCTGACTAGAAGGTCTTTCCAAGCTTTATCATTTGGGTCCTTAGTTTGATAAAGAAGCATCGTTGTGCAGAAGGACCGTAATTGCTCGCATGGGGGGGAGAACCAGAATTACACTCCATATTTGGACACAATTGCGTTCCCACACTGCCGGGAGCATTTTGGGATAGGGCCGAGTATTCTATTTTGCCAGACGTTTTCCATGTTCATCCCTAATCTCCATCTCTCCTCCTCTCCACTTTCTTCACGCCAAGTCCTTTATTCTCATCATGACCCCTACTGTTGCGCCATACGGTAAGTGCCGCCTGGTTTATTCCTCTTGCAGGCATCTCAGCCCCCCTGATTGTTGTTCCTGAAAAAAAAAAAAAAAAAAAAAAAAAGAATGAGCACTGCCGACATCTAGGGTCATCCCTTGGTGAACTGGTCGTGCATCACTTTTTCGTGGCGCCTATCTGAGAGCTGGCGCTATCTAATACACCGGTTCTTTACAGTGGCTAATGCGAATTAATTGACACGCATGGGTTCTCAGAGACGTGCCGACTATTTAGTGCTGGCGTTTTATTACGCAGTATACCCAGCACTTGATACTTCGTGGAGTGCCAGACACTTGGTGCCCAGGGCTTCATGGGTGCGGACCAAATTGGCTACGCGCGAAGTGACCATTTCGATATCACTCATGGAAAGACGTGTCCATGAAGCACAGCATGGATAGGGACCATAAGAATTAACTCTTGGTTTGACTAAAATACATATAGGCGAGTGGAAGTCACCCATCGACGTCAACTTCATCACGTCGTCCACCGTGAGCATCTCAAACTTGCTCAAGCACGAGGGTACAGGTGCCCTGTACTGGGGCGAGCTCAGCGGCGCTACCAATGGTCGCACTACCATTATGACTCGCAGTGCTGAGGGCGTCACCTCTGAACTCACACCGGAACCCTTCCATGCCCGCTCGCGTGTTCACGAATATGGTGGCGGCACCTTCACCCTTGGAAGCGACTTTCTCATCTCCAGCAATGATGTAGACTCGCGACTGTACAAGGTCAACTTGGCTACCAAGGAAACTACACCTTTGACACCCGAAAACAAGGCCTGGAGATACGCCGATATCGAGATTCATCCCTCGGAAAAGTTCTTGATCTGTGTGCGTGAGGATCACACCGAGGACACTCCCCAGACTGTGATCAACACCCTCGTCGTTGTCCGTCTTGATACCAAGGAACCCAATGTTGAGATCTTGGCCGAAGGCGCCGACTTTTATTCTGCCCCTCGCTTCAACCCAGCCAACCCCAGCGAGTTTGCGTATTACTCGTGGAATCACCCCTTCATGACCTGGGATCACACGCAGTTGTACTACAACCATCTCGACATCTCGGATGCTTCCATCAAGGTTGCATCCCAGACTCTCCTTGCTGGTGACGACAAGAACAATGAGGAGAGCACGAACCAGCCTCGCTTTGCAAAGGACGGAACTCTGTACTTTATCAATGACAAGACTGGATTCTGGAACCTGTACAGTTACAAGGCTGGGGGCAAACCGGAGCTCGTCCTCTCGCAACCAATGGAGGCAGAATTTCAAGGTACCGTCGATACTTCGGTTTCTATCTCTGTTGCCTTTTTTTTTTTTTTTTTTTTTTGTATTGCGCGAATAGGACGTTCTCAACCATGGTGCTAATTTACCGACTATTGTATTTGGTAGATCCTGCCTGGAGATTTGCCGGCAGATCATACTACCCGTTGAAGTCGGATTGTACCAAGATTGCGTGCTCCTATATCAAGAATGGTACGTATCATTTCAGCATGGATTCAAGACACAATGAATAGGACTACTTTTGTTCGCCCAATCTAAAAAAGGATGTCTTTATTTATTCTCCCAGGCGTCTACAACCTTGCGGTTATTGACGCCAAGACCAAGACCCTTCAGGATATCCCTACAGAGTTCCAGACCATCAAGTCCATTTACGCCTCTACGGATGGTCAGGACGACATTCTTCTCCTCGACGTTGGAAGCTATAATATCCCGGCACAGATCATCAGCTACAACCTGCACACCAGAGCCTACGAGGTTTTGATGAAGTCGAGCACCGTTGAGGTCCCCAAGGGTTGGATTTCCAAACCCGAGTCCTTGACCTTTAAGTCCACAGGTGGCCGCGGTACGAATGTCTGGTATCTTTTTCAGTTGATGATTTTATTTTGTGCTTAGTAAGGTTGGTTTGACTAATGCGAGATTCTATCATTTATTTCTTGTTTCCAGTGGCCTACGCGCTTTATTACCCACCTACGAACGCGGATTATGTTGCGCCTGAGGGAACTCTTCCTCCACTCCGCGTTTTGTCTCATGGTGGACCCACAGGAGCATATGCGTCCGACCTAAACTGGAGCATCAACTACTTCACCTCCCGTGGATTCGGATGCGTCGCTGTCAACTATGGTGGTTCGACCGGCTACGGCCGTGCGTTCCGCAACAGTCTGCGCACAAAGTGGGGAGTGATCGATGTGGATGATTGCAGTGCTGCTGCGACATACCTGGTCGAGAGAGGCGATGTCGATGGCAACAAGTTGGCGATCGTTGGCGGAAGTGCCGGTGGTTACAGCACATTGGCCTGCTTGGCGTTCAGGGACGTGTTCAAGGCTGGTGTGAGCCACTATGGCATCGGCGATCTCGAGGTCTTGGCTAAGGATACGCACAAGTTTGAGTTGCTTTACCCCGAGAGCTTGATTGGACCTTACCCAGCTGCACGGGATCTTTATCTGGAGAGATCGCCATTGTACTCTGCAGACAAGATTACGTGCCCTTGCGCGTTCTTCCAGGGAGCGGAAGATAAAGTTGTGCCTCCCAATCAGGCGGAGCTGATGGTCAATGCGCTCAAGAAGCGGGGCCTACCTGTGGCCTATGTACTCTTTGAGGGCGAGGGGCATGGTTTCCGCATCCCCAAGAACGTGAAGGCTGCGTTGCAGGGCGAGGTCAGCTTCCTGGGAAGAATCTTTGGGTTCACCCCATTTGATGCTGTACCGATCGATATCATCAACGAGGATGCCATTTCCAAGTGAAGGTCATCATCCTCTGCGAGGGGATCCTCTTTTTCTTGCCGAGAATTAAAAACGTAAAAAGTACATTTTGATCTATACAACTGTTTTTGTAGAGCACGACAGCCCATAGCATGGCAATTAATGAAGATGAGGAGACCGGTTTGACGCTGGACGCGGCACGGCTCGCGTGGCGCCTAAGCAGATTCTTCACCCTGAACAAAATCGGGGAGCGAAGGAGTCAAGGAGTACCAAGGACATGGCAGCATAGTATGAGCATCCACAGGCATCGCTCGTCCACTTTTCCTACTGCACCATTTTTGCTGATCGTCCCCATCGACAGTTCATCTCATCATTCCCATCCTGATCATCACCTCGCACCAACCCCCCTTTTCTCCACATGCCGCCACAGTATGAAGTGTCCGTTTGCTCAGTTCAAAGTAATCGAGTGCACTTTATTCGTTCTTGCACCTGGGCGCAGCCACCATTTTACTTATGGCCGTTATTTTTATTTTTGTTGGCCTGCTGCTGCTCACGACATGGTCACATTGTCTGCAAAACGGCGCCGTTCTTTTCCGGGATTATATTTGCCCATTCGCCTCGCTTTTTTTTTCTTTTTTGGTTAAACGGTTCTCTCTGCAGCCAGGCTGGGTGTTCACATAAATAGACTATAAAAAGAAAAAGGCTGCTGCTCAACAATCTCACCCTGCTTTTCTGTGTGTCTCTCCCAGCATAGAGCCTCTTGTTTGAAGTACAGCAGATGATTCCAAATCCTGTCCGTTGGCGCAAATCCATAACGCGCTCGCTCTTTTCTCTGTGCAGTCCCTTTCGTCTGAGAGCGCTCTCTTTCGATGTTTGTTCAACTTCTGGATGGGGATGGGGCCTCTATTTTTTATTTTTTTTTATCACGCACTGCCATGCAATTTTAAGGTTGCAAAAAAAAGCAATGGACCAATAGCATTGCTACTTATTCTTTCTCTCTCAATAATAAAAAGGGTTCTACACAGTGACTTGGCCCGAGCAAAGACACGAAGGTCCTTGCACGAAACATTGCCGGTGCATACAATACGTCCTGAAAGATGGCATCGATTACGCCGGTACGCCTTCGCGCTTCTTGAGCTTGACGATTTTAATGAAGCCGAGACGTACGCGGGTTGGAACATTCCTCGGACATCGTCCGCATAACGGCTCTACCCTTTTTCATGAATATCTTTGCCAAACGAAAAATAAAAAATAAAAAAAAGGTCTTCCCTTCCGAGCAGAATTCGTGAGAATCCACCAGGAGAACGTTGTTGAACGCAAACGCCTTTCATTCTTTTGTATATACCAAAGTTCAATAACCCCTTAAATGGGCATGGTAGCATAAACCTGTTTAACGACAGAAGGAGCTCCTTGAAAATCGTTCATCGTTATGGGGTTTTAGAGAGAAGAAAGAGGAGGAAGAGGGGAGGGGGGGGGGGAAAGGCTCGCTGCTGTTGTTGCCTTAGTGTTGACCTAGCATGGCTAGTGTGCTTGCTGCGGGGACTCAAAAAGGGAATTGGCACCGGCAAGATAATGAATGCGGAGTGGGATCTGGGAGGGGGAAAGAGGGAGGCGAAAGTACGGGGTTAGGTAGCCAGTTCGTGGGCGCGTTGGTGATGCCGAGAGCACAGGTTGGGAGCTCCTCCCGCATTCGCGTATTCATGCACGATCCGTGGCTGCGTATGCTCGTATGCTCCCTTTGAGCATACACTGCCGGTCTTCTTTCATTTGTCCTTTCTCTCTTTCTTTCATTCATTTGCTATCCACCTGCCCGCTTATTCTTGAAGATACTTACCTTACGACCGCTTAAAAAACTCGCTCTGACACCGCAAAAAGAACCTCTACTCTCTCTTTCTTTCCTCCTTTCGCTTTGCTTTTTCATTCTCGCTAATCCCTTTCGCGTGATCGTCATTCTCTACCGTTTCTGTCTCCTCGCGGACGTTAAGTAGGTACTGCACCCTATCATCATCCTTCACTAACCCCTCGTGACAACCTCCTCACCACGCTCTCTTCGTTGCTGAGGACCTCGCATTTTCATTTCTCATTTCTGGGGGTATGTGCATGGTCCTTGATGCTGTTCCTTTCTCCATCTCGTTCTTATTGATCAATCTCTAAATTCCCTTGGCACTTCCATGACCGTACCTGGGTACATCCGTTGTGCGTCTTTTGGACTAGGGCTCGCGCTCACTCTCTGTTACACCGCGTTTGCATACTAGAGAGTTTAAAAGAAACTGAACACCTTCGATATTACACATCAGTCAGAGAACGTAGCATCAGCACTACCGCCATCACAACAACAACCAACAAGTACATTGGACCAATCAAATTCATCTTTGGGTCCATAAAAAAGTCGGCACGACCAGTCCCATTCCTTAGAGCGGCGCTGTCAAGTCGTTTTCGAGCAATATACAAAGAATACACGAGCAGGACACCATGAAGACTACAACCTCGGGTCGCGCCTTTGCCAAGGTGAGTCTTGACCATATCTTCGTTGTCTTTATGGGCACATCCAGGTTGAGAACGATGGTCTTCGGTCTGGAGCCATACACAAAAGGCTCTAGTAATTTCTCCTTGCATTAGCTTTATGCAGTTTTTCTCTCCATGGCTTTCATCTTTTGAGGCCGACTTTACGCTTTTGGCGCCTGTCCACATCGAATGCGAAACACTACGGCAAGGACTCTTATTTCTCTGCAAGGGCACGGTGCATGAATAGCTATGTGTAACATGCGCCGCATAGGACACGAGGCCCAGACAAAATATATCCCCCCACCCCCTGGATGCTGCACAGATGCGATTTTTTCGGATAATGCGTTAACGCAGCCCACACATCTCTCCTTGCCCCTGTTTCATACCATCTGCCCCACTGAACCTTATCCGAATACGACCTTTTATCTATGCAGCATGAGAAAGGGAGTGCGAAAAATCATTGCTACCACCACGCTTAGTCGTGTTCTTTATTTGTTTTTCCATTGTGGAAAAAATATAGTTGAGCTCTTTGTGGACAATGGACCAATGAGAACGCAGAACAGTTTCTAGACGACGCGTATTTATTCGTCCAATCATAAATGAGCCCAAGGCTAACATATCTGTGCTACATATTTTCTCTAGGGCATGTTCGACATCTTCTCCACCCTGATGGTCTCGCTTCGAATCGAGAACCGCAAGATCAGGTGGAGAAGCTACCCGAACAGCTTCACTGCTGAGGGAGCCATTGGGAACCTAGGCAATCTACAAGTGACCCAGTCTAATCGTGAGTCAGATCCAAATGACCCAACAAGAATCATCACACATGTGACAACGACCCAATTCTCGCTCTCGCGCGACATGTCCCGAAATCTCTGCCAGACATTCATGGACGCCCGATTACTCGAATGCGCAACAGACTCCTCAAAGCGCGAGTTTCAGAGCCGTGGGCTGTATCAGGTCACACCCAAGGGCGCATATCTGCTGGCCAAATTTGTGGTGCGAAACAAATTGCCGATCGGGGAGAGTCGACACATCACGGCAAACTCAGCAACGAATCTGGTGTTTTTGGAGCGTGAAGAAAACGAGGACGCTATCATCTTGACCGAGAAGCAAGTCGATATCATTTTCAAGCGATTCGCGGGGCCTGAGCCGAATACGGCCCGAACCGATCCTGGGGCGGACTCCCCAATGAGTTCTATGTCTTCGACTGCTGAAGCAAAATACCGTGCACCATTCGTGATGGACCTCTCTAACGGTGTTGAGGTCAAGGACCAGCAATTCAACTCGGAGACCTACAAGGACACTTTCTATGGCAAGGCGGCTGTGGAATGGCTGTTGGACTACTCGACCGTGATCAGCAAGGAGGAGGCGATCTGTATCTGTCAGGAAATGGTCAATGCAAGATACATTGAGCAAGTTGGCGAAGAAAATACGAATGGCCCGTCAATTTTCAAGACTGGTAACTCGGCACTCTACCACCTCACTGAAACAGGACGAGCTCTTGCAGGCTGGAAGAGCCTTGATGACTGCTGCGGTAGCATTCATAATGATTGGATGGATGGTAAGAACATGAAGAATGTCTGTTGCTTGTTTGTGTTTCGGTCTCGCCAACGTATTTTTTTTTCTTCTCAACAAGGATACTGATGTCGGACACCAAAACTAATTAGTTTGTCTATTTGATACGCTCGGATACATAGAGCGAAGCACGGCCGGTTCGAAGGCAGAGCGAAGCAGTCCAGAGACCAACTTGCTCTCAACCCAGTTCAAGCTCACGTCCAGCAACCTGGCTCGCCTGCCCATCTCGATCGCACAAGAGAGACGTAGGTCCATGGACGAGGTCAGTCTCTCGACACTGCAGTACAACGAAGACTCGAATAAGTCCGGACCGACTCGACGATTGTCCCAGATCTTGAATGACCCTGCGTTTCAGATCACGCTTTCGGAAAATGGACCCATGTCCTCGTATGCGCCATCATCCTCAGGCCGGGAGTCAGTGGGTGCCAGCGCCGGAGGAGCGGGAAGCACACGACTCTCGCTCCCTATGAGTTCCGCACAGTCAACGACATCGAACACGAGCCGCCTCAACGGTATTCTCTCGGACGCACCTGTGCGCGACCTATTCAAGAGTTTCCTGAAACAAAACTTTTGTGAGGAGAATCTTTCGTTTTACTTTGAGGTAGTCGACTACAAGACCAAGTTCAAAGGACTGATCACATCGGCCAAGGCGTACAACATATCGGAAACGGGACCTGAACCGAACAACATGGGCTTTGCATATCCGCCCTCGCTCCGTGAGCTCGAAAAACAGATTTGCACACAAGCGTTCGCTATCTTTGAGACCTACTTGGCCTCGGGTGCCCCCCGCGAGGTAAACCTGCCACACCAGATGAGGCAGGATATCACAGAGTACATGCAGGCAGTCGTCCGCAGCATGGAGACATCGACTGTGACGACTGTGACGACACCTGACGGCGGCAATATCAACAACGCCAGCCTACCACCGACACCATCTTCACTCCCAACATCGCCTTCTCCAGCGGATGCAAGCGATGGTGGTGAGAAGGGTGGTCAGAAGGAATTGATTCACATCTCGCTGTTTGATCTGATCCACGATCACATTTTCCGACTAATGTCGACAGATTCAGTGCCCAAGTTCATCAAGACGGACAAGTACTTGGAGGTGGTCATGAAGAAACACAAGCGGAAGCATGCCGCCGCCGCCGCAGCAGCAGCAGCCGCAGTTAACAGCGATGACCCGTTATCCTTATCTTTGAATCAACAGGATGGCCTGAACGGGGTCAATGGCAAGAGCGCTAACAATGGAGGAGGCGGAGGGTCATCAATGGCGAACGGCGATGGAGTCAGCGAAGGGAACACAACGCACGCAGGATCGAGTCGAAATGAAGGTGAGAGCAGCAGCACGGTGGCAGAGTTGCGACGATAAGGTCTTTGATCACACAAACACCCTCACACGCCCACAAAAATAAGAATGGGAAGCGTCCGTAATGAGGGGTTCTGGGACGGGGGCACACAACGTTACGCACCATGGCACGCACACTACATATACCATGCTCTATCGCACAACTCCTACTCCCACACACACATTACACACACATCGACAACACCAAAGAGTCCACAGGGCTAAAACCGCCCTCTCCATAATGTCCATCTCTCCTGGTATCCAACCAACCCTGCGACAGCTTAATATCTCCTTTCCTCCTTGAGGTCTAAAAAAACCACTGTTTTCGTTTGTTTTTTCTCCCATTTTTCCCACTCTATTGGTATTGTCCATTTCAGTTTCCCCCGTCGCCACATCTCAACATCATATATTTTTTACAGTGCCTTAAGCATAATAATAATTAAAACGAACATCGTTAACCCCGACCGGACGGGGGTGCGTGCTTTAACAACGTGTGGGCGTGCACTTTGAAGATGAGAACCTTCCTTACCCTCACTCGATGCGCCGGGAAGGAACAACTGAGCAGGTTTTTGCGAGAAGAGGAGTAAATGGAACCGATGCTAGATTCTCACACTCTTTTCGCGCCTACCTAACGAATGAAATCGTATAGATGTGGTCAGCATCCGCCGATCACTCTCTCTCAGCGGTAACAACCATCTCCAAGACCAGTCACTCGATTCCAGAGACGGACTAGAATCCAATGGCGGCAATACAGGAGCAGGCGCAGGTACAGGAGGTATGCCCATGGAATCCCGCTCACGATCTGCAGGCAATGGATTGCTTCCTGCCAGGTACCCCTCCACAGCTGTACCATCTTCCCAGCCAGGGGTTTCTGCAATTCCAACGAACTTGAATCTACAACAGTGGAGAGCACCTCGCACCCGTTCCGCGTCATCGAATGTGCTCACGGAAGGAATGAGGGCGCAGCCGCCACAGTATCCACATCAGTCTCCGTCGCAGTACCAGAACCAATACCAGTACACGGGGCCGCCGCCGGCGTCTGTCTACGGCGGCAGTTCACGACTCCGAAGCACGTCCAGCAACGGAAGCTCGAACAACAGCTACAGCAACAACAATAACAACAGTAACAACAACATTAGCGGTAGCGGTGCTAATGGTCAAGGAGCACAATCATCGAGACATGGTGGTGGTATTTCCTCGCGCGGTCCGCCCCAGACGCTGATGGAGATCTATGCACAGCAGCAGCAGATGCAGCATCAGTACTCGAATCAAAGGGCACAGCTGTCACAGGTACAAATCCAGCAGATGTATGGGATGCGCAACAGTCGATCGGCGCCTGCTTTTTCGAAGGAACAGCCGAGCTTAGACCAGCACAGACAGCATAGGGATACTCTGCAGGACCAACAACACCACCAGCAGCAGCAGCAGCAGCAGCAGCAGCATCAGCAGCATCAGCAGCAGCAACAGATGGCGAAGCCGCCTGCTGGACCTTTGTCTCCGTCGTCGTCGGATCAGGTCACGGTGATGTTCGAGTCGACCTCATTTTCGGTCCAGGATCCGAACGCGTTGGTGTCTGCTGCTGTCAATGACGGCGACTTATCGAGGAGGTTATCCGAGGAACAAGGACAGTGAATACCCTGATAAGGTTCTGAGTATGGGCGGAGGCGCTGGGACTGGGGTGTTGGTGGGACGACCTTCTTTAGTGCCATTGAGGGGGAGATTTTAATGTGAGGAGGACGACCAAAAAAAAAAAAAAAAAAAAAAAAAAAAAAGAAAGAAAGAAAGAAACGAACGAACGAACGAATGAACGGGTAGTTACCAACCTGAACCCTCTCATCTCGCCGGTTCCTGAGGACATGGGCAGGCCATTTGCCGCATTCTTTTTTTTCTTCTTCTTGAAAGGCGTAAACAATCAACAAAAAAAGCTCTGTCGATACCCTGCAGAACGCATCAGTTTTTTTTTTTACGCTAAAGTACATCATCCAGCATATTTTTCAGAGCCAGATTAAACAGGTGGGAGGGGCACTCATAGCATTTGTCAGAATGTAAAATGGTTGTTGTTGTTGTTTATGGCAGAAAGATGGCCAAGGCGTCCAAAAGTATGGTATAATGTAAAAAGGCTGGGGGAAGGGGACAGGAGGGAGGAGCAATAGATCTGTCTAATCGTGATAGAATACATGCGCAAAAAGAACGGGTCCCATCGCGAAACCCATTGTAGTGGTAACGGCACCGTCTCTTCCTTCCCTAGGGGGGAAGAGGGAGGAGCGGGCCCCCGCTTGCTCTTGTTACAATGACAAACCCTCGGATGAAAGAGGCGCCATGTTTTAGTCATGGTTTTCATGAAGCGCTTATTCAAGTTTGATGTCGAGGCTAAAAAAAAAAAAAACACAGAGCACAAACATTGAAGGAGTGATGTACAGACCGAAGGCGGTAGACAAGGTGTTGGCATCGATGTGCTTAAAACACCCCCCCCCCCCCCCCAGCGGTCGTGTTGGTACTGATGGAATTGTCCTGAGGACTTCAAACGATGGTATCCCTGACGTATGGGACCTTGTTCAGACGGAACTCCCTCAGGGCCGTCAACAGACCGATCTGCGGCAACAACTTCTTCCTGAACTCTGACCCAAAAGTCCACAGGACAGCATCCAACTCATTCGGCACTGTCGTTCCCGATGTCGTCATGCCCAAATGCGCCAGTGCTGCCAAATCAGTCGCCGTCGTTGCCTTGCGCGCCACTGATGCAAGCGACATGTTCGCCTTCGACTGTACATACCACCCATCACCCTCAAACGTGTCCACCATCGAATTCTGTCGATCTTGCTTCCACCCTGCAACCAACGAGATCTGGTCGAGCGACAAGACCTCTAGTCCAAGGCATGCCCAGGGAGTCGCGAATAGTCCGAGTACAGCATCCGTCTCGATCACGTCTTCGGCACTCGACAACCGGAACACCTGGAGACGACTGCAGGTGCTTAAAATCCTAGCCGTGTTGACAATATCCGAATGCTGAGTACAATCAAAGCTGCCGATGCCAGTTCCAGCTCCAGCTCCAGCTCCGGCTCCAGTCCCGTTCCCTCCACCATCTATACCTCCTCCGTCATGCGGATGGTGATGCTGGATCCTACGTCGGATACAAAGATTAACCGCCACGAGCGACTCGAACTGACTGATCAACGAGCTCGTCAACATCGGACCCAGGCACGGGATCTCCATCGCGAAGCGGTTTAAATTTTGTGCACTCTGGGCCATGGCCGCATACTCTGGGTCCTCGAGAGTGTTAAACATATCGGTCCCGAAACAATACGCCGCCGTAAACTGGATCGAACACAGATCCGGACAGCAAACTCGCATTCTCTTGCTCAGCGTCATCAGATCTCGTTCCTGCTCCGGAATCCATGTCCCTAAGAACGAGATTCTGCGCAAACTCGGACAGAATCGTACCAGGTCTAGTAAACATAGGCTGTTCAGCGGCACAAAGCCGAGACTGATCTCCTCCAGCGCATAGAGGGTCGACATCCCCTCCAGATCCTGAACACCATCGATAGAGCTCAAGCTGAGTCGCGACAGTTGAGGGCTCGCACAGAGGACCAAGGCCAATTGTCGACCGATAAGGTTCCAGTTCGACAGACAGAGATCCCTCAAATTGGCGAGCTTCATCAATGCAGAGTACTCCCTATCCAGGAAAGGATGCCCCAGCCCTGTCCAGGTAAGGTGCTGTAGCCCAGGATTGGAGAGCATGAACGGCACGGTCCAGCTGTGCTGCTGCGAGATAATAAGCCGCCTCAGATTGGTCGAGTAGAACGGCCCGGGATGATGGTGCCCAAACTGATCCCTAAACGATTGGAAATGGACACTATTGATCTGCAGAGCCGCCAGGGGCACGTAGCGCATGAGGGCGCTATCGTAGGACCGCCAGAGGATCGGGAGGAGGACCCGACGCCAGGCGCGGGAGACGGCCGTGCAGGCGAGGAGGTCCCTTGGGGCAAAGATGAAGGTTGTGGTAGTGCGGGTTGGGTTGAAGGGATCGGTATAGGTTGCTCTGTGTGTGAGAGGGATCAGCTGGCCGATCATGGCGATGATCTCGGGGATGGTGAGCGGGTTGAAACGTGAAGAAATGGATGTGGGCATGACGGCTACTGCTGGAGTATCGGACATCCTGTGGGGTGGAGGGGGTGTGGGTGTGTGTGTGTGCAACGAGCGGACTAGAATAGTGTTATAGAATTTAAAGGTGGGGATAAAGTTGGAGAGTGAAGCAGCAATCAAGCAAAATAAATGTGTGAAAAATGAAAATGAAAAAGGAAAGGGTGAGGAGCGAAGAGAGCAAAAAGGGAGCGAACCAATGGAGCGGTAAAAGAGGGACGAGACAAACCCGCCCACAGATGAAGCGGCGGAGGAATAAGGTTACGACTTGGGGCAAGTGCAAACGGAGCAGGACCGATGCGCACGCACGCAGCATAAGACGGCTCAAAGGGACAGGCAGAGGGATGGGAGGGAACAACGAAGCAGTGGGACATCGAGGGTGCAAAGGTGTAAAGGTGCAGGGGGGATCCCCCAAAGGTGCCGGCCTTTAATACTAGGCGGGCCAAGTCTACGAAACACCAAATGCGACACCATTGGGTTCTGAGGGACGCAGCGACCAGAGACAGGCCCAGAGGAAGCTGGGGAGTTGCTTTTGCCTTTTCCCTATTTCACTCGCACTCGCACTCGCACTTTCCCTCTCCATCGGTCGTCCTTTAATATTTTTCCCGGAGAAACAAGTTATTGCCTGCGATCAAACCGCTTTTGGCAGGTAGCCCAAGCCAAAGAGAGGAATAAAAATGGACGCCATCCCAAAAAGACATCAATTGTCGGACGATCAAAAAAAAAAATGAATTGGGCTGCCATGGCACGTCGTCGAAGGCACGAATAAGATGACTAGAAATAAATGCCGATGGCTCCTGGCGCAGCCAAAGTGTGAGCGAGTAAGCTAGTGATTCAGCTAGAATTGGCTCCACTCATGAGTGCCCATTCGGTAGAGAGATCCTATATTTCTATACAGACTAGTTCCCTCTGCCCGCATGACGCACCGCGGGCCTGAGTGGTTGTTTTGTGAAGCCGTGTTGATGGAGATGCATTCCAAGTGGTTCAATGGAGGAAGATGTGGATGTACACACACTTCCTTACCAAAAAATATTTGATTTACAAGGGGGCCGAGGTGTGCTCCACCCTCTAATTACAAAACCATCCCTACTGCAGACGTCGGATCCAGAATGGAGAATGCACTCAATACCTGGCTGGAGCCATCGCTGCAACTCACGCCTGTATTACATACATCCGTGTCGTTACTGGCACCAAGCAGGGTCCAGACTAACATCATTAAGGGACTACGTGTACCTGCTGTGTATGCTATGTTCCATGAACTTCTTGCCTGTCATCTGAGCTGGACCGACCCGCCGTTGTGTTGTGTTTTGTCCGCCGAATCCAGTTAGCGCGCATTTTTCGCATTCCTTCGCCCCATGAGCCCTTCTTTATCCATGACAATGACAATGCCGATCTAATCCTATCCGGGACACTGTCGACCAAACCCTATTGAGGGATGCATTGACGAGAGACCGGGACAGAAGGCATCTTCACTGGGTGTCCAGTTGCGATTACACGCTGTTGCGGAGGTGCCACAAGGAGGATCGACCAATGTTTACGCTCACAACCATAAGACCGCAAAAACGCGTTTTCAGAAACGGGTATGTCCGGCTTTTTTTCTTTTTTTTTTTAACATATAAATTTCTAGTAGAAAAGATCCATCCAGCCACAAAAGAACAGTGTCTGTTTCCCAATGCAACGGGCATGTTTACGATATATGTACACATGGGTACTCTGCTCAACCCTGGCCACAGCCAGCCCATCCTGTTCATCTTATTTCACTGTTGTTACTGTTGTTGTTGTTGTTGTTGTTGTTGTTGGTGTTGTCATTGTTGTCGTGGTTGTACAAAGAGGAAGATCTCTCACAGTGCGTATTGAGAGCCCTGGCTATCCAAAAACGCGCCACTGTCCAGTCGGCCCCGAGTGACCTCCAAGGTTCCTTCAACAACCGCCTCTCTCGACTTGAGCTCCTACAACAGCCATAACAACAACCGAAAATTGCAACAATTAGTAAAAAAAAGACCAAGACGCGCCCCAAACCAAGGGCCCCTGACATACAGCGTACGACATCAATATTACCTTCTCCAGTTCATCCAGTGGACGTAGCTCTTCAGCAGAGTCATACCTGATGCTCTCCTTCGCCTTCGCGAGCAGCGCTGCCATATCCTTATTCACGCTCGCTTCCCTCCTCATCCTTTGCTCCATTGCCGTGTACTGCTCTTGCATCTGCATCTGCGTCCTCCTTAACGACTGGACCATCTCTTCCCGAGCCTGTCTCTCCACCTCGGCCATCGCCCGATCCTTCGCTCGACCCTCTCGCTCCCCATCCCGCTCCTGCTCCGCGCTCTGGAGCTGCATTTCCAGCAGGTCCAGGTTCCTCGTCATCAACTGGACCCGGTCCCTGTACCCGGCCTCCATCTTCTTCCAGGCCTGCTTCCGTGCGTCCTGCTCATTCATCAACCGCGTAGTCTTCTCATTCATCATCGCAATACGCGCGGAGAGCTCGGCGACTTCTCGTTCGCCCGCGTGGATACGGGTGGCGCACAGGTCGTGGTTCGCCTCTTCGGTAGGGACCATCTTTGAGATCGTAACACGGGCGTTCTGGAGCTGGGCCAGGGTTTCGTGGTAGGATCGTGAGGCCTTGTGGATCTCGAGCTGGAGTTCCTTGATCCTTTGGAGGGCACCCTCGAGGTCCTTGACGAGAAGGCGGGAATGTGATTGGAGGCGTTTGTACTTGTGAGAGTCTTCAGCGGTGATCCGGGAGAAGGAGTCTTCGAGGTAGGAGAGTTTTTGGTTTTGGGAGGAATGGAGGGCGAGGGCGGAGCGGTATTTGTGCTCGAGGGATTTATAGCTTTCCATTTGGTTCGCGAGTGCCGAACGGAGCCGATCGAGCGTGTTTTCGAGCATGGAGAGGGACTCGCTATCCTTAGCTGCACGCGACTCAAGATCGGCATTTTGTCTAATATGTAATCGAAGAAAAAGTAGTGGCAGAGTAGATCTTTCAGTAAAACCATCCAAAAAAAAAAAAAAAAAAAGTAGTGTTCGAACGCGTTACCTGGTGTGCTCCGCAATGCGAGAGTTTAATATCTCGATCTTGTTGTCCTTGGCCATCGACTCCCGACGTGCATCCGCAAGACGAGCCTTGTAGCTAGTCACCTCACTTCGTAAGCGCTCCTCCATCTCTTCAATCTGTCCGTCTTTATCCCTAACCGCGCGGCTCAGCTCCTCCTTCTTGGCCTCCATCGATTCGATCTGGGCCGTGAGTGTTTGAATTCTCTCCATGACATCCGAATCGTTTGCATCATGCTGGGCAAGGGCACTCTTCAGCATCCCGAGGTCCTTCTCCAGCGTCGCGACCATCGTCGTCAACGTCTTGGCCTGCTCGATTGCCTTTGTCCTCCAGACGTCCGTCTCGTTCAACTTGGATTGGAGCGCAGAGATCTTTTGCTCAGCCTGGGTCGTATCAGCGATGTGTCGTCTCTTCTCGCTCTCGAGGCGCTGCACGGTCGCCTCCCATTCCTTGGTTTGTTCGATCGACGTCTGCTTCCAGTAGGTGAGCTCACGGACCTGCTCGCGGACCTCGTGATCATGGTCGAGACGGATTCTCTTCTCGAGGTGTTGAATGCGGGCCTGGAGCTCTTCAATAGTCATGTTGAGGGCAGCCTTTTCGTCGTCCATCTCTGAGGCTCGTCGCTTACGGTCATTGTGGAGGTCATGGCGCGCAGTGTTGACGGCCTCATTCAGACGGCTGATCTCGATGTATTGCTCTTCCAGCTTGTATTTAAGGTCTTTGATTACCCTTTCTTTGCGACGAAGGACATCTGTGCTATAGACGAGCTCGTTTGTCATATCTGTGGCCTGTAGAATATCGAAGAGACATTATTTTTTTTTTTTTTAAAAAAAAAAAAAAAAAAAAAGCAATGAACATTTTGATATAAAAAGAAAACAGCATTGCAGACAGCAATACAAAGACGACGATCGGTACCTTGATGACCCACCCCTCTTCATGCTTACTCCAGTTTTCCAGTTCATTCTTCAGAGCAGCTATCTGTTCCTCCTTCTCTCGAATCCGTTCCTTCGTATCCGCCTCAGCCTGCTTCAGCTGCTTCTTCAGATCCACATTCTGCGTACGCGACTCCTGCAGCTGCTCGGTCATCGCCTCGCGATCTTCGCTCGACTGCTCAACCGCAGCGTGAAGACTCGAGGCCTTACTATGGAGCTCCTTCTGCAGATGACCGAGATAAGCCTCCATCGCTTGAACCTCTCCCTCCAACATATTGATCTCCTCCTCAGCCCGTTGCGTTTGAGCCTGATGAAGCTTAGAGGACTCTTCTAGTGCAGCGATCCTGGTCAAGTTCTCCTTGTTCTGCTTCGACTTTGTCTCAAGCTCTGCGGCGATGTTGTTCATCTGGCTCAGTTCCTGCTCCTTCTGCGAAAGCTGCTCGCGCAACGACTCGACCTCGACTACGAGCTTGCTGGCAGTCGATGAGGCAGCAGCCTGGTCCTTATTAGATTGCGCCAGAGATTGGCACAACTCCTTAACCTGGGCCTCCAGGCCTTCCATCTGACGAGCGCGGTCCCTCATGCTCTCGCACATCTTGTCTAGATGGGCCAGTTGGCGGTCCTTCTCCAGAATCATTCTCTCGAGACTCGTTATCTCGACGGTCAGGGTCATGTTCATTTCCTTCTCGGCTCCGAGTTCCTCGATCTTTCCGTTGGCGCTCTCCAACTCGACAGTCTTGACGCGGAGTTGTTCACGAAGACCTTCGACCTCGGTTCTCATACTGCTGGCTGTCGAGCTGACCTTGTCCAGGTCATGGCTTGACTTCTGCTTCAGCTGCTGAACCGCTTGGTCTTTAGCCTCCATCTCGAGCCGAGCCGCCTTTATCTCCTCTTGAAGCGTCTGGATACGGCTGTCTTTGACTTTCAGCTCCATGTTCGCTTCTCGAAGTCCGCGGATCTCATCCTCTTTCTCACGCAGCTGTGTCTGGAGCTGCTCGGCCTGATCTTCCAGCTGCTGCATCTCAAACCCACAGTTCTCGTGGGCCAGCATAGCGTCCTCAAGATAGGTCAAGTGCTTCTCTTGGACCTCGACCTGGTCACGAATATCATTCAGCTCATCTTCCAAATCCTCGGCGTGCTTCTTGTAACCCTCAAGGCCCTCGAGAGACTTGTTTGCATCTTTGATTTGCGCCTCACAGCCACGGATGTCGGCCTTGAGCGTCTGAACCTGTTCCGCCAGCTTGTCAGCGCGGTCATGGTCCTTGGATAGAGACCTGTTAATCTTTTGGAGCTGGTTGAGCGCTGTTTCGCTCTTGGACAGCTGGTCTCGCAGTACCTGGAGCTCCAGGTCCAGAAACTGGATTTTCTCCTGCGCTCTCTCCAGGGTCGTGATCTTGTCATAGCATGCCTTGAGTTTTTGCTCTCGATCGGTCAGCCCTTTCTTCAGCTCTGACAGCTCGCTCGACATTCTCGAGGCCTCTTCCGTATGAGCATGGTGGCTCTTCTCGAGGTCCTGGATGGTGGCCTGGGACCCCCTCAGTCTCATCTCTCGGTCCATGAGCATATCACGTAATTCCTGGATTTGGACTGCTAAGCGTGCTCGCTGCTTGTTGGCCTCATCCAGATCTCTCTGGACCGTCTTTGCCTGCTCTTGCACATGCTCCTTGGCTTTCAGGTCCTTGTTCAGCTTTGAAATCTCATGTTGCAGCGTCTTCTGATACTCTCTCGCCATCTTCTTGTCCTCTTTCGACTGCAGCTGCGACTCCCTTAGGGCCTTCTCTTTCTGCTGGAGGTCCACACGGAGATCGCGGATTGTAATCTCGAGCTCGTGGATCTCGCGTGTCAGGGCCTCGGCGCGGTTGGTGACCTGCTGGAACTCGACGACATTGGCCTCGGCATCCCGGAGGGATTCTTCTTTTTCTTGGAGGTGCTTCTGGAGAAGAACGACATCGCTGTCGAGCAAGAGGATGGCCTCGCGGGCCTTCTCGCGATCGAGACTAGATTTTGCCCTCAGTTCACGGGTGGCGGACTCGTCCTCCTCGGCGCGCCTGCGGAGGTCATCGAGTAGGTTCTTGTTCGCCATTGTACTCGAGGAGGTACTCATAGGCGTGGTACTCTCGCTGCCTTGGTGGCGGTGCAAGGTAGGGTGCTGGCCGTCTTTGCTCTTGACGTTCGTATTCACGCTTAGCAAAGGAACACCATGCGGTTCAATCACGGTTTGGCTGTGTCCACGGTCCAGAGACGAAGCAGAGTCGGTGCTCACCGTGGATGAAGGGCTTCGGCTGGTCCGTCCGGGGAAGAGCATCGAGGCAATCGCACTGGTGGCGCGTGTAAAAAGACCGGGATCATGTCCCTCGATATCCGAGTCGACCTTCATGGCGCTGCCTTGGTCCTCCATATCATCTTCATCCATCTCCTTCTCCGTATCCTCCCCTTCCCCTACCTTGGATGGGCTGAAGCGGATGTGATCATTCTCACTGAATCGGATGTGATGATGGTCTCGGCCATCGTCCTCGGTTCCATGGTGATCCTGGCCATCGAGCATGTGGTGCTCATGCTCGCGAGGGGGGACATGGATGCTCAGCTGGTGATCTGGCTTTGCAGCCGAGGTAGCGCTTTCTTCACTGGGTGAGGAAGTCGAGGTTCTGCGCGCTGCAAGGGGGCTGAATCGGCGGACCTGGCGAGGATTCGCCGAAGATCCTGACGAAGACTCGGAAGGCGTGGCCAATTGTCGGACAAGACGTCCGCCTCTCAGATTGTATGTCTTACCGCTATCCCCCCTTGACTGATCCTCGCGTCGATTCGATCGCTGCAACTGGTTTGCAGCATGCATGTTCGCTTGAAGCTGATCCTCGTTCCCGGCGAAATCCTGGTACCAAATATGGTGGTGGTCGCGTCCATCCTTTTCAACGATATGATGGTCAATGCCATCCTTCAGGTGGTTACCGTGCTCTGTGTCGCCCGTTGACATGTAGGAACTTTGGTCAATTGGTGGCGAAATACTCTTTGGGGCGCCAAGGGCCGGTGTAGTGGCGGTCGTGCTCTTGCGCGACGAAGCGCGGGCCACGGGCCGTCCACCTTGTGTTCGGCTAGCCATGTTGAGTTGAAGTGGTGATTACTGTCTGTACAAGTTGACTATTTACACAGATATCCTACAATTCGGTCAATGAAAGAGGCGTTTTTCTTTTTTTAATTTTCAGCAGGGGTTTTATGGCTTTGCCTCTGCCAGTGGTATTGCTGGTGCCATTGCTCTACCTTCCGGGATATGAACAACGTGCGTGTATGTGCGCGTATGTTTGTGTTTGTGTGTTTGTATGTGTGTGCCTGTGTGCTTGTGTGTATTTATGTGTGTATGTGTGCGTGTGTGTAAAGGAGGGAGGATAAAGATGAGCAATTGCGCGAATGAATGTGGGAATGGATGTATGTCTGTGTAGGATGCGATGGTAGGTGTGAAATGGTGAATGGATAGTGCGCGTTGGGGAAAGAATGCGTGCGGTGAAGATGACGAAAGAGAATGGTTCCGAAATGCGTCCCCCAAGTTGTACTAACTGAGGATCTATATTATTAGATCCATATTAGTCTTCCATAACGCGATTTTTTTTTTTACATATTTTTTTTGTATCTCTCATAATCCAATGCGTGTATGCGCACTGGCCAGACTGTGTCTCATTACCCCACACCGTTTGACTATTGGTGCTAGCAAATGACATCATTACGAACACAGACGCGCACGAACAGTGGTATTGGCACAACGCTATCTTTGAAAAGTATGCACCCACAAGCAATTTTTTTTTTTTTTTTTTTTTTTTGGAAGAACCGCGTGGGCGTCGAGCTCAACAACTGAACCATTGTGTTTAGAGTAGAAAAGTAGTATGTTTAATTAACAACAGAAAATCTAAGCGAGCAGGCTGGGACAACTGAAGCGCACTTCATCCAGCACTCCAAGAGTACATTCATCGACACACAACAGCACAGCAGCGTAGCATGCTGGCCAGTGTTTCCTTTAACCCATAGGCTTTTGTGCTGTAGTATCGTATGCGCGAATTAACCTTGCTGTGCCAGATTCATTCTGAGAGAACGCAAAACCGCGGTTGCGACGCAGACGCTGAATATTGCGGACCTTGTGCACCGCCTTGCGGAACCGCTCCATGCGTGGCCGGTAGTCTGGGATATTGAGCTTTTGGATCTCCTGTACGTAGTGATACGTCCTTGGGAAGAATGTACGCTTCATGCTGTTGCATCGTTAAAGGAATAGATACGTGGTGAGCCGACGTTCTGTTGCAAGAATATGCTGTTCGTTCAAAAGATATAGCAGATGAAAACAAGCGAGCTTACTATTTAAAAGTGTAGTCGCGGAGGTTGCAGAACAGAGGCAACAGAATGATCGTCAACCAGAAGACAGGCTGGCTGTACAATGGACCAACAATACCAAAGTACTCTGGCGTAAGACCGACTTGGGCGCCAATGATCGCAAACAATGGGAAGAAGCCCATCCAGAAGATCATCGATCCGGGGATTGAGATGTATGCGTATTTTGTCCACAAGCTAAAATAAAGGACAACGGGGAAAGCTGAGTTGGTAATCGAGAGGTATGTACAGCAAAGCTCAATATCGGAGAGTATCCCGTGCACTTACTCCGTAACCAGGGCGGCCTTCCAGAGCACGGTTGCCAAGACTGCTGTATAGAGGGTAACACTCATAATCCATTCGCCTCCAATGGTGCCGTTGACCATGATCAGGTCATTCTGGAAGATGAATGCGACGGCGAAGAAAAGGATGATGGAATGGTAAATCGCATTGAATGCCCAGCCCCAGAACGTCTTCACGTTGAACTATAGAATGAAACAACAACATAAAGTGACGCGCGGTGTTAGCAACCCTTCTCCTCCTACGCAGACCAAATGCTTCAGCCGTCAACGCAACATCGAACTTACGAATTCGCTCTTCTGACCAAGCATATACATCTGTGGATAGCGGTCCAGCATCCTTGCACTGACATACTGGTCAAAGATACCGATTGTCAACGGAGGTAGTACCGTTAAGGCGACGTTGTAGAGTGAAACTGTCCAAGACTCGTAGACCGTCTGCCCCGAGAAACCGTTGTAGAACGCGTACCAAAACTGCGTCACGTAGAGACAAATGTTCTTGTAGAAACTGAACAGGATCAGCTTACTCAGACGCTGGTAGCTCCATGCGCCGTGGACGAGAAGCAGCTTCTTCAGGTATCGGAATTGTGAGATGGCAAAATCAGCACTTCGAGCAGCCTGAAGGCCCTCCAACCCTGAGATACCGACACCCACATGAGCGGCCTGAATCATCGACACATCATTCGCACCATCTCCGATAGCCAGCAGAATCGAGTTTAAGTTACGCTTGACCAACTTGACGACCAACGCCTTCTGAAGAGGGGATACGCGACAGCAAACAACTGCCTTGCAGAGCACAGCCAATTCCAGGAAAACCTTCTCAGTGTCTTTTTCCAACGCAAATCCGAGCGACTTGCCATCGATAATGAGTGCCAACGGCTCAATGTCGTCGCCACGCTGGAACGTTGATTTGATGGTCTTGACCTTGGTCTCCAAAAACTCCTTGGTTTCCCAGTGCGTCTGCTCGTTGCAAATGATCAGCGACATATCCTCCTGAATCAGCTTGCAACTGTATCCAATGTTAATGGCAGTTTCCTGTCTGTCACCGGTCAAGACCCAGACCTTGATTCCAGCCTGCTGCAATGTGTGGATCGTCTCTGGTACTCCATCCTGCAATTTGTCCTCGATAGCAGTGGCCCCTAGCAAGAACAAGTTCTTCTCGATCAGCTCGGCTGCCTTGTCAAGCTCATCAGATCGGTTTTGAATGGTCGTTGCTGCGCGGTCGTAAATCTGGGACCAGTGCTGGTACTCATGCTCAGGAATCTCTCTCATGGCGACACACAATGTACGGAGACCCTCTGTCGCGTAGTCCTCTAAATGCTGCAAGGTGGCGTCAACGAACTCGTTTTCAGAACCCAAGCGCTCCAGAATGACGGTATCGGCGCCTTTGCAGTATAGCCTGATCTTTCTGTCGGGCCCACGGACGATAGTCGACATGCGTTTGCGGGTCGAGTTGAATTCGCACACATTCAAAATCTCATATTGCAGATCGTTGCCTCCAACCTGGATGTTGACAGAGCGTGGTCGGCGAGTCGTGAACTGATATCCGAGTGTCGCAGCTCCAGAAACAAGCGCTCCCTCATCTGGTGAAGATGCCTGGTATACGATCTCTATGTTGCATCAGGCGAGCAAAGCGTCAGTCGGCATATCAAAGACAAGGAGAATAAAAAGACAATGCTGAAATATGGGGGATGGCAAGTACCTGATGGGTTGTTCTCTTGGCGCTCAGGAATAACAGTATGGCACACAGCAAGTAGTGTCAAAAATTCGTTGATGACATTGCTGCTAGGGTGATTGCGAAGATTGGCGTCCAACTGCTTAAAGTCGTGAACGCCAACCTCCACTCCGTCCTCGATGTGCGCCTGCTTTCCATCTTCGACTACGTCAGAATACGCTAATCCCGCGATTGAACATTGACGGAACTCCATCTCGTTACAAGTGAGCGTTCCCGTCTTGTCCGAAAAGATGTACTCGATCTGTCCAAGCTCCTCGACCAGAGACGACGTGCGCGCAAGTGCTGGAGTGTCGGTCTTTTCATAATACATATCCAGATCCGAGTTGATCAGTTGCGCCTGCCAGAACTTGACGACCTCCATGGTGACCATCAAACTGATAGGGATCAAGTTGTTGTACAGAATCAGGAAGGTGAGGATGTTGAGTCCGAAATCCGACCAGGATGATGGCATTGCCTCGATATATGAAAGCTGGGCGATGTTTCTGTTAGTGAGAACCATATTGCCAATAGCACTGGCGACAGACATGGCCAAGAGAATACCAAACAAAAAGATGATCTGGACGTTGGTCATCTTTTCCACTGAAGTGCGCTTGATCGGGGTTGCCGACGCATTCCTCATGAGTTTTGATTCGTGTCCTGTAAAGATAACCACGCCATAGATCCAATTGGTGTTGCGAAGTTGAGCTCCCTGCATTTCCAAAAAATAAAAAAAATAAAATCGAACGATAGTTTAGTTTCTGCTCAGGAATTCAAGGACGCCTTCCATTCAATTGATCGCGACATACTCGGAGAAGCACTTGGGTAGGGTCTAGCGGCATCTCTTTTGGATTTCCGTGAGTGGTATTCATAAGCAAAGTTCCTTCGAACGTGTACAGGCTGTTGTTGGGCTGCTCCGATCGGATACAGCCCCCGAGTTGAGATACATCGTGCGGCGTAAGCATGTGCACTGTTTCCGGTAGTGCTTGTTTGATCTTCAAGTTGGTCTCTCTATTGCAAGGGATCAATATTAGCATCAAATGCTTACTGATATGCATTCACCGGATGAAAAGACATGCCAACTTACCCATCCAAGTTGCTGGTTTCGACGTAACACATCCCTTCGGGCTCAGACGAGCTCAACAAAACCAGATCTGCGGGAAGGGACTCACCTCCCTCCACACGCACAATATCGCCAACCTTGACAGCGTGCCAAGGGCGTGGCACGAAGGTACTCCCGTGCAGGACCTTGGTCAGTCTTACGTTGGTCTCGCTGTCAGAGGCATGCCGTTTCTATGGTGAAAGGGGGATGGAGACGGAGCAGGTGATATTTTGTTTGTTATTAGGAGATAGGGACATGCAGGGCAGACTAGCAGTAAGTCATTGGAGTTCATGAGCAGCAGTGCGCTTGCTTGACCTCTTTAGGCAGCCAGTGTGAATTCTGGATCGCGCTGGAATGAGCCAGGAGAGGCGCTCCAAATCAATGTCAAGTCAAAATTGATCACTGCACTTACAAAGTCCTCCATGACCTCCTTGACAGCTGTGGCAAATAGCACGAGGGCCAGTGGCACTGCCGTGGTGAACCGTGATGTCGGAGAGACACCTTCGATTTGCTACGCGGCGATGTAGCAACAATTGAAGCGTGAATATGATGCTCAGGTCTTTGATGATAGCAGGACGGTGGAGGGCGAACACTGAGCTGGGGTATGGGCCCTTACCTGAATACAAGCCGTGAACAAGAAGAAGATGTTGGCGTATTTCGAGAACTGCTCGTAGAGGAACTTTGGCAGGAAGGTGAAATAGTTGTACTTTGACGTGGAGATGCGGTTGTGGAGGTACTTTGCTTGGCCATTGCGTTCTGAGTTGTTGAGGTAAATGACGCGAATCCCATCCTGGTTGCCGGATGACCCTCCCATGAAATTGGCGATGAAGGAAGCGAATGCATTGGGTACCTTGTGGAGTTTATGGCTGTTGGATGGTGGGCCCGAGGGTCGACTGGCATAGGATGAAGAGTCGGGAGGATACTGTGAGTGCAGCGAGCTGTTGCTGCCCTGGTCGAATCCGTATGTCTCCTCTGCAGCCGTCAGCGGGATGTTCATGTCCGAGTAATCGGACTCTTTGGTGGAGAGGCCTCGCATTGCTGTCACTCGTTGCCTTTCAACAAGCTAGACACACGATGGCTGCAAAGCAAAGAGAAAGAGAGAGGGTGGTGAGTGATCCAGAAACAGAGAATGAGAAAGAGAGAGAAGTGATATATGCTAGAGTGTTCTTACGATGGTTGATGGTGAAAGGATGAGAATAGTAATACGGGATGAGATGATGATGGAGGAAGGATCAAGTCAAGTCAAGTCAGGTCAAGTTCACGAGTGATAAGAGGATAGAGGTGATGCATGCAGGTGTGAAAGGATGAGTGGTGAAGTGTCCATTGAATGGAGAGGATCCTCTGCGCTGCCCTTCAGCCCAGTCTCAGTCTCAGTCCCGGTCTCGCCGCCTGACCCCTCCATTCGCCCCCCACGTCGCTGTGGCTGTCTGCGCCGAAACCCCGACAGGAACACAGCCCTCCTGCTTCTTAAGGGCACTCTCCGATCTCTCTCTTGAACCACACTACCAGCACATACACACTCACACACCCATCTCCAAACACGAAACGCGCAACAACACGACCCACGCTGGCATGGACTCGGAGCACGAGAGCGAAGACGAATTCACCCAGAATGACGACAACAGGACCGACGATGGCTCCGACCGAGGCGAGGCTGACGATGGTACTTTCCTCATTCTCTTCTTCGACCTGCCACCTTAACACAGCAACAAGGGAATTCATACTGCTCCGTCTGTCTCTTTCTTCGCTCTTTTGACACATCATTAGATACCACGGTCAATGCAGCTCCTTCGACACAGCCAGACGAGTCTGCAGCGGAAACAACAGCTGTCAGGACACATACGCCATTGATATTACAGCCCAATGTTCTTGACTGCAAGTCCTTCGATATCATGCCATGTGTAAGCAACCGTATCTTGCAACTGTATCTTGCAACTGTGCCTTGCAATTATCTCTTGTCAAATGGGTGTAAAGCCCCCCGTATCCTACTTCACTCCACAGACAGCTTATTTGATATGTATATCTTTTCCCATCCGCTGGTTAGGTATTGGCGGTACACCCCTGCAACATCTACTGCATGGCAGCAACCCAATGTATGCGCTGGGTCTTTACTGGATCAGAAGATGGATATATCCGGAAATACGATTTCTTTGCCTCGATGAACGGCAAGACCATGCTCACACAGGGACAACGGCATGGACAAGTGGACTCTGTTACAAAGGTACCACTGTACTATTGCTTCACGATGGCCTATTTCATGGACCTGGACCAGAGCAGGATAATCGTGAAAATCGACCACTAATACGGATGGGGGTTTTTGCGGAAAAAAACTAATAGGCAGGAATTTTGACCTCATACTGGGAAAACGAGGAGCAACCCATCAAAGTGCAGCCTATCCTTGGCGAGGATGGACTAACAATGGCTACGCCAGGAGCAAGCTCATCTACTGCTGGAGATATGGATATCACTATGAAACAGGAAGACTTTGCTGATCGAGCTACATTATCAGTCACGCAACAGCAACCACTCAGGGCGACATCTCCCTTTGGCGAAGAGTCCAAAATGTCGGCCGTATACAGTCTTGATTGCCACTCTGAGGCCGTTTTTGCACTCTCGGGCTTGGAGAGTGGATCGATCAACCTCTGGACACCTAGACATGAGGAAGGAACTTGTCACCATGTTTTCCGACAACACACAGCACCCGTGTCTGCGATTAAATTGACGCCGGATCAGCAAGGTTTCATCAGTGGCTCTTGGGACCACAGCGTTCTGGTATGATTCTAAGCTTTTGAAGAGCATCATGAACTCGACGAAAGTTTGGACGACATAACTGACATACGATCTTTTTTTTTTTTATTTCGTCTCATCTTTTGTCATTTCATTCTTCTTGCAGCAATGGGACCTCAACAACGGCGCGGTAGTACGGACATACGGCGGACACGGCTCCCAGATCTCATCCCTTAACTTCCAGCCCACAGAAATGCCCGTGGCTACCATGGACATGTCCAGTCCTACAGCAAACTGTAGCAACGATGCCGTCTTGATGTCAACAAGTGTAGATGGCATGATTTGTCTATGGGACAGGAGAGATCCGACTTCGATCCCGAGAAAGCTGATGCCTCCGGAAAAGGTGCCGCCATGGTGTCTCTCGGCATGTTGGAGCGCGGACGGAAAGCGGATATACTGTGGCAGACGAAACGGAACAGGTACAGCTCATCCCCCGGCACTGTTTTTTCTCGTTCACCGGTAGTATATCCCGAGATGTACGATTTTTGGCCTAACATCCTGCTCCGACCTTTCGAATAATTAGTGGACGAATGGGATTTCGCTGAAGGGAGATTTATCCAGTCGATCAGGATGCCCGCCAACTCGGGACCCGTGTCCTTTGTCAAGTGCATGCCCAACAACAAACATCTTGTCTGGTATGCTCAACCGAAGAGAAGATATATTACTGCGTGCAAACTTTGAGCGAAACAGTTTCATCATTTCCTTTATCGATTTCTAACCCCAAAGGCATATCTGCCCATTTTTACTGCCGCTTTGCATATCTAATAGTGCATCTCAGGATAATATTCGCCTATGGAACATTACGGAGCTTGGCTCCAAGTCCTCCCTGCGTCCATTCCAGATTATCGCTGGCCACCATGGAGGACTCATCTCCAACGTCCGTAAGTGGAAAGAGTAGATAACGACTGTCTCAGTGCGATTCAGGGAGAAACGCGACTCTGTAGTGTTTACTAACATACCTATGCTTGTCTTCGCACGTTAGATATTGATCCTACCTGTAAATATATGATTACAACATCCGGCAACCGAGAGTGGGAAGGGCCAAGTACCAATGGCTGCCTCTTTTACGATATCCAGCCGCTGCTCTAGACTTAATGCTGCAAATAAATCGCCAAACGCTGTGCTGTAGAACATCGATGGAATCAAACATTGAGGGAAATATGCATTGTTTTGAGAGCTAGAATACAAGTATGCATTAAAAATAAAAAAATAAAAAAAAAAGAGATAGAGGGATGGAGACAGAGACAGAGAGAGGGAGAGAAAGAACGGCCATTACAATTAGTTCTGTCTCTGTTTGGGTAAAGGAAGTGCGGTGCCGAACAGGAATTTGGACGAATACGGCTCTGGCTCGAAAGACCCTTCGTCCCCTGTCCAAAACGGCCATCGGAACCCATGGGCTTTCCATATGGACCTGATCCGCTTCACATCCCATGGGTCATCATTACTTGCACCGTCATCTTCCGTGGAGATGGCCTTGTCCTCGGCTATCGACCCTAATTGCCGCCCAGAGCTATAGTCGCGCGGCTCTCTTGATACCACCCGATTACGACCCTTGCCCTGCACAACAAATATAGGCCTGCTACTAATGCTCGGAATTGGACGCGCAACGATAGGAGCTGCATCTGATATATCAGGCAGACCATCATCGTGAGACGCAGTTCGAGAATCCGGGGATTCCAACGCTATCGATAACGCGCTCTTCCTCCGTCTATTCGAAAAAGACATCTGCTCATCGTCACTGGCATCAGAATCTATCACATCCTGGTCCTGCTCCTGGTCCTGCCCTTGTTCATGATCGCTGGCGTCCATTTCCGCAGCGGCATCCTCCCGCCACTCGTCATTGTCCACCCTCGCCTCCTGTACATCCTCGCGGTATATCTTTGTCTCCTGTGGTGTATCCAGGTTCATTTCCGGCTTCCATCCCTCGTCCGAAGCCTTCGTTATCCGTGGCCGCTTCGCACCGGACGGTCGCATTTTCTCTTCCTGAGATTCTTGATGCGCCTCTGTCATCACTTTCGACTTGACTAATTTACGCCGACGCGTGAAACGAGGGATCTCCACGTATTGCAGGACCTCGATCAATGCTCTGGGCTTCGTCACACCGGTCGCTTTGGTATTTGGCTTGAGCTTGACCGGTTCTGGTTCTTTGGCGACTGGAGGGATCATGACGGCTTCCAGCGAGGACCGACGTTTATCTTGTAAGAAATCCTTCATTCCAGGCGATGATCCTTGGCTCGATTGGATCACGGCTTGATGCGGTAGCGCCTTGGATTGTTGTCCCTTTGCCCTGGCGCCTTCCCTGGGTGACGAGTTGTGTGTGAAGCTAAGGAACTGTGTCCGCCATGGGTTAGTTTGTCTCGAGTAAGCATCGGGTCCTGTGCGTGGTGGTGTTCCTGATTGGGTCTTATCCTCCCTGCGTTGGACTTTGAACTCCAGCTTGTCTTTGGATACATTGGTGGCGATCCTTGTTGAGGTAACAATGCGACTGTCCTGCAATTGTATACGTTCCTGGTCCTGTTGCAGCTCCACCTTTGAGCTACTACAAGATGAACTGATCTTCCAAATCTTTGAAGGCTCACGTTCCGGACCCCGCGAAGAAAGAAGATCAGAGCCCTCTGAGGGCTTCGTATCCTGAATCAGCGGAAGTACGCTTTCCAAAGCATCTCCAAGCTCCTCATCGGCGTCCATGCTCCGGCCTTGTTCCTCGAACAAATCATCGGTCCAATCTACGATAGAGCCCTGCTCAACTTCTAAAGATGGCGAATGAGAAGGTAATCGCTGTCCAGGCTGTATTTGTGAAAGAGAGGTCGACTGTGTTGTTGATCGTTGTATAGATGGCCGCTCCTGTCGCTGAACAAAATAGCCAACGGGTTCGGCATGATAATCGTCCTCCTCGTACGATGCAATATACGCGTTGAGACGGTCGCTAAAGATCGGATCCCGATCGGTTGCACGATCGCTATCGCTTCTTTCACTGCCTGTATCGTCTTTACTGCCTCCACTGTTCGATCTCCTTACGCGCTTGCCGTCCACCTCAACCTCGACATCATCATCATCATCTGCGTTACTAGAGCTTAGCTCTGTTAGCCATTGGGGTGCTGACTGCTGCTGGTGCTGAGGTCTGTACGGGTTTTCACCAGCAGACTTATTCTTCATCTTGGGTATAGGCGTCGACTCCTCCTGAGGCGCTATCCATACATTCTTCTGTGATGCCTGCCTGCTGCCCTGAGATCCCGCGGAATAGCTTCGACTCTGGGATAGCGATGATGTTCCAGAGGAACGCAGTCTGCGCCTGGCGGCGTTTCCTCTTACTGGAGAAGGAGTTGGCTGTGAGACTGAGGGTTTTAGAGAGTCTTTGAGCTCTGCTGTAGTGAATCGGAACTGCGAACTTTGGGTCAATGAGCTCGCGTCTGAGGGGGGAAGGTTCAACACGAAAAAGAATGCAACGCGGTCAGCAACGGTGGCAGCGGGGATCCATGGGCGATGTCTAACTGCCAGAAGACGACAGACATACCATCGCGCTGTGGCATGTCGGCCATCCTCGATCCTGATACTTGGTCCATCATCAGGGAACGTGCTAATTGATGTGATTGTCAGGTACACAGGCAGCTGTTGGCAGACTTTTTGAGTTTGAGATTATTTACTTGCTGGAGAGCCAATTCAAAGAGTATGCACAAGGACCAATAACACTGCAGACATTCGCGCTTGTTTAGTTCGGCCGGCAGGTTTGTAGTATGAGGAAAACACGATAGTAACGAACTCAGTACGAACGCATAGTGCGTCCAACGCGTGTTGTACATGTGCTTTGTTTCTTTTCTATATTGCTGGCACCTAAAAATTGGACATTCTGCACGGTGCCCACCCCTCCCATTCCCATTATAAGAATGTATCACTGCAGACCAAGAAAAACGCCTTTTTTTTTTGGCACGTTCGTTTGTGTGCGCAGGGGAACTGACGGAAACTATGAAGGAGGGCAGAAACGACGCGTAAAAGAAGGATTGAAGGTCCGAGATAAGAAGCGAAAATAGAACGACATGGACGGAACAGGAACGTGAAGGTTGCACAGCATGGCAACGGGTGAGAACCGCGAACAACGTGGTGGCCATTCAGGTTCAAGCTCCGTGCGTGCGAGAAGGCCCATTCTCAAAGGGGTCTGATTGGAGCAAACGCGGCAAACTACCCCTTTGCCTCCAAAATATTGGCACAGAGACACACGCGAGAAAGAAAGATAAGATAGAAAAGGTGAGAAAGAGAGATGTTATACTTTGTCGCAAATACCACGGTTACGAGATAACGCTTCTGTAGAAGAAATTCCAAGGGGGAGATAGATGTGGAGGTAGAGAGGGATGGAAATGGTGCCAGCTGGAGAAGTGGGGGAGATGGGACGATGAGGCCCCGGCGTCCTATCACGGCCGCCATCCAGACCTGTCCGGACGGGGCTCCCGTTGTGTTTGCATCAACAAGGCCGATGGCTGATGAAGAGCAGGAGAGTAGGATGCTCCAGGTCGAGAAGACGTAGCTGTAGAGGCAGTGCTCAAGCTTGTAACTGGAGTAGGCATGGTAGCTGGGGCGGCGATAATGAGCGCAGCTTCGGTTTCCTGCTATCCAGATCCATTAGTTCCCTGAGCTGATGTGGCGCCTTAACTAGAAACTCTTTTGCAAGTTCATGCGGAGGCAATTCATCGTTGGCCACAAACTGAAGCGTTTTCCAGGCTGTTCACCTGCATAGATGGATATATACATTTTTAAAAAAAACGCGCCGTACATGTATAGATAAACTTTCTTCTCTGCGATGGATACGACATGCGTTGTGTTGAGCAGGTTAAACGTATGCTTGCGTTTCTGAGCTGCACGTTGCCAAATATCGACTATGGCGATCGATAGTGCACGTTTGCTGGCCAATTAGAATTGCTTTCACCATGTTGTCCCTGTTTTCGATGTTAGAACTGCAGATGAACGGGCATAATTCAGTGGCAAAGTTATACCCAAGTTGCTCTTTCAGATGTGTGCTTGTCCGCAATGGCTCTGTCCGTTAGGAACAAGAAAACCGCGTAGCCTTTTTAAAAACAGGCGTAAAAGTCGCTAGGACAGTGTGTCTAGAGAGACGACTGCTCAACTATTTTCTTCTTATAAGCAGATAAAGTACTATCGACACCAGGCATCTTTGGCCATCGATAACCTATAATAAAGCATTCTCACCGTCAGTATTCGTCCATACTTAAAAATGGTCGGTCGTTTTATTTCGTCTCCGAATGCGAACACAGGGAACATTTTCGTCCGCATTGTAGCACCATAGAACATGACCGACACTGCAAATCGATTGAGTGTATCCATCTTCGTACACATTTTGTTTCGCAGAAGTGCTTATCTGATGGTGTGTCGCCCAGCCATGCAAGGAATAGGCGGTAAGGGAATGATTCCAGATGACGAACGAAAACGAGATATCATTTCATTTTGATCGGGCCGGTTCAACCGTTACCCGTATTTTCTTGATGCTGTTTGTGGTCGTTCAACATGAAAGGGGCAGTCTATGAGGCATCAGCGATTAGTAGCGATAGGGAGCATGATGTGGTATACAATGCACAAACCTAATGGCTCCTTCCCCGCGCTCAAAGGGAGAACGTCGCACTGCAGACGTTGCGAAGGAAGAAATGGTGTCGAGTGTGAAGAAAATGTCGCCATGTGCGAGTGAACGCAACCGGTTTTGGTAAGCAATTTTGAACTCTAATGCCCACAAAGTTTTTTGAGATCTGTTCCAAGGATGGAGAGATCTCGCGTAATAAGCCCCACTTCCCCTACTCCTCCATGTCGCTCCGACTGTCTCCCCTCTCCCCCTTCTGTTCCTCAGAAGCCAGGTTGGCAAGGCGCTATCGAGCCCATGTCTATCCTTCTGGGAGGTTTTTTTTTAATTTGTATTTTTGGTTTACATCCGTGTCCGCTTTGAGAAACTGAGGATTTCTAGCACGTCGCTCGCCAAAAAATTATATCCATTTTCCGTTAGGATGACGCGATCCGAACGGAGGATGGAGTGCGCTACCGACCACAAGGAGCCTCACTTTTATATTTTACCCACATCCATGACCCTGCATGCCATATGCAATTAGAGTTCATGCAAGAGAGAAAATACAAAAAAAAACGCGTGCTTGCGCGAGATCTGTTGCAAACACCGCTTCGTTGACACCATCGCGCGTATGTGGCGTTCCATGAAGCTCTCTTTAGGGAAACCAGAACAAGATAACAGCAGAGCCCCATCGGGGACGGGTAAGCCCGTCCATCAGGTCATGTCCCTGATGGATATCTCGCGCACCCAAACCTGGACGCTTCCCGCGACTCGGACGCGCTCTAAAACGCATAAATACTTGAGCACCAATCCTCGTCCTTTTTTTCACATAAGCTTCTTCATCGCCATCAAAAAGAAGAATCCTCACCTCACCGAATAAGACTTTCTTATCGCACTCTTACGATGAAGTCGATCACATTCCTGGCAACTCTGCCAATCGCCATTATTTCCTTCTCTCATCTCATCTCTGTCGCCACCGCTTCTTCCTCCACCTCCTCACAGGACCCACTGGCCGAGGCCATCGAGGACGACCGTCGCCGCGGGCATGGACACGACCATGGACATGAGCACCAGAAACCCAACTTCTTGGTCTTTTTGACGGACGACCAGGACCGTAGGATGGACTCTTTGGAGCATTTGCCGCTGGTGAAGAAGTACCTCCGAGACGAGGGCACAGAGTTCACGAACTATTATACGACTACAGCAATGTGTTGTCCGAGCCGGGTGTCGTTGTGGTCGGGCCAGTTTGCGCATAATCATAACGTTACGGATGAGTCGCCTCCACATGGTGCGTTATCGAGACTTCCTTTTTAAAAAGAATGGTCCACGAACTGAAGTACTACCGATGCAACAAGCCCTCAATTCATACCTTCCTCTATTAACTTCTCGATCGACAGGCTCCTACACAAAATTTGTGTCCCAGAAACTTGACCAGGACTGGCTCCCGACATGGCTCCAATCCGCAGGATACTCCAACAACTACATCGGGAAATTCATCAACGGCGTCTCCCCCTCGTTGAAACAAGCCCCCAAGGGATTCGATTCCGCCCATTGGGAGCCTCTCGTTGCTCCAAACATCTATACCTTCTACTCCCCGGTCTTCGCCACCAACAACGGACCCCTCGAGGCGCACGAGGGTGTCTACCAGACCGACATTATCTCCGATAAGTCCATCGCCATTCTGGACGGGCTTGCCAAGAACAAGTCTACACCGTGGCTGTTTGTGATCTCCCCAACGGCCCCGCACGACGAGGTCTGGATGACACCGAATGGGACCGTATTCACGCCTCCGGTGCCTGCGAAACGACATGAAGGGCTCTTCAAGGGAGCCAAGGCACCGAGACATCCGAGCTTTAATCCGGAGAAGAACGATAAGCCCTCTTGGATCGGGACACTTCCGAGGTTGGATGAGAAGCAGGTCGAGGCGATCGATGCAACGTATCGTGCACGGTTGCAGTCCCTCCAAGCGACCGATGAGCTGGTCGAGCGTGTGATCAAGCGACTGGAGGAACATGGACAGCTCGAGAACACCTATATTGTCTACACCACCGATAACGGATATCACCTGGGTACCCACCGGATGTTTGCGGGTAAGCAGACCGCCTATGAGGAAGATACAAATATTCCATTCATCATCCGTGGGCCTGGCGTCGCCAAGGGTCAGAAATCAAACGCAGTCGCCACACACACCCATTTCCCGGCGACCGTGCTCAAACTCGCTGGACTTTCTCTGCCCGAGGCCTTGGATGCCCATTCGATCCCCGTGCTCGAGAACAAGGCCGTCTATGGGAAGGATCAGCCGACCGAGGCTTTCAGTGTCGAGTTCTGGTCTGCGGCCTTTATGGAGAACACGACTGCGAGGTTTAACACGAACACTTATAAGTCTGTGAGGCTGATCGGTCAAGGATACAACTTGCTGTACACGGTCTGGTGCACGGGCGAGAAGGAGTATTATGACCTCGTCAAGGATCCCTTCCAGGTGAAGAACGTCTACAAGGAGACCAAACCCTCGCTACTGAACCGGTTGGATGCGTTGTTGAATGTCTTGAGGACTTGTAAAGGCCCGACCTGCAGGGACCCCTGGTCAGTGATCCACGCCCAAAAGAGCGAAGAAGACACGAATAAGAAGGATAAGGACCATCATAAGAGCGTGAAGTCGTTGAAAGATGCGCTGAACAAGAAGTACGATCAGTTTTATGCGAACTTGCCCAAGTTTTCCTTCAAGGATTGTCTTCAGTACTACTTGACTGAGAATGAAGGCACCACGCCCCCGCACTCTGAGCTATAGAGCATCATCCATCCATAGACATACACAAAGACGCTATCAATAAAATAAGTAGAGAGTCAAAAACCTCAAAGGCTTCGCTTCGAGCATGATATTACTGCCCTTGCCAATTTAAAAATAGGACGCTTGAGCTGACGAACGTGGGCGAAGCAGTTTGTGGTGTTTCATAACATTGAAAGACTAACTACCCGTAGATCAATATTTAGCACACATAGTATAGTCATCGGCAGAGTATTAAAAGAAAAAGAAAGTTCTTCATTCTCTTCATTCATTTCATCTCTTTGTGCTCGTCTCTCTACTGACAAGTCGTCAATACCTCATCTCAATCCCTCCCCTGCAGCTGCATCAAGCTTGCGACTCTCTCTGCTTCTAGCTCTCAAACGGGTGTTATGTGTCATCGTTCCTCTTTTCCGACGACATCATCCCCTGCACCACTTGTTGCTTGGTCGGAGGCTGCTGACGTTGAGGCATAGTCTTGCTGCCGATCTTCTGTATCATGTTTGGCAGAGTCTGTAAATGATTGCGACTGGGCCTGGCGTCCCCTCTGATCATGGCTCTCAGAACCTTCCTCGACATTCTCCGTTGTGACGCCAGCATCGTCCGCTCCCTGGTCATTCCCCTTACTACCTGTTCCTGTCAATTCTTCATCGCTGTTTATGTGCGCCTCCACATCTGCTTGCTCAGAAGCATGAGGATCGTGAGACATGTAGCCATACCCAGTCATCGACTATGAAAAACGCCAATAGTATAAAAAATGTAAAAAAATGTGTAAGGACCAGATCTCAATCCATTCATACGAGTAAAAGGTCAGTCGCAATAATACATTCAACACGTACCTGATGGTATGCCTCTTCAGCTGGTACATACCCATACGCAACGCCATCGTATCCAAATAATGGCACCATGCCTTCCATGCCATGTCCTCCTTCGCCCCCTGCTCCAGGGATCATAGGCATTGATGTCGGATGACCGGTCACCATTCCTGCGCCAGAGATCATGCCCGCAGGCATGGGGGGCCCTTGTCCCGGATGCCACGCAATTGTACCATGTATAAATGGATTGGGACCAGGAACATACGGGTATCCCATGTAGGGTGGCATCATCGGATATCCTGGAGGAGGAAATGGCGCAGGATATCCCACAGGTGGCCCTTGTCCATTGTATACGCCTGGATGAGTCAAAATGGGCTGTCCTCCGAGTTGATTCGGTGGAATGTGTGCACCCGGCGGGATAGGTCCACCTCTCGATCTGCCAGAATAGCTTTGATCCTGTTGACCTGCAGGGCCACCCGATCCTGGCGGCGCGCCTCCTACATCATGTTTATATCCAGAGTTTCCGCCCAGAGACGGATCAGCAGCAGGCGAAGACATATTAGGCCGGTATGAACCAGGATAGGAATGGTGCTGAAGTCCTGTATGACGCCGAGGTGCATGTGGTAAGTGAAAGGGCGGGTTCTCATATCCACCGTGTTGAGACGATGGGTGGTATGACGAGCCGTACTTTCCGCCGGGACCTCCAGAGCCGCCCTTGCGATGATTTGGCGAGTGATCCTGCTGGTAAAAGCCTCCTTGCATTCCTGCGCCACTCATGGATGAAGTACCGTAGCCACCAGGACCACCACCTCTGTAGTTTGGTTTGTTGCCCCAGCCTGATCTTTGCTGATCCGGATACTGATCCGCCGCGAACGGTCCCTGTGAGGTGTTTGATCCATGGCTGCTGTGTGATCCAAAGTGACCATGTCTAGGGGAGCCCCGATAGCCACCTGCACCTGAATACGGCTGATTTACGTCGCCACTGAAATGACCTCTGTTCGTCATATGCATAGACGAATGCGTGTTTTTGTAGCTGGAGCCCGGTGCCCGCGATGGATCGATGGATGTGCGTCTGTCACCGCCTCCGGATCCCGCCGATCGGGTGCTCATGATACTAGACCGTCGTGATGATGCGCTTCTATGAGACTGCGGAGGTGCAAGCGACGATAATTCTTCTGCCACACTGGATCGGCGGCTACCATCGGAGTCAGACCTGCTACCCTGTCCGCTCACGCTACTCCGTCCCCGTCGGTTGCTGCAATTTGGTTTCTTGAACAGTTCCAAAAGCCGCTCCCCAATGGCTGGGTCGACTTCCGTCCCATCCTTCGAAACTTTGATCTCTCTATTCTCGTACAGCGGGTTCAACATGTGCGTCGTCTTTGAGAACGGGACCTTATGACTAATTGAACATAAATAACAAAATGCACATATCAACAACCACCCTCACGTAATCAATTATTGCACTTTGAACATTTGCCATAAACGTGGTCGGGGAACGTGCACATCTGCTTCGTCCATACACTTACACGTGCATCCACTGAATAGGAAATCGAATTCCCCAGGACTTTGTGGTCGTCGAGTTGCGGGCAATGACCGCTGCTTCCTCGTTTGTGATCTGTCGACCCTCTTTGGCTGCCTGCTCGATCTCCGCCAGCATGGCAGCCTTCATCTCAGGCGACAATGGAAGATCTTCCGTCGCTGGCTGCCATATCTCGTTCTCTCTGCCTGTTGTAATTGCGCGCTCATTCTCTGTGGAGATGTGGTCTAGCATTCTATAGACACACGAAGATCCCAAATGTAGGTCATAGTCAGCGTCACGGATGTAACACTCGCAGAACTCGCCTCAAGAATGAAAATAACAAGGATAGGCGTCATGGTAGAGGGCTCCAAAGGTATTACCGAGCATAGCCAAAGAATTCGCCGCTCTTGTTTGCACTGAATACAAGGTACACGTTCTTCGTGTTCTAAAAAAAAAAGGCGCACGGGAACACAAGAAAAGGGATCAAACACTAAAGGTTAGCAAACCATTTACAATACAAGACCGGATGTACACACCGACGATTTTCACGCATGAGAAACCGTTATGATATACCGAAAACGCCTCGTTGAGGATGGGTACAAGGTGGTCCTGTGTAGCCCAGATTCCATATTGAACACTCAGCTTAAGATCCTCCTCATTCAAACTCTTTAGAATAAAGAACCGTGACTCCGCGTACTCCAGAGATGTGGTGGATCGCGACTTTTTCGAGCTTCCTCTCTCTTTGTGTTGAGATGGACCTAAGGTCGAGCCTTCTCCTCCGCTCGAAGAGCTATCCAGCATCGGGCTGCCGCCTTCCAGGCGCATCCTCTCCATCCTGCTTTGCACCTCAGAGATGTCGCGGTGGCTATCGCCAGTCTCCAAGCGTTGCGTTAACAAAGGCTGGTCACTGCCATAGTATCCCATGGAATCCGGTATGTATGGCGGTTGCTCATGTTGCTGCTGATGCTGTGGGTGGCGCTGCTGGTGCTGAAATCGGCCAAGAGACGCGATCTTGTTCGAGTATGGATCTGAACCCGGGTCCTTTCGAGGCCGGCAGACAAGCCGAGTGTTTTTGAACTCTCTATCGTGAAATCGTTGGACAGCACGATCGACCGCCTCGTGGCTTGAGTAATTGACGAACGCGCAATTGGATTTCGACAAAATAAATATGCTCTGTAGGATTAAATGCATAGAAGGACAAACCGACATGAGATTTCATGCTAACTGTATAATATCGCCTCAGAGCACAGTATGGATTAATTGAGATAGATGATTTTTACCTCTGGTATGTCGTGCTGAATATCTCCCTCAGCCTCTGTCGGTTCAGCCTCAAAGATCGCTTGCAGCTCGGCGAGAGTTGTATCGTTTAGAACGTTACCCACCCACATCGCCTTGTCCAGCTCCTTCGGTTTCTTTTGTAATGCGGGCGTGGGAATTTGATGCCAGCCTTCGGGTGTCGCGTAGTATCCCGAATGTTGAAAATCCTGCGGGTATCCTTGGTTCGTAAAGGGCTGCTTATAGCCTGATGGGGAATGAAACTGCTGACCAGGCCGACCGCCAGTTGGCATCGAAAATGGATGTGATCCGGGAGGGACCGGTGCCTGGCCCGGGTATACAGCTGTACGACGTGACCCCGGTGAGGGCGGCATTGGAGGGACGGTAGGACCAAAGAAGGGGGGAGGTGCTCCATAAGCTTGCTGACTGGGGGCAGGGCCCTGAGGGAGGGCCATTGCACCATGAATACCGGGCCCTTGACCTTGCTGGCCTGAGAGCGGCTTGGAGTGGTTAGGATTTTGACGCGAAGGATAGTAAGGGGATGCAGGAGCAGATCGATGGGAGGGCTGAGGATATGGCGATTGGTGTGAGCCAGAGTGTGGACCAACTGAGTGTGGGGCAGAGTAAGGGCTGGGGTATTGTCCGAATGGCTGCTGTAAGTGTTGTTGCTGTTGTTGATGTTGGTGCTGTGAAGAAGAGGGTGGAGATACAGCTTCCTGTTGTTTCGGTTGCTCCTGCAGCCCATCACGTTCGCCTACAACTTCTTCCTCTGCTTGCTGCCCCTGAACAGCAGCCGTTTCATACGTATTAGCCGCAGGATCAGTCGTAGAAGGGTAGTTTTCATTGCCGCTGCCGCCGCCAGCAGTAGCAGGGGTCATATGAGCGCTGGCTTTGCCGGTATCAGAGACAGCAGCATTTCCCTGTGTGCCTGTATCCGCTACCGCTGCTGGCGATATCGTTCCCATGGCGGAAGAGGCGGAACTGCTGGGAGGATTTGAGTGGTGTGACGTTTGTGTCTGCTGTGACCCTGTACAAGCAGCGGCCGTCAAAGACGACGGAAAGGAGGTTTTGGCCGATGGTTGTGCCGGAGAGGGGTAATCTGGGGCAGGTGCACGGAGGGCGGGTAGTGAAACCGCGGGAGAAAGGTTGGTTGAGCTGCTGTCTTCGTGGCTGTTGAATGTATCGCCTCCCTCGGAATCGCCCTTATCGCCCGAGGATCCAGAAGAGCTGGACCCTATGCTCCCGAGTGACGCAGAAGATTTGAGCTGGTGCATATTGGGCGTAGAGATGCTTTCGAGCGTGGATTGTCCAGAGAAGCTGGTTGGCTTGATGGTTGTACCCACAAAAGATAGGGGCGTACTCGTTGGCCCATGGATTGGAAATGGACCGTTCTGGTGTCCTTGAAAGTGCTGTGAATGTTGCTGCTGAGAATGCTGGTGTAGGGCATGCTGTTGCGCGCGTGGATGATGCTGAGGATGATGCTGGTGCTGGTGCTGGTGTGCAGTTGGGCGGTATTGACGCGAGTTTTGAGGTGAAGCGTGCTGCTGCTGCTGGTGTTGTTCATAGGGCAGAGCCATGGGCGGTGGATGATATCCCACGGGAAACTGTTCGCCGTTGGGCCCGATATATACAGCAGGATAGTACGGAATCATGCTCGAGGGATGAAATTGTGGTAGTGGAGGCGGCGAAAGCGGTGGATGCAGATGGTGCAGGCTATACGAATGTATAGAGCTGGGGCTAAAGAAGAAAGAGTGAGAGGAAGATGCAAAGGGTACTTGGGATTGCCCCGGCAGTTGGGCGAGAGCAAGGTTGATTGATGGTTGAGAATTTGGACTAGATAACGCTACTGGAGCGGAGGGACGATGACGAGGGTTGTTGCTTGCTTGAGCGGCTCTTGTGTTGCCTGAGCGGACGTTTGTGTTAAGTCGTACGGTTGCCGATGTCGCACGGAGAGGAGGGAGCTCAAAACAGTGAGGGCAGGGCGTAGAAACTAAAGCAGATGGCGTTCTTGCCCTCGTCCTTGAGGATGTTAAGGTTGTGTGTCTGGCCGTTATCGGTAAATGTTGTTATTCGCAGTAGCGTTGCCGGTACAGTTGCCCTGAGCAGATGGTACGCGAAGTGTCGGATGGATAAAGAGGTTGGCACAAAGAAAGAATCAGGGGTAAGATAAGGAAAAGGAAGGGTGAGAGAAGGAGAGGTAAGAGAGGCAGAAGAAGGATTCACAATGTGGGAGGAGAAGAAGAAGAGGAGGAAGAAGAAGAAGAGGAAGAAGAAGAGGAAGAGGAGACGAGTTAGAGCAGATGGGAAAAGTCGAGGCAGCGGGACGAGTTACGGCGGTGAGGAAGAGGAAAAGGAAAGAGGGGAAAAGGCAAAGGGGAGACGAATCTTCCATGTGCTTATTGCGATGATATCGTGCTTTGATCTTTCGTGGTGTTTCCCGTTTGACTCTTATGCCAAATACTGGACCTGTTCCTGTTCCTGTTGCTGTTCCTGTTCCTGTTGCTGTTCCTGTTCCTGTTCCTGGTCCTAGTCCTAGTCCTGGTCCTGGTCCTGGGACGTGTGTGTATTTCTCCTGCCTTGGGCTCCTGTTCATGCCGTGTTTGTACCTCTGTTCTTATTGTTGTTTGTTACTCTTGTTTAGGGTGTGTCGTTGTTGCACAGGGCTTGCACTCGGTCGTATCGTTGTATGCTCACGTTTTACTCATATACTTATGTTCATGCTTGCTTACAGAACCACAAAAGAAGCTTACTCCTCTTTGGCGCTCCTATTGCATTATCACATTATCACATTATCACATAGAAAAAAAGACAGCGTCAGATAAAAAAGCCTTATAGTTCGATCAACAGTAGGACAAGAGCGCAACACGTTCGATACGCACCGATACTGGTAGATGCTGTTACAGACCTTATTTAATGCAATTCACAGAAGATGCGGATACCTGTAGAAGCAACCAAGGAACGATCGGAGTTGCCACCAAAACGATGCATCGGCAAAGAGAAAAAAGGAGTGAGCAAAACAACGAGCTTAATATAGTGAGATACCAAGGCTGTCCACCATGGATAACGAAAGACCAAGATAAATGCGTGGCGCACATCTTGCTTCACTTGCCGAGGGAAGGAAGAAAGGAATGAGTCGAGTTGACACAGGTCCAAGCGGAATGAATGAACAAATGAGAAAAAAGAGGAAACGGTCATGGAAGCACAAAGGGCCAGACAGAGCCCTGTTCGCTGTTGCTTTTTTTTTTCCCATCACACAAATCGTATGTCACACCAACCCCATGCAAAGCCATAAGAGCCATGCCATGCGACATACCCTCCTGCACACATCCTGTCCCTACACAAACGCACTTATGCACGCACTCACAATCAGGGTATTAAAGATATTGACCCTACTTGACCGATTTCATTTAGCGATAGATAACCCTCTTCGTCTATCATTCTGTATCAGATTAAACTGGATTCTAGTTTTCTAATTTCTTCCCTTTCAATTTCAATGGCCCATATTATCAATCTGTATGCCTTACAAACAGCAACAGTAGACAAAGCTTGTTATACGCATAGACATCGTTGACCAAAGGGCTCCTTTCGATTGCTCGCTCCTTCATCCTTCATATCCTTATCGGCCCAAGCATCGCATCGATCGCAGCAAAGACCAAAGCTGATGTTGTTATTGCTCTTCGTTGAATAGCCTGATGGGCTGATTTTTTTTTTTTATAATTGAGTAAATGTGTTTTCTGCCATTATTCTTCCACCTTCTTTTTCTCTTTCTCTTTCTCTTTCTCTTAATAAAGTTGTCGAAAGGAAAAAAGAAAGGGTTTGCGTTTGTCTGTATGTTTGTGTTTGTGTTTGTGTGCTTGTCTGAGTACGCTGCCATCCTTGACCCTATTACGGCGATCTTCGTTGCCTTCTACTCATGAAAACCACCATAAACAGGAAGAAGTCCGCTGCCTAAGAATTATCGTCGGTACCAAAAACAAAAAGATAGTCCCTGTCCGTCATCCGTCAACTCAGGGTTGATACCTAACAAAGCCAAATCGTATGCGAACAAAAAGGTTAAGCATGTAAGTACAACCAGTAAACAGTGCATTTTTCAGAGCGAAAATTCGAGGAAAAAAGGAATCAAGTCAAACGAAGCTGCGCTGTGTTCAAGGTCAATCTTTGTCCGTAAAATGCCTAGTCTGTTGGTTGGTAGGCAACTGTATGTTTGTATAGGTGTTGGTGCACATATCGGTCGAGTCGTTGTTGCTTGCCAATGAGCCAAACGAGTCGTTGGTAGACTCAATAGGAGGAGCCCTTAATAGCACTATCACGATTTCACACTAGTTACTGGTGCAATGTGAAAGTGCTGCTCCTGTTGCTCCGTTGATCTTGTATTCATTCTCGTCCCTCCTCGGCTACGCGGACTTAACGAGGTTGTTTCTTCTTTAGGCAGTCCGCTCCAATTATTGTTGTTTACGTTGTTATGTCAAGTTGGCGTTGTCCTGAGAATAAAACTGATTTCTTCCATTGCCCAAAAAGCGCCAATGGCAAAGTGAAAAAAAGACAGCACTTGCGAGAAGCTTACATTCGGTCTGAAGGATTTACGCGTGGATCGTTGCCCTGGTCCTGTCCCTGAGGCATCGATTGGTTCGGAGGCGGCACTTGCAGGCGGCGACGAGGCTCTACGTGCGCCCCCATCGGCTGCATCATCGGCTGTTCGTTCCTCACTGTCCTCACCGGCTGCTGGTAGTACTGCTGGTATTTCTGCTATTGATTGATTGATTGATTGATTAGACAAGTAAACATGGACCACGTATGAAAAACAAGAGCCATATAAGGAAAATAAAATACATCAACTGAGTTCCGTTTCAAGAAGTCACAATTGACATGTCGTTTACCTCGTCCTGTTGTGGTGGTAGTGGCTGCTGCTGAACCTGAGGCTGCTGCATGGCCATCTGCTGGCTACGGGTGCTTTCTTTCTCCTATTTCAATGATTAAAGAAAATTGATATATAAATAAGGATGAGATAGTGGCCATCGGCAAACACATAGATAGAGCCATAGATCGATCATACTGCTTCATGGTACGTACGTATTTGTAGATGGTCCAGTCAAAGACATAGTCATATTGGAAACCCTCGCGAACAAAGAGGTCGCGGAACAGCTTGCGTAAGTACGAGTAGTCAGGCTTGTCGTCAAAGCGGAGCGAGCGGACATAGTTCAGGTAGATGGCAAACTCTTGAGGGAAACCGCGGCAGAGTATGTCCGTTGATGTCGTCATCTTCTTCTCCATGATACGGTCGTACTTTTGTTTCTTAGTCGCCGCCTTCAGTCCCTGCCATGGAAGTGATCCTCTGCAAAAGTACATCATCACGTATGACAACGACTCCAAATCATCTCGACGTGATTGTTCTATTTTCCAATGCAAAGAGTGCAGTAGTGAGTTGTTGTTCAATTGCATTGTAATGGTAGATTCAACACCCATTGAACTCAATATGATTTGGCACGGTTACATACCAACTCCCAGATGGGTATTGATACTGGCATAACGGGCTGTTCCCGTCAGGTTCTTGTTCTCTCTGTAAGGAATGTGCAGGTGGCTCTTGGGGTCGCGGTACTTTTTGGCCAGCCCAAAGTCGATGACATACACCTGGTTTCCACGCTTGCCAATACCCATCAAGAAGTTGTCGGGTTTGATGTCACGGTGAATAAAGTTCTTGGAATGGATGTATTCGATGCGTGAAATCTAAAATGATGTTGAGACACGGACACAACCAAAAACCTTGGTTAGTTACCGTGACTGAAACAAAGGGGCTGGGAAATCCAACACTGTTCAAACTGCCCTCATGGGCTGAATAAAAAATAAAAGAAAAGGCGGAGACAAAAGGGATTGCAGTGCGGCAGGAGTGGAGCGGCGCAATGAGGAAGACGAGGAAAAGAGCAGATGGACAAGACAAGATAAGATAGCACATACCAGTTGATCCGCCAGCAAAAGAACTGTCTTCAGAGAGAACTTTCTGCTGCAGAAGTTGAATAGGTCCTCCAAACTTGGTCCGAGGAGATCCATGACCATGGCATTGTAGTCGCATTCCGTTCCAAACCAGCGAATAAAGGGGATGCCGATTCCGCCTGCCAACGTCTTGTATACTCGTGCCTCATATTCCAGCTGTGGATGCTTTGCTTTGATGGACTCCAGTTTGATAGCCACTTCTTCGCCATTGACAATACTCGTGCCTGGAAAAGAAAAGAAAAAACCACAAGAGTATACCCGACAAGGTTAGTAAGGCGCACGCCAATTTTCATTAGTCCAGCGACAATAGTATGCATCGAGGTTGGCAATTAGCAAATCCTAGTGAGACATACAAAGGGCAGCCCAATGATGCTCCAAAAGAAATGGGCACAATCGAGATCATGAAAAAAGAAGCAATAGTGAGAGCCAGGAGGCGTGTGCTGCTGTTTTTGAGTGTCATGCGCAACAAAAAAAAAAAAAAAAAAAAAAAAGTGAAAAAGTGGCAGAGAAGGCAGAGAAGGCAGAGAGGAGTATGGTTGGTTTTTTGCGTTCAGGAGGTATCTTTCGTTCAGCGTAATAGCTCGAAAAAAAATTAAGAAAAAAAAAAAGAGCGCAATCGAGAGCGAAACATTGACCACCGAGCCCCGCCACAGACACCCATACGCTCTTGTTCCCATGCTCTGACTGTTTCCACGATGATACCGCACTATTCCGAGCTTCATGTCTCATGGTGTGAGTCCAGGCTCCACACAGCCATTACCCATTCTTTGATAAATTGGTTGAAGAAATATGGGAGCCAGGTGTCGGACATATGACACAGTAGGGGACTCTTTGGGGGTTTATAATTTTGAGCTATAATGAGCCATGAGGGCTTCATTAAAACCTGCATATCAATCAAGTGGGCAGATAAGTCGAAAAATGAAGGCTTCGGTAGTGCTGGGGATAGGAGCACAAAATGGGCCCAGAAAGGCAGCACGTTGCCAAGAATGAGGTATATCGACAAAAAAGACAACTGATGAAAAGTAATGAAAGCGCAAGATGCGATCAAGATTTGCTTACCAAGGTAGATGTCGCCAAAGGAGCCAGAGCCGATTTTGCGGCCGATTCTGTACTTGTTGCCCACTCGCAGTTCCATGGTCATCGAATCAGACGTTAGAGGGTAGGGCGCAGGATGGAATGTATGAGCTGACGGACGGATTTGACGCTGCTCAGTTACTGCACTGCTATTGTTTGAGGGGTAGCACGGACGTGCAGGCCAAAATGATGATTAGTAAAAAATGAAATGTGAGGAGCGAAGAGCGAGTGAATGAGTGAGTGAGAGAAAGAGAGGGAACAAGGGAACCGAGCAGGGATGATTAGTTGAAATAATGATGAAAAGGAAAGGGAGATGACAAAAGGATGAAGAAAAGGACGAAGAGGGCAAAAAGAAAAAGGAAAGCAGAAAAAAAGGAGACGCGCAAGTGAAGCAAAGCAGTACAAAGGAACAAAACCACCCGCCCCACGCATCCAAAGCCCACAGGTCAGTCCCGTCCCGTCCATCCCACTCCCAATTGCAGAGATACAAATGCTCAAAAATAAGCATCCAATTGACAATTATATTGGTATTGGCAAGAAGCCGTGGAACTCATGCTTCCTTCTCTCCTCTTCCAGAAGAGTAAGTAGCAGCTTCAAGAGCATATGTATCTCTATATCGCTTTGTTTGATTGATAGTAATCGAGATCGAAGGGCTGAGATCACGTTTGGAGCGCCAAATAGCGCCGACATAATGCCATAATGTCATTCAATTTAATGTGGCAGAGCATGCCAAAGCACACATTCCCTCTTTCCAACGGGAAGGCATCAATTGAGTGCTATATCTGAAACATATGCACTCTGATCTACCATGTAAGGCAGATGTCCATGAAGAATGTCCCCAGAACATGGTCATAATATACATACGAGAGTTCCAAGGGAATGAAAGAAGGCCAAAAGTGCGGATAATGGATAATGGGGAGGGCATGGAGGGGGAAGTGTCAGTAGGGAGAAAGAGGGGGGTGAAAGAGAGAGCGCAACAGATCACCTGATCGTCATTCAGCATGACCGATTGAACATGGGTGATGAGTTAAAAATATCTCGGATCCAGCTGAATGAGAACGAGGGGTATATGTGTATGGGGAAGACAGTGAACAAGGTCCATTGGGAACGAAGCGATGATGTAGATGTCAACCTATTGAACTACAGCACCAAGGATGGGATGACAGGGGGTGCACTTTGATTCCTACACCATTGACAGCCGAGGCGCTTTTGTTTGATGCATTTGCACAATCGCATAACAAAGCAACCCTACTGCACCTCGGGACAACTCAGAGACATGAATATGCAAACAAATACGCGAAATACAGCCGCATATTCCACGGTAGCACCCAAGAGTATCCACAAAGTGCATTTGCTGAAAAATAAAAACGGTGGCAAGAATAAAATAAAGAAGCTTTTTGAATTGTGGAATGAGTAGTGATGCATAAAGAGCAGCGGAAAAGTTGGTGGCAACAGTTTGATGACAGTAAAATAGACAAGGAAAACGAGGGCTGTGTAGTGGCGTCTCCAACGAACGTGTATGTGAGCTCGATTCAAAGCGAAAGTGGTGTTGGGATGTTACAATGAGCTGAGCTGATAAGCGTACCTTCAGCTGAGAAGGATAAGACGATAAAGGTGAGGCTGAATGAGAAAACGGATGGAGTTGTTTCTGTTGACAGATTGTTGTTGTGGGGGGAAAAGAACAAAGAAGGATGATGAGGTGGAAGCAGTTTTCTCCAACGTGCGGGAACACGTCACCGTAATGGCCAAAGGGCGTTCCCATTGGTCCACCATGTGCCTCCAATTTATTTCCTTCGAGTCTGTGCAGCAGGGGCAGATCACTTGAAAAAAATAGAACTTCGACAACAGTGCAAGCAACCTTGAAATCGCGTCCGCGGCAAACGTTTGAATATAACCATGCCCTTAAAAACAACTCGCATATTTGTATGAGTGATCGATGAAGACTCCAGAGTTTGGCTACTTCGAAGCATTATCAGTCAAGGCAGATTGAGAATCCAAGAAGGCTGTGTATTCATTTGGTAATAATTGTGTTTATTCTTACCATACAATGTACGAGTTTTCTCCACCATATCCAGGTATTCAGATAGTCTCACTGACATATCGTATGTTTCGGCCAGCCATTCTGATAGAGCTGTGCTTCTGAACGCGCTGCGACGAGAGTACAGGGGAAGTGTGGAATCAACAGTCACAATATATATTCGAATGTAAACATGCGCCACGCAAAAAAAAAAAAAGAAAAATGAAGCGTCCTCGCTGCTTTTCCCCCTTCTTCCTCCCCCCACTCTCCTCCACCTCTCTCTCTCCATCGGTCTCTGCGGCTATTCTCGATATCCTCCATCGACAGCTATCCGACAGAACTGTAACTTTTCTTCCTTTTTTCCACCATATTCACTTTTGCATATCACAACCCACCCATTCAACCTACCATATCTCAGCATCGTTATATCATACTACTTCAACAATATGTCATCAAAAGAGTTCAAGGCACCTGTAACAAAGAGAAAGCAAAAGGAGGAAGAGGACTTTCCTCGTGGTGGAGCAACCGGCCTTACGCCGCTCGAGTTCAAAGAAATCGCCCACCAGGCTGACAACTCGCTTTTCTCAGTAAGTCCCTCAAACAATAGTCAAGGAGATATCAAATGCCAACAAGGCGGTACTGAAAGAGCCATGCAACTCATTCCTTGTAACCTATTTACTTATATCGTTTTTGCGCTCAAAGGAACCCGGGGTAAAGAGTTCGACTGCGTCTGGATCGGAGCCTGCCAAGAAGAAACGCAAGCCCACCAAAAAGACCCTCAACAGCACAGCTAACTTTGAGAACACCTTTGATGACAAGAAACTCAAGGCCGATATTCTCTCCTTCAAAGTGAGTCATGAATGCTATCAACCGTTCAATACAAAATATTGCGCCAGCCTATCACGATAATCCGGTCCTAACTGCCACCTTTTGTTCTCATGAATCGAATCTTGATATAGCGTCTCACGGAGGGTACCAAGGTTTTTGGATGCATCAGCAACATCACCACTGGACGCGATAATCTGCCCGAGCTAGTCATTTCTCTTCCCAACAACCTTACCGGATATGTCAACATTTCAGAGATCTCGGACGAATTAATCCAGGAAGCCGGGGACAGCCTTCCCAACTTGAAGGAGCTCTTCTTTGTTGGTCAATGGGTTCAGTGTGTCATTATTGGATTACAACAGGGCGCTTCGGGCGGTGCAGCAGCATCTGGGAGCGATAAACACAGACGCAAGGTCTTCTTGAGCATGAAGCCATTCATTGCAAATGCCGGGGTTAAGCCCGTTGATCTTGCTGCTGGAACGGTACGAAGCGTTTATGGAAATTCATTTTTTAGCACACAGAGCTATCGTTAGATATGACGTATATACTAATGTTAAGCTGTCTCTGCCGCTGTTTATGTACACAGCTCATTTCAGGTGCGATTCAGAGCGTGGAGGACCATGGGTACATCGTGTCGCTGGGAATCCACGGCATGCACGGATTTCTCAAAAATTCAGAGGCAAAAATGTATCAGCGTATCAAGAACAACAACAAGCCCTTGGCTGTCGGCCAAGTTCTCGCCTTCAACGTCCTTTTGGTTGAGGGTAACAAGAAGACTGTTCAGTTGACCGTCGATTCCTTGAAGGTGTCTAGGGCAATTGTACGTATTTTGTTCGTGATCCGTGTATCAGCCTGGTTTCCGACTTCCCAAAACGTTCACCAACGCTAATGTGACCTGTCTCGACTGAATAGATTGGCGACAATTTTTCCTTCTCAGAGATTGCATCTGTCATGCCTGGTGATGTGATCGAGGCCCACGTTACAGAGATTCAGGATGTTGGCGTGCTGTGCAAGTTCATGGGTCACTTCGACGCCACTATTGACTATTTCCACACCGCCGCTGGTATCATCACCTCCAAAAAACAACTTGAGGAGGCATTCACAGTCAACAGCAAGATCCGCGCCAGAATTTTGTATGTAGACTTGGCCAGCCACCCTACCAGGATTGGACTCTCAACCGCCAAACATGTCATGGGCTTGACTCAGCCTAACACTACAGAGACAGAGATCGGATCAAAGATCTACCCCGGAAACGCCGTGCCCGTCGGTCGCGCATTTGAAACTGTCACTGTGAAGCGCATCGACCCACGCCACGGTCTCCTGTGCGAGATTGAGGGAATCGATATTCCTGGATACGTCCATATTTCACGAGTGGCGGATGAGCATTTGGCGACAATTACTGCCACGGGAAAGTACCGCGTGGACTCGACACATCGCGGTATTGTGCTCGGATATGACCCTGTGGACGGACTCTTTCAGCTCAGCTTCCAGGGTTCAGTCTTGGACCAACCTTTCCTTCGTGTGGAGGACATTGAGATTGGATCGGTGGTGAAGGGTACGGTTACTAAGGTCAGCGATAAGGGAGTAGTTGTCAGCCTTTCCAAGGGTATCAAGGGGTTTGTCCCTCTTGTGCACTGTGTCGACTCCGTAGTTACCAACAGCACCAAGAAACACGTCGATGAGAAGTTTAAGGAGGGCAAGGTTGTCAAGTGCAGGGTTCTCTCAACGGACGCCAGCAATGGCAAGATCATTTTGACTTGCAAGGACCATTTGATTAACAGCAAGCTGCCCATCATCACATCGCTGGAGGGCGTCGAGCTCGGCACCTTTGCAGATGGCGTGATCTCGAAGACCAATGCTCACGGATGCATTGTTCAGTTTTACAACAACGTCAAGGCGTTTGCGCATATCTCGGAGCTCCAGGAGGCTCATGTCACCAATCTCGATATCTTCCAGCCTGGTCAGGTCAAGACCTGCAGGATTTTGGAGGTTGACGCAGATGAACAGCGTATGAAGGTTTCCTTCAAGGTAAACAATCTTGCTTTAAATCATTCAATGCACTCTTGTTCTGTCAAGGACGGACAACTAATATGGCATTGACAACATATAATAGAAATCGTCTGATGTCGATATGACCTCCGTGGCAGTTGGCTCAATCCAGAAGGGCAAGATTGTTACCGTCAAGAAGGATCTTGTCCACCTCACTCTCAAGCCCTCTGAGACCAAGGCCGTTCTCCACATCACACACATCTCTGATCATCTCGGCGAGCAGCCCCAGCGCATTTTTAACAGTCTAAAGGAGGGTATGATTCTGTCGGACTTGGTCGTCATCAACAAGGACGAATCCCGTGGCACTGTCTTTGTGAGCAAGAAGCCCCTCTTGGTCTTGGCAGCCAAGCAGAAAAAACTGATCACTGAGCGCTCTGAACTGAAGCAGGACGAAATCTACCCCGCCTTTGTCCGCCAGGTCGCCAAGTTTGGTGTCTTTGTAGAGTTCAGTAATGGCATTATTGCGTTGGCATTCAGAAATGCGCTGTCGGATAGGTCAGATGTTGAGTTCGTCAAAGGCCAGTCGGTCTTGGCAAAAGTGACCAAGATCGATGTAGAGGATGGAAAGATCGAAGTGACCTTGAAACCTTCGCAAGTCAATGCCTCTTCAGATTCGATTCTCTTCCAGGGCGAGTTCTTGGCGTCATATTTCAAGCAGCTCGAGCGTCTCGCCAAGAAGAACGACTCTGCGCTTTCGGTTGGCGCACGCACGATGGTCGAGGTCAAGAAGATGGAAGCCGATCAGTGGACTGTCGCCTATGGCGCCAACAGCAACACTGGCGTCGTCGCTGTAGAGCACACCAAGGGCGCCAAGGGCAAGACTGGACTGAAGCTAGTCGGCAAAGTGTTGGATGTTGACTTTGAGAAGGAGGCCGTTGACTTCACCCTGAAGGACTCGCTTATCACTGCTGAAGAAACCAAGGAGGCGAAGGCTGGCAAGACCTTGACCGCCAACCAGTCCAAGGAACTGGCTAGCCTTGCTGCTCTCCAAAAGTCGCAGGAGGCCGTGGAGGCCGTAATTGAGCTCGTCAAGGATGACTACCTTGTGTTGACGGTCCCTCAGCTTAACAACATTATCGCTTTCGCTGCCATCCGTTCGTTCAACAACCGCAAGGACCGATTCATCGGCTACAAGGTTGGAGAGAAGATCAAGACCGTTGTCGCCTACGCTCCCAAGACTCAAGCCAAAGGCCAAACCGCCGAGCGTGTTATCCTTGTGATCGAACAGAACGCCGTTGCTTCCTCGAACGCTCGCAACGGCACTGCAAAAGAGAACAGGAAGGCTGGAAATACTGTCGAGAAGTTTGAGGACATCAAGGAGGGCGTCATCACCATGGGCCGTGTTGCCGGTTCGCAGCACATGGGTCTCGATATCCATCTTGGCGGAAAGGTCTTTGGCCGCGTTCATCTCTCCAACATTTCAGACAGCTATGCCAACTCCGAAACATTGATGAAAGACTTCAAGAAGGGTCAAATGGTCAAAGTTTATGTCCTCCATGTGGATAGCAGCAATAAGAAGATTGACCTGTCGCTTCGCGCCTCACGCCTCGCGCCCGAGCAGCATACCGTTGTCAACGATCCTGAGGTCAAGACCGTTTCAGACCTCGCGTCTGGTGGTATCATGCAAGGTTTCGTCAGCAACGTGGCGGATAAGGGTCTTTTCGTGGCCCTGAACCATAAGCTGAGTGGGCGTGTCAAGATTGCGGAGATCTCAGATGACTACGTCAAGGACTGGAAGTCACAGTTCACGGTCGGCCAGCTTGTCAAGGCGAAGGTTTTGAGCGTGAATGCGGACCATAACCAGATCGAGCTGACCCTCAAGGCCAGCCAGATCGATCCCACTGTGAAGGCTGTTCAGGTATTGGCGGATTTCACAAAGGGACAGAAGGTCAAGGGAACGATTAAAGCCGTCAAGGATATCGGTGTGTTCATCAAGATCGACAACAGCGCTGTTAGTGGTCTTTGCCATATCTCGGAGATCTCGGAGAACCATGTTCCTGATGTGTCCAAGTTGTACTCGGTCGGCGACCCTGTCAAGGCCAAGATTTTGGATATTGATCCTGAGAAGAAGCGCATTTCTTTCGGTCTCAAGTCGTCGTACTTTGAGGAGGGTGACGCTGAAGCGGAAGAGTCCGACGAGGATGAGGAGATGGAGGCGGCGGATTCAGATGAGGAGATAGAAGGTATCAGCGATGTTGAGATTGATATGGGCGAGGGTGACTCTGATATTGACGAGGATGGTGAGGAGGATGAGGATGACGAGGAGGTCGACAACATCTTTGCAGGACATGACGACGACGACTCTGACAAAGACGAGGACTCGGATGAGGAAGGACATAAGGAAGTCGATGGCGATGATAGTGATGTTGAAATGGCCGAGGCAACGCCTCTACCCGTTTCTTCTGGATTCAACTGGGGTGGTAAGGATGATGCGGAGGATGATGATAACAAGAGCGCCGGCTCAGACTCTGAATCTGACCCTGAGGATGACGAGCGCTCCTCCAGCAAGAAGAAGAAGGCGAAGAAGCAGGCCGCTGCAGTAGTCACGGACGAAACCGAGGATCTCCAATCACAAGCACCTCAGGTTGCCGCCGACTACGAGCGTCTGTTGCTCGGATCACCCAACTCCTCGTACCTCTGGATCAACTACATGGCCTTCCAGCTGCAGCTCTCCGAGATCCAGAAGGCCCGCGAAATCGGTCAACGTGCACTGAAGTCGATTTCGTTCCGTGAGGAGCAAGAGAAGATGAACGTGTGGGTGGCCTTGATGAACTTGGAGAACACGTTTGGCAGCGCGGATACTTTGGAGGAGGTATTCAGGAACGCTGTCCAGACCTGCGAACCCAAGAAGATCTATCTCCAGCTTGTCAAAATCTATGAGCGGTCCAACAAGATCAATCAGGCCACGGAACTGTACAACACCATGACCAAGAAATTCGGACAGAGCTCGAAGGTCTGGACAGGATTTGGACACTTCCAGCTGCACCATGGTAATATTGAGGCTGGACGCGACTTGTTGCAACGCAGCTTGAAGTCGTTGCCGAAGCGCAAGCATATCAAGACGATCTCGAAATTCGCACAGCTCGAGTTCAAGTACGGAGAACCAGAACGTGGTCGCACGATCTTTGAGGGTGTCATGAGCAATTATCCCAAGCGCGTTGATCTGTGGTCGGTATACATCGACATGGAGGTCCGAAACGGCGAGCAGGATGCAGTTCGGTACGTATCTTCTCTGTTTGTTTCTATGTGGGGCTGTGTAAATTCAACTGACTAACACTATTGATCCGCTTTATTTTGTTTCATTTTTGTAGCCGCCTGTTTGCCCGTGTGGTATCGCTGAAGTTGTCGTCCAAGAAGATGAAATTCTTCTTCAAGAAGTGGCTCGCCTATGAGAAAGACAATGGCGACGAGGAACACGTCGAGGAGGTGAAGAGGAGGGCTCTTGCATACGTCGAGTCATTATCATCATAAAATGAGAGGGTGGAGCAACCCCATCGTAGCATTCAAAACCAAGTAATCCGCATAGAATCTTTATTCTCACTATAAACACACCATCATTTTGTTCATTTGTTTAACACGCATCGATATGGGTTGGCTGAAGAGATGAAAGCAAGGATGTCCCTTGGATTTTAGTTTTAATTTTACTTTAAACACCCTATGTTCTAATCATCGCGGTCGTCACCAGTATCGCCGCACCCAACCCAAGTACACACGATCAATTCTGGCCTCTGCTCTGATAGCTGGCGAATACATTCCGCCCCCACGTCAAAGCTGCTCTCGCTCCCGAAATCTACCCTCTTCAGCTTCGGGTGTCGCTCACGGCTCGCCAGCTCTGCTGTGATAGCCTGGTCCAGGATCGAGTGTGTGAACCATACAGAAATCGATTCCAGCGCAGAGGCGGACCGAGGAGGGGTCTCCTGTGCCACCGAGCCCAGGTCCTGCTGATACTGGTGATCCATATTATTCAATCCGCTGCTAGTATTCCAGTCCGAATTCGATGACGCCGAAGACGGTAGTGTGGCCAAGGCCGATAAAGGACCCGAGCTGGAATTTGATGGGGACACCGAAGATGATGATCCTACGGTCGCAGTGATGGATGAGATCGACGGCGCCAAAGACGATGCCGCAGAAGCGGCTCTTCCATACTCGTGCTTTCCGCTACTAAATGTTCCCAGCGGGAAATCCGCTAATGAGCCCACCATCGTGTTTTCGTAAGTGCGCCGGCCCTTCATCTCATCCGCCTCTGGATCCTCCAAACTCTTTAACAAGAACAACACATCTTTCGAGCCGACAAGTCCCCGATGCGACTGCGTCGCATGCAGCGTAATCTCCTTGAGTCCCGGACAGATCTTTCCTAATGTGCTCAGAAACATGGCGTTGAGCGGTTGTGCTTGCCAGCACTGCGTCAAGTGCAAGGATGTGAGCTGTGGCAGCGAGTATTGGATCATGGTGAGAAGATATTGTGGCGGCAGCGTGCAATTCACAAACTGGATCGAGTGGATCTTGGACTGGATGTGGTGGCTCACTACCGGAGCCGGTGGAATAATCGTCCTCGTTGCGTTTGTCACAATCGGCACAGCTGCAGCGGCGGCTCTGTTGATACCAGGTACAGGTGGGATAGGCGGAAGTGGCGGCAATTGCGCCGGATCAATCCAATCCTTAGACTTGCCTGCCATCAGAACATCCGCGCGGGAACCCTCTGCGACGGGTGGTTCGACATCCAATCCATGGGTCTCCATCTTTTGCTTTTCTCTCTCAATCTGTGGAATTTTACGCTCGTGTTCAAAGAACCCCCTCGCGTCAAATTTCGGCGGCCGAGGTCTCAAATCCATGGGTGCACCCAATACCGAGACCGGGTGGAACCCCGAGAACCATAATTTGCACAACCTCGGACAGGAATTTGCTAAAAGGCTGAGCAACATCCCGCTCTGTGATGACGATGAGGCCATGATAGTTTCGTCATCAGCTTCCTGTAGCGTTGCCCTTGGGGTTGTCGTGCGATTGAATGGGTCGAGACTGAGCGAGTTCTTGTGCGAATGTGGGTGGCGATACGATGGTATGGGTGCCGACATGGTCGTATATGTTGAAGCGTAGGATCGAGTGGATGATGCCATCGAGGATATGGACGTTGCTGACGCCGAGGTATGAATAGCGTGTGGGGCTGCAGTCATGGTCGGCGGGGAGGATGATAGAGCCCTGGGCAGGGCATCGCAGCCCATTGGGTTGAATTGGTCGTTATAAGCAGATGCGACGACGCCACGGAGGAGCAGGTCTTCAGTCGGGATGACAGAGTGGAGACTGAAGGACTGGAGTTCGGTACAGCAGGGGATCATATTCAAGAGGTCCTGGATCATGTCAGGGTTCGAGAGCGAGACGTGAAGAGAGTGGACCATCGAGTGGTATGGGAGGAGGGTTGGCCATGGGTACGAGTTTCTCCTCCTGGTATTCGTAGGTTGTTCCTGGTCGGATGATACTCGGTTAACAGCTGGATCTTCAATGTTATTCGATGATGTTGTCGAGTTAATAAGCGCTTCTTTCCCGCTTGATGGTCCTGCTGCCCCTGTAAGCCTTGCATCGATTGAATAGTCAAGAGCAGACGGCGCAGGGACACTGCGTGTGATCAGGAAGACGACCCTATTGGCACTGGATGTGAAATGGACCTCTTGCCACAGTTTCGCGGCGACGATATGGGCCCATGTCCAGTTCAGGGTTAGTACCTTGACTAGATCGCGGTTGTCAAGGTAGTTGACGATTAGATGGATGATTTCCGGAGGTACTGTCGAGGCTACCGTCGACTTCCTTCTGTCGGTGTCCAGGGTGGTTTTTGTGGTGGAACCGGTCCCAGTCTCGTCTATCCTCATGAACTCGAGGCCTTGGTCCTGCTGCCGAAGCGGGCTTGTCAGAAGAGTGGCAGCATTACTGAGGGCTACTCCCGTGGATTCAATGAGGTTGGAGAGAGTGTCCATGGTAGCTGTGGTTGATTGTGATGAAGACAAGGAGGGAATGAAAGAAGTGTTGGTCTTTCATAGCCGTCATAGAGGTGTATGAATCGTCATGGCGTGGAGAACACAAACTTTAAAAGAATACTTCCGGTCCGTATTCAAACACGTAATACGCGGAAACCAAAAGGTATACATACATAAATCAGTGGTAATGAGAATGGCAACAGCAATGGCAGTGGCATCACACATATGCTTCTCATCAAACGATCATCACTCGGCCTATGCTTCATTCACTTGATAGTTGATTCTTCTCGCATTGGCCCTAATCCCACCAGGGTCTTTCTTGACCCAGTCGCTTACCTCAGAGGGACCACCAATCGGATACATGGTTATTAGGCTCCTTGGTAATGCCATACCCAAGACGTCAGCCAGTTTTACTGATGCAGCTGTTCTGGATCATCATCATTCGACCACACCGTGCCAGACTTCATAATTCAAGGCGACGGAGGCTCCGATACCTCCACAACATCGCCCTGTCCGAGGCAACTACGGGAATGAATCCAAGGTGCGTTTAAGAACGAAAACTTTGATCTGGAACACTCAGCCGACCTCGGGGACATCCTCCCTGGACGGACGCATGGTTCTGTTTGGATCAGCCGTCGATGAGAAGGGAGTGGTAAAAGTGATTGAAGTCATCCCCATGGATAGGGATCATCGACCCGTTGTTTCTGTCAAGACCGTGGCGTCTGGAGAAATTAAGTTGGATAAGAACATGGGAGAGTGTTTACAGTAGACTGCGAATACAACACTTTTTCATTGGATGCACGGGCCAGATTCCCAGGGAAGTGTTGAGACCTGACGCGTTTTTGGACGCGATTAATGGCGTCTTGACCTGTCAGACCATGTCAGACCGCCGTGGGATCTGGGCTGTGCGGAACTTTGCCCTACATGTCACGATAGATTACAACCATCGATGGTGACGGTGGCCCATGCCCCAAGAAAATGCGTCCCTGACTCATCGCCATCACACTTCCTGTTTGCTCATCCTCTCCATCTCCATCCTCATCCTCATTCATTCACACTCTGTTCAGCTCTGTCTAAAAAGCCCTCCAGCTCCCCGAGATCCTCCACTCCGTTGCTCGCGTCACTCCTACCTTCGACCCACCTTCGCACTTCTCCTTCGCCTCAGACGAAGACGACGACCGTACTTTCGACCCCTGCGACCATCTTCCTGGCATGCTTACTTCACTCCATACCTGTACCACATCATCTACAATGAATACCGAATTGACATTGGTCCTGAATATCTCTCCATCTTTCGCAAACATTCACATCTATTTAGACGTTATATACCATACAATAACCACAATCTCAATAACTCCTTTATAACCCAATATCTCCACCTCGAAATCTCCTTGGCCTGTCGCTGCGACATCCGAACAACACGACCTTGGAGTTTTTTATCTTGAAGGAGCTTTTGTACTTCAGAGACTGGTCCTCCGGACAGATGACGAAGCCGTTCCAAATGCACTGATGACATGCCAAGTCTGCAAGAATTAGTCATGGTGAGGTGGATCGCATTCAACAAATTGATATCTGGGATATTGAGCTTCTGCAGCAGCTCGCTGAGGTATCTGAGAGTTGAGTCAATTCCTGGTCTCGATGAAGACGTCTTCCTTGAGCGCAGGAACGACTACGATGAAGCTAATAACCACATTGACAGCAATGTCGCCCTCAATCTTAGGGCATCAAGATTCCTCATGACCCAATTATCTTCCTTCGGCATGCTCCTGCACGAAGCCCAATCCTGGCTTCGGTTTTTTTTCCCTACATCTATCCCGCCCTCGAAATTCTGGCCTTAAGCGTCGAAGTCTTAGCCTTTGATCTAGTCTGGCTCTCCAAGGACTTCCGCATCCACTACTCGAGGCTCCACACTCTGCACCATAAAGAAAGTCGTACGGCACCGTACGAAAACGGCTGCTTCCCCGATCCCGAAACCTACGCGTTTTTTTTTTTTTTTTTTTTTTTTTTTTTTCAAAAACAGTAGCAGCAATGGTCTAAGGTCCGTCTCTTTGGGCCTGCCTCGGAGCTTGAACGCCTCCACGTTGGACAATTTGCTGGCCCACACCGCGACTCTTGAGGTATTGGAGCTTCGAGCCGGGTATCCTACCACCAACAGCATGTACCCAGCGTCCTGGGCATGTCTCAAGTCGATCTTCTTCTCGCCACCTGCCGTAGCCTGAAGCCCGTTATTCTCACACGGACAAACTGCTTTGCTGATTCCTTGGATCGGGTATGCACACAAGCTTGCGTATGTGCCTTCCTCGAATATCCGGTTAATAACGGATACTACTCGAAGAAGTCCCGAAGCAAACAGGCAACGCGTCACGGAAGGACATATTATGAGATTTGAGGCAGGGTTGGTTCGTGAGATAGGACATGGCGCACACAGACTTCGACGACGCAACTTGAGATCAGGATATAAGGCGGAGACTGTTTGCTCACATGGCTGAGACCAGTGGGGTCGGGAAGGTCAAGTTCTTGAGATTGAATAACACGGATTTCATTGGTGAGCCGCAGGTCTTCCATGACTGGGACATAAGGGCCTTAAAGAAATTGATGGATCAGAGGAGATTGCGATATGAATCTGACTGATGTCTTTCTGGCCATCGACGATGAAGGTATCAAACGGCGGCTGTTGGTCTACATGGTCAAGACCAGTAGTGTCAAGGGCAGCGAATACCAAACTGAATGATAAAGATTCTTTGCGGGGCTGCAATCCTTGCTGACCCAGAAAACGAGGCCATGGAGCAGGTCATTGAAGAGTTTAATCCTTGACATGCTTATTTATTAAATTATGTACATGACGAGGTTAGATTGTTTATGTAGTCTTGTCCTGTATTACTCGTCTCGCCTTTGCTGAGAGACAAGACGCTGCTGTCGCTGTTCCTTCGTGATCCGATCTGCCATTTGCATCAACTGCGCGAAATCAAAGTGCACATACTTTGCCCAATATCGGTGCCGCGACCACTCCAGTGCAGGGTAACATGGACTCGAGATTCCATGGAAAATGCGACTGACCGCCCTCGGAGACAACTCATTTGTTTTTCCTGCAGCACCGCCATATTCGGACATAGTTTGGTTCTGCTGCTGTTGAAGTTGCCATTGCTGGCTCAAAAACACCTTCAGATCGACCTCAACTGCAGATTTCCACTTGCGCTGCAGGTTCGTCACGATCGCATTCTCGTAGCTGTACAATCGCATTGTCTTATCCGCCACAGAAGACAAAGTGGTGGTGGAATCCTTAATATGCGAGAAAAAGTCCTCCGCCGCAGATGGCCCGCCGATTCCCTCGCCCGAATGTTTCGCAAAGTAGTCCTGGATACCTTGGCGTAGGATTATCTCTGACTTGCTGACTCCGTTCTGACTTGATCGGGCTCGCGCTTTCATCCTGGCTCTCATCTGAATATACTCCGGATCCACGTCCTCGTCATATTCGCTGCTCTCATCACCCTCGTTTGCGTCCTCGCTTGCTTCCTCGTTCTGATCATCGTTACCAATGTCCTGGATCTTCGGCCTGTAAACCTCCTGCTGCTGCCAAGTCGGAGTCGCCACAGATTGGAACAACGTGTATACTTGATCCACCTTTGCAACACCTACTCGTTCGACCGCGCACAACTTCTGATACAGCCGATCTGCCAAGGCAACAATAAAGTCGTCATGATCCTTCTCGTATGCGTTCGCATCACGCTCCTGTTCATCCTCGCTGCCAGTTGGCGAGATGGAATATCGACCCTGGGCCTCGTCGACATCCATATCCATATCTGGTCCTGAACGACGATGACCCTTGCGTCTTCGTTGGGCTTCTCGCCGTTGCTGCTCCCGCTTCTGCTGTCGATACTCCACCATGCAATCCCCAGCCTCCTTCAAAATCTCGACGCACAACCCTGGGTCCGTCATCTCAAAAACAGCCCACTTCTTGCGCTTCCACAGTTGCAATTCCTGAAGCAGCTCCGAATAGTTCATATCGCTCTGCTGACACAGGGACATCGTGTCACAGCAATATGCCATCGAAAGTGTCGTTCCTGCGAGCCCCGTCATGTTACCCCTGCGACCCTTTCCATATGATGATCCGCTGTTTGAATTATGTCCTGTGAGCACGCCTTGCTTTAAAATGATGTCGACAAGAGGAATCTTGTCAGCTAGCTCTGAGAGTGCCTCGGACGTCTGAAGGAACTTGACCGTACATTTGGCGGAAATCGAGCCCACAACTTTGATGGGACGAGATGGATCCAGCTCGATGTAGCTTAGTAAAGTTGCAAGGACCTCCTTCTTGATATCAAATTCTTCTTCAGCCAACTCCTCGCGCACCACCACAACGCGCCTGGGATGGAGTACATTGCTCTTGTCCGGTAAAACCATGCCTGCAGCAGGTGGGATGACCAGGATACTCGCTGTAGACAAGATAAGACTCTGCTGCTTGGATTCGGCCTTGTTGCCTGCCTTTCCCATCTTGACGCTCAGGGGTTGCCGATCATTCTGCTTCCTCTTCTTAGCGCCTGGAGAGAGTGCTCCGTCCTCGGATCCATTCTCATCGTTGCCTGGGCGATTCCCGTCAGCTCCTTTGTTGCCAATACCCCGTCGTTTCTTACTAACTGCTTTGGTCGAGCTTCCTTTTCCTGACTGCATTGACAAGGGATCCGCGATGCCCTTCCTTGAGAATAACTTCTTGACTAGGCGCAAGACAGTGCCCCAGTCCATGCCATCCGCATAGGCCAAACTCCGCAGGCGGAGATAGTCGTCCTGATTCAAAAACATATGACAGTAAGCCTTTTCGCCATCACGACCCGATCGCCCAATCTCCTGAACATAGTTTTCGAGTGACTTGGGCATGCAATAATGAATCACACTGCGGATATTCGACTTGTTAAGGCCCAGTCCGAACGCAATAGTGGCGACCAAAATCCTGATGCCGCTTGGTGAGGCGCCCGAAGCCGTGTTGGATCCCAGTGTCCCACCAGCAATGACTCCCTTCTGTGGACCTTCATTCATAAACCGCTGCTGAATCCTTTGCCTATCCTGGGAGGATTTACCAGCATGATAGCTCTCCGTGCTGAAATTTCGCACCCGCAAGAATGCTGCCAATGCATCCGCCTGTATCTGCTTCATAACATATATCAGGATTGAGCCCATGGATGCAAAGCGAGGCGACTGAAGAAGGTGAAGCAATGCCGTCTCACGATCCGTCTCGAGCGACACCGTCATGGCAAGATTTTCACGGATCACCGGTCCTGAAAGGACGCCTGTCGCTCGATCGATATCCAACATAGCGCAAATCGAGTCCTTGGTCCCCTCAGTCGCAGTTCCAGTCAGCCCAAGGACGCACGGCGACTTGAGATCGGTTTTGAGGACGTGGTTCAGGAGCAGATAGGCAGGTCTAAAATTATGCGACCACTCCGAAAGACAATGTACCTCATCCACGCAGAAAAAGGAGATGCGCGGAATCCTCCTTGCCCTAATCAGGCTTAAAAACGATTGACTTTGCAACTTCTCCGGTGAGATGAATAGAATCTTGATCGTGTTTGACGTCAGCTTTTCCATAAAGTCTTTAAACTGGCTTGCCTGTGGGATGCAATATCAAAAGGATTAGAGCGTCGGTTAGATGTCTGGAGCGAAGGAGATCATCTACTGAGAAACATTGCAGCAAGATTGCTCGCAACCTACAGACTGCTCCACGCTCGTCCAACAAGCACCGATGAGTCCAGGTGGTAGGCACCTGACTTGATCGTACATGAGCGAAATCATGGGTGAGATAACCAGTGTCAAACTTGGAATGCCCAGCTTGGAAAAAATGTAAGCAGGGAGCTGATACGAAAGCGACTTGCCGCTGCCTAATTATTCAGAACATGACTTTGTTAACAAAGCGCACGCATACCACGCCACTGAATTCAGGCCGCTTCGGCCAAGGTAATTCAACAAACCTGTTGGCAGAACAAGCAGAGATGACTTGTAGTTCAGGGCCCTCTTGATCGAGTCCAGTTGCCCATCTCTGAAAGAGGGGTACCCCCACACCTTCTTCAAAATGTGCTCCAGATTCACTCTGACTGCCTCAGTTTCCTCCCCCCACCCCGCATCATTACTATCTCCGTGACTCTGTAACTCCAGGGCCTTGACGTATTCCTCGGGATCGTCCACATCTCCGACCTGTGCCTTCAGATATCTCGACGATACAGTAACAACATATGGGTCCGTAATATCATTTACATTGCCGTACCATGGCATGTCGCCAAGGTGGTCATCATCACCCTCGATTTCCATATCACCATCCACAATATTCATCGCCAGCGTAGCATCGTTGAAATCATTGTCGAATTCGGTTCTCCAGCTTTCGTTATCAAACAACGTCCGTCCGCTTCCGGGACCTCCTGCACCATAACTTCCAAACTTGGAGCCGCCAAACCGTGGTCGACCACGAGCACCGCCTTTCCTAAACCCTCCTCTTTGCAGATTATAGGCCACAAAATTGCCATCACTGCCAGATCCGCCATACTTGCTGGGTACAGCCCGTTTAGGTCCTGCTCGTCCTTGTCCAACACCTGGCGCCCGCCTATCGCTCTTCACCATTGGTCTATTAGAGTTGGCCCATCCGAACGGAACTGACTCCTCTGTGTTGCTTGGTTTGGCCTTGCTAGTAATACCGCTCACCCCAGGCTCATTTGCAGATACAGCAGGTGCTTCAGTGGTGTTTGAATTCTCCTCCTGATTGACCGCAGGCTCGTTCTTATTCTGGTTCGTAGTTGACTCTAATTCATCGGTCTTGACAGGTCTGCGCTTACGAGGTGTCTTCACAGGACGGGCTGCCTCAACCTTCTCCGAAGGAGCAACAGCAACTGAACATCATAAAAAGAGAGAAGTTGCGATGATCAGCAATAGAACAATGCGAAGAGCAGTAACTTTTTTAGCATTCAACAAATGTGATATGTGCACGTACTGCGATGGAGGCGCGTCGACCTCTTTTGGGTATATTTCTTTTTAGGCAGCGGCTTCCTTACAGGTCCAAATGGGTCCGTCTGTTGGTCGTCTTCCGCTTCGTTCTCCTGGTCCTCCCAGTTATTTTCATCCATAGGATCAAGCTCACCGACCAAAGCACCACCACCGGAGTCGATGATGATGGTGTCCTTGACAGACTGGTGATTAGCAGGAGGAATTCTGAACGCATCACCAGATTGCTTCTTCTGCTTCTGTCCAAGAAATTCCCGCTCGAACTGTTCGTCATCCTCCTGACTCGGCATGAAGAGTGTAGAACGTACCTGTCGGCGTCGATAATGAGAGTGAAATCCCGGTGGGACAACAAAGGTGCTAATATCGGACTTTGCACTTCCAGGCGTCGTTTGTGAAAATGTCAAGCTGGGCTGCTGGCTGGGTGTCCGTGGAGTTGACGTCAAAAACATAGATCTCCGGCCAGAGGGAGTCATGGACCCAGGAGAGCTACCAGAGCTAGGGAATGCCATGTTTGCCAAAGGCGTGCGTCGGAGCGATTCCTGCTGCCGCTGTTGTGAACCATTTGCATCCTCCCACGGATCATGCAAGTCGAATCCCTGAACCATACACCCGTCTAAAAGAGAGCTGTCGCGATTGGACTCTCTGTCATCGGCTATTGACATCGTATCCATGGCTTCATGGACACTATTCTGATGCAATCCTGCCTTTAGTATCGGAGATCTTCCTGAAGAGATGTTAAATGGGTTGACCGGTTCAATCGCGCTGTCTTTGTATTCATCTTCTCTACGGTGTAATGTTGGCGAGTGTTGGTTTGCATATGCAGCGTGAGAACTCTGTAAATCCAACGTTGGACGCCGAATAGAAGGCGATGATGGATGCGATACGCTCGACCGTCGAAATAATGAACGCGCCATTTTGGCGGCGCCCGATTTATGAGGAGTCGAAAGTAGGGGGCTCGTCATGAATAGGACGTCCGGCGCAAGGTCAGTGTTGCCGGGTGTTAGCGAAGCGTTGGCCAATTGAAGCGTCCCTCCTGATGATGGCTCCAGATCCTGCGCAACTGGTGCAGTTGTCGAGCGAATGGGTCGCCTGATTCTTCGGTTGTTCATTCCCCCGAATGCTGGCGAAGTCCTCGAACGAGAAGGCGACTGGAGTGGGTTTGGTAGATACAGAGATGATATCTTTTTGGATGGTGTCCGGAGCAGCTGCGAAGGAGTCGTCGGTCGATGCAGAAGGTCATCGTCGCGCTGAGTTATGTGTATCGTTGGTGAATGACTCTCAGCGACCAATTCCTGCGCCATTGCCTGCATGCTCTCCTTCATTTGCTCATTGATGACAAACAGCGACGACGTCGGCGATTTGAACGATGGTGAACTAAGCAATGATCTCCGAGCAGCACCCATAGACGGCGAGAGGAGGCTGTGTCTGGTACGTTGGCCCTTTGGTGTTGTTGAGCCAGCGGACGCGAGGAATTGATGCCGGTCTTCCCCATTCCTATTGATTCTGCTCGGGGACATCATCCCAGCGCCATTGACCACCGTTCGTGGGGAAACAAACTCGACCTCATGATTCCTTCCTGGTGTCCCTGTCGGCGTCCTCGTCACTGCTGAGGCATGGTGTGTCCGATATTGCTTGGTTGGTGTCCTTGGGATAGAACTACTGCCACTCGAGAGGTCAGTGAACCCAACAGCTTCAGCAGGTGGTTTCACGATGACTTCTCGCTCCTTCGGCTCCTTCTGTTCCTTCTCCTCTTTTGCTGCAAGTGCCTTTTTTATTTTCGCGTAGGTCCTATATTTTCGCACTATGAAGGTCATGCAGATATTATGGGTAGTGGATTAGCTTGTGTTGACATTGTTTGAAGACCATGAAGTGGGTTGAAAAGATGATTAACGCTTACCCATGGCCTCATCTTTTGTAATATCATCCTGTGTTGCTGTGCGCTGGTGCGTGTTCTTGAAATTGGCTTCCCATGCCTTCAACTCCTTGCGAGATCGCTTTAAGTCTTCCACAGTAACACTGCTGTAATCGAGCGTGTCCCCTGATCGCTTGGATTTTGAGGTGCGAGACTGGAAATGCCTTGGCTGTGGTGGTGGCGTCTTTGCCGTGGGTTCTGACGGTCGTGATGAATCGATGTACGTTGAAGATGACGATCCTTGGGATGGGGCAGTTGAGGCGGTCGGAGCGGTGGTTATATCGCTATATGAGCGCTCCTCCTGTACAACATATGGCCGTTTCTTGGTCGCTATCGGCTTATTGCTGATTAAGAATGGGTTATCGTCGTCCTCCTCGAACGCGCGTGCGATCTGTGCAACAGACCGGCGCTCCCGCTGCCGATATGAGGCTGGGGACGAGTCCTGCATTGTGGTCTTTGCTGGCTGGGTCAGAAAAGGGTTGTCCTGGTCCATGAATTGATGTTGGGTCGAGGACACTGCGGTAGCAAGCTCCTCATGTAAGATTGAGTCTGATGAGTGGACATAATGGTGTTTGCCACCAATTTCGACCTCGATAGTTTGGCTCGAACTGAGGGTCTGGACCGGTGATGGCCGCGCGTACGTTGGTGGGGTTATGTCTCGATATGCTGAAGAATCGTGGTCCATGGTGAGTTCGAGGACATGCACCCGTTGCAGAGAGACCAAGAATGATTGAATGAATGAGTATGAAGGCGGCTATGGCGTGAACTTGAAAGCGAATGGTAGGCAGACCTTGAAAAGAAAGACGCGTTTGAGAGCAACACAAAAAGCCACGGTCAAAACAAATGCAGACGACCCCTTAAACGCGTTTCAATCTACGCGCGACGCGACGCGTCTTTTTTTTTTCTTTTTTTTTCTCCTAGAATCTATGGTTTCTGGTCGCTTCCAAATGACATAATGCCTTCCCTCACAAATAACTATAGTACTATATTTTTACGTGCGTCTCGGTTTATCATAGCAATGGCTTGATCCAAGTCCGCTCAATGAGTACCACGCAACTTTCGTTCCGCGTGCGCGCTTGCGGCTGCTGCATTAAATCGCCAGAAAAGTCCTAGCCTCAAGCAGCGCAACTTTTCCTGTTCCAACCACTCCACAACCTGGTGCTTCCAATATACAGCTGGCGGATGATGCATCAACGTCGTTGTTGGGATATGATGTTGGATCATGGTCAGTGGCGTTGTCGATGAGGATATGACCTGAGAGACCGATGGTGGTATCGTTGACTGGAACGATGACACATTGGATATTGAAGGAGTCGAAGCAGGGGTTCTCATCATTGCCGTGAACAATGTCTCATTTCCGGTGGGTGATGTATGAGTTGAACTCGCTTGTGGATTGGAGTGAAGTTCTGGCACAATGGATCGGTCGACAATGGGAATGGGTTGCACGGTGTTACCAGCACCAGGACTGATATTCATATTGACATTGCTGCCGTCATTGTAAATGATGCTGTGTGTTGTAGCCATTTTCTGTACGATCCGGCGGTGGTGTGGCAGAACCAATGGCGAAGGCATCTGTAATCCCGGTGTAATTGTTGATAATTTTCGCTTCGACTCAGCAGACCCGAATGTCTCAGTTCTTGAATTTAACAAAGAGATGTCCTCTAAGCTCGCACTCCTTGCATGTTTTGGCTCCATTCCATTCGCATGCAGAAAAAGAGGTCCCTCTTCATTGTTGTCTTCAGTCCTCGTAGGATTCTGTGATCTCGATAGGAGTGGCAGTCTTGGCTGCGATTCCTCTCCAATGAGGAACTGACGATGCTGACGATGATGCTGCCCTTCCTGTGGTTGACAGTTTGTGCTGATCGATGTTGGTGGTGAAGGCAAATGTTTTTGGATAGCAAATACCGACCCGGAGACTGTTAGATTGTAGGTTAACTTCCACAGCACTGCATCATTAGCTATGAGACTAGAAAGTAATACCAAGGTAGACCTCATGTTAAATTTCAACTGCGTGGGAAATAAAGACGTTCAGGAATTGAATTTGTAAAAACGCCAGGTAGGCGCAATATGGTATTTTCTGTTTATCATCTTTAGATGTTCTCATGAAGACTCACCTGTAGAACCGCCGGTTGACCTGCATCGATCGACCCAAATCCTTACAATTCCGTGCAAGGATGTAAAAGATAATCCTCCAGACATCATCTACCAGATCAACACGCATTGTGAGGCCACCACTATTCTTTGCCCTACTGGATGAATGGAGCGATAGACCACTAGTCGATGTAGTATCTGATCCATTTAAAACAATACAGCTATCGGCATGCGGGCTCGCCCCTGGTGCAGCTGCTCCAACTGAAGCCGAGTTTCGCAACTGCTGAAACCCAAATTGACTTGAATGACATGGTAGCGACTTTTGTTGTCTCTGCTGATACTGCTGCTGATGGCGAAATAATAGTTGACGCTGCTGTTGCTGTTGCAATCGCTGCTGCTTCTGAATGCATATTAATTGATTTTCCTTCTGTACGACAAGGGCATCAATCCCATGTGGTATCGAAGATGCACTCAAGGACGAGAAAAGAGCGCTGGATGTGGTGTCAGCTGCAACAGGCGCTGTTGATGTTGCTGCTCCGGATGTAGTGGAAGAAGACACTGCTACTGTGGATGTCGAGTGGGATGACCAGGCCATGTCTGTAGTTGTGGTCTCGAAAAGAATGTTGCTCTCTGATGACGAGAGGGCGTGTTGAGCAATCGCTGTCGGCATCCTGTTACTGTCCAGCAGTGGTATGGTTGGTAGTAGTGAAGAAAAGGGAGGGAGGAATAAAAGGGTGAACCACAGTTATTCGGAGGAATGAATTTGTATTTTAGGGGCAACGTCGAATGGTTGGACAGCGATGACCCATACGACGTGAAGGATATAGGGGAGATTGTTTTTTTGCGGGAAGATGTGGAGGAGGGACGAAGAGATAAAATTACACTTAAATGGATTGAAGCTTCAGGATACAAAGGACAATTTCGACCCGGACCGGCCAGCTCTTGAATAGCGTTTGGAATACACCACACACAACAACCTTTATCAGTTCAATCCTATCGCGCCAATCTGCTCCTAGTTCTTCTTAGTCCTGCACTTAGTTTTAGCTAAACTGCATTCTGGTCTTCAGCTTCAAACGATAAAAAGCGACTGGACTCACCAAAGTTTCCTAGACATACTTGAGGTGCAGTATTTCCTTAGAATGCAATCCTTTTACGAATCGCCGCAGCCCACGCCCACGGACACAACACGTTCGATAGGCTCTTCTCATGCTATGCATCATATATCGGCCGGGAGTGGAAATGACAAGGAAAGACACCACTTTCTTACAAGCTCGATAAGGAACAGTGCCAAAAGGACTACGATAGCTTGTTGGTACAGGGAACCATGGGACTTTCGAACAATTCCGCAGTTTCGATTATCAGGAAATCGATGAAACGCCATAGAACGCGTAAGAAAACTCGGACGCTGTTGTTGCTCTTTTTCTCTTGGTTCGATCATTAATTTTTCATCATGTAGTGGCTGTTGAATGTATGACGAAGTGACTAAAATGCATTGGCTTTAATCAATCGAGGGCTATCTAACCACATTTTCTTCGCTCATTTGAAGGCTTGGATTTAGCGATTTCGACAGATCATGATGCAGAGGAGCAGATTCCGGTTACTCACTCCAACAAAGGAACTTCTGGCTTGACTGAGAAAGCGGTGAGTTCAGTGCTCTTTGATAATTGAGGCTGTCGATTGTTGGAATGATGGCTAGAAGTCCATGTATCTTACGCGTGTGGGTTTGTTTTAACATCTTTCCTGTGCGCCAACGGTGTATGATCCAAATAGGCACCATCCAGTTTCTCTCAGATCTCCACTCTACCAACGACCTTAAAGAGCCACGAGTGACATCAGTGTCGCATGAATCGGAGGTGCTTGAGGTGCAAACCCCGCCCAATCCTGTGTTGGTGAGCACTAGGACCGTTATGGCCATGATCGATGTGATCGTGGAAGAAAGGGTCCTGACACTCTCAATACTTTTATCTAACGGTGCCTTTGGCTCGGTCCATAGGATGGCGATTCTGTGAACTCGGATGAAAACGTGGAAAACATTCAATCTCATCAAAGAGACAGTGCCTAAGGAGCAAACCTCAACAACAACAAAAAAGGATGGTGCAAGAGGCGAGTTGAAGGATTTCACAATTCTAAATAGATTACGAGGTTAATAAGGACAAAGCTTCGTTTCTCACCTTTTGTTGCTACGTCTGTAATTCTCAAGTGGTAGCAAACCGTCCGGCGGCATGCAATCGGAAGGCTCCACAGCTATACCAAGGCACGCAAACAAGGACCAAATTAAATTTCACCAAAGGAGGCTCGATGGCAAGGATAAATTATTCTTGTTTTTTGACGCGTCTCTTTTCACGCCAGTTTTGTCTATGCCTACTAAACTGGTGTCCATTTTAATCGGTCATGACCGCCAGCTAAGAAGATCCAAGTCTTTCGACCTTCAGCAATTTTCTAGAGGAAGATCAAGGTGACTCCTCCCCCGAGGGTTTGTAACAGGTGCAACCTTTGTGTTTCGATGCTGTGGACGTTATCTATCAATCACTCAGGAGCAAGACATGGCTGGGAAGTATCGAGAAGCATCTTTTCATTACGAAAGGTAGACATACCATTTTTGACTGCTATTCTGCTTGTCGATCTTACTTTGCGTGGTGCAAGCCAGGGTATGCTAACCAAAAACACAATTCTCATTTAATTGGGATGCTGCACTTATTTTGAAAGAGATATCATTAACTGAGGGACGCAGCCAAAGCGTTTGTCAACCTTGGTATGGGCTACTCTTGCATGCCCGCAATCGAGTAAGTAGCAGGGAGTCTTTCAAGCAAACTCAAACTAATAAGGCGAATATCTATGTTACTGAGGATCATTCGATCACCAATTCGTGCCAGCTGAAAGAAACCTCAGGGGCGGAAATTGTTTAATGGAAAGGACCATTAAGCAGGTACCACAAAATGCTCTACGAATTCATGTTCGTGCTCCTGACACAACAAGTCCCACTCGCCAAGGTGCAGGAGAAAGACGTGCAGTAAGTACATGAGCAAAGCGCCATGGATTTAGAAAGATTTGATCCATCTTGCTATGGCTTTATGTACCATCGCTTGATCTAACTCGTTGGATTGTAGTGTTGCTCTATCCGGGATTATAAATGGTCGTATGCATAGGACCCAGGATCATTTTGAAGCGGATCTTTTAAAGAAAACCAGAGGCGAATGTCGTTGAGACAATTTCAGTGATCCGGTATTCATTCCAGGTCTTGAAGAGACACTACAACCATTGCAGGATGCGTACGCAAACAGGAGAACGAGCGGTCTTATTGATCAGGTAAAAATGATGATTGGTCAAGGCGCCAAATCAAGGATGGGAAATACGTCCACTCCTTCAATCCGACTCGCAACTCTTGACGTCGTGCGCCACATGTATGTTGAATACCCTCCACTGATTGAAATCGCATGGCCATGGTCACATCACTGTAACACATTCTGCACAGCTTCAAAGTGAACCTTAGTGAAAGAATGAGTGAGGCCAAAATTGTCGCCGTTTGGGAATATGTCCTAAACTCGTTGGCTTGAATTTCGAGTCGTAAGTATTTAAGGATCATGGATTTGTTTTGATGTGCTCTATTTTGCTTAGTACTAATCTATCTCGTTTCTAGTGGCGAGTTGGCCAGCCATGCCACGAAGTGGCAGAGGAATATTCTGCATTCGGGAATGGAATCAGATATGGGGACTTTGGTCTATGGCCGTAAGGTGGATTTACAATGTCGGGTGGGCAATATCGAGCTCAGCAATAGTGAGTTCAAACGCTGCGATTCATCACACCGACAGGTCGACATCCAATTCAGGAAGAATCTGAGAACCAATCAAGCGATGCTTCTTTACCTGCAGTCCAAGCTTGCTGTTTCGCTCGAGGAATTTGATATATTAGCTCTGATGGACACGGTAACATGTGCTTTTTTGCTACCTCCCTGCCTCTTTTTTTTTTTTTTTTTGGTAATACATGCTTGTGTGCTAACCTTTACTTGAATATATGTACTCTAGGATGGATTGCCAAAGTTTTTTGCCTGAAGCAGCTTGACGGAGTCTTTATAAGCAACCTTGTAACGAACCATGCTCCTCGCATTCCACATGATGAGGCTACCTGGAGGGTATTTTTAAAAGGCCATACGGTTGCCACGCTGTATAATTATGTGGTAAGTATTGTTCTTTACACTGTCGCATGAATTGGTTATGGACATTATGGCATATCTGGCAAGAAACTATAGTCATGTTGTATAATTTATAGGAACGCCTGAAAAAATCAAAGTTAGTAGTGGAGGACAGAGTGATCGAAGCTCGCACATCCAACGACAGCACGAGCCAGCTCTTCTGATAAGATTGATGGCGAAGGGCTCTTTCACGGAATCATATGAGGACCGTTGTGGCTACTCACCGTATCTGACTCTGGTCTCCTCCCTACCCCTACCCCTATCCCCCCCTTCCATCCACAGGGGCATGCGGGCACCTGGACACTAACATAGCTGTACACCAAAGCCGTGGCAGAAGCCTACGGGCAACTGCTTGTACATCAGTAATAAAAGTTAATAGAAGTCGATTGTCTTCGCTGCCTGCCTCTGTGATTTATGCTGCCCTGGCTTTATTAGTAAATCCAGTCATATCTTGAAAATAAAAAAGTGTAAAATGGTGGTGTGTTGTACTGCGGCCGGGGATCATTAACATAATTCTAGGACTTCGCATGGTTGAAAAGGAACCATGGTGCTGTGGCCCATGGTTACCGAGATACAAGCGAGCTGAAGCCGGTGATGACATTTTGGTGGCAATGTCTAGTATGAGTGGATGAGGCTCGAACCCAGAGTGGAGTGATCACTATCATGACTCGAGGACATTACACGGTCGAAAAGAGCGTAGTTCAGAGTTGAGATTGGTCCTAGGAATCATTGTACTGGGACCTGTGGTTATCGAGATGCATGCGAGCTAAAGCCGGCGATGGTACTTCTGCATATCCATCCGTGGGCTCCTTACGCGTTACACGACTCTATCCAAGCGTTCATATTCCTCCATGAAGCGGGCTCATTGTGCGTGACACGGTACCATGCAAGCAACCATGTTCCTCCATGTGCTTCAAACGCAATTTTATGCCTGCTCTATGCTCCACGCTCCACGAATCTACGCGTCTTGATGCGTTGGGAGCTGCAAGGATAGCTGAGAACGCAATGGAACGGGTTACAACAGACTGTAAAGGGGGGGTCCAACTGAGGTATTGTGTGTGGCAGGGCAGGTGGGCGCGGGGAGGCAATTGACATGGGCGGTAAGGAGTTGTCGTGCGTTGGAAGGGAGGGGGAAGAGGCCTACGTGTGATGAAATTGAAATTAAGCTTTACCTGCTGCGCCACCACAGCCACAACCACCGTATCTGTGTCGACAGATGCCTTAACCATGTACTGTGGCGGTTCCCTGCGCGTTTTTAAAACCCGTAAACCCGTGCGAGACTCATGAGTAAGTGTCTCTTCTATACTAACGTAAGCTTCTTAATGTACGATCGGTAAGAGAAAAGAGAGAGAGGAGACGTTGTTCTTACGAACAAATCTATAAAACAATGGGCTTAATCTCAGCATATCGTAGCAACAAGGCTATTCTGCTGCTTACAATACCCCGTTCAATAGGACTCATCTGCAATGGACTTATTCTTCCAATATTTGAAATTAACATTAGCAGGAACCTCATGAAGCCTTTCCACTCCACAAGGTCACCCCACGTAGTATTTACTCAGGACCCGAAGGTTTATTCATATTCAACTGAAAATCGGAAAAGTCGATAATCATCGCGTTCTAGCACGGATTCTGACTTAGAAGAGTTCAGCCATAACCCAACGGATGATAGCTTCGGGCCATTGCCTGCTCAGGCAGGCCCAAATATTAACTATCTGAATGACTGAATGAACAGTTCCTCTCGTACTATTACTGCAACATTTCATCAGTAGGGTAAACCTAACCTGTCTCACGACGGTCTAAACCCAGCTCACGTTCCCTATCACTGGATGAACAATCCAACGCTTACTGAATGCTGCTTCAGTATGATAGGAAGAGCCGACATCGAAGGACCAAAAAGTAACGTCACTATGAATGCTCGGCTTCCACAAGCCAGATATTATCCCTCTGTCATAATATTGATTGAGAGCTACCCCGCAAAAGAGGAAGCGGTAAGACGCGAAATGACACAGCAAGCAGGAAATAGAGGAGCATGACATAGGGGGTTCTTTTTATACTCTCCCCTTGAATCACAACTGGGGTTTTCCTACAGGTTTTTCGCAACTCACACAATTCTCATGAGTTACACAGTGTAGGCTGCGAAAGTCCCCTCATTTCTGGTGGAGAGTTCGTACTGCTGGAGTCCAGCTCAGGAAGTCGTGAACTATATATTTTTTAAAATAGTGCTGGCGATTCAAAAATTCCTATGCATGAGTGAGAATGATTCTTCGTCATCACATCATCTACATTGATTCTCTCTATTCGATCTGGACTGGGCGGTGCAGAGATCAAGGGCCGACGATGCAGGATTCTGTCGGCTCTCCTGGCGACCATCGCTTTTCTTGAGGAGGGCTCTCTGTTGCTGCCTGTTGTGCATCCAATGGAGGTACATGGATGTGTATGCCGCCTTCCCACTAGCGTGCATACGCCTTAGAACATGTCCCCACCATCCCGCCGTACCCCCGACGCGCTCTCCTTCCTCTTATAAGGCGCTCATATCCCGACTCTTCAACTCATTCTCTCATTTTACATCTCCCCCTCATTCTCTCTCTCCCATTCCCTATGAACCCCCTCCTACTACCAGAGATCCTTCTCCACCTCCGCCGACTTATTCCCTCGTGGACTACTCCTCTACATAAAGGACTCGTTAGGAATTTCAGGCCGAAAACCTTACTGGCCTGTCTGCTTGTCTGCCGCGCATGGAATACAGCTCTTCATCCTCTTCTGTGGCACGTCCTCGACACCAACCAAGAAGAATCTCGATATGCTAGGATCTCAGCCGACACTTTCTCCAAGAACGCTCGCCATGTCCGCATTTTTATCGGAAACCCTCCAGTCTTCGGCGCCGCACACTGCCTCCCGAACCTTGTTGAGCTCTCCTTCTGGACCCCCAACAGAGACGACTCTACATCTGAGGAAGACACTGCCAGATGTAATATGCTGGCCCTGAACTCACATATCCGCAAGCTGACTTGGGAAGGACCCCTGGATCTCCAGCCTCTTCGGACAGAACCCCTCACGCAGCTCTCTTGGCTGACCCATTTGCGACTCTACCAATGGCAAGGTTCTGGCGGCGCACTGAAGCGTGTCCTCGACGCAGTAGCCGCTACATTGATCAGTCTGCAGCTAGACCATGTCCATGGTGTGGAGGACACGGGCCTCGAGAACGTGTGTTTGCCGCTCGTGACAAACCTCGACATAACTCTCACCAGCATGCCCACCAGCGCGCCAAGTCAAGGTCTTTGGGAATTGGTTCGTCGGTGTCCCAACTTGCTCAGCCTGGAAGCGTCTCTCGATATGCTTATTTGGATCCAACTTTATCAGCAGCCGACATGGCCATCCACCTGGCTAAGGGCAAGTGCTCCTCCCTCGTTGACGTCGCTGGAGTTCACCAATCTCAGGACAGAGACAGAAGTCCTGGAGGCGATACAGAGTATTCCAACACTCGCCTCTTTCAAATGCGAGGTTTCTGCCATGAGTGTCGCCATTGCCAGAACCTTGGTGAGTTGTCATGCTCGCACTCTAAGGAGGATCCATCTAAAAATGTTTTCGGGAGAGAGATTCTGCATCGAGTCTTGCGCCATCTTGCTAGAGTCGCTTCCTGAGCTGGAGAGCCTGCATATCGATGACTGCTCTTGCAATATCCCAGAGGAAGAGTTGCTCGAGAGGATCTTTCGGCAGCCCTGGCTGTGTATTGGCTTGAAGGAGCTCTGTCTGCCTTATTTGCAGATTTCATTGCCATTATGAGAAGTTGAGATCATCGAACAGCCATTCATCTCGTTTACTCCGCCATCGCCGGTTTACCTTGGCTTTGGATGGTACATGCATCGGCAAAAGATGGGTGTATATGCGACTTGGCAACACGCGTTCTTTGCGCGACGACTGTTCTAGCATGTGCAGGGAATGCCGGAGCTGAGATGGGTCAGCATCAGTCAGACCGAGTACATCCGAAGCAGTGTTCCGAAAGAGTTGAATCTTGAGGGCCTTATGGTTCGTGAAGGGCTAGGTGTTGTATACACTGTATACAACATAGTGAGATATTTAACAGGCGGTTTCTGAGCTATCTATATGTTTATTTACTGCATACGATATAGACAGACTAGTAGAGTAGTTTGGTTATAGAGTCTTTATAGCACAGTTCTGTGCAATAAATCTCTACCATGCTTCTGTCCCGATTATACACTTGCCCTTTATTAGCTTGAAATAGTCCTGACGAGAATACAACACTAAGCCAGAACATTTTTCGCGTAACTCCAGCCATTGAGGGATTCTTCGACTACGACAGCCATTCCAAATGACACGCCGGCGATGGATCAAAGTCAAGTCAACAGCAGCAACCCAAGAAAAGAGGGTTCAACCCCATGGCCAAGACACATATGGTATCGAACGCGTACAAGGGTCATGTCAAAAAGTTGAAAGCCGAGTTGATTTACAAGGCCAAGGTCAAGAGTGACCATGCCAAGGTCTTGAAGCAGGCAGACGATAATACCCCAGAGTTTCACAAGAAGGTAGAGAGCCAACAACCATTTAGAAGAGGCATTGTCACGGCCTCTTCACTGTTGTTGCCTCCAGATTGATTGATCTTTGTTCGGAAATAGATCTTCGGAGAGAGGATCATTGTTGTCTAACCCGGCCCCAGCATCTAATACGCACTTGGTTGACCGGCACATCGGCCATTCAGGATTCGAATTTGCAGGAAAGCACATGGGTCGAAGGCGCTTCAGACGAAATAAACTGACCCATAGATGTGAACGATACCAATGAATCATACATGACGAGAGTGAACGTGAAGACACATGTAAACGCACCATATCAATTCCGTTTGTGCTCCGTCTCCTCAAACGCGAAGACGTTTTCTTCCGCTCCGCTCTTCTCATATACTGACCCTGCACCCTGCTTTATCCACAACTTTCAACCCCACCCAATCCATGAAGCACTATGTAAGCATGGCGTCGCCTTCAATAGGAAGAACTTTACCCATTCTCAATGACAAAACTACCCTGCGAGCACTTATCCCAACAAGAGCGTGGGCCTGATTGGGGTTTCAAGTATCTCCATCAACAGTCAGAGAGCAGAAATGATCGTGGTTACAAGGCCACTTTTGGAGCACTGACGTGAGAGCAACACAGGTTGATGCATATAATCTTTCACAGAGGATCAAATCGATGTAAGCCATCAGGTAGACAACGGTTGACTTTATAGTAAAAGTGCATGTATTGGGAAGGCCAAGAAGTCTGTGAACTGGTCGGAGGTACAAAGCACCGGATGTATCACAGAGAATCGATGGACGTTGGGTTGGCACAAAGGCATGAATACCATGAGGGATTTTAGGCCTTCATGTGTACAGTACATGCAGCGCAGAGCACACAATGTCCACCGAAATGCAGGCTGAGTTTGACTTACTGGTGAATCTGAGGTCCTGCGAGCGCAATGGTCCTTCTCAGTGGCTCCCTCTTGCCATAGGGGAGTGTCGACATTATGGTCGATGAGGGGGAGGACGATAATGACGATCCTTCAGCTTCGACTTCCCCTCCAGACAACCCAGAAAACGGAGTTGCTGAGGCTGTACAGAGCGATTTTTATTCTGCAGAAACGAGTGATACTGAGACCCAGTATAACCGCGTTGATCAACCCTGAGGCCCAGCACAGCCGCGCTGATCAGCCCTGAGACCTTTGCTGCTCCACGTTTTATGGAATGCTGCTCAGGTTTGCAAACGATGGAGCCGCTATCAGACGTCCTTCCCTACCAGGACTTGATTTCTCCTAGAGAGTCGCCGGCCGTGGCGTAAGTCTTGTTATTTGTAATGTCCAATGTTTCCTGCCTGGGACACTTACTGTGTGGTTGAATCTCATTGTCGTACATGTGCCATGGATGGGCTCCACTCTCAGTCACTTAGCTCATTGCTGCCTACCTGGGTAATCGCTGTGCGCGTGAAATACATAGCCGTACTGTACACTCCCCTCTCAGTTGGAGAGGCAAAATGGGACACTAAGTGAATTTTCTATATTTCTGAGCATATGATTGGCCGTAATTCAATTTAGTATTCAATAAGGGGCGAAGTTTACTTAAGTCCAAGCTTGAAGTTAAGTGAACAAAAGATTATACGTCACCCTTTCGCTCTGTCTTTTTCCCCATCACCATCATCATGACTATACTCCATGACCCATAACACACCAAACAAGTGCAAGCAAGGGTAACCGTCGATTATATTCTGCCTGTCAAGCTCTTGCCTTCAGAGTCTTATAAGTCTCAGCTCTCATCATAGCGCGCATGCACACGTCAAGTCTTTACCTGGAGCTCTTGTCCACGAAACAGCTCGATCTCATGCGCCGCCGACTGCGGCTAGAGATCGAGTTGTTTGCGGTTGCCTCTGAAGTTTGCCACCCTCTGGCCACAGCCCTCTTGAGCAAACGAGATTAGAGCGTCTGCAGCGAGGCCCTTTGAGGTAGCTCCGGACGTTTCGGTCTACGTTCTGTAGAGAGTTTGGTCGCCTCGCCTAGGCGGCCAGGATTATGGTTCACTAGGGGTGGTGCCGCTGCCTTGAACAATATTAGCCAAGGTCTCCTACTCTTTTCAGAGATAAGCTGATGCTTGCATTGTTTGCAGCGGTCTCCGGAGCAATCAGTGGCCGTGGATGAGAGCTCATCATCGCTTCGACTCCCAGATGCTACAAGCTGTGCGTCTTGACCTGCCGTCCAAGTTTCGGCTCCTACCTGCTTTGGCCGTAAGTATCATTGTTCTTGCTCAATCTGCTCTGGTCTGTTCTTCAATGACTGTAGGCTTTGTCCAATTGCCTCGCTTCCCAACCGACTCCATGACTAAGAAATATATGGAGCAGCGTGCTTCGTCTTTGCCACCCGCTTCGTCCTTGTCTAGCTCATTACAGGATTTCATGGCTGCCTCTCCCAGCTAGTTCACGTTGCCTTTAGGATCTTCAAGCCTCGTCTTCGTCGTCCGTCTCTCATTCGCAGTCTGTAACTCCGAGCCATCATGGACAAGGAAACGGCTTTTTGAATGCAACAACCATACTACATCTGCGACGAGGTAGACCGCCATACCTAACGCCCATCAATTAAATACAGTTGGATATGCTGTGGCACTCTCAATTATTAAATGCGGTTAGATATGCAAACAATTGTGCGCTGAGAAAAGCCTTGCCACCTGTCGCGTAAACGTCACCAAAATGCTGCAATCTATCCTCGCTGAAAGTCTCATAGCTCAGGTTCAGAAGCACTCTCCTCTCGTTCTCACGAGCTACTCCGCATTCAACGCGTGAAGTTATGGTCGGCGCGTTAAAGTTTGGACGTGGCGCTCCAATCAGAGGTGACAAAATGCGACGCAGCTGTTTCCTTGGATCGATGTGTTCTTTATATTTTTACGGTGCTGATCAGCATCCGCGTTCTCAAAGCATTCCCGGCCCTGTCCCCCCTCTTTTTTATGGAGACATGGTACGCAAAATTGTTGCGTCCAACTACTGGAAACGTACGGCTGATACTGAAATGGCTAGAGTCAAATGGTCAATGAGTTTTCTGTGGCGGTAACCGCAATTTCTCACTTTTTCTCGCGGAAGATCTAGAAAAATAAACATCTTTCTTTCTCGTCAGCTCCCGAATCCAAATGTACATTAAAAATCACTTTCCATTTCCAACTGGAATTTTGGCGCGACGGAGGTAAAATGAGTCGCGCGTCCTGACGTCGTCGAAGTCAGTGACGACCATGGGGTGGTCGCTGCTGATGGATGCCTGGGGTTTCTCCATATAGTCCTACAAGGGATGAGCTATTAGAATAAAGATATGACTTGTCGACTACAGTACCATAGAGCTTATGTGAATAATACCTTTGCCGCAGCCAATGCAGGCAACGCTGAATGTAACGCCGCGAGCCCTCCCGGGCAAGTGGGCACCTGGAAGCTTCCCAAAACCTTTGGAATATATAAGGCTTCATGCGTCAGGCCCATTGCCATGATCTCGAAGAAGGAGTCTTGCAAACGATGATGGTTACAGCGGTTAGCCTCCAGACAAATGGATATTTAATTGCTCGGGCGATTCATGACATGATTTTGAACCGTACCTTGAACGACCACGCCGATGACAACGGGATCCTCGACCCTTTTTCTCAGCATCATGTTCAGCGAGAGCTTCATCATGCCAAGCCTCTGCCTATCCTTCGCCATCTTTTTCAAGCTGGCTCCGGGTCTTTTGACTTCTGCTACAACCAAAGGCAGGTTTGATTTCATCGCGAGGAAATCTGGAGAAAGGTCCTCTATGTGGTCGGGAGGTGTTGATAGGCGATATTGATTCCTAAATCAGAAGAATAAAATACTGGTGTTCAACTTTCAGCGAATATGAACATTCATTACCAAAATATCACTACTACAACACATGCACTCACCACCCTGTGGTTAGGTTAACATTACTGAAAAACGCAGTGAAAATAGGATCCACAAAATGTTTCTGGTAAGTGCCCTCGTTCTCACTGCCTCCATTGCTACGATTCCAAAGAGCGCCCGAAGCACTAAGCAACTGGATGGCCAAAAACATTGGGCTTTCCCACCCTCCCCGTCTTGTGATGTCTGCGAGAGTTTCATCAAGCTGGTTCTTGCCGTTGAGAGCAGAAGTTGAGCATTCGTCAAGAAGAACCCTGTCTTGCATAACAGGAGGGGACATATTCACTCTGAGAATTTTTGCTACGACGTCTTTTGGAAGGCACGTAAGCATGAAGTCCTCAATGAATATAAAATTGAGTGCCCTAGAACAAAAGATGTGTTAGTAGTATTTCTTCAACTCACTCTAATCACCAACGGACAAAACTTACAGTAGATCATGGACATGTATGAGGTCGCTTTCCAGCGGAATTAACTGCTCGCGTTTAGCCATTAATGTGCTCGTGATATCAATATCATCAAGGACAAAATGAGGTCCATTGACTTTACTGGAAGTCGGTCCCGGTCCTTCGAGGTTGGTCCACCGCCAGCAAGGAATTTCTTCTTCCTTCTTCCGAGGCAAGTATTCTTGATCGTCGGATTCAGAGCTTAGATCAGACTGGGTGACCTGCTCAGGTCGTCGGTGGGTCTGCTTCAGATTCTTGAAAAACCTACGTTTTGAAGGCTTATAGGCCTCAGCCTGAAGTTCACATATAAGATGCTTTGGACGCGTATCTCACTTGTCTTCAGCAAAAGCTAGGGCACAGAATATCAGAAATACCTTTAAATATTTTTTAAGCAATTTTTGTTGCTCTTCGCTGCCCCACATTCGCCGCATATCGCTTGCAAGTTCGACGTGGCCCATGTCGAAGGCTTCGGTCGCAACAGCCAAGTACGCTCCTCTCATTTTTTTCTCTCTGATGATTGAAAATACATTGGCGAATGTGGTCAACTCTTGGTCCTTACACTTTTCTTGAAATTCCGATAAAGTAATGCGATGGTCCAAGGAAGTGTGGGTGTGGGCGCTTGCATTATCGCTGGTACTCTTTTGACGCCGGATCCTCTCACTGCTTCGAATGCCGGTTCGAGTACTAAAGATGCCCTTGACGTTGATCATTTTGGTATCGTGGAATTAGAAGTAGAGTGGTGCTGTTGATTTCGTTAGGATTGGGATTGATGCGTTGACATTGAGGTTCGTGGGATTTTATGGTATTTATACAAGAGCTACTCTGCATTATGCACGCACGGTGAAATTGGTTTTTTCAACGCAATAGACCAAGAACGGGAGGCAAAGCGCATGGGCCTGCAGAAACATATTAGATAGGGCTATCCGGAGAAACTCTGGGATAAGGAGTCTTGCAGCCCTCAAACGACTCGAAGTTCTCAAGCTCTGCAGTCATTTTGAGTAAACAGGCCTTTCGTTCCTTGATATAATTCGCATAAGACGTCTTGCCCGTCATTGTACGGTCATAGCCCAATTCCAATCCCTCGCGTATAGTTTTGTAAGTCTCGTAACTAAAAATTCTTGGATCCAGCGCCTCAGCGGCCTGCCTCAAAAGTTCACCCCGCTCCTCTGGTTCGATGACTGTTGGTGGAGCCGCAGGGGACACATCGTTGCATGTGAGATCTGTGTTGACAGACGAAGCTGAGCATCCCGACGATGGAGCCTCATCTACTCCATAGTTTATAAACCTGGCCTCGTTTTGGCGACCAACCCTCCGTATATAAGTCATGGTCGGAAGGTCATTAGGCCGGGGATAGTGATAATCCACGTCGTCAAGGTCGTCGTCGTCTAAGTCGTCGTTGTCAAAGTCGCTGCCGTTTCCGTGATCCATAGCAATTCTCCGAGCTCGTGGACTACCCCCAATTGGGACAGAGACAGGCTTAAAGAAGTGAGCAAACGCTGGATTGGCCTTTAGTGATTCCATTCCTGCCTCAATAATTGAACCACAATGCAGCTCACGGCTCAACCGGCCAAAGTGCATCTCACGCGTGTCGGCGTGAGAAAGGAGTTCGGTTTGTCGATCGCGTGGGAGGCTTGCAAAATCCTCCATCACAAACAGCGACGCTGCCACTAATGGCGGCTTCCGATCCAATGATGCGGTGTCATCCTCAAAAGGGTTCCTCATAGATGAATGGTCAAGGTTGTCCATTTCAGGGAGAAAAGGGAGCGGCGTTGAGCGGGTTCTGAGGGAATCCATGTCCTCTTCGGAGACAGCGACTGACCAATGGGCAATAGAATCTCGGGTGAAAAGTACTAAGGACTGGTCCTCCTCAATCACGTCGAAAATCTGAGAATTGCTCAGATTGGACATGTCCTCAGACTTGCGCTTGATGTTCCCCTGCTCGATACTAAGCTGAATGACCTTTAAAGCTCGCTTAACTGCCCGACTCCCCTCAAAGGATGTGGAAAGAAGGGCCTTTTGTCGCTCGTTGAACAAAGGAACATGCCCAAAACAGTGGCGAATCGTTTCTGGCGTTACAAGATTCCAAGCCTGAACAACATGTTTCCAAGCAGTTTTGTTGTCGATGTTCCATTTGCCTTTTTGGCCCTTATGGCGGAGCACCAACGTCGATAGTGCCAGGAAGTCTTGATAGTAATGCTTGAATACAGCGATCATTCCGGCATCCAGAGGCTGCGTCATTGATGTCGAGTTTTTGGGTAAAGTAACAATCCTGATGTTCGGAATCTCGGCCAAAAACGTTGGGTCGGTGATAATGAGGTGGCCTGGGGCGTTATCCAGAAGCAACAGAACCTTGCGGCCAGGTGTGCGAGCCACGATATCTGCCTGAAAGCGTCGCAACCAGCCTGCAAAGACAGGCTTCCGCATGTAACCAACACGCGGCTCGCCATCAGGCTGCACTTCTATCTGCATCTTTGTGAGCTCAGATAATCCGAGTGGCCTGTGTAGACCTATGTTTGTTGTATTATAGTAAGAATTAAGGTCGTTTTGCAAGAAGTAGGGGACCATGTTTTTAATGCCCCATGTACTTACTCAGGATGAATAACCTGCGTTTATCAGTACCAGCTGCGTTCGCGCAGAACAAAATGGAGATGCGATCGCACTTTGCCGGCTTAACACCGGATACCTTGATGATGTCTAGCGTCCAACTAGACAACCACTTCAAGTACACCCCCGTCTCATCACAGTTGTAAATGTCTTCCAGGTCGTACTTGTCCAGCTCCTCTGTAATCTTCTCCACTTCATCCTTGATCTTATCCCAAGAAACAGACGCAGCTTCGCCTTTCATCTTATGATACTTGAGGTCCCAGCATTCGATGAACTTGTTTAGCCAACCCTCAGACCAAGTGGGTTCATTACCCCGACCATCCTTCAAGGGCGGATGATCGACCCGCCACGCCCTGTAAACCTCCTGTGCCAGCAGGCGCAACACTTTAGTATTGACTGGAATGAACCGCTCCCGAAAATAGATAAGCCATTCCCGAAGCAGATATTCCAGTGGAGCAAATGGCCGTGATTGCACCCTCGTCCGGCGATCTGTAGTCACCGCTGGCATCACTGACTTGAGACCCTGAAGTTTTTCCCGGTTTTTCAGCAAACGACTGACTTGCTTCGGCTTCGCGTGCCCTGCCTCGAACCTCCTGACGCTAGGGTTCACCCCCAACGATATACAGTTTTCCTCCATCGATCGTATTTGTCGAGAAGGGCTAATTGTTCTTTCCATGTCAATTGCTGACCCTGCGGTTTCTTGGTCGTGACGGAGGGTTTTGAATGAATAGGACGGAGCCGGGCGGTGGGTACAATTTTCAAGCGTGGAGATGGAGGCATTTTGTTGGATGAATAGGACCGATGCTTCGATGAAAGAGTATCTGGATGCAAAGGGATACCGGTAGCTGTGATATGACCGTCAGTAGCTGTCTCAGCGCTCCACAGATCATTCTTGACTAACTCTTGAATACCTACCTTGCGCTACTGGTGCACAGATATAGCCTCTCGAGGAAGAGTGGGGAAGAGTGAGAAAGAGTGGGAAAGAGGGAGGAAACGTGGTCGAAACAGTGGTCGAAGTGTGGTTGCTCAATTTATGCGTGTACATTTATGTGGCCAGGTTAAAATCATCAGCAAGGAAAAATGGTTTGCATATCTAACCGCATTTAATAATTGAGAGTGCCACAGCATATCCAACTGTATTTAATTGATGGGCGTTAGGTATGGCGGTCTACCTCGTCGCAGATGTAGTATGGTTGTTGCATTCAAAAAGCCGTTTCCTTGTCCATGATGGCTCGGAGTTACAGACTGCGAATGAGAGACGGACGACGAAGACGAGGCTTGAAGATCCTAAAGGCAACGTGAACTAGCTGGGAGAGGCAGCCATGAAATCCTGTAATGAGCTAGACAAGGACGAAGCGGGTGGCAAAGACGAAGCACGCTGCTCCATATATTTCTTAGTCATGGAGTCGGTTGGGAAGCGAGGCAATTGGACAAAGCCTACAGTCATTGAAGAACAGACCAGAGCAGATTGAGCAAGAACAATGATACTTACGGCCAAAGCAGGTAGGAGCCGAAACTTGGACGGCAGGTCAAGACGCACAGCTTGTAGCATCTGGGAGTCGAAGCGATGATGAGCTCTCATCCACGGCCACTGATTGCTCCGGAGACCGCTGCAAACAATGCAAGCATCAGCTTATCTCTGAAAAGAGTAGGAGACCTTGGCTAATATTGTTCAAGGCAGCGGCACCACCCCTAGTGAACCATAATCCTGGCCGCCTAGGCGAGGCGACCAAACTCTCTACAGAACGTAGACCGAAACGTCCGGAGCTACCTCAAAGGGCCTCGCTGCAGACGCTCTAATCTCGTTTGCTCAAGAGGGCTGTGGCCAGAGGGTGGCAAACTTCAGAGGCAACCGCAAACAACTCGATCTCTAGCCGCAGTCGGCGGCGCATGAGATCGAGCTGTTTCGTGGACAAGAGCTCCAGGTAAAGACTTGACGTGTGCATGCGCGCTATGATGAGAGCTGAGACTTATAAGACTCTGAAGGCAAGAGCTTGACAGGCAGAATATAATCGACGGTTACCCTTGCTTGCACTTGTTTGGTGTGTTATGGGTCATGGAGTATAGTCATGATGATGGTGATGGGGAAAAAGACAGAGCGAAAGGGTGACGTATAATCTTTTGTTCACTTAACTTCAAGCTTGGACTTAAGTAAACTTCGCCCCTTATTGAATACTAAATTGAATTACAGCCAATCATATGCTCAGAAATATAGAAAATTCACTTAGTGTCCCATTTTGCCTCTCCAACTGAGAGGGGAGTGTACATGTACTGTGACGATATTTTGCAAAAAAAGATCCTAATTTACATTAAATCAGTGCGAATTGAATTGAATCCTAGTGCTTTACAATAGAGACCACTATAAGGATTGGGAAACCAGGACCCAGATGTTGTTTACTGAACAAACGCGTCGCACTCAGGCACACTCAGACACTCCACCCACTCCATCCACCATCATTCTCGACAAAGTCTACAGCAATGGAGCACCCACACACCCCATATACCCACGGCCCCAGCAGCCGAGCTGGCTCTTCTTCCCAAAACCCAATTCCTAATGGTAAATGCACGCTCATCTTCAATGACAATCGACGCGACATTCGTCTAGACGGAGCACGTCCATGGCAGACTGGCGCTCAACGGTTCGCTCTCCTTTCGCCTACATGTCTGCATAGCAGCGTTGTCCGTCGGCGGTTCCGACAGAGGAGAGGAGCTGGAGGAGCTGGAAGAGGTGGAGCAAGAGATGGTACCCGAGACTCTTTTCGAAGGCCTCATTACTCCCTCCTGTGATGAGGTTGTCGACATGGGTCATGGCCCTTCCATGCAACCGCAATTCTCTCAACAACATGCAACCCAGCAACACCTGTCACCAAGAGCTCTAGAGAAATCTGTTCACCGTGAGATGTATCCTCGGCCCTCGGCCTTGCTTTCCAGCGGTTCCAGCGAGGCGTCCTCCTCTACATTGGTGACCAGCCTGTCGTCCCGCACGCGAAGCCGGCAAACAATATCCCAGGTCCAGGAGGGTCTGCGAGAACAACGTCGACGAGCTGTGGAGAACTCTCTGGCCGAGGCAGGAGTAGAAATGGAGCTTGCGGATGGACAGGTTTCAGGACAGAGATTAGGAATGATGATGAACACGCTGGCAGAACAAGAAATCGACCTTATGATCCAGCAAGAACGCCAGGCACTTTTGACCAAATCGACCGTATCAATGTACGAACGATACCAGCGGCATTGGGTGGTAAGTGTGAGGTTCGCACTGCCTCTAATACCTTATACTCGCAACAAGCACGCGTAAAACCTAATGAACCTGACCTAATGCTTGACTTCTATCTCTCCAGGAGTGGTGCCGTCGAAAAGGATACCCAGATATCAACGTTTACTGCAAGAAGTTTCAGCGATATATGGCTGAGAATGTTGCTGAGGAGCCAGACCCTATGAAAGGTATCGAACCTTTACGCGCCAACCCAAAGGTCCGATCTCAGCAACGGCTGGCGTACGATCCAAACCTGCCCCTGCCTTCCTACGAAACGGTGGATGCGTATATCAAGGCCGCCATCGATCTTTATGTCAGCCAGAAATCCGACTCCTCAAACAAGGCCATGCAAAACGAGCCCCACCCACGCTCCGCTCATGTCCGGACGCTCATGAAGAAGTATCAGCTAAGAGTGGCCGCGCTGAAGAAATCTATGGTCTCGACCGATCTGACCTTTGACGAGGGAAACGACTTGGAGGTGTTGAGGCAGACGATGAAGACAGCTTGGACCCACAAGTACCGGCATCTAGGCGGTGGAAGGAAGCACGATGTCGTTGGCCTCCGCACTCGGCTTAACGCTGTATGGTCCCACTATATGGTAATGCGCGGTGAAAACATGAGGATGGCTACATTGGCTGACCTCGCCACTCACACCGTCAATCAAGGAAACTCTGGAGGACAAAGTGTTGTTGGTATCTCTCTTTCGATGCTACGAGGGAAAACGAACCGCGAGGGCAAGGAGAATAAAGGAGTTATAGTGCGAAGCAAGGATGTTGAGGTCTGCCCCGTCGGTGCCTTCGTACTCTACCTCTATGAACTGTGGATGGTATGATCTCTCTCCTCTATTCCTCTATTTTTTTTTAATTTTTTTCCTTAATTTTTTTTTTTAATTTTTTTTTTTAATTTTTTTTAATTTTTTTTTTTTTCGCGCTCATAACAATCGCCTTTTCATTTCTTCCTTTGTAGCATCCAAGAAGCCCTCCGGATTTCAACGAACACTCCTGGAGCGAGATCTTCATCCTATATGCAGGAGGGGATCCGTTGAAGCAGTTGTCACACAGTGCACAGTACAGGCATGCCGCCACAATGTGGAATAAATCGGCCAACCCAACGAACAAGCCCACTCATGCGCATCGAGGTTCTGAAGCGCGCCATGCTCTCGCGGCCGGGGCGGACATCGCCTCAATTGCGCAAGCTGGACACTGGAGCGTTGATCGCGTGGCGACACATTATCTGGACCGACATTCTGCGCAGGTGGCTCTGAAAATGGCCGGGTGCACATTGCCAGGGGAGCGTCTATGGCTCGCGCGAAATACTCTCATCCCGCCTATTGACCTTCAGCGACAAGTCTTCCCATTTATCGAACACTACTTCACGGATTCCGAGGATTGGCTCGTATGGACTTCCAATATCATGATGGATCGCGATATATTCGAGGATCGGCCTTCCAACACCAGGATGAAAATTCTGAGCCAGGACATCCCCAAGCTGCGCATCCTTCTTCTATTGACACATCTGCGCAAAGTCCTTCTTCAAGACGCTGCGGTTCTCATCAATCTTCGAACTTCCGAATTTCGTTACGGCGAGCACCACATCTTCAGAGATCGTTTATTTGGCAGCACTCTATTCTTGAGGTTCCAGGAACGCTTACTTCACAGCATAGAAACTACACGCTCCCCGGTATCGGACAGCCTTGCCGCAAACGCTCCAGCCATCAACCACGAATTCCGCTCGCTGCACATGCGAGATGAGCAGAATAACCGCGTACTCAACGAGCTCCTCAAGACCACATCTGCTGTAAGAAACGAGCAGAGAGAAGACCTCATGGAGGCTACCTCCACCATTAAGGCTCGAATCGACGATCGATTCAGCGCTCTCGTCAGCTTTGCCTTCGACATATCATCTGGCCTCACTCAAGCGATAACCAATTTATCTCAGAGGGAGCAGCAGGGAGCAGATCAAGGGCGTCAACCACAGAGTCAACAGAACTTGAATGGCTTACGACAACTTCAACAGGATCAAATGCAGGGGTTGCAGCTACTCCGAAATCTGGGACCCAGCCCGCAACTAGCGCAAGCGCAAGAGCTGTACATCCAGCTTATAGAGAAAACGCAACAGCTAATTCAGCCCCAAGGACATCAGCTATTGCATACGCTCCAGCCGCATGTTCGTGTTCAACGTTCTCAAGTAGAACGACAACTGCCGGGTGAAGAACAAGAAACAGCGGCGGAGCAGGAGCAAGCGGTGGTGGAACAAGAAGATGAGCAGGAACAGCAATCGGAAATCCATCAGGAAGCCACCTTGCATCTACCGGACCAGGAACAGGCGCTTCAACCGCCAGAGCATCAACCACAGCCTGAAGAGCATGACATAGAGGACCAAATGGACCAAATGGAAGAAGCGCTGGCGTACCCTAGATATCAACCACCTTTTATTGCTGACCACATCATGCTTGGACGCGACGATCCTCTTCGAGACCAATGGAAGGAGTGGTTCTTTGGACTGAATGGGCAACCATCACTTTGGCAACTCAACAAGCACTACAAGTCCAAGTGGCGGAAGGGGAGCGACCAGAAAGCTAACACGCGGTCAAAGCAATTCTACTACAAGAGGCGTCTGATCCGCTCGGTGTTGAAAACCTCCTTGCGGATGCCTGGGTCCACATTGGAGTTGAGGGTTGAAGCAGCTCTACAATCAGTAGAAGAGCAGCTCCAAACGATGTCTATGAACCGGTACGTGAAAACACTTGACGTAGAGAGATAGAAAGTGAATAAAAAAAGCTTGCCATTATGACCATTAAGACGTGCAACATGCGACATGAGAATGGAGATGAGATGGTGCAGCCAGCCTTTTTTTTTTTTTTTTTTTTTTTATTCTACAGACCTACAGACAGTAGAAAAAAGTGAGTGCATTGTATTGGGATCCTAATACTACACTAGGGGGAATCCAGAGTAATATCCCCCAAGTATTTCTTTCGAATTTGGGATACTGGCACAGTTCCCCCATCCAAAAATTTTTTAGGACCCCAATAGGAAATATACTGTGCTGTACTAATACCATCCATGAACTCCATTTCCAGTCTTTGCATTAGTGACCACCGCGGTGATTCCGCTCAACGCATCTTGCCTGGGACCATCACAGCGGGCGCGAATTCTATAGTTGCACTGTACCATGCATGGGCTCTATCATCTGTCTTTGCATTGGCGCCCACTGTGATGACTCCGCTCAACGCTTCCTGCCTAGGACAGTTGCTGTGAGCGTGCATTTCATAGCCGAACTGTACCATGCATGAGCTTCATCATTTTAGACAAAAAAAAACATGGACTCCATCATCGATTTTCGCATTGTCTCTCGGCGTAGTCACTCCACTCGACATTTCTTAACCAAGATCGCTGGTCCGAGGACTTGCAAGGATCGCTCCACGAGTGATTTCCTTAGTCGCGTTGCAATGCACCATGGATAGCCCCTTCCAGAATCAAAATCATATAAAACGGAGCCCTTATTGAACTACAGGATCCACCAAACCGACAATCCATCCCCTCCCTCAACTGGTCTTTTGCCAGTTCTGTCCCTACCTTACGACGCGTAAATACATGCATCATTCGATGTTCCCTCCCCCCCTCCCTTGTAATTATCGATCTTGTGAAATGGACTCTAACACTATCTTCTATTTTGTATCTTCCATCCTCAGCATCCTTGGCCTTAGTTGAGGCCCAACAAACCCATGAAACCTCCGACTCTGAAATCGCTCCGAGCTCTGCTCGCTTTGGTCTTGCTCATCTCTCAAGCCCTCTCTGTCAAACTCCACCGAGAAACCTTCAACAGCGTTGGTTCATTGCCCGAAGTCGTGGTCGGAGTGGCCGCGAAAACGGCGCTCCAACTTGGCAACCAGCTTTTTCAGTTGACAGGCGCGCCTTACTTCACCGGCTTCTTCGATGAGAGGGTCTACTTCCGTGTCGGTTCAGTGGGATATGTCGTATCGATGCATCTTAACCCAATCATGGACAACATGACCTCTAGGTCCTACATAGGCGGCCAACTCACTGCGGCCGACGTTGCCCAATCCGCGCTCGAACTGGTGAAATGGATGGAAGATCTAAGAAAGGGGAAGACAATGTATCCTTATGGGGCTATAGGATACGAATCAGACAACAGTTGTGCCCTGGGAGGCCTCTTCTATGACATCTATCAGGACAACCGATCCCTTCCCCCTCTGTGGTCCAACAATGTTCACCGCGCGAACAGGAACAAGACCGGTGTCCTCTCCGGCGGTTTCCCTCCCCTAGTCCTCACTAACTTGGCCAGGGACGATCTCCTCCCCAGAGCACCAAAGACCAATGGTCAACAGCTCTGCTCGCGTGCCGATAACGTCTGGGCGGCCTGTAAAGGCTCAGACACCATTGTCTCTGGGACTATACTCGGTCCTGGTCAGAGCCTCTACTCCGAACTGGGCGCACGTCTCTATGTGGAGAAGGGCGGCAACCTGTGTCTCTACTATTATAAGCCAGATCCTGTCAACTACTGGTGCTAGAACCATGGTCTGGACTGGTCAGGCAAGAACTTTGGTGTCTTTCTCAACGCTAGCGGACAAGTCTGTCTCATCCGCCTCGATAACAGCAACGAGAACGCCTATTGCACCCAACCCAGTGGTGGAATGGACAGGTACAGGATGACCCTGCAGAACGACGGCAACTTGGTCGTCTATCAGGGCATCAACGGGGATGCTCTCTGGTCCAGCCGCTCGGACATCTTTCGAGCTGGTGGACCTAAAGCATGCACACACCGAGTTCTTGCATAGAAACAATATCCCCCATCATAAACAGTAGTCGGAGGGATATCCGAGGATGCTTAAGATAAACTCAGTGCTCCGTTTCCTCTGACGAGTACTTGCTGCGATAGAATAACCATTCGAGATAGAAGTACAGTAGCTACCTAAAGATAGCTAACGAAAGGCCCCCACTAAACTAATCTAATGTAAAAATGAGGAACCAAATACCTATTATGCACATTCTGAGTTGCATGGTTTCTAACACTTGAGCCGGGGCCCAAGACCGCTACGCAACCTGTCGGGTTCGATGGGTCCTCTTCTAGTCAAGATTACGGGCCAATATGAGTTTTATCCTCCTCCCTCTCCCCATCTCGTTCAACACCACCTTTCCCTAGAGATGATCTACTAGGTGGCTGTCTGCTCTCCTCCTCGCCGCCGCCGTAACCTTCTCTTGGGGCTGTTGTCTCACAAAGCCCTGGGTCTCACCTCCTTCCTGGACTCCGGCTTTCTTCATCCTCGCGCATATGCCCTCGGACTTTTCTCATGCCACTGTGGCACTACATCGCTCCTTCCATAGCTCCTCTCGGTCAAAAGCCTCAACTTGTTTTACAAAATGTCCAACCAGGTAAGCCGTGATATTTTCGACGTCTTCAAGAGCAGCGCCCAATCCGTTATCGGGAACTTTGGTACGAGTCCGTGATATATGTCCGTCGTTATCGAGAGCCTGGTAGGAGGTGCTGCCTGTTGTACGTTTTCTTGATCCTGTGGGACCGATGGTTACAATCCGTAAGGCTGGCGAAAAAACCCCCTGGCGGATTTTTCTCATGTATGATAGCAAAGCTGGATCGCCACTCCACTTCTTCTCACTGCAAAATAAACTATTACTTGGCGTTGTTGATTGTTACGGTTTGGGCGCAGCAATAAAAAAAAAAAAAAAAAAAAAGAGAGAGAGAGAGAGGGTGTCTCTTGCAGGTGCAAGAAAATGGCACCTGTTGCTAGCATAGCTATCAAGTCTCATTATCGCCTTTTGTTTCGGTATACATTCGAGGACGCCATTGTTTTAACGGCTCTCGTTCTGCTTTTTGCCCTCTACTGCTATGTTCACAGGAGATTGGCATCCACGACCTTTTCTCTTTGAGTCTGATCACGAAGCACTCATATGCCAGCCGGTTCTCATCCGATTCATCCGATTCATAACACCGCAAATCGATGAAATAACTTAGATATACGCTATCTCTGCTTATCAACGAGATTTTGCACAAAGTCCATGTATCTTAGCAACCTCGGTTTCTTCAACTTAGACAGTTACTTCAGGGGCCCATCGGAGAGGAACATTTTCTCGAAGTTGGATTAGAGATTTCATTCTCCCAACCTAGTCAGTTGTCCGATCTCAGGTGAGCCATAATGCATAAAGCGACTCATTATGTCCGTACTCGGATGCATTCAATGAGCGCTTTTGAAATCTCTATAGGGATATCAATGAAATGGCAATTGTTTTAGTCCATGGCAGACTCGCTGCTTCGGCGCCGCCTGATCTATCTCTGAGCTATGATCGAATCGTTCTACAGAGTCAGCGATTGCCCTCAGGGAATGCAGTATTCGAAGGTTGCTCAAAGGGTCCGCAAGGTCTATTGCTTGTGCCAAGTGGTTCGCGAATGTTCCTGGATGGAGATCGGCAATGTGCTTTTGAATGAGCGGCTTGAGTATGCCAAAGGCACGAGCACGTAGCGTCTCTTCCCATCGTGTGCTCCGCTGCAGATGCAGCCGCCGCCGCTTCTTTGCGTCTAAGCAGGCGCACCAGTCGCACAGCGAGTTCCGATGGGTGATGCTCAATGAGCGCACCGCAATTAAAATTCCTCAGGCGTGGACAGTAGCCCCCTCGAGAATGGATGCAGTCTCTACTATCCTTCGACTATACAGTCGAAGGAATCTGGGCGCTCCAAGTCGAGGACTGCACGGCAGAAACGAAGATAAAAAGGCCAATTGATGATCTGGACGCGACACGGCGACGCCGGTTCTTACACTCGAGCCTTTGACATCTGCTCCATTGCAAATGTGGCGGCCCCACACCTCTCTATTTCCTACCCTGCCATCACTCTTCGTCCATAGCACTGGAAGCGTCGCGGTCTTTGAAAATGTAGGGTTCAATCTGTTGAAGTCGCCACAAAGCTAGATAAGTTCCTGGATGTAGGCCATAGTGGCGAATTCGTTACATTTGAAGGCGAGAATCTGGAGTTTAAGAGGGTGCGAAAGCGTCTGGAGAAGTTGATTGTAAACTTGCTAATGGCCGAACGAGAAATCAGTTCTGAGGGTTTGAAAACCGTTCGGCATGGTTCTCAGGAGCAATTTGAGCGTTTTGAATCCGTTAGGTCCAAGTACCGGAGATTGGGAAGAGGCCAGATGGTTTCCTCTGCCGTCTGTTTACCATCCCAGCTGAGAAGTTTTTGAATGAGATCGTGGTGCCTTACTAGGGCTGAAGACTCGATGGCGGGAAGTTTTCGCCACCTAAAAATACGCTAGAGTATAGGTATAGGTCATCGAAACATCCCCGCGAGACGAGGTCGCGCTGTACCAAACCATAGTTCGAAAGGCGTTGGGTGATCATGTTCTTGAGAAGTGGAATGTCAAAGATTGTTAACTTCACTATATCGGTGCGGCTAAGAACGTGAGTCAGTGGCCAAAAAAATAGCATGAGAATGAGGATGGGGACGAAGATCACGACGGGAACGAGGGCATGGAGAAGCGGTACATAGGAACAGCGCTTGTTCCAGCAGAAGAGCGAGTAACGTTAATTACTGTGAAAATGGCTATCATTGCTAGTCGACTTGCAACCATGGCCGGTTTGCCAGCAAAGTCTCCGTAAATGCGTGAAGTGCATGCCTATCAGATGCCTCAAGCCTTTCCTTCGCGAACCCGTTAAGCATCCCGACATGGATCAGCCTTGGCCAGTGTTCAATCATCCACTCTGCCACCCTTGTCCCGATTTGGAACCTGATAGGGAATAGACGCTCAAAGTAACATGCCCTTAGCTGCTTTAATCCCGCCAGTAAACCAAGATAGCCGCCCTCCAACTGCCAAAGATCCACATCGGAAGTCTGCAGCCTCCACTGCTGCAGCTTGGTCAGTATGCCAATCTGAGAGAACAAGTAGGTCATGCAACTGTCTGCGGGAGAGCCCTTCCAAGCAGGGGCGCGGAACTGATTGTCGTCGCATATCAGATCTATATTCAGCTCCAGGATTCTCAACTCTAGACAAATCCACTGTTTTTGAAGGAGCACAGCCTGGGTATCGGTGCGCGTGTACTCCAAGACCGCATACAGCGATCGTAATTTTGGAAGACTGGTCATTAGGTGAATGAAATTCGTTGTCGACATGCATAGTTTCGAGAAATCGACGGTCGTCAGCGACCCTACATGATGATTGCTGAGGGCAAGGATAGACTGTTCGTTGAATTCCACCGCGCGACTCAACGTCAGTTTCTCAAGACCGTGCCTAAATCCATTGTCGCTGCAGCCATTGCCACTGTCATGTCCGAGTAGCCGTAGAAAGTCCGCCTGTAGCGCTGCTGTGTTGTCATTTCTCCGAATGTATCCCATGCGCACATCCTTCAGTTTTGTGCAGTACCTGTCCTCGCTGAAGAGACTCACAACCTGGGGCAGGGTATCCTCATGATGGATTCTGATCAAATGCAGCATCTCCAGGTTCGGGCATCGCCTCAGGAGGGGCACGATGATAGCAGGCTCTTGATTCGCGTTAGAGATGCGTATGGACAACGCACGGATGCGCATATCTTGCATCTGGTCCATGGCAACCTTGGCGGTCCGACAACTCTCAATTTGATGTGCAATTCCATCCCCATAGTTATGGTAGTGCCCGACATGAGAAGGCATGTCGTCTCCAAACTTAAGATGGAGAGAATCGTAATACTGGCAGGCCTCGATAATTTGCTGGATAGAGTTAGGATCGGTGAATTCGCGGCAAGACAGGTCGAGGTTCATCAGGGCAGGGTGCGATCGCAGCGTATCAATCAATTGCTGGAGAACACTTTCTTGACTGAGAGAGAGCGTTAATTTGACGCATCGGAGAGATGGGGTTGCCTTGATAAAACGCAAGACTTGATCTTCGTTGCAAGGCGTGCCGTAATCTGGTGTATGGTCCAGTGACTGCAGATTCGGGAATGGGACCGAGGCAAGTGAGATCGAGGCCAGATACTTGTGGAATGCAGTGACAGATAGGACATAATGTTGGTTGGTTATGAGAGCGGAGATGTGAGGTGTGCTGCGTGCGAAGTTAAGGGTGCGCCAGAGTGCTGGGCTGAACCAGGCCAACCAATCCTTGGAGACCAGGGTGCATTGGACCAAGTCGTGCTCGGAGAGGTACTGTGTGATCTCGTCTTTTAGAAGTTGAATGTCAAAGAGGGACAGTTGTGCCATTGGAATGGGATTGAGATTTAGGGAGTGAGGCCGATCAGAAGGATGCATGTGTGTTTGGGTCAGGGAAGGTCCTGCTGTGGTCAATGTCTCAAAATAAGGTTGCAGAAGTTCTGATTCGCTGGTTGGAATGGCCAAGGAGGCGCCAGAGGGGCAAAAGTGAACTGGCGACCATTCGGTCTACCAAGTTCCGGACAGCTGCCTCTTTCGAAAAGAAAGAGTTTGCTGTGCCAATCATCCAGTATTATGATGACCATAGAAGAGAAGTCCTTGTAAGCATCTCAGCTATTCATAGTACTGTCCTACAGACATCAAGGAAGCTGTGATACCATGGCCAACCTTGTTCCAGCAATGGAAAGAAATGTGTCCTCACAGACGGATAAGACAACTCTGAGTGCTGATCAGTGTCTCAGCATAGGATCCAAACACGTCCAGGGTTGCTGTAAAGCTCCGGAATGTTTTTTGTTCTTTCTGTTCCTGAATACACGCTCCACCCATGTACATGCTTCGTTTGACCTGGTTCATGCAATTGGCCAATGGGAACATTGTATCCAAGCAGGGTGCTGAGAAAAGTACTCACGTGACCTCGCTTCCTTCTTTGCCACTGATTTGGTTCCCTTTCCCATTTCCATTCCCACCTCGCTTTCTCACTCACTCTCGTGTCGCAGCAGAAGCAGTTGAGAGAAGGAAGCAAGCGGACTGCCCTCGTACGTCTTTGCTTCGATAAGTCCTCTGCTGCACTCCCTTTTTTTTTTCTCACCCGTTCCGCTGATTCACATTCCTCCCGACTCTCTTTTCTTTTCTGTCGAACTCATTCCACTGTTGTTCTCAACCGAATCTCACCCTACAGCACCGTTCCCCACTTCCACTCCCCTCCTCTTTCTCTCTTCCTCTCTCCTCCATCCCTGGTCCTTGCTTGTCCTTGCTGATTCGCCTGCGACTCACACTGTGCGCGACTCTTTGTCCCATTCTTTTCTTCCCACCCACCCGTACCTCTTCCTCCATTCACTCTCTTACTACTCCTTCAGTGATATACCATCAACTGCATCTTGCGATCCACTTCACACCGATACGCCCTCGTTCGTATTATCTCTTCTTGAACCCACTCATTTTCACACACCTGTACACTCCGAACCTATACTCTTGCAACAGAAAAAAAAGCGCACTTCAGATCCCTCAGTTCTCACGCGGGGAAGAGATTCTCATCCCGACAGATTCGATCGATCCCTCTACACTCCGGCTTTATTATTCCCGCAGCTCAACCAGAAAGTGATTGCAGACACAATTCCGCATGGGTATGCGTTACGCTCGACACTGATTTGGTTCACCAAGTAGATTGTTCACTCTGTCTCAGTTGCCGATCGACTAACAAGCTTCTTCTTTTATCTGTTTTGCACACGTTCTCACTCGCCCCGACTGTTGCTTGCCATCCTTTGCTTCTAACCGATGCAGCTCGTGGCATTCCTTGTAAGAATCGACCCTTAGAATGTACATTCGTTGTTCCTTATTGACGACCGCTACAATAGTGACTAACAGTCTACTCTTTCTTGATCTCGTTCCCTTGATTCCGCCACCGGTCTATAGCATCCCCTAGGAGAAGCCATCGTGGCGGCTACCACAAGAGCAAGAAGGTCGTCGAGGAGGACGATGGCGGCCAAACACGCTGCGTGTGCAATCAGCAACGTAAGAGTCTACCATTCCCTTTGTTGGTGTCGATTATTTGGAACTGTATCAATTGCACACTGAAACAGTGGCATTCTGCCGTGCTACTGCACACTGTTCCCTTCCAGCGCGTGCACTGCCTGCTGTATTGCGCATGAGAGCATTCCAACCTGAATGGATGTTGAATTCGATTTAGGTGCTGCAGAGATTCTGCTTTGACTGGCTGACATGAATGCTGTTTTTTTTTTGAATAGATCATGAGGGTGTTATGATCCAATGCGAGACCTGCAAGGTGTGGCAGCACTGTCCCTGTGTGGGACTGGGCGACGGCGAAGTGACTCCGGACAAGTATTACTGCGACTCTTGCCGCCCCGAGAACCATCCGTACAGGGTCCAAGACGGCCAGCTGTAAGTATTTCTTCTGGACAAGAGAGAGAGAGCCTCTATTGCACTTCCCCTTTCACCCACGCTGTACTGGCTTGCTTTTACCTTTCTTTAATGTGCTTTGATATTTTCAAGCTGCCAATGACTCCGGAGAGCTGGTGCATGGTCTCGTACATCCTAAAACATGTGGGCAAAGTCCAGTCACCACAGCCTTTTTAACACTGGCTCTCAATTGCTCATGGACGATTTGAACATTTCTGATACAAAAACCCTTAATCATTTTTGTGGGTGGGTATCGTGCAAGGCTATCAAGCTGCGCAGACATGTTCACCGGTTTTTTTTAACGTCCTTTGAAAGCTTTCTCTCCTCATCACTCCAATTCATTGACCATTATCATTCAAAAACACATGAAATAATATGGAATCGCTGTGAAAAGGTTGTCCGCGATTCTCTGCGGCTGTAGTTGCTTTTATGGACACAGCAAGCTCGTGGTCCTGCGTGGAGTATGGGTTGGATCCTTTGATAAGAAGCCTGGAATGATATAGGCGACCGAGGAGGCGCAATTGCTCAAACAGCTTAAGGGATATTGTCTATGTACGAGACCTTTCATCCGGGGCCATGGCATAAAAGTATTCAAAAAGGAGTCTGGCCAATGTTCAATTTAATCCATTGGTTCCTCCGCTTCAGATTATACTTACCGCCTTTTGGCTTTGTCCCATAGAATCTCAACTCCGGCTGCAACTGGTCCGAAAGCAAAGTCGTCCAAAAAGAGAAGTACCATGAACTCTAAAGACGCCTTGTTCTCAGCAGACTCCGCAACAACACATTCTCACCACAGCAAGAACAAGAGCGAAGAGGACACGAATGTCTCTGCAAGCAAACGAAGCAATGACACCGACGATGATAGCATAAACACTACCAACAAGTCCAATGGCCATACACGATCTTCGAAACGTCGGAGGAAGAATGTGAGCAACATTGACGACAGCGAAGATACGAACGAGGATGCCACCCATGGGTTGAATGGATATCATCATGATGATCAAAGTTCGGAGGCAACAGACAAGGACTCGGAGACACCATTAAACTCCACAGCCGCCTCATTAAAGAGAGTAACAAAGGGTAAGGGCTCTTCAAAGTCCAAGAAAGCGGGTTCTACCAAACCGTCGATAGCTCATTCCCCGCCAGACTCACCTCAAGCCAAGGACGAGGAGTCGAGCCATCCTAACGACGAGCAAGGCGCAGAGCCGTCTCGAGCACCTTCCCCACAGCAGGCACATCCTGCTGGCCGACGGACCGGTGGGAAGAAGAACAGTCGCCCCTCGGAGGATGAACCCATTGCGGACAACAGATCCACCGTCAGCGCATCAAGCAAGAGGAGAAAGCTAGCCAAATCAGAGACACCCTCACCAGAGGCATCCTCGTCTGCTGTCGATCACGACAATGAACCGCATCGAGCGGTTGGTAATGAATCCATTGCGGACTCGCATGGTATGTGATACCCAAAGTTCTTTATTTCGCCATTATACTTGACACGACAAGGTCTAACGTGTGTGTGGTTCAATAGATGCCTCCGCGAATTCTGTGCCTGGTTCCGGCAATAGCGTCACCAATAACGGCTGTATTAATAACGATACAGCATTGTCATCACCAACTACGGCGACGAACAAGAGGACAGGTTCTCGCAAGAATGCCGGCCATTACCACCATCACTATAAGGCCAATTCGGACTCTCCTACGCCCTCTGGTACTCCACAGCCGATGCAGCCAGCCCCGCCAGCCAAGGTTAAATACCCATCTACCAGAATGTCGTTCAAGGACATGAACAAGCGGGCACAAAATCTCCTGGACTATATCAGCCGGGTACAAGTAGAGATGGTGGAACTGAAGATCAAAAACAGTAATCACAGCTCAGTCTCGCCCACTGCCGATGCTGTCGCAACACCTCGGCAGGCTGGACTCCAGGTGCAATTGCATGAGCAGGCTACAGGATCGACTGAAACTCCAGATACGCATTGGTTGTCAACGCCACCACAATCTGTGCATGAGCTATCACACGGTGATTTCTTGGAGCAGAAAGCCCAATTGAAGCAGGTTGACCTGCCTTGCTCATCATCGAGTACTGGTACGGGATCTGAGAAAAGCAAAGCACCCATGACACCGCCACACCAACTGAATGGTTATGGCAGTGGCGATTCCATGGAATCGACCGTCGAGTCCCACATTGGTTGTAATGGGGCTCAATTGGGTCTTGCTATCATGCCGGTGACCAGCCTGGATCTGATGGACAAGCTGTCGGGAGATTTGGTCCGTTTCCAGGAGAGGTTTGGACACTATGTGGAGTAACATGACCGCTGTCAGGAGGGTCCTAAGAGGAAGGCCAAGGCACCGATATACAGTTCTATCTATTCAGTGTACAACGAGAGAGCACCATACCTACCGCTTTTATTTTTTCATCCTTATTGTTTTTTTTCTTTCGAGGCCGATCATTATCTTGTTCCCGCTGTTGCTGCTTGCGGTCTATTTTGCTTTTTCGCTTGTAGTTTTAATAGCATTACCGCTTCATTTTCCTTGTCTTTTTGCTGCTGCTCTTTGTTCTCTTTTGGTCCATAATTTTTTGTACTATTACTCAGTCAGGTCCTCATTTGCTTATTATATCTCTCCCCCTGTAGTTGTATCACCAGCGCCTCTTCCCAAAACTCTTGAATTCGTCGATCAATCCAATAAATCGTAGTTTGATATAAGATTCCTTGATATGGACGAGGTACGACAAAGCTGTGTGCTGGAAGATGATGTAAGGGGTAATAAGAGAAGGGAAGGAACCGACATAGAAGAGATGCTGCTCACTGATTTCGCTTCCTCTTGTCCCCTGCCCATGAGCTTGTGACTGTTTCGATATCGCTCAGAGGCTGGACGCGAACAACGTGTTTGTGGGAAAAGCTGCGCGGCTGAGATACGGAGACGAGAGAGGGGTAAGTTAACATGCCACGCTATTCCCCAGGCCATGCGAAAGAAAAGACCACTTGTCACATGAAACCCCAGGAACCATCTTGGCCCGGTCGTCATAGCTCGAGAACCCAGGGGACGGGGAATAGTACAAATGTGCATCATCATTGAGGAGGTCGCTGTGCACTTTTGAGGTGGATGGATGTGGCACAGACTTGCCAGGAAGACATATAGACTATATTCTCTTGACTTATTTGGCGTATATTCCAGATGTGCAGCATAGCATGAACTGCATCAAATACACCCCTCGATAAACTCGACAAAGCGTAGGATTCAAGGCTAGGCAACCCCGCAAATGACTTTCTCTCTTCTACTCTTCATATCGTACAAGTCAACGGAGGACAATTGTGGATAGATCTGTTCCCTTCTCAGAATCTTCCGGACCGGCTTCTTGGACCCAATCCTCTGTTGCTGATGATGATTCATGGTCTCAACATCTAAACGCTATCAAAAACAAGAAGAAAAAAAATAGGGTCCAGTTCCTTATCGCGTAGCATGCGCCGGTTGACCCAGTAGATTTTTTTGTATACAGCCAATCTCTAATAAGGACGAAGATCGTCCGTAGGTGGCTAGGAAGACACGAGTGTTCGGCGACTCGTGCGCTATTTCTTGCAAACACGTTGTTTACAACCGAAAAATAAATAAAAAAAAATGGAGTTGTGAACAAGCTGGGCGGGTCAGGAGTCAGTCGAAGGTCAGGCCTTGTCTTCCTCTCCTTTAACTGATGTTTTTTTACTCCTTTGACTCTGGACTAGCAGGCTATGTCCTGGCCAAGCCGTACTGGCCTGCAACATGAGGGGCCTAGAGGGTTGCAGGGGGTTGAGCAGCTCCCTTCCTTTATATATCTTCAAGGAGTGGACATACAGTGCACGAATGAGCGATGCGCAATGGAATGGACGCTCAATGACTTTGGTACCTATAACCCACTGCAATGGTCGCTTTAATCAATCTGTTTTTCCATTGACGACGCGAAGAGGCCATGCTCTCGTCCTATGCAACCTTGTACTTCTGTGGTAACCTAGCACATGCATACATTACGCCCGCCTTCTCTCCCTTTGTCGTTCTAGTCTTCTAGTCCGAGTCGCCGTTGTATTGTATCAATAAATAAATGCTCCCATGTGTGGGCAATTAGTCGCACACGAATGCAGTCGCAGACACATGGCACCAAGAGGAGGGAAAACATAGATGCAGGACAAACGATGGTTAAGATAGAAGATGTCCAAACAGACATACCCTTGCTCCGTATGGCTAATAAAACAATCTTGCAGAGTACCCACATACACCATGCTGAGCCAGCACGCTCAGAAGAACTAAAGGAGTTTGTACAACTCGAGTACCTATCTTGTCCGGTTCCCATACCTATAGTCCTAACTTCCATTTTCGTGTTGACATCCATCCTCGCGCAAGAAGTAGGAAGAAGACATACGGGCGGAGATAATGACTGGCGCATGGCTTTATGTGTCTTTGTCTGCTCGCCGCATCTTGTCTTTTTGATATCTTTCACGATCCATTTCTCGACCGACCTTCTCCTACCTTCCTTTCCTGCCGTTCCTTTTCATCCTCGGTTCTCTCCTGCCGCTATTTTCTTCCTTCCACCCTTTCAGTCAATTAGACAAAGTTTATTATATACCCAAGAATACTTTCACGCCGTACGCACACTTATACATTCATACACACATATACAGCAGAATTTAGTCATGGGAGCTAATCTTTCTTCAGAAGACTACGAGTCCAACGACAAGGAGGTCTTTCAGTCATATCGAATCCCACCCAAGGCCTACAAGAAAAAACTCAGTTCCAAGGATAACAAGAGCGCAAGCGACTCTTCAGTACCCGTCTCTCCATCTTCTGTCGAGTTCAACTCACTCCCCTTCGGCAGGAGCGGGGCCCAGGGTCAGCAACTGCGTCATGGAAGCCATCATCAACAGCAGAGATACCGGTCAGGATCATTGTCATCGTCACTGAACAAAGGAAGGAAGGATCGACCCATCTCGCACCCACCCTCAATACTCTCTAACACCTCATCCACGTCCTCACTCAACCTATCGATTGTCAACGCAGCGGTTGCAGCCGGTTCACCTACACCTTCGCTCTACCCTTATTCTAACGGTGTTGTCAGTGCACCACTGCCTATTATGGTTAACGGGGCAGGCGTTGGAGTCGGCAGTGTCGGAACCGGCTCCCGCACCAACAGCGGCTATTCTATCGGCTCTGAATCCTTTGATCTTGCACACTCTGTCGGCTCCGGTCTGGGCAGAGCAACATATGTGAACGGCAAGATGGTCGAGGTGGGATTTCATGGCAGCCAACTATCCCAGAAACCAGCTCCCATGTACCTGCACAATAACTATACCGTCCAAGACTTTATTTCATATCAGCAACAGCAGCAACAGAACTTCCTCGAGCAGCAGCAGTTTGAATACCAGCAGATGCTGGTGCTTCAGCAACAGCAACAACAGCTGAGGCAGCAGTACCAACAGCAGCAACAACAGCTTTTACTACAGCAGCAGTTCCAACAGCAGCAATACAGTACAGCAACGTCGCACCCTTCACAAGATCATGTATCGCAACAGATTATGGGGGTGGCTCTCCAGACAAAAACTCGACGACCTGCTCGTCATCCGGATCGAATCCCCAATAGTAATAGCCACAACCGCAACATTAGTCAATCCATCGCTATTCCCTCGACCTCGTCCTCCTCGCTGCTGCGCCAACCGCATGTGCCGTCGTCTCCATCAGCACGGCATAACATACACCGGTCGCCCACACTCGCCAACACGCCCACTCACCACTATGGCACCTCCCCAACAGTATCCCTCAGTTCCAGTCATAACGGCGTAGCATCCTCGTTCTCGAGCACAGGATCACATTATCAGAACATACTGGCTATGACCAGTGCCTCTCCGCCCTCATCCTCGTCATCTTCATTATCTACATCTGGAGTTGAGAACGGAACAGGTCAGAATCACTACTCTCATAACCAGCCATCCAATGCGGCAGTCGTGCCGACCTCTGCTGCATCAGCGGCACCGAAAGCGAACAAGTTGGGACTATTACTTGAGGAGCTTGCGGCCAAGGTTCTTCCACCGAGGCGAATGCTTGGGGGACGGGAATACTATCCAGACAAGACGCTGCCGTATCTCTTGCCATGCGATGAACAAGAGGGTGAAAGGTAATGAGGCTCTCTGCTTTCCTTTTTTACTGCTTGCCTGGTTTGGAAAAGGAGAGCCGACCTAACGATCTAAGGCTGCATAGTTTTGCGATGTTATTAATTCCTCCCCTATCTATGCATCTGACTGTTGCGAACCTTGGCGTGCCGCGTGTAGGCTTCTGCTTCAGCATTATGTGATCCGGTATGCATTCGGTTCCAATATCATCCCTCCAATCGACGTCAACATTGCTGGCAAAGTTCTCGACTGTGGATGTGGGCCTGGCACTTGGGTCATGGTACGTCTCCTTTTTTTTTTTTTTTTAGCGAACAAAAATCAGGCCTGATAGATAAACACCCTTATCTCTCGATAATTGTCCCTGTAGGAAATGGCCACAGAGTACGAAGATTTGGATTTTTACGGTTTTGACATTTCGCCAATGTACCCATCTGCTATCCATCCGAAAAACGCACACTTCTCGATGGGCAATATCCTGGATCCCGAAATACCGTTCGTCTCTGAATCGTTCGCGCTCGTCCATCAACGCAACATGTTGCTCGGTCTCACGCACGATGCCTGGCCGGGAGTCGTCCAAGATCTATACCGATGTGTGATCTCGGGTGGACAGGGCTGGCTCCAGCTGTCGGAGGTCGATCCTATCTGGTCAAGACCCGGACCGATCTCTCGATCGTTCCTGAAAATGCTGTACGAAACTGCGCAGAATCGCCACGTGGATGTGTTGTTGCCTCAGCGGCTGGATCAAGTGCTCAAGGACGTTGGGTGTGAGAACGTGAAGATGATGATGGTCGAAATCCCGATCGGGCCCTGGGGTGGGAAGATTGGGTTGCTCTGGCGGGACGTGCTGAAGGCGGAGATGGAGGCGTTGAAACCGGTGGTGTTGCAGGCGGAGCTGGAGAATGCAGTGGCACGGGGGCAGGATATCGCGGTGTGTGGGGCAGAGATGACGACGAGCGAGGAGTGGGACGAGATGATGGCGCAGGTGTGGGCGGAGATGGATCAGTACCATACGTTCTCGAGGGTGTATCTGGCGTATGGACAGAAGCCGTAGGTGGAGTACGCCCACATAGCTTACAAAGAATAATAAAGTTCTTAACGCCACCAATTCCGAATGATTGGTCCTCGAACGCGTCGTTTCAGATCGCCTGTTCCCTTTTTTAGTGTGTGTGAGAAAATAACGACGCATCTTTCCACCACGATTCACACCTCTACTTCACCATCCCCCCTCACTCTGACCTTGATGATCTTCTTTCTCGTCCTTATCGGCTCATTTCCCTTCTCATCTTAGCCGCTACATTGTCCTCGGCACCACCCATGGCACGAACCCCAGTGCTAGCCCTTTTCCTTTTGTGGAGAGTCTATCAATCTTCGGCACCCCCTTCTCAGGAAAAAGATCACCCAATATCTCTCCACCCGTGACCTGGCTCATTGCGCCCGCATCTCCAAGGTGCCCTCGCCTCGTGCCAAACTCAAGGGACGACGGCTTGTGGGCCGCTTCCTAATTTTTCGGTCCTTTACTGCATATCCTTCGATTGGAAACTCTGGTCAACCCCAAGACGTAGAAGCAAAGTATATCCATGATGAGGAATGCTTTCTGATGCGCTTTGGATCCCTGCCCATGACAGACAAGCTGATAACCCTGGTCGCTACCTCAGGTACAACGACAAAGAGACACTGCAAAGGCGGGAGAATTTTAAACAAACGGGAAATGATATTCGAACCACGGGATGAACAGAGCCTCGGCGTTGCACGACGCTCCCTCGCCTTCGCCAACTTTTTCCACCCTCGCCTTCATTTTTGCTCAACCTCGCCTCTATTTCTCAAATTCTCTTCTCATTCTCTACTTCCTGGACGATTCTCAATGCTCGCCGTTTCTGGCGATAAATTTCTCTACACTTGCTCACTTCCTAACCATTCATCAATAGTAAAAGCTTCCCCTGCAAATACACAGATACCAGTACTCGACAGCGACTGCTCCCCGTAAAATCCCAATCGTCAATTGTACCCTCAGCGCTCCTCAGCTCTTTCCACCGATAGCAATTGCTCCCACTCCATCACACAAGGAATCAGGCCATGCCGAGTACAAATTTTGACCAACAGTGCTGGCAGGAGATAAAGGCCAGTTCATCCTCGTCTACAACTCGCGTTCCAGCTCGATGGGATGAAGATACTGGAGAGTTCTCCGTCCGCTGGAGCGATATCCAAGATAAATTCGAGCACGCTGCCTCTGTTAGATACGGCAATGATGTGAAAGAATTGCTTGTCGATTCAGATTTAAATTAGTAAGTTCATGGTGGAAAGATCTGATAACATGGTATATCAGTTTTGAGTTGCTTTTGTAAGGATGCTGATGTTCTAGCCTTACACATTATGGCTTTCCGTCGTAGTCTCGAGCCCAAAAGAATCCGATACTGCCATAACACGGTGCTCGAGGTGGTCATGCAAGGCCATCCGGAGGTGCCAATCTCTGCAGCTCAGGTCTTTCCCAATATACCAGCTGCATCTTCAAAGTACAGTAGAGCGACTATAACTAGGGCGACTTCCATCAACATAGCCACCGCCAGCACCAACTCAGTTTCACAAGCACTAGAAACTCTTTCTATCAGCCGCACCTCATTCGACAGCAATCACCTTGCTCAGTCTGCGGATACGATGACGGAGGCATTGCTAGTTCTCGATCGCCCCAGTAATCCAAACTCTCCAAGAGCTCAGGCTATACTCACGAACCAAGTTACGATGACCGAAGCTATGAGCACAGCTATTAATACAGCAATCAACACAGCCATCAGCACAGCCATGAACACAGCCATGAACACAACCATAAACACAACCATTAACGCAGCCGTCAACAAGGCGTTCCAGGAACTGTACCAGGCAATCTTGGACGACAGAGCCCTCTCCTTCGAGATACTGCAAAATCAAAGGAAGTTCGAGACTGTGCAGCAAACTGAAATCAGCCTTTTGGAGGGCATCAGAGATCGGGTGGAAGTTGCGATTACTCAGAACAGGGAGCTCCACGAAAGCACAATTCCAGGTCTCTTCATCATTCTGCCCAAGGCAAGGCGTTTTCGTGTGGGTAATCTGCTCGAAGACCACTATCGGCTGTATTTCCTGTGCGAGTGCGACGACCACACAAAGAGCGCTGGAAGCGAGATTCCCCATGATGTCCATCTCGCGAAGCATGACGGATACGACATCAAGCTACCCGCCGCATTCTTTACCAAGTACAGTCAACATCTCCTGACAACTCTGAAGTGGGTCAAGCGTTTACTCTCTGTGGCAAGCCTTGCTAACTCGGCCGTGGGCTACTCAGGTATCCTGGATGGGATAGAAGGGATTCAGAAGTACCTCGACCTTGCAACCGACAGGCACTTTGTCACCTTGGTGGACGAAGCGATCGCGTTTATGCAGAGTCAAACCAACCCTAGTGGTGGAATCGATGCGGGCTCAAGCCAGAATCTGTACGATGAGATCAAGAGCTTAAAAGGTGCTGATCTCAGACGACTGGAGACGTTCCTTCATGTCAACGACCAGGCCTACGATTTTGGCAACCTTAGCCGGATTGTAACCAAAGAAGGGTACGTCAAATGGGTTTGCGAGCACCATTTTAGCGAGAACTTCCGTGCATCCGACATGCAGGAGCTGGAAGAGGTCATCCAGAGCAATAGCGGAACTTTCATCAAAGCGAAGGGCAGGATTGAGATCACTATTGCGTCTAGGACTAAGGCGGAGCTGTTTTATAATGCAATAAGGAAGACGGGCATGATCCAAGAGCTGGATATCGCTTTGCAGTGGAAAGTCACCCACGAGGATCTTCGCGTGTTCGCCGAGGCTGTTTGGAGCGCCAATATTGTACACCTAACCATGGACGGCGAGAAGTCTAAGATCCCTTTCCTGGATTTTTTCAACAGTAGCCGTCGATACAATCCTATCATGGAAATTATGTGTAATGGGCGGCTCAAGTCGTTGAGGTTAAAGGACTTTGAGAAGTTTTTCAATCGCGTCAGCAACTCTGCCATAATGAACGCCCCCCAACTTCGTGCTCTAGCGATCAGTTCGGTACTACCATCCAAGACAAAGGTTTCCAGCGCTTTTGTTACGAGAATTTTCAAAATGTGTCCCTATCTGACGGAGCTCGATCTGAACTCTGGCAACTGGAATTTCATTTTCGACCTCCTCAGAGACAACATCAGCGGCCTCGAGAGACTCGAAACTGTCAATATAGGCAGCGGAAGACTCATCTTGACCGTGAGCAGCTCTCAGGGCAAGATCAAGCACTCCAAGGCAACCATCGACCGGCTCGATGACCTCAAGTCAGAAGAGGAGAGGTTCCTTACCGCCGGCCATCTCAAGGCGCTTCACGTTACACGCACTCCAAGTCAAGGTACCAGGGTTGAGTTACTCAAGGTTCTAGATATGAACCCAGATCTTTCCGAGATTTGTGTTGGATGTCGTCCGGAACAGGCGCTTGACACAATCAAGCTAATCACTGAGAAAAGAACGGACATCATGTTTCGACGAAGCTCGTGCGCGCTTCGCCAATTCAATCTATGTGAGGACAAAGGGTGTCCAGGCGACAACGGCAAGAGTGACGATATTCTTCACATGGCCCTCAGCTTTCCGGACTCCGCATTGCCGACGTGCAACATATCCACCAACATCAGGATGAGGGCCTCCTTTCCAAGCGCCGAATCCAGATATCTCCTTGCTTTATTCAAGGACTACGGCTCGACTATCGAGCAGCTACATACGAACCATGCATTCTACGATGACCTCGCTACTTTTCTGGATAATGGCACCAAGACCAAGGGCTCTTCTTTAGTGCACCTGACCCTGAACCCCGCAATGCTGACATTAGTCGGCCTCGATTGTGTAAATCGGGTCATTGAGCGTTCATCGGATTTGGGACGCCTGGAGCTACATTTGGACCGACTCGAGGAGAGCGATAATATGGAGAAGGCAGTACAGTTGCTTCGCCGGCACGGAGGAAGGCTTCATTCGCTAACTCTTCAAGGCGATGCAACAGAGTCCTGGATGCCGACCCTGGCGACAGAGCTCCCAACACGTCTCAGTCTTCCCAAGCTCGACACATTTAGGATCATCTGCCGAGGCAGCGCGAGGGTCCTAGAAGTGTCCGCTCGCTGGCTGGTAGCGATGGTGTCAGGGCCTTCCCAGCAAGCTGCATCATCCTCACTTAGTACGTCAATAACCGTCCAATCTGCTTCAACATCAGATTCACACCAAGAGTGGTGGTCGCTCAAGAACGTCTCTATTGAAAATGTTCAATTTGAGAATGAGGACTGGAAGGATATGATAGAAAAAATGGATTTTACTTCATTGGAGAGCCTTAGCTTTAGTGGTAGCAACTTTTCGCTCGACCAACTCCAAATTTTGGTGCGCAGCCTACCCGAGTACAACGGCACGATCGTGCCGCTACAGTCTCTGAAAGCTTCGGTGACTCGACTTGACGAATGCGAGGACATTGAGTCTTTGAAGGAGGCTTTTGTGATGCTCCGCAACAAGGCAATTGCGATTAATGTAGAAGGTATCAAGAAGCTGGACTAGGACCATGAAGGGAAGGATGTAGGGGACCATTAAACACTGCGCTCATATTTTATATCCACTGTCGCAACCTAAATACTTGTGGAGCAAACTTGTAGCACTTTTTTCTGAATAGACAGAGCAAGTTTCAAGGAAGTAGGTTGAAATGAAAATGCTGCAATAAATTTGAATTGTGTTGCCACCAATTCGTCGAATCCGACATTCTCCTTTTTGCGTTACTCACATCTGCACCGTTATTTATTCACCAACCTGCACCATGTTTCCCTTGCTTCTGCTCACCAACATTCACCATCAACTCCTTTTATAAAATAACCATGTTGGCTTTGGAGATGAGGAAGATCAGGAGGGAGATTTTGAGGGTCAACGTCGACATCTGCCACAACCTGGCAATCTCGTACACCGTTTCGATATAGCCGCCTATACCGCACAGCAATATAGAAAACAGTTTCGATTCACTGTTATACAGCTGAGGAGAATTCTGAACGTACTTCAAGTGCCTGACAGGTTTATCACTCGGAACCGCAACAGCGTCGATTCGTTGACGGTTCTCTGCATAACTCTTTATCGAATGTCTTTCCTGCAAGACTTAATGAGTGGAGTTGATTTTCGGATACAGTAGCCCGTTTCTGTCTCGAATCATTACATCTTTTATCAAGTGGGTCGTGCCTCATTGGAATCAAATATTGATCTGGGATCATCGCCGTTTGACAAGTGAGAAACTCGAAGAACTAGTAGAGCTATGTTCCAAGAAAAGTGATTACGCATGCAATTCTGTGTTTGGTCACATCGATGGTACTGTTCGCAAGATTTGTCGGGCCTCTCATAATCAAAGGGCCATATTCAACGGCCACAAGCGAGTCCATGGAGTCAAGTATCAAGGGATTGTGACACCAGATGGTATGATTGCCCATGTCGGGGAACCATACCCAGGAACCACCCATGACTACGCATTATGTCAACAGTCAGGCATTCGAGAGATCCTCACAGAACATGCCAATGGTGTAGACAATCGTCCGTTGGCTCTATATGGAGATTCTGCGTACCGCTTTGATGGTCATATGCTATGCCCTTATTCTGGACCGAATCTGACTGAGGCGGAAAGGACCTTTGATGCAATCATGGCAAGCCAGCGTGTTGTAGCCGAATGGGCATTTGGAAAGATTACTAAATATTTCTCGGTCTTGGATTTCGTCAGGACACAGCGCATATTATCAAGTTGTGTTGGATCGTATTACAAGTTCGCTGTTTTATTTTCAATCATCCACACCTGCTTCTACGGTAGCCAGGCTAATGAACATTTCGGAGTCGATAGCCCTTCTTTAGAAGAATACCTCCATAGAGCGATCATGCAGTGAAATCCAATAATCAACGCTTTTCCGCGAGTTTGAGAATTGCTTGGATAAGTTTTTCTTGGTTCTTCCATTGCTCTCTCATAAGGTCGACTACCTCTTGATGTTGGCGTTGTTCCATTTCCTTCTTCCGATGCTGTCTCTCCTCATCTCGATGTTGTCTTTCCTCATCTCGATGTTCTCTTGCCGTCTTTCTTCTCGTTCTTCTGTCATTAATTCCAGTCGTCGTTCCTGAAGTGTCGTTTGCTTTTTCGCATGTTCTGTCGCCTCAGCATATTGTTCTTGCAGCGCGGCTGAAAAAACTCGTTTTCTCCTCAATGGCCTCCTTGCGGCTGATAATGCGGTAGACTCTGAGTCTGTTTCATCCCGAATCTGAATAGGCCCAGTCGTGGATGGTTCCAGCAGTGCTCAGCCAGCTTCTCGATCGTCACTTGTCCGCTGTTTTTGTTTTCCCTTCAGCTCTTTAGTCTCCTGTACATCCTTGGCACACGCTTGCTCGTGTTCGTATATGCTCTGCATTAGAAGGATACCTTCGGTCACATCCGGCGTGACACCACTCGCTCTTTCTAGTTGGGTCTCGTACTTCCGTTGTTCCCGTAAAAGGGCATCCCATTCCGTTCGACACAAACGAACGGTAACACCGTCGAACAATAGATTCTTGGCCGCTCTTCTGGAATTGCTCGATATCATAATCCTGTAAGTAGTCCACGACCCTCTGCCACGCCTCTTTAGTTTCGCCACATCTAATCCCAAATGGCTTCACTGCATCGATCGTCCTCAGCAACACTATCTCGTATGCTGGATCGTTAAACTTGTGGTACTGACGTTTCCTTTGCGGGGTCGTTGTTGCCTGAACTTCAGAGACCTGTTGTGCGCCCTCCAAAATTATGTTCTCGTCTTGTACCTCTTAGTCTTCCGAATCTGTTGAATCTGAAATAGTTCGAGGCGAGGACGACTCACTACTGGAAACGGGTTCAGGTGCAGAGGAAAGGGATGAACTTGTAGAGGGACTTGCTGGACTGAAATGTAGGCAAGCTTCATAGAAAAAAAGAGCGAGTCGTTGAATACGAGTACTCACGTTGATAAAAATTATTTACTAATTGGCTCCAATCCAAGGGAAGATAAAAATTTCCTCTACAGTCCTTTTTGTGAAATAGCCGAACTTTCATAGTAAAAGTTGGGCTATTTCGACTGAATTGAAATACATACACGAGGCTATTCATTTTTTGTGATGGCTGAAATACGTTATTTCCCTGCAATCTTTACGCTCATGACTACATCAAAACGCGTGTCATTCTCACTCTCACTTTGCTTGGAGATGAGAACGCGAGCTACCGAAAAACAGCACGGTACTTGATTCGTAAATCTTACTAGAAATAAACTCATCATGATATATTTCATTTCAGTCGAAATAGCCCAACTTTTACTATGAAAGTTCGGCTATTTCACAAAAAGGACTGTAGACTACAGTCCTTTTTGCACTTTTCATAGTGAAATGTGCATTTTTTCCACTGAATTGAAAATATAAGGAGGTGTTATTCAGTCCATCTTTATTTCTGCTTGGATTTACGGATCACCAATCGTGCTGCTTTTCGGGGAAAAGTGAGAGAGGGAATAAGTGTGGGGATATAACGTAGGGTCACCGCCATCACAAAACTGAATAACACCCCTTATATTTTCAATTCAGTGGAAAAAATGCATATTTCACTATGAAAAGTGTAGTCCATGCTTTTTGTGTTTGCATTTGTGGAGGTTAGCACAAAATCCATGCAAAATAAAATTTATTTTTTTATCGTGAGTAGCGCAGGCTTTATTCTTATGCTTTATTCTTATGCCCAAAAATGTCGAATGGCAAGCTTTATTCTTATGCCCGAAAATGTCGATGGGGAATGGACATCCAACCTTGTTTGTAGTACGAAACACCCTCGCCCTGAGCTGCAAGAGGTCAATAGAGGGGGATGATGCATCGCCCTCAACTTCATCCCTTTCTTTCATCTCCATCGAGCACACAATGGCAGAGAACACCCACAAACAGCATTCGCAGGCGTTTCGACTTTCAACATGGAACGAAATTGTCTATATCAACACTCGACTCGACAAGAGCACAGGACAGTATGTTATCCTTTGGAGGGATGTGCAGATGCTCTTCCATAACCCACGATATATCATGAACGAGAGAAGCCTTGTCCACTTCATGACGGACGATAACTTTGAGGAGTACGTACAGAGCAGAACAATGACATGGTTTAGAAAAGTTCTCCAGTAAATACCTGACACTTTACTCTTTCAACTGCAGTCTTGAGCCTTTGCGGATTTCATATCAACCAGGAATTATCCTCGATGTGGTAACGGAAGCCGTGGACCAGTCAGCTGAGATACTGGTGCCCAAGTCCGCTGAGATATCAGTGCCCAAGTTAGCGAGTCCATCCACGCCCTGCAATGCCATTCCACCCCAGATCAAGGACCCGGTGCAGAATCCCCAGCTTGTCCTATCAGGACCCGCATCAACACCGACAACGGACACCCAGAACCTCAACCCCCCGACAATGCAGCTGTCTACCTTTAGTCCGCATGGCGAGATGATTCACACTTTAGAATTCCAGACGGCCATAATCAAGAACGCGTTGGGCGGTCGCATTGAGTGCTTACAGGCGGAGATGGAAACAAACAAGATGCTCCAGACGAGGGTACTTCAACAGCAAGAGCAGATGTTGCAACTACAGCAACAGGCACTACTCCGTATGGCACTTATTCAGGACCGTGTTCAAGCCGTCCTCACCCAGACCTACGAGCTCCATGAGGGCCCTGTCCCTCGGCTGTTCATCGTCCTCCCAATGGCATCCAGGCGTCGTGACAAACTGCTCGAGCCTTTCTCGCAGCAGTTCCGTCTCTACTTCCTGTGCGAATGCGGTACGCATACAATCTCCAAACCAACCAGGATCTTTCACGAGTTCCATCTAGCCAAGCACGAGGGATACGATCTGGATAGGCCCAAGGAGTTCTTCGAAAAGTACGGATCCTACGTGCTCACGCTGCTGCAGATGATTAAGTACGGGTTCACAGTAGCCGGGATCGTTGTGCCACCATTAGCGCTTTTCAAGAGCGTGGAGGGGCTCACGTCCACGAAGGAGAACTTTGGGGCACAAGTGGACAATGCAATCAGCTTTATTGAGGATCTACAGCAAAATAACAATAGCGGAGTTGACACGACTGGAGGACAAGCGAATATGGACAAGCTCGAGGTACTGGAAGGCGCAGATCTGCGTCAGCTAGAGTTGTATCTCAAAGTTCAAGACCAGGACCGTTGTCTTGGCAACTTGTACCGGATAGTCACCGCGGAGGGGCACGTCAAATGGGTGTGCATCGACCACTATCGTGCGAACTATCGGGCAACAGCTTTACGACAACTACGAGACATCGTCGAGCTCAATCTTGGGAATTTTATACCAAAGAAGGGTAGGATCGAGATTTCAATCAGATCTAGGACACTCGCTAGGCAGTTCTATGAAGCGATGGTCAAGACGCCCGGAGTTCAGGAGCTAGAGATTGGGTTGCAATGGGATGCGACTTTAGCCGATCTTCGGACTCTCGCTGCCGCTGTCAGCAAGACGGCGATAGTCCGTCTGTCCATCAGCGGGGAAAAGTTCCACGGACCAGCGCTCGATTTCGTCAATCGTGGCCGTCGATTTGATCCTATCGTGGAACTTATGTCAAACGGGCGGATTCAATCATTGAGACTCGCGAACTTCAAGGATTTTTACCAGCATATTAGCCCATCCTCCATAAGGAACGCCCCCCAGCTTCGAACACTCGCGATAGATTCATTTATTTCAAACGACCCAGCTTTGGAGAAAATCCTTAGGAGCTGTTCATCTATGATAGACTTGAGGCTCAGCTGCGATGACCAATACCTCATTTTCGACTCTATCGAGAGCAACATCAATCAGCTCCCACAACTTGAAACTATAACATTGGAGTGCAAGCAACAAATCGTGACAATCTTTGCAAATCACGGCAGGATTCAGGACACAGTAATGGCTATGACAAGACTCGAAGATCTCACTCCAGGGCAACTTCAGTTTATCAAGAACGGCCGTCTCACCAAAGTCAGCGTGAAGCATAGCTCTTCAAAAAGTATGGAGGATCGTTTGGCCAGCATCCTCTGTCAGAACCCTATGCTCTCCGAGATGCGCGTTACATGCCACGCTGAGCGGACCTTGGCTATTGTCAAGTTGGTCACAACAACAAGAACAGATTTACTCTTACAAAAGGGCTCATGTACGCTTGGAAGGCTGGAGGTGATCGACGACGGGACGCATGTCGAAAACCATACAAGGATCGACGATACCGTCAATATGACTGCTTGCTTTCCTGATTCCTCATCCCCGACTTGCAACGTATCCACTAGCATCGAGATGCAGGCTTCCGCTGTCGTTACCAAATCGAGCTATCTCTTTACGGTGTGCGATCAATATAGCTGGTCCATCGAGCGGCTGCGGACCAACCATGTATTTTCTGACGATCTTGCGATGCTCTTGGATAATGGCACCAAGACCAAAGGTTCTTCGTTAGTGCACCTGACCCTGAGCCCCGCAATGCTGACATCAGTCGGCCTCGATTGTGTAAATCGGGTCATTGAGCGTTCATCGGATTTGGGACGCCTGGAGCTACATTTGGACCGACTCGAGGAGAGCGATAATATGGAGAAGGCAGTACAGTTGCTTCGCCGGCACGGAGGAAGGCTCCATTCCCTAACTCTCCAAGGCGATGCAACAGAGTCCTGGATGCCGACCCTGGCGACAGAGTTCCCGACACGTCTCAGTCTTCCTAAGCTCGACACATTCAGGATCATCTGCCGAGGCAGCGCGAAGGTCCCAGAGGCGTCCGCTCGCTGGCTGGCAGCGATGGTGTCAGGGCCTCCTCAACAAGAAAGCCAGCTGTCGCCCCCTCAATCGTCTTCTCAGGATGTACCAGGGCAGAAATCCACGGACATTGCCCTTCAAACGCATGCTGAATGGACGCCACTCAAACATTTGGCACTCGAACATGTCCGGCTAGACTCGACGCATTGGGAGGCTGGGATCAAATCTATCGGACTCGATGCGCTAGAAACGCTCAGTCTGGATGGCACGAACTTCTCGATAAATGAGTTCAAGATACTGGTTGATTATGTGGTCAAATACGAGGACGATATCGAGCTACCGTTGAGAACGCTCAGATTGAAAGAGACGAGTCTTTCGGGATGCAAGGAATCGGTCTTGTTAAAGGAGCTCTGTCTTTATCTGATTAAGAAAGCGCCGCTGGCCAACATTGACGGTCTAAACCTCGAGCAGTAGGACTTGAGGCAATAAAATCTACACCTTTTTACGATCACCAATGTGCAAACCAGTCAACCCATTTTTCCACTGTGGCAGACTGTATTGTACACTTCCAAGATACTTGAGCAATGGTATAGTAAGCAACAAAAAACAGAGTTAGAAAAATGCATAGGTTGGCTTCTGATTGCTTCTTTTTTTTTTTCTTTTTTTTTTTTTTTTTTTTGGTATGTTTGCTAATGACCGCATAGAATGGCATGTTCTTTTTGACCCACTCTGAGCTCGAAGCAATTTGGTCCGCAGGGGTGACAAACGACTTCAGTCGCTTCAATTTGACCAGCAACTCCCGCCAACCATGCATGACCGACAAAATGCCTAATGTAACTGTTGCCGACTTGAGGTATCCAAATCTATCAAAGGAGAGAGCTCTCGACGGTATCACGTCGATTCAGTCCTACATTTTCTTGAAGCAGCTGCTTGCGTTCAACTTGAATCACTTTGCACAGCGGAAACGTAACTTTGTGAGCACAAAGGCTTCTGTGAGAACAATAATGGGCACAAAAACATGCGCGACATTTTATTACGTGTAAAATGCTCGGGTCAAAAAAGAAAGCAGCCATTTCATTGTTGTGGACCAGTGCTCGCTAAAGCCAGGCGCAGGTACTTATACAAATTGCATAGCCTTGCGCGCCATTCAAATGTGGCACCTCAGACGCCTTTGAGTCTGGGGAGCTCATACTCCAGAAAGTGCGTGCTGTAACTCGGCGAGTCACTGATCAGAAGAACGAACTCGGAGGAAATTCAAAGTGCCGATGGGAAGAGGTGGGAGGAGGGAGAGCCATAGCTATATCAGAAGCAGACGTGAAGACATAACATCTAGAGCAACCGTTATTCTGTTGCATGCGGTTTGCGCTGCAGATGATTATTTTTTTACGTCAATAACAAAAGAGGCCACTCTCGAGTTTTTGTTGCAGTAAATCTATCCTTTTCTTTTTCTTTTTCTTTTTTTTCTTTTTTCTTTTTTTATTATTATTCACAGATCACACCACTCGAGTAGGACTGCCGCGTGTACTCGACCCCGTTCAGGACAAACGAATGCAGATGCACCAGACGCTGCAAATGTGAAAGCAACCGCCGTAGGAACGTTGTCGACACCTTATGGGCAGACCTCTGTAATTCTGTTGACAAGTCGGGCGAGAAATACAATCCATCGCTCGTCTGTATCACATTCATTCCTGTGATCTCCCCCACGGACGCGTTCGTAGTACCGCTCCCAAGATGAATTCCAGCATTCCTGGCCTCCGGCCCAATGCTCCACCCATAGACCGCTGCCACCGTTCCGTTGTCGGCTTCCTTTAATTGTCCCCTCGTCATCGTATGTAGACCCGCCAGGAATAACCGATTCAGCCGTACGCATGCCCAATCGAACGAAAACAGATCCTCAGCCCCGCACTGGGACCCGTCGATCGATAGTGCCGTGATCTGATGACAACTCATCAGGATCCGCTTCAAATTCGCGTTGCTGAGGGCGTGGTGATTCAGTATCCTGAGGTCCAGGATCTCGAGTGTCTCGGCGTGCTTGATCAATGCCTCTGTGAATCGGTCCCCAAGCGCCGGGATCCGGATCTGCAGCTCTACCAGTCGGGGTACGCTCTGGATCAGATCCACGTACACGGACTCGTCCTCAGATATCTCGACGGTCGAATACGTCAGTACCGAGAGGAAAGGACAGCATTCGCGAACGTTCGTCGTGAGTTGTCTCAGGTCGCTGTCCTTTGATCCCATCCATGAGAGCTCCTGCAGATTAGGACACAGTCGTACGAGGGCCTCCAGGGCTCCGCTTTCCACATCCTTGCACACTGTCAGGCTGGTGAGATCTGGTAGCGATATCTCCTCATCCTCTGTTTCCTCATCCTCTGTTTCCTTATTCTCCTTCTCCTCCTGTCCTTCTTTTTCTTCTTCTTCTTTCTGTCCTCCATGACTCGTCCTGTCATGATCTGGGTATCGTTCGCTATGTTGCTTCCTCGCGCTTGACGCCTTGAAGCCATCGTCACCTGTTCGAGTCTGGGGTGGTCGATGGATGATCTCGCCCGTAACAAAATCCAACGCCAGCCTCCTCAACCCTGGATTCCGCCTCAGTAGCTTCATAAAATGCCTGTCCAGCTTCCAACACTCCAGGTGCAGATCTTGTAACCTCCCCAGTCGTCTTGAAAGCGCCAATGCGTCCAAGGTCCCGTAGTCGTCCCGATGAAAGTCCCCGCCTTGCCAATGGAGACTTTGCAGCCTCGTGTTCTGTAGAATCAATGACTTTGACCATTCGTTGTGTTCGAGCCCTATGAGCTCCAGGTGGAGTAGGTTGTGGGGTAGACATGAGAATGGGGTATGGAATATAGAAGGTGGGATGTGACCGAGTTCGAGGATGCGGAGATGGGAGCTGTGGCGGGTGAGGACGTGGAGGAGGTCGACGGGCGTGGGTATGGAGATGTCGTCAAGGGTGAACCAGAGAATCGGGAGGAGGATGTCGTGCCAGGTCCGGTTGACGAGGATGCAGTTGAGGAGATGGCGTGGTGTGAAGTGTGGGCGTCGGCGCTGGCAGCTGTAGTCCCACAGAGGAATGTAGAGTCCGACTCTGGAGAGGATCTCTGGGATTTCGAGTGGGTTGGGAGTTTGGTTCATGACATGAGAAAAGAGGAGGGGGGAAAGGAGGGAGAGGAGGGAGAGGAGGGAGAGGGGTGAATGGCGAAGGAGGAGAAGTGGGAGAAGAGGTCGGGTGAAGGTGCGAGTCGGTGGAGCTGGTGTGAAAGAGGGGGGAGAGTTTAAATGGGCTTGCTTCCCTGCGTCCGGTCTGACCATTGTTTGTGCCTGAGAGTCTATATCCAATGGGGGACCATCCTGCCATGCCCCCGTAGTGGCGATTAAAATTACCGGCCCAATTTGCTCCGTACCCTCCCATTCGAGCACCTTGGGAACTACTATCCCTTGGCGAGTAGCAGGGGGAGGCTAAGGCAGCGAACTCAGGTTCCAGGAATAGGAGCCAGTAACGCGCCGACCGTCAGCTGCTCTCTTAAACATGGCGTCCTCGCTCTCGACGAACAGCTGTCGCCACCCCCATTGCAGCGATCGTTTGCGGTTAAAGATGTCCCTGTGTATGTTTGAGGGGGGGAAGGGGTACAGATACCCATGGTTTAGTCGCCAAATCTGATGGATGATGCTTCATCCCAGTAGCAAGTTTTTTAAATGGGGATATAATATGAAGGGAAGTGTCTTCGACATGGTAAGGAAAACCAGGCCACTGGGGGCGACTGGGCTCCAGCTTGTCGAGCTGATCTCTTATAGGACCTTTTCTCTAGGGACGGTTTGTAGATTGGGCCCTCGAGGAAGAATGAAAGGACTCACGACAATAATAACCGCACAGAGTACAAAGATTTCTTCCCAGGCTGCAATCCGCTCCCCCTATTTAAGCCTGTTCGCACTCCCTGCAGATTGTGGGCGACTTTCTTTTTTTCATTTTTTTCCTCAATTCCGAGCCCTGCTCTGGTAAATTGAGTGATTTTTATTCGTTTGTGACCCTTTTTTTTCCAGCTGGAATCGAACCTGCATTCCATATCAAAAAAGGGTGATAGAGTGGTTATGTAAAATGGGATATATAAAAGAACAGAAGGAATATCCTGTCTCTGCGCCTGCTCAGTATTCGCTTCTCTAGCGATTTCGATCATTGTACCAGGGGGAAGGGGGTTGGATAACATTCTCTCTGTCAATAAAAAAAGAAAAAACGTGCGTGAGAGTGAGAGAGAGAGAGAGAGAGAGAGAGAGAGAGAGAGAGAGAGAAAGGGGGGGGGGGGGGGGTATAAACAATCCTTAGACCTGGATGTTGTCAAGGATGGCGGCGAAAGCAGCCCAGGTCTCGGTACCGGAGGGCAGGATCTGAGCGGCGGGCAGAGAGAATCCGTAGCGTCCGGTATCTCTCAACTCAACGGCGAAGGGTGCGGTAACACCAATGCTGTAGGCATAATCGGTAGAGCTACCCGAGGCAGGATAGATCGTGTTGTAGATGTCACCGGTTGTGAACGAAACACCGTTGACGGCGCGGAGAGCTGCGGCGGCCTTCTGTGCGAGGCCGTTCATGTACGTGTAGGTCCCAGGGCGGGTGCCAGTGTAGCCGTAGGGGACCATCCACAGCTGAGAGTAAGAGTGGAAGTCGATGTAGGAGACGACCTTGGGCAGCGAGCGCAGGTAGGCTGCAATGTTTGTAGCCTCGGGCGACGAGAAGGCACTGGGACCCATGTAGTCGTCAGCACAGGGGTTGGAGGAAGAACCACCAGTGTTCCACTTGAAGCCCCAGTTGCGGTTGGCTTTTTCGGAGAGAAAAAAAAATAGATGGAAAAGTTAGGTGAGATGCACGGTCAGCAAAATAAAGACACGGATATGCGACGACGTTCAACTTACTGTCAGTACCGAGACATCCTCCGTTGCTCTGGGCGTTCTTGCGGTGCATGCGGTCCGAGGTCTGGGTGATGACAAAACCATCGGGGTTCATGATGGGGATGATGTGGAACGTGTACTTTTGCAAGTAACCGGCCACACGCGAGTCAGTGCCCTTCAGCAGCTGGTCAATGAGGTATCTGAAAGAATATTGGCGCGTAGTATTTGTTAGTATGCAGCATAGAAGTACAGTGTGTTCAATACAGACATACAAAAGGAAAGAGACAAAAAGTGCACCTACTCAACGACCATGGTACTAATCCACTCACGCGCGTGCTGCGTACCGTGGAAGACAACATGGTTAGGTCCGCTTCCAATCTTGATACCGGCCTGATCACGACTCTGGAACGACTTTCCGGCACTGATCTTCGAGGCCTTGCCAGGGTTGTTGGCAATCTGGGTGCTCAACCAGCTCTGGTGATCAGCATAGCTATGGTATCCCTGGAACCAGGTGTCCGCGGCCGCGTACACCTCTGAACCCTCGGGGAGGGTGACGCCGTTGATGGAGACCTCACCATTGCGACCGTTCTTCAGCTTCTTGGCCTCGCTCAACTTCTGGCTAAAGACCTGCTGGTACTGATCGTTCTCGTGCTTCTCTTGATCGAGGACCGTCTGCAGGTTTTCGACCAGAGTGGAATAATCGAGTTTCAGGGCCTGGAACTTGGAGAACGACTGTGGTGGGATGCGGATGTCGATGTGTGCTCCAATGACCTTTTCATGGGTGAAGTAGTCGAATCCAAGGGAATCCTGGTTGTCGGTCAGGGCCTTGAGCTCGGCCTCGTTGCGGACGTTAATGCGGACCACGCGATGGTTGTTGAACGAGACAACACCGTTGGAGGGCGCAGGCAGGGCGCTGATGGATGCAGGAGTCAGCAAGACTGACAAGGCCACGACAGCCGTGAGGGAGAAGAGTGAAAGCTTCATCGTGCTTGAGGGTGTCAAGGAGAGGGATGGGGTTGGATGGGAGTGGAGAAGTGGAATGAGCTGGTGAACGAGGATGGAAAAGAAGACCAGAAAGACAGGGCGGGGGAAAGGGCCTTTATACGCAAGACAGGCACAGTGGCATTTCCCATGAGATCGTGTTTGTATCGGTGTACCTGGGAATCTGCTAAGGCCTATGTTGTCAACAACAATAGTAGGCTGATAGGCTGATAGGCTTCTTTCCCTGGTATTGAATAAAGTGTAGTGTTTAATGCAAAGCAATGACAGCTCCTCATTTACTACGGATGGGCTATCGGGGATGCCGTAATAAAGTGTCGCGTATTATTCGGCCGTGATTGAGTAATTTACCATGACCTCAAACAATTTCCTGGCGGCAGTCTATGTATCCATACCATATGCACCACATTCTATAAAGTAAGGTCCCCAATTGAGATCAGGCTGTAAGGCGCCCTTACAGTGCAATTCATCTGCGGCATGTCCACCGAGCAGGCGAGGGGGTGCGGGGGCTCCAAACCTTCTTGTTGACAAACCTTCATTTTTGCGCCATAACCAAGTTGACAAGGTCTAGTCTAGTCCAATTCGTCCTCGGTAAGCTTAAGCTTATTGTTGTCATCGCCCTGAGAGAGAAAAAAAAAAAAGAGCTGGGGTACCACGCTTACCGTTGAATTTACAGATACTCCAAGAGCTGCACCCGTAAATTGATTGCTGCCCGATGTGTATATTACATTATTAGTCTTGATCGATCCATATCGCAGTGCAGTATAGTTCACCTCCCCGTGCGCTTTAGGTCTTTTTCTTTTTCTTTTTTTTTTAACCAGGCCCGTGTGCCTAGGGTTTCAGGCCTGAAAAAGTCATCCTCATGGGCATTCGATTCAGGGTTCAACCAACCCTGACTGGTGGACCCTTTTTGCGTACAACATCGACAAACAAAAGAGCATTCTGCCGCTTGGCCGCCTGCAGGCTCACCGACTATATGCCCTGTAGTCTACTTTACGCGCATTCGTCCTACGAAACTAAATCCCACATAAACAACCCTTCCTCCTCCCCTGGTGGTCGGACGACAGAAAAAAAAAAAAAAGATGATGCAGGTTTGTCCTGAGCAAGATAACCATATCCTCATTCCGGCCAATATTGCGGGGATCAGGAGGGGGGTAGGGGGAGAGACTCTTGCATAGGAAGGGTATTCTACAGAATGTATGTGATTCGACGACACTCGACACGCGTGAAAATATAAAAATAAGGGAAGATAAAAGCCAGCCTTACAAATAATCCACTAAACATCTAGTTGCTTGAACGTGGGCGAAAACATCCTCGGCAAACCACTCGTGAATGTTTCTTTCTTTTTTACCCAGGAGTAGCTGGTGGGAAAGTTGGGGAGTGGCAGCATGGACCATGTCCTCATCTTCAGATACATACAACAATAAACGCACATTCCATTCCTTGTTAGCGCGTATTTCTTCCCTGCGAGCTCATCGATGGCCCTCCTTTCCTCATGCAGACCTACCTGTCAAAAAAAAAAAAAAAAGAGACAGACAAGGCGTTTAGTAAACACAGGCATTGCATATAGAAACAACATCCCCCCCAACAACAACAATGGATGGCAAACTAATAAAGACATGGCCCTGGGAACTCGATTCCGCAACGGTCTCTTCACGCATGACATCGACAGTCAATTGAGAAATAACCATGGTAACAGTAATAATTAGCGTTTCTCGCCGTTATATATTGTTGAATAGAAATAAAACAGTCGGTGAGAATCTCTAGTAATAATATATGAAATGGCGTTTCTTTCTGTTTGTTGCTGAGCCTTGGTGCTGATGAGAAATTACATTCTGTTTCTTCCTTGTCTCTTGCCGACAAACAAAAAAGCAGCACAGTTGGTCCAACTCCCCCTCCCCCTTGCCCTGTTCCTCCCCCTCAAAATGACGCGACCTGAAAGCCCGCAAACAAAAAAGCACGCGTCAAAAAGGGAACGAGGGGAACCAATGAGAAATCCCATCGATCCACAATGCGTGTGACTCTGCAGTTTGGCACCATGCATCCTCTGATTGGCCGAAACCCAAAATTCGCCTACGGTGAACCACCTTTGCGTGCACAAACACAGGATGTCGGAGGTCCGTCGTCTCTTGGGAAAATGGATCTGAACCATATTTAGGTATGCTTGGCTCAAAGGAAAAAAAAAAAAAAAAAAAAAAGCGCCATTACGGCTTAGGGGCGGCGGAGGGACCCCCCCTCCTCGAACGCGTGCATGCTGCATGTTGCCCTAACGGACCTCGGATGTATGCCGCGTAATAGGTTGGGAAACTGCAAAAAAAAAAAAAAAAAAAAAAAAAAAAACCGCGTTTGACGCGTCATTATTATTATTATTATTTAAAATGAGGATCCTGCCCCCAGCAATCCAGAGATTATCCGACGATACTCATGGGTTTCAATTCAATTCGCGCGCGCGTCTTCAAGGCCAATCGTCTGCAGATGACTCGGATGACTAAAGGTAGGCAAAATGCATGAATGAACGTTTATTCAGTATATATATATATGTACGTTCTCTGCTAGGAGTGCATCTCTTTACTGCTCCGTCTTCCCCTTCCTAACCATCTCTACGCCATCGACTTCTTCATATCCCTCAAAGCTCCCAGGATGGTCTCTCTGAATTCGCGCGAGTTGGTCTCCTTGCAGCTCTTCAGGCTTGAAATACTGAACTTGATGTTCTCCTTTCCGATCGCATAGTTGATACCATAGCCCTCTGGCACCACTGGTCCAAAGCCACCCCAGAAATTGTCGCCAGGTGACATGTTAGAAGATGACAGTCTGTAGTACATGGATTGGATATAGGATGGGTCCTGGAAGATCTGTGCTTGCTTCTGTTCCTCCGGCGTCTGCATCATCGAGCGGAGACCCAACAGGTGGCGATCTACACCCTTGCCTGCAGAGGCGGCCATCATGTACTCGAGGTGAGACTGGATCGCCTTCTGCAACAGACGCTGCTTCTCCGTCGTCTATTCAAATACAAGGTTAAATCAAGGCAGATGTCAGTAATCAGCGAATCTTCAATTTTTGGTGGGTAGTGAAATCAAAGAGTGACACATACATCCGCTTGCTTGCTCTCGAATCCCTTGACAAATGCAACACTATCGACTGAGCAGGAGCGAACAGTCTCTGTGCGGCCACCCAAGAACATTCTAACCGATGCGGACTCATATGTGGGCGTCCAGGTGCCATAATGACGATAATAGGCTAGCTGCATGACCATCTGGACGTAGGCATCAGGCGAGCACTTGACTAAAAGGGTTGCGTAATATACACAAGCATGTCCGTTAGTATCTCAATTCCTTGCAACCAAATATTATTATACGACTCCTTACATTCAAAGGGGGTGTAAAATAGTACGTACCACTCTTCAGCCAGTTAGAACCGTACTCATTAAAGTGAATGAGGCAGCTGTCAACGTTGTCGATCATCTTCTTGGCATTGACCTCTGCCTGCTTAATCGTCTCCTTGATCTCATCGTTGATCACGAACTTGACGTGTTCAATGGGCTGAAGCTGGACATTCGACGCGTGAAGGGGCTCAGCATGCTTCTCACTAATGAAATCGAAAAAAAAAAAAAAAAAAAAGGAAAACTGTGAGCACTCAATTCAATGCAGGCGTGCTGACAAGACATCCAGGCCGTGTAGAAGACCTTACCTTTTGACCAGCTCATCCAGGATACGTCCAGGGATGACGGCGTCTGCAGGGGTATGTTCTCCGTTGATACCGGCGCGTCCGTTGTTCTCAAAGATGAATTGCATCGACTTGTCGAACCAACGGTTGTGAGCATTGCCCGCATGGAAAATGTTGTGGTGCGAGACATCGATGTCTCTATCTGAGCTGTAGTCATCCAAGCAGATCACAAACAATGCATGGTCAATCAACGACAACGAGGCATGGTTCTGGGGCGACAGACCTAAGAGCGTTTGACGAGCCTTGGCCCACGTATCCCTGTTCTCGGACGTCAACACGCCCACGGCAGCCTGCTTCTCCTGCTCCGGCAAGTTGTTGACAGCCTCGACCACATGTCTCAATTGCTGCTCGATCGCCTTGATCGAGACACGCTCACCATCGGGTCCTGAAACGGGCACCTTATAGATCTGATCCCTCATCATCACTGCGATGTAGTTCGCGGTCGCCGGCCAAGTCGTCACGATGCGATCTCTAGGCAGCTCTGCCACACGATACGCTCCAAACTGGTTCTTGTACTGGTTCATGCACAACGGAGTCGTGCGCTGGTACTCGGGGGGCATGGTCTGGTTGTTGACATGGTCGTTGAACGTGAGCAATGAGCTCGCATAGTTGGCCGCCCTTTGGATCTGCACATCCGAGACCACCCCACGGGCAGGGGCCTGCTCCAGATTAAAAGTGGGCGAGTCCTTGAACTGGGCCCACCAATTGACGTTGATCATCGACGGCTCGCGCCACTCAAGGTACCCCTTGTTGAGCCAGATGGTCTCGAGCCAGGAATGTTTCTCAGTCTTGTCCAGGTCGTGCAGACGGGACTGAAGGGTCTCGCCCAATCCGCCGGGCTTGATGAACTCATCAACGGCCTTCTCGGCTCTGGAGAAATCCGTCTCGCTCAGGATTGGGACTAGGGACTTTTTGTAGCGTGCGGCTGTCTCGGCCAAGGAAGGGATGGGAAGACGAGGCAGCCTGCTCTGGTTCTGGAACGATTTCTCAGCAGGAGCTGCAGTCGAGTATCTGAACACACGAGCGCGGGCCTGGGACGCAAGCTGGGGACGCGAAGCGGATGTCAGAATCCTAGTTGGCAGGTTGGGTTGAAGATGCGTTTGTTGATGAGCGAGTGCTCTTGCCATCGTCTTTGCGATCTCATGCATAGTCCGTGTTCACTTTGGGCAAACTGGATGCACAAGGTTTGTGGCATTGGTTCTTACCTGGCGACATTCTGCGCCGACCTGAAGGAAGCAACGTTCATTGTGTCGAGGAATCAGAAGCAGAGGGGGGGGGGGGGGGAGTGGAGGAGGATGGAGAAGTGGAGGAGTGGAGGAGTGGAGTGGGAGAAAGAGGTCGGGTCGTGGGAGGAGAGGCGGTTGTGGAGAAGAAAGACACACCCAGGCACAGGCAAGAGACGCGGGGGAGGCGCCATCGAATCAGCGGGATGATCGAGGGGTGACTTGCTTCTGGCCGCTTCTCTGACACGTGAAGTAGCCCTCGTGGCAACATATATAGCTACGTTCATCGCACACGCGTCTCCAACAACATCCAACACCCCATACCCGTGCTCGAAACCATGGCCCTGCCATCGCTCAGCCTGCATTCAAGTACGCTGCGTCAAATGAGACGCTTCCCTCAAGGAATAAATATCGCCTTTTTTTCTTTTATTATGGATTACGCCTTCTGGAGATGATGGGTGCTACTTTGTTAGTCCTTACTAGGTGCTTTTAAGCAAGGAAGACCATAGAGAAGGCAATGGATGCAGCTGCTAGGACAAGCGATCCGGCGTGGATGGACGACGACGCAGCAGAAGAGCCGGGCAACTTGACAGTGCTGGCGCCAAAGTTAGCATTGCAGGAATCGACCAGCTTGACGGTTGAAAAGCGGTCCTGGATCTTCGAGTTCTCGGCACCGCAGGTGTAGCAAGGATCTAGATACAAACGATGCAGGGAAGAAGTGGGGTTGGTTGATTGTTAGGTAGGGCCGATGTGCTTTTTAGGACGTGTCTCATGGTTGACAACGCAAGACAGCATAAGGAGGGATATAAGGAGAACATGACCAATGGGTATTCCATCTTCGAGTACATGATCCCTGTGGATATTGTCTGCCATATCAGTCCATTCCTCTCATTGTGTTTGAGTTCAGGAGGATGGCATTGTCGTCTCCGCTTTTCGCCCTGCTGCAGTCTCCATTTACTCAGTAGATGATATCCTGTCCAGCAATGACCATCGACCTGGAAGACACCTTTGCCTCTTCAAATCCCTGCAGTCGAATGCATTCGTTTCCTTTAGAAACACGCCATGGCCCGGACTGCACACTGTCTCAGTAGTCAATTGGGCGAGCAAGTACTGTATGTCCCGACAACAAGAGCGAAATCGCCCTTGGGGCTGTCCTTTGTGCTTGAAATATGAATATGGAACATAGCGAGTCGTTTTTTTCTGGAACTTTGTTGGTCTCAGTCGAGAGTGATAAGTGTGCGTGCGTGCGAGCCCGTCACTTTGTCGGGTCTCCGTTACCCAACACCCCTTCCCGCCCGATTCAAAAAGAAACAAGTTGATGGCCATGCTTCCTATGTTTCAATTACCATAAGCATCGACAACGGACTGCTTGCAGATGCACTTGTCGGTCTCTGTGGTGGTGTTGGAGGCCACAGGGAAGTTGATGTTACCGGTCGAGGGATCGACGGTGATCTGACAATCCTTGAGGACGTTGATCAGAGGAGTGCACTTTTCCTGGTAGCAGGGCAAGGCTGTCTCGGGCTGCTGGGCTGAGACAGTGGCGACGAGGGCGACCAGGACGGCGACAAGGAGAGCGAGGGAAGAGGTGGAACGCATGATGAAGTATGAGATGTGTAAGTCTGAGGACAGTAACTGTTGTAGTCGTGGGGGAATGCGGAATGGAGGAGGGACGGAGGTGATGAGAGGGATGTGAATGGGGAGGGACAGGGAATGGATCGTGAGAGATGGAGAGAGAGAGAGAGAAGGAAGGAAGAGAAGAAAAGAATAAGAAGGGATAGACCCAGATAAATGAGCCATGGCAACAGCATACAATGGTTTATTAGCTGCGCGTGCCATTGCCATTACCATGGGGTGAGGATTGTTTGTGTGTTTGTGTGTATTGTGTATGAGAGCACCAGCGCCAACAACGCCCACTGCTTTTGCACCGACCCGCACTCCCCTCTACTTTCTTCCCTCTCCGCTCCGCACTTCTGCACCGTCTATTCGACCGCACACTAGAGACACTCATTAGACTTGGAGCTGCGCTCACTAGACTGCACGCTTCCTCGTGGGTACCACGCTCTTCACGCAGTGTCCTATATAGTCTATCTGTCGCTATGTCGATACGGTTGGTTGCAAATACTGCAGACAAAGTGGGCAAAGTGAATATCAAAGTGTCACTCTTGCTTGTCGCTGCTGTTCTCAAGACTCTACTCTCAACCCACCTCTAATTTATTCGGCTCTACATGCAATGCGATCTGATCGTAGCCTGATAATTAGACCACAGTAGCTAGTTTAGTACTCAACCGTTGTCCATCCTCCAGCCGCCATGTCTCCTCTATTATTTCAAATATCACAATAATGCTTACATACGGTTTATTCACCTTCTCCCCCACGGCTCTCAATTTCCTTCTCAGCCCTAAAGTATCAAATGCTCCCATGAACTATGAATCATGAACCCACGAACCATGGACCTAGGCTCGACCCAGCCCTCTCTTCCAGTTAAGGAGGTCGGAAATGTAATTTCCTTTTTAGGCCTCCTACTTCAGAGGGGCTGGTAAAAAAGAATGGGTCGCTGGCAGGGTTCGAAAATGGAAGGTTCTTAAGGGTATTTTCAGGCTAAATCATGCAAATACAGGATACAGGGCATACATTCCATAGTCGCAAGGTCGCGCTGGCATGCGCTGGCATGCGCCATGGCCATGCATAACAGCACAATAAAATATTAAAAATATGCTGCTCCTCCCTCACCTCACATCTTTCTTCTCTCAGCGGCTCGCCTCCTTACATTACTTAAAACTGGTATGTTGCTCATCTCTGAAGACATTGCTAAGCAGTCTAAAGATGAATCGCGTAAAGCTCCCAGTGACTTATCAATTCAATCTCAGTCCTCAGTCCTCAAGAGCGAACACTATGGCGTACATTTTTGCAAACAACATTATCGACGAAACTGCAGCTGCTAGCATGTCGCGCGACTACGCCCCAGAGAACGTTCGCCTGGCCAACGTATTTAAGGCTATCCAGGAAAATCACTTCACGCTGCGCTCATTTTTGCTGAAGGCTTTCCGGTCTGGCGACAGTAAGGTTCGATTCTTCGTTGGCATGTTTATCGCCCAAGATGGTCCAGCTGTCCTGATCAACGAATGGGCAGGCAAGGTCGAAAACACGAAGAACGACGAAACTTTCACGGAAGCTGTCACGGATGTTGTCATTGGTCGAGCACGGAAGGATCTCAGAAGAGTCAATAACGGGGGAAGTTTGCAAACGAGCGCCAGGAGTGTTACCCACGCACATGTCGAAGGATTTTCCTTGGATCCTATTGAGGAGGAGCTCAACTCTTCAGCACCCTGCCTCATAAGACTTTTAAGAGGATTGGCGTACAAGGAGAAGAAGCTGCGCAAGAATAAAGCAATGAAGAGTATTGAGAAGAGGGAGAAGAAGAAGATGAAGGGGAAGGAGAAGGAGCAGGAGAAGGAGCAGGAGAAGGAGGAGGAAGAGGAAGAGGAGGGGTGCGACGACTTGCCTTATCACCCGCGGGAGTTAACGACAATTGTATCAACCATCGCCAGCATGCTGGTAGTTCGTCAGAGCCAGCAGTCAAACCGTTTGCAGATGATCTTCGGACTGTATTTCGCGGCCACAAGATGTCCAAAGCGCGTGGTGAATGTACTCGCCTCTATCGGTCTATGTGTTTCGCCTATGACGACCCATAACGCCCTCACACAGTTATCAAACGATATGCTCAGCAGAGTCCGAGAGGCAGTTCGGAACCATCCGTTTTCAATTCTTTACGACAACATCAACATCGCGAATCGAAAATATGATCAGCGGACCTACAATGGCGACACTTTTGAGAACGGCACCACCGCCACCATTGTAATCGGCGAGGATCTCGGCACGCCAACCTCAGCTCAGAGTCTACTGAGACCGCCCCAACTTTCGGATTTTTTACCCGATCAGCAGAACCGTTCGCATATGAAGCTCGTCTATACATTCCACCTCTTTGACATGCTACAGCGGCATTACAGCACGTACGAGCGCTGTTCGATCCATGTTCCTGAACTCGAGATTCTCCCAACCCGCCAGACGCTAACCTTTCCACTACCTGCGATGAGGCACGATCAATCGACAAATGAAGGCAATCTCGACGTCTTGCAGGATATCACCCAGATCATGCTTAAACTGCCGGAGGACTGGTTCAACAGCAATACAAGGATCATAGTTTCTGGAGATCAACTGACCGTTTCCAGGGTCATATCCCTTCAGGAATTGCGTGCAGCAGACACCACGCCTTTTAATCGACTAGAATGGGCGGTCCCTGTTATGCAATTATTTCACCTCCAGATGCTCTTTTGCAGCACGATTCTTCGCACGCATTACGGACGTATTTCGGAGCCAGGATCACTGGCTTTCTTCATAACTATGCTGGGCCGTAAACGCGTGAACCTAGACTCGCCGAACTATCACGCTGCAGATGAAGTGCTGAGGCATATCTTTGATGCAATGGTGAGACGGGTTTATGAGGTTGAACTTAATGTTCAGAGACCAGATGCCAAGAAGCCGGATGCCGAAAAGCCAGACGCCCAGAAGCCAGAGGTACTGGATGATGAGATACTGGATATCGATATGCTGAATGATGAGGTATTAGACGACAGGATACTGAATACTCAGAAGCTGGAAACGTTCGGGACAAGCTATGAGGCACCGCTTGGGAACGCAGCGCTAGACAAACGCGTCCGCGAAGCTACCGAGGCCATCTGTCACCAGTATCTCACCGATCCGATGGAGAACCCTCGCAAATTCGGCAATGCAAATGCAAACGCGGCCTTATTTCTCAGGGACATGATGGTTTATATGGAACTGGGTGCAGCCATCAAGGTTGGAGACGTCGGGCGGATCCTCGAGGTCATCAAGGTGATCACTGTCATGTTCCAGTCCAAGGAGACGAAAAATTACGCGAACGAACTCATGCGCCTCGCTTACGGTATTCGTCATGCATGGTCACCGCAATGGACAAAGGCAGTCGTGTCATCTTGGTTGATTAATACCAACGGCAAGGCGAGCGGGTGGATTCCGGCGGACTTGTATCAGGAACACAACAATCTGCTGACCAAGACTATACATTCAGGGAAAGAGAGCAACATGTCATGGGAAATGCTAGCCAACCAGATATCAACAAATATCCGCTTATTCTCGAAGATCGCCAAGACGCTTGAGTCAGAGTACGACATAACACACAACAGCTCTTTTCACTCAACACTGTCCGCAGAGCGGGACATTCAATTAATCCAGCAGTCGCTCAAGGACCATGACATTCTCGGCAATGCGCGGCCGGGAGACTGCAGTGTACCGCTTGTGAAAAACCTGGTCAGTGAAGGTCTGGAAAAATTGATAGATGGACGCTTCGAGAAGTTTGTCGAGAAAAGCGTCAATTTAGGTGGCGATGAACAAGACGCTGTTGTTGTTGATGGTCTGAAGAACGAGGACAATCAAGCGGAGGAATATATTAGATCGCTTTTTAATGCCGGATATGTTTTATAAATTAGTTTTTCTTGCTTTTCTTGGGACTAAAGAAATTTGATGCAGTCCTATTCTTGAATAAACTCGGTCGTTTTGATGTAGGCTTTGAAGTCACAGCAGCGGGCGTTTGATGAGACTCATCTGCTTCTCGATCAATTTCTATATTTGCTCCGCTTTGACCGTCAATGAACTGGCCCGCTTCCTGTGGCGGCTGTGCACTTGCCATGTCAATATCCTTGTTCAGTCTGATGAGAATATCGGCTACTTCCTGCCGTTGTAGCTCAACCACAGGTGTCCAAGTGATGATAGAACGAATATCTGCGGGTGTTGTGATTTTTGCGAAATTCTCCCCAAGCACCTGGATCATATTGTCCGTCATTACGCAGCGCGGCTCAAAGGAATCACAGAGTGGTGCCAAATCGCGCACAAATGCCATTGCTCTCCAGTTCCGCAGTGCTTCCTTGGCCAGCTCATTCTGCTCAAACGTGCGCTTGGGGACTCGAGTTTTTGGTATGTAAGCGGTTGTCAAGGTGACAGCGGTGAGCACTTTTGTGAAGGAGATCTGCCCCTGCGGATATGAAGATTTCCGTGTAGGGTGACAAAGATCGCAGCAATTCTCGTTCGGATGATGCACATTGCCATAGACGTCATTGAGGACTTTTCTGCGACATTTTTGAGTGACGATGTACTCCTTGAGATGCTCGTCGGCGTACTTGGTCTCATCGGATGGTGGTGGTACCAATAAAATACCGAGCCCCTGACGTTTCGGATCACGAGCTGCACGACCAAGACGCTGCACAAGGGATGAAATGCTAGTGGGGCACCTGACCTGAACGACACGGTCGACGTCGTTGATATCACATCCCATTCCAGCGGCTTCTGTAGATAGCAACAAGCGAATGTTGCCTTGCCTGAATGCCTCCATGGTCTTCCGCTTGTAGTCCTCGGACATGAGTGCATGATAGAGGGTGATGTCCTTCTTTGTGGCCGAGGATTCCAAAGCTTCCTGAGTGCGCTCCGACCCCAGACAGGAGGCAATCCTGCTATCGTTGACATCGGTCACCAACCCTTGCAAGTACCTCATAGCCGTAACGGTCTCATTCCGGCTTTCAAAATAAACAATGGTCTTTTGGAAGTCCATAAGAAAATCAAGATGCCTCAGCTTGTTGTTTGGCTTGAAGTGTCGCACTTCCAGTCGTATATTAGGGCGATCGTTACCAACATTGATGACAGATGTAGAGCCCTTGAAATGGATCCTGTGTTTGAGATCTGCAAGGGCTTGGGGCGGAAGAGTGGCCGATACAGCAATGAACGCCACGCTGGGAAGCACCCACGTCCGGAGTTCTCCAAGGCGGCCATATAGCTTTCTGAAAGTGGTACCCCAAGAGGTGACACAATGAGCCTCGTCCAGGACAACGGCTTGCAGTCGCATTCGCCATCTCTTGTCGAACCAGAGTTCCTGCACGCGCTTGTTCTCAAAAATGATTTCTGGTGTCATAAAAATAACCCTATACAATCCTGCGGCCACTCCAGAGTCAATCCCGGTGATGTCTCCGCCCATGAGGGCCGTGCTGCGGATGCCCAAGCTTGCAAGTTTCAGCTGCTGTTCTTGTATCAAAGCCCTCAGAGGTGATATTACAACGATGATCCGATCGGTCCAGAGCACCGTCGGTAGAAAATATACAAGGGACTTGCCCCAGCCGCATCCAGCAATCAGAATACAGTCCCGACCGGTACCGATGCATTCGACGACATCCAGCTGCAAGTCTTTAGGGGTGATATGGAAGACATCTTGACACCGCTTGATAGCTTCTTCACGGTTGAACGGTAGGGCCATGTTGATGAGTTGCTGCTGAGGACTGAGATTGAATTGATAAGTCACTGGGAGCTTTACGCGATTCATCTTTAGACTGCTTAGCAATGTCTTCAGAGATGAGCAACATACCAGTTTTAAGTAATGTAAGGAGGCGAGCCGCTGAGAGAAGAAAGATGTGAGGTGAGGGAGGAGCAGCATATTTTTAATATTTTATTGTGCTGTTATGCATGGCCATGGCGCATGCCAGCGCATGCCAGCGCGACCTTGCGACTATGGAATGTATGCCCTGTATCCTGTATTTGCATGATTTAGCCTGAAAATACCCTTAAGAACCTTCCATTTTCGAACCCTGCCAGCGACCCATTCTTTTTTACCAGCCCCTCTGAAGTAGGAGGCCTAAAAAGGAAATTACATTTCCGACCTCCTTAACTGGAAGAGAGGGCTGGGTCGAGCCTACCATGGACCGTAAATTTCCTCTTCCCATCCTGGGTGCAGTGTGACAGTATGACCCTACAAAGAGAGCCGCTCCACAAGATTATGCAACAGAAGGAGACAACAGCGCGAACACAGTTGTGCAAAGAAAACTGGAACAAGAACCGACACCTGGTTGTCTAGTCTATCAGACGCGAAAAAACAAGGCCTAGAGATCTAGACCTCCATGGCGCGGTTCCTCTTGCTCATTCTACTGCATAAACCCACGTGGGGAATTATCGGGGGAGGGGAGAGGAACCATAAACCATATCCAATTCTTGTTTAAAGAAAACATGGCTTTTGTTTAAAGAAAACACTGCGAGTTGTATCTCTGAGCATGATGTTCCTCTAACACGCCCTGTCCCCGTCTCGTTTGGAGTGGCCCGTTTCCCCAATATGGAAGGTGGCTCGACTGCCTTGAAAGGAAAATGTGGCGGAAACGAGACGTACCATTCAAATCTGCCCGTTTGGATGGCTCGTTTACCTCGTTTGCCTCGTTTTGATTCAATGGCCTTGTTGCTCATTTGTCTTGGCTGATCATGTTGCATGACTCATAGAATCTGGGTGGGGCGAAACGCTTCTCGTCTTCATCACTCACTCCATCACAGCCCTAAGGCCCATCATCCAACCGCTGGTAATTCGAAGAGAAAACTCCCTCAGAAAGGTGCGCTGATTTCGCGTTGCAAAGAGAACTTTTTCTTTATTCGAGGTGGGGGCAGCAGTGCCTGGCCGCGATTTTCTTCATAGTCCAACATAGAAAGCTAGCTTCAACAGGTGTGCCTCCTGTCATGAGTTTAGTCTATGAATGATATGTTCGAACTCAAACCTTGACTTATTGGCATTCAATCTACTACAATAGTCAGCCTTGACAACATCAGGGAGTATTCTTTACAAGCCAGCGGCGAAGCTGGCTCTTCTCAGCAAAGTGCCAATCGCGATAAATCTGGCGATCGCATTCCACGTTGGGAACCCAATGATTTCGATCCTGTTCTCACTTGGCTGGAGAACATAGACAACTTTGGTCCAGTGTATGGCAAGGACGGCAAGACGAATGTGGGCACCAAGTACGCGTCAGCCAGGAAAGCCAGGAAAGCCAGGAAAGCCAGGAAAGCCAAGAGCATTTTATCCGAACGGCACAATGGGAGAGCCAATTCCAGTCCTATCGGCAAGGCCATGAGTGCACGTTGCAAACGGTACAAGGAGAATTACGTGAAGGCCTTGGCTTTTAGTAAAGGAACGGGGAACGGTCTTACTGATGACGATCTGCGCAAGGGCATACCGACAATGGAGCAAAAAAGGGACTATTCATTTACCAAGATGTACGTTTCGTTTGGCTCAAGTCCAAGCATAGAGCCACTGAGTGAGGTCTCGACATCAGCGTTGGGTGTGACCTTCCGTAGCAAGACTTCCCAGACCACAATAACGAGACAGCTTGATACTCATGCGGCTGTACCCAGCGCCATTACGGAGGTTGATGGCTTCGTTGATATACTCGAAACAATGAGAGACAGTACTGGTGGATCCCTAGACTTGCTAAACTATCCAGAAGAACAAGGTGAAGAAGAAGAAGAAGAGGAAGAAGAAGAGGAGGAGGAGGAGGAGGAGGAAGAAGAGGAGGGAGAGGAGGAGGAGGAAGCATTGATGGAACACCGAACACGGCAAAGAACAGGTGTTGCTCTCAACCCTACCAAGTTCATGAATCATAGGTCAAAGGCACCATCGGTCTCGACAGCGTTATTCCCATTTGTACTCCGAAGAGAGCCCTCAAGTCGGTCGAGTTCCACGTCCAAGGGCTCCGGATCCCGGGATGTGCGCTTGAACCCGCCCCCAGCCCTACAGGATTTGTCATCCGTGTCCATCAAAAAAACATTGACATTCGGCGAAGTCTTTATGAAGTCCATGGAGATGAGAGTGAACTGTAAGTTGACTATAATCGATCTGTACGGACTCTCTCTCTTGCTTGTGCTCTTTCTCACTTTTTTTTTTTTTTTTTTTTTTTTTTGGCCTCCAAGCGAAGGAGTCTATCGAGCGCATGAAGTTGGAATACCAGAGAGAGCTACAGGAACACCAGAGAGAGCTACAGGAACACCAGAGAGAGCTACAAGAACACCAGAGAGAGCTACAGAAACACCAGAGAGAGCAACAGGAACAAAGCCAAGAGGCCGAAGCCAAGAAGGCGAGGATTGAGTTTTTAATATTATGCATTGAAAAGGGCTATTCCATCGGACAGACCCGAGAGCTGTTAGAAATGATTGACGGTGTAAAGCAATAAAAACCATCATTTTTATCTCTACATCTTAGTTGGAGTTGGGGTCAATTTCAAGCAATATTTGTCTCCAGCGTTGTTTTCCACAAGGTTTCGCAGAACGTAATTGGGTCCATAGTGGTCTGAGATGATTCACTGTTGTCGAAACTGAAAGGCCCTATGGTTTTAAACAATTTCGCCCAGCTATCACCGATCAAAGCCAGCATGTAATGGAGTATATAGAATGTCAATATCCATGGGGTCAGAATCACTATACCCTGTTCTTTCCGGATCTGCTGCCTCATGTTTTTGAGTGAGGACCACCGTGATTTCGGGAGACCAATGCAGGGTCTGTCACGGACGCGATAGCGAGCAAGGCAAGTGTTGAATGCGGCAATTTCAGGTGGATATGCTGCAGGAGACTTGAAAGCAGGAATACAAAACTTGGAGAGTGCGTGCGCCAAGTCGGCAAGGAGGTACTCGCCCGGCGAGAAGTACAATTCTGGACGTTGGTATAGCTCCATCCATTTGAAGACGCTCGAGTTCGCGCTGGAACTTGAGTACCCAACCAAGACAAATGAGTAACAAGGCCATTGAATCAAAACGAGGCAAACGAGGTAAACGAGCCATCCAAACGGGCAGATTTGAATGGTACGTCTCGTTTCCGCCACATTTTCCTTCAAGGCAGTCGAGCCACCTTCCATATTGGGAATACGGGCCACTCCAAACACGACGGGCAACATCAGATTTTGAATTGATGCGGGCTATCGCCAAATAATCGCCTGCACCAGCGCATCCGTCTCCAGATCAATCGCCGTTGTCGCCTCGTCCAGGACCAACAGACCAATCTTGCGGAGAGGCGCCCGTGCAAGGCATATCAGCTGCCCTTGACCCACTGAGAAATTGTCGCATCCTTCAAGCACCCTCGCATTGAATCATCCTTCCATGGCCGAGACATAGTCCTTGAAATACGAGTCCTTGAGTACCTGCTACAGCTCAGCGTCGAACATTATCCCCAAGGGATCCATGTTGAACCGAATGGTGCCTGCAAACAGGACCGGGTTCTAGGTGGTAATCGAGAATCGAGAGCGGACATCGTACAACTCCAGAGATATCGATCCCGTCAACAAGGATCTGTCCCTTTGCGGACTCGGTGATATGGAAGAGCGACAGAACCAAGCTGGACTTGCCTACTCCTGTTCAACTGCAGATGCCGATCTTCTCGTGAGAGTCGATTGAGCAGTTAACGCCGTGTAGGACAAGATCGAGTCCTGGGCGATATCTGGTCTCGTAGTCGACGAACTCGACGCGCCCCTGAGCTGGCCATTCCTGTGTGGACGGTTGTTGGGATTCATCTCTGATACATCAGGCTTGAGATCGACGTATTCCTGAAGACGCTCAACGGCCACGATATTGTATTCGACGTCAGTAGAATTACGCACCATCCAGGTCTGGATTTGGGTGATGTTGAGCACATATGTCAGCGAGAGACCCACAAGACCTGGACCCACAGCGGTGTTTTTTGACCAATGATACGATGGGTAAGAATGCAGGTCCAAAAAAAAAAAAAAAAAAAAAGATGGAGCCTAGAGTTTGAAAATGGAACGTGGGTTAACTGCTTCCTGCGATGCCGAAATAGAACACACTCAAATTCTGGACCAGACGATGCTTTTTACCCTTGATGAACCTGTCCTGTTGACGGTAAGCGCGGATAGTGCTGATTCCACCGAGAATTCCCCGGAAAAGCGCAAAGGTGGCGATCGAGTAACAGAATTTAGCCTTCAGATATTACGGGACGTCGCCAAGGAGTACCAATGCAGCAAGAGATATATGAAGCTAAAAGGAGGGATGAGAATAGTGAAGCTGGACGTCGATACAGCGACCAGCACCAAAGCCGAAGGGGCTTAGTAGACTGTCCTTGAGCACACAGCAAAATAGCGAAAAGACGCCATCAACCGCTGATTGGCCTTAGCTGGGACGGTGAAGGATACATCCCATGGAAGAGGTATTAAAGAACATCATTGGTGATCGCAGCACACTATGCAGCATCCTCTGATGCAACATGCGCGCTAAACTGATATGGCAATAGGCCTATATTATAATCGACTGGAGGACCGTCAACAGCGAGTACGTGAATCCCAATGTCATATGGATGCCGGTATGAAAAAGTGGAGATCAAGACAGTCTAGGACAAGAATATTGACAAGGCGCCGTATGTGTATCACTTTCATGGGTTCCTATGGCCAGCAGGAAGTCTGCAGCCAGTCGTCCGAGTATCCTACTTGGAGGTTTTTGGGGCCAAGGTCGCTGCAGCAGTCAGGCCCACAGCCTCTTTGGGAGTGCAGTGCTTGGGCCACAAATTTAGGCTGCAAACAAAAAGAGCTCTAAATTTTAAATTTTAGCGGCTCGTGCTGGTGTGCTACTCAGCTGATTTCTAGGCTGTTTTTTAACTAAAGGCTGCAGTTTGATTTTAAGCATTTTTCAGCACAATGCAGCTCAAATTCAGCACAACCAGCACAAATTCAGCACAGCCAGCACAATCCAGCACCATTTCACCTGTATAGTACAATACGATGCCAACACCGCTGTATAACCCTGCACGGCGTTCCCCATGCATTCACACATACGATGCTACTCGAGTCGCATGGGACAGGCGCCATACTGGGACGCCATTATGCTCCATTTCAGCTCAAATTAGTGCTGGATGATCTTGAAGACACGGACACCTACGAGGTACAGAAATCTTCGACTGCAGGGCTTGCAAATCCACGCCCAACATCATAAAGTACTTGGTCCAGTAGAAGGGCCATGTACGCATGATTTGCTTGGTAGCATGAGCTAGCAGTTTTCTCACCATAGCCAATATCTTCTCTCGCTCGTTCGATGCACGGAGAGCCGCCATGCTAAACTTGATGCCATGCTAAACTTGATGCCATGCTGGCGTCCGATAGGGGATACAGAGGCCTTTTCATCCTTCTGCTTGGCAGCTTGAACACTAGCGTGAAAATCGTGACAAAAGTCACATGCACTGAAAACAGTGGCAACGCACAGACCACTTTGACAGACTTCGTCTGGTTCTCTTCTCTCTCTTCCTCTTCTCTGCCATAGTGCTCTTCACTCTCGTCCTCCTACGTACGTCAACAAACCACGTCGTCTGTTCACCTCAATCACACTCGGCTACACTTTCAACCATGTCCAACCTCAATCTCTTTTGTCTCACCGATAGAGAACCCATGTCGAATGCATTTCCCGTCAAGATCCTCTCGACAGAAACTGTGGATAGCCTCAAGGGTCTCATCAAGGCCAATAAAACGCCTGAGTTTGACAACGTCGCAGCAGACAAGCTCATGGTCTGGCGTGTCTCGGTTCCTGTCGTCGCTGCCAACATCCGCAATGCGGTCTTCCTGAACGAGATCGACTACAAGACGGAGCTTGTCCCAAAGACTCGCCTCTCCAAGGTCTTCACAGAGGAGCCGCCTAAAAAAAGCAATCCACATCATTGTGAAGCGACCACCGCCAGGTAATGCATCCCACGCGCTTTGAATTAATACCTGGATTTACTCGCGTTTCGCTTTTTTCTCACGAAGTACTGACTCTTCACCCCATCGTTTCTTGCATTCTACCGTGCTGTTACATTAGCTGTTCCTATCCATGCTCCTACCTATGCCCTTCAAGTCTCTCGTTTCAGTACACCACTCTCTGGTAAGTGCGAATGACCCGGCACTTTATTTTTCTATCTAACGTACCACGCCTTAGTCCGCTAAACCCATTCCTCTTTCCCTCTCCTTTATGACAACACAGCAACGCCCATCCCGAAAAAAGCTGTTCCGTATGCTGATATTGGGCCAGAACTAACGCTTATCATCGAAGGTGCAAACCGAAAACACCTCAGGCATTTCGTGGATGTAAGGGACGTCAAAGCCTACCGAGAGAAAATTAGGCTCCTTCTACAAAAGAGCTCTGCCATATGGTATCACAGCAACTGATATGAATCTGGTAATGTTGGGAAGGGTATTGGACAAGGAACCAACGTCAGACAGGAACGAGACATTGCGCGGCATTGTTGAGAGTGACCTCGGCAAGATTAATGGCCATCGCGTGGTGACCCTAATTGGCCCATCAGGTTCAGGAAAGACTGCGACGGTGGTCGATCTCGCAAAGACACACTTTGTTATATATTGCGTGTGCTGCGACCCGAGCACTATGTCATCCCCGGACTTCAAGGATCCCAACTTTGTTACACTTGCGAGGGAAGTCGAAAAGATGTGCGGGGGCATTTCGAGACCAGAGCTAGTATCTTTGAACGACCTGATGGAGAATGATTCAACCCTGAAACGGCTTGTAGGAGATAGGGTCGAGCTTGAGTTCCTATCAAGACTGCTATTCCTTCAGCTTCTTATCAACAACAATCCTGATCTCGAGCCTCTTCAGTTCTTCCATGAACAGATTAATGAAGGAGCTGAGACAATTTGGACGCTGGTCAACGAGCTGCGCGCGTATGAGGTGGGGACAATTCGTCTCATGCGAGATCATGTGCAGAATAGGCTGGCAGACTATCTTGCCCCACGGATACGAGGACTAATGATCGCTCTGGATGAAGCCCACGTCGCAGGAACTCGTATCTTGGCCGATAAATTCATCGCACCGTCTGCGTTAGGCGGCGACCAAGAAATCCTCGACGGAAGGAACCATGTACAAGTCAGATTTCGCCGCGGGTTTCTCACGCCTCTATCTGCAACGTTGAGCAACATGCGTGCAACGCTGGTGTTGCTTGGAACAGCGCTATCATTGCAGGATGCAGACCAGATGTATTCGGCAATTGGCAAGCGAATGAATTTCACGAAAATAACGTGCTTCCCCTCGTTTGATGAAGGAGACGTGGGAAGCGTGCTATCGGGACTAGTCGATATATCCGACTGTGAACTCCCACCTGCCAAGTGCCAGGAACTTATGGGGCGGCCTCGATTTTCGCTCAGCGTTATCAATAAACTTATCGGCTGTCACTCTGACCAGGAATCCAAACAAACCATGCTGGATGAGGCGATTGACTCGGCGATCGAGAACGTACTGACTGGTCTGCGGAGCAAGGTGCGCAGCATCATCGATAGCGACAAGACAGGCGAGACAGTGCGTCTAGTCGGCCGAATGGTTTTGGCCTACGAATTTCAAGGTGGCAAGATTTCGTTCGCAAGTATTTCACAATTCGACTTTGTGGACAAGGCCTTATGCAGGCTTCAATCGGACCCCGATGGAACTTGCTTGATCATGAGCGAGCCGTTGGTCGTGAAGGCAGTGAAGAAGGAGTCGAAAATCTCTGGTGTGGATCCTGCCTTTTTGGAGTACCTCGATCAGTTTCAGCGGATTGTTACGAACTTCGGTGTAAATCTAACAGCAAAGGGAGATGCGCTGGAACCACTCGTCCGACGCTCACTGCAACGTTTCAATGGCTTTCGTATTGCGGACCTTCCTTTCCTCAAAGGCATCGCCTTGCCCACATGGTGTGACAGACTCGAGCTCCAGATTGACGATATCAACACGGCAAGCGAATTTAGATACAGAGATAGTGTTCAGGGTGATCTCGACTTTCTCACCGCCCGTCCGAAAAACAAGTTATTGATAGAGCAGTTTGGCACCCGTCGGGATGGGGTATGGTTTTTCTCCGACAATCGTTACGCTGGCTCCATTGTTATCAAGTTTTATAGCAAACCTGTGCCACAGACCATGCACAAGGAGAACGAAACATCCAGAGACATTAGATGCAGCTTCTTGAAAAAAGACGGCATTAGCTTGAACCCACAGTTGGAAAATATCCGACGCGCATTTGAGGCTTCCGGCACTCCTGGGAAGATTTTGGGCATACTCCGCATTCATCTCGAGTTTCCCGGAGTTAAAAAACCTAGGCCAATTACCTGCATCAAAGTGAACCCCGCCACCGGCATTGAAGATGTAATGGTTTATATCGATTCGTCGAATATGAACGAGTTTTTTTATGAAGGTATCAAGGAAAACGAGCAGGACATCCGCAACCTAAAGAGACTGATCGAATATGTGTTGACGAAGTAAAAGGTTACGCGCAGCTACCTCGAAAGTGTAACAGGCATATGCAGTCCTTCCATCTCCGGCATTGAAGCGCTGTCTGTCAGTTACCTAAAGAATAAGTGCGCAAGCGAGTAGCATCGGGTTCACCGTAGCGAGCGATATAACATGCCACTGAATGTAGCACCTACAGTAGGAGGGAAAGGCAAATAAATGACTAGTTGCACCCACTTTTGTAAAAAGGATGAAGCACAATAGACATTTGCTCAAATCTCACAAAACAGGCGCGACTCAGCAGTATATCAAGATATACCAATCCGTGCAAGGAGAAGGGGAGATTTTTGTCCGTTTGGATCGAGAAAGAGCCATGAATCAAGCAGTAACTCTTTACAACAGCAACGACACCCACTATATTAAACGACCAACATATCATTGTATTTATAGTTCCTTACGCAGTTGACGTCTCCTCCATACTATGACAACCTGACGCTGGGCTCGCTCCATCGCCAGCAGTTTTCCTTGGTCCCATTCTCAATTTATACTCCATTCTCAGGCGCTCAAGTTTGGTTTGTTCAATCTGCAACTGGATCGCCAGTTGTTTCGTCCTCTCCATTTCGATTATTTTCTCTTTCTCCAAACGTAACCGCTCTAGCTCGCGCCTCGTCGTTTGCTCTTCGATCCCCATGCTGTGGTTGAGGTCAGCGATATGTCGCTTCGTTGCCTCTTGCTCTCTGATAGAAAATTCCACCATCTTTTTCGCGTCCTGAAGATCCACAACAAGCTCGCCGAGTTGGGCCTGAGTCTTTGTTGCATTTCGCGATATGGTTTCTGATCCACCGTTTGCAGTTGATACCGATCCAGTTCTTGCAGTGACAGCAGAATCCTCTCCTGCGTCCCTCGATTTGTCCATCACATCATCCTCATCCTCATCGTCCTTATCCTCATCAGCGCCAGCGTCCTGTATGATCTCTTCCGTCGAGTCGACTGGGCCCTCAATAGCTGTTCTCGGCGCTTGAGACCAGGACGTCGCCCAAATAGGCTCCATGATATAGAAAAAGGAACACCTTTTCAGGGCTTGATCCCTCAAAGCGTCTTCGTCGAGGTCGCCATTGTCAATAGCATTGATCGACTTGCGTGTATCCTTCCAGAGCCTCTGCATATTGGCGATCTTGTTCTTGATCTGGGCTCCCTCAAGGGTCGCGTCGAATTTTGCATTGAATTCGATTGCAATCTGCTGGTGGACCTTTGATTTGGATAGTCCTGGCTGATTCCTGCCACCGGTGCCTCGTAGAATCCTGTTTATTCGATAGTCCGTAAGCTTGTTAGCGAGGAAGGCGTCGTGCTCTGTAGTGTAGACAAACTTCGTCTGCTTTTCCCGGGACTTGAGGTTCGTTCTAAGTTTCGCTCTTGATAGTTCCTCTACATTTAAATCAGGTTGCATTCGTTTACGAGTGCCTTTTACCGATGCACGAGAGAGTGCAGGGAAGTGTGGAGAGAAAGAGGGGTAATATTAGTGGAAAAGACTGCTGTTGTGGCGCTACATGTCAAAATAGGGGCTGTCGAGATGGACTAGTGGCAGTAGTAGTCGGCGAAATACCAGACCGCAAGGAATCTATGGTCAACAATATAGTATAGAGCGGCCAAGGCACAACAAGAGGAGCAGTCGATAAGGGCGTAGCAAACTGACCTGATGCTCTAGTGTCATGCTGAGAGAGAAAGACCGCTTTGGTTAATACAAGCATGCCCACTTGACAATACATGCTACAAAATGATGTGATAAATAGGCTATTACCAGCGGCGAGCGATGCCAATACTCTTGATACACTCGCGCGTCTACGTACGGTCGGAGTTGTTGATGTGGGTGCTGCTGAGGTTGAAGCTCTTGAGATGGATGCTGTTGTAGTCGCGACTGTTGGATATAACTTGCAATTTGTTGATATTGCTGGTTCTGGTGCGGAGCAAGGGCTCGTCGGGACCGAAAGAAGTCTGTCGAAGGCGAATTCAAAGCAGTTTGTGAAGCTATTGGCTTCCGTGAACGTGGTTGACGCCTGGGATTCACAAGAGCTTCCTCCTCAGACTCTGACAAGTTCGAAGGCTGTAGGCCATCACTCCCAGGCTGATGCTGATCCACAGACGCATTGTCTTCATAAGATGGGCTTTGCATGTTACTCATGGCGATGGTTTCCAGGGCATGCAGTGATGAAAACGTGGGATAAAAGTGTGCAAAACAGAAGAAAAGCGTCAAGACGAAGGGTAATAAGTGCACGCTATTCGGCCAGTGAACACTAAATCGCTCGCAAGAATCGATTGACTAAATAAACGATTTTGCCCATTTTTAATATGGATGATTCAAAAATGTGTGTTTACTCAGGCAAAAATGTTGTGATATCGAGTTTTTTATTCGAGCTTGGTAACAGTGGCAATAGTCAAATAGAGAGGGTTGAGCAATTAGAGAGGCATTGATTAGCTCACCACATTTTGATGGAGGCGGAATTCGACAATCTGATATCAACACAGTAAAGGTTCCTTCACCAGGACTGGCCCACTGTGAAACCAAGCAGATTCCACCGCACTGAGATCAAGGACGTGCAAGATATCCGAAAGGTCAAGGACTCTGTGCAGCACCGCCTTGGCATCATTCCTGTGTTCTTCTCCTTGACTGTAATTTTTGGGCTACTCTAATACTATATATGCTGTTGAAAGGCATTTCAAAGAGTTCATCTCATGATGTGTGCTGAGGCTTCTTCAGCGGAGATGTGCATACTCGGGATGCCAATCTCTCCATTTCTGTCATAGAGTAACCTTTTAGTACGTAGAACAGTAACAACAAACCCTTTTCAACATTGCGATAGGGGCCCGTGTAATCTCGGTGTCCAAATAACTGTGTTAGAAAAAAATTGTTGGTATAAATCCTAAGCGTTGCGAAATTTAGATCGAGATAATATCGGTCAGCATCATCCAATTTTCGATACTCCTCTTCCAGTGCCATACTCTTCAGTCCCTCATTTATGGTGAAGTCTGTTCATTTCCACGGATTATTGACGCATGCTGTTTGATTCCACCTCCAGTGGTATGCTCAATCCGCAGTTTTCTTGAGACTTCTAGTAAGTTGATTGGGTTGGAATGTCGGGGGCGTCTATATACACTCAAGTTCCGTTCCTTGTACTTTGGTCATCTCCATCCATGATGTGAGAGTCCTTGGAGCCTGCTGTTATGAATGCAATAGGCCTATTCACATCTTGACTCAAGTGATGCAAATCACATGTTACCGACAGTCTGCGTCGCACTTTATTGCGCCTTCGTTGCCGTTGGGTCTACGTCTTCATCAATCACGGCTTTAGGAGTTGGTATTCGGTTGCCCTCGACGTAATAGGAGGGGCGGCGCCATTTTGCTCTCATGCTGCAGTTACTATCGCGAGCCTTGATTGCGGTGAGGGTCCTCAAGACCACCTCCTAATCACAGTTGATATATAAAATGGCTTAAGCAACAGATAGATACATGGGCACCAAAGAGCAATAAAAGTATGTTCACTTACATGCGCTAACTGCAAAGGGCCTAGTCCAGGGCAAAGAAGAGCGAGTTGGAGATTGTTTCGCGGAAGCTCAAAGGCTCCTATTGATTTGACGACGTATAGGGCTTCATGATCCAACGACATCAGGGAAATCTCGCAGCGGGAGCCTAGGACGTCATTCAAGTCAATACCGTGATCATTGCGCGGAAGAAATGTTGCTAAACTCAATAACCTACATTACTTACATCTTATCAAGAACCCAACTACTATTGGGGCCATAACCCCGGCATCGAGCATGCGATCTATCATCAGCTTTTGCATGCAGGGGAGTATCCGCTGGTCCTCTTCCAAATCGTCATCATTTGCTCCCGACTTTTTGATGTCAACAATCAGAAGTGGGAATCCGTCATATTCTGCGAAATAGTCGGGGTAATACGCTTCCTCGAAACCCGCGGGGGTCGGCAGTGGGTCTTGACTCCTAAAAAAGACAATAGCATCATTTACGAGCTGTTCATATTGTTAATGTAAGCATCAGTTACACATTTTGACTTACCAGTGATCTAACACATCCAAATCACCGACTACGCCGAAGATAATATTTTTCATAATGGCCTGCGTGTATGTGTCCTCATTCTGTGCTAGCGATCGCGGGGGGATGGGATATGAAGTGCTCTGCTGCCAGAGGCTGGGCCTTTCCGTATAGTAGCGCAGAATGTTCGCTGCAAGACTCTCTCCCTCTGTTTGGACTTTGTTCCGAATGTGTCTTCTGGTACCTTGGAATGTATGTGACGCCGCAAATACAGAGCAGTCGAAAAGCAACTTCAGTTCTCTATCAGATGGCGTGGGTAATATTACAGATAAAAAAGCTTCCGAGATGTTTGTCGGAACGTGTCTCTTCAGGAAGTTCGCGTCAAAGATGAAATTGATAGTTCTAAAGCACCCATACATTATAAACATAATTAAGAAGAGATGTCAGATCATTAAACAAAAAAGTTCAGAAGCTATACAGCAACCACTTACAACAAATCCGAAACATCCGTTATCTCGTATTGCTTTTTGACCACTGATCTTCGTGCGTTCAGCAATAACTCAGAAACATCAACTTGGTCGATTATGAGGCGAGCCTTTGTGGTCAGTCGCGAAGACGACGTGCCTGGTCCGACCAAATGATCGATAAAGCGGAAGTCAATGGAGTTCAGGGATGATCTGGCCGAAGACGGATTGGAATCGACGTAATCGCTTTCACTTTCCAAAGGAAACTCGACTTCCAAGAACGCGACTTTTTTATGAGGTGGTTCATGACTTGGGGCCCCCATACTCTCATCAACCTCAGGGACGACTTCTGCAGCTGATCTTTTCGAGGAAACCGAATTTTCAGCCGGAACTGAAGTGCTGGACACTATAGCATAATATGTAGTGTATAAATATCTTCCTCTGTATCGCAACAAAAGATGGATCGATGAGGTCCTTCATTCAGTCAATAATACTGACCCACAGAGGTAGTGCCATCGGCGGAATACATGGGTAAGGCCTGCACTGGTCCTGATGACGGTTTCTTTGCTAGAGTTGTATATTAAAATACAGAGTCAGTTGCTATGCTCCTCTGATACGACACAAATGGCTGTCCTACAGCTCCTGCAATGGAGAAATAGAGCTTACCGTTGGCACTTGAAAAATACCGATCGTACGCGATCTCAGATTGCTTTATCCCAACTCTCTGCGATATTACTTCAGCTTGCTTGGCCGTAATTTCAGAGCTGACTTGCAGGTTATGTTCAGCCCAGAACCTTTCTGCACGATGATCACAGAATTCCTTGAATGCTTTCTGGAGTTTCTCTCGTCTCTTGCTACGTATTAGACGAGAGCCAATAAGCAAAGTAAAAGCTTGTGATGCTGACTCCCTGTCACTCAAGTTGAAGTGACGGACGAAATTTCCAAATGAGACATGCTCTTGGCCTGGCACTTTTTCAAGTGCCCATTTCAGGTATGACGATGCTGACATGACGTGTCCGAATTCAGAAGAGTAGAAAAAGAACTAAGCGAAGAAGCAAAAAAAGAAAAGAAAATGAAACGTTAGGAGACCTGACCTCGGTGGTAGCATCTCCAACTTCAAAACCTTTCCAGTTGGCATTGTATCAAACAGAGAGAGCATATGGCGCCCATGAGAGCACATGCCATGCAGGTCCCTTCTGAAGACCGCCATTGTCGCTGCCACTTTCCTACTCGGCAGAGCCCGAAGTATATCTGCTGGAGCTGAAGAAGCGGGGCCACTTATGACAATGCGTTTCTGCACGGGTTAACTCTCGAGTCAATGAGTTACCTTTCAGAAGGGATGAATCCTGAGGTGACGAGTTGATGGAATGTGTCACGAATTAAGGTTGAGGACAGACCTGCACTCACTTCAATTGACCCTAGTGGCTTGTGCTTACCTCGCGTCTGTTACGCGAGCCCAAATCAGGTCGCGTCTCCAGAATTGCCCCACACGGAAAGCATATCTGGTTTAGCGTTGCATGCCCGTTCCAAGTAGACGATTGCCCGCATCCACCTTTGCCAATTCCATGAGTCTTACATTATGTTGCGGTTCCGAGCACCGGAGTTTATACGATATAAGCTACCGAGCTGGGACCCCAAGTCAAGCATTACTCATGTATAAAAGGCCTAGCTAGTTGCCCTAATCAAACCTCAATCTACAATAAAATACTTCCCTATCTTGTACTCGCTCTTACTCCTCCATCTTTCGCTTACCTGCCTGTCCAGACCTTGACAGAATGCTCAGTGACGATGATGGGAGATGACCAGCAACAAAGAGAGGTGACCAAACGAACGAACGAAGTTAAGATGACCAGTGGTACCTATGCTGAGTATAGATAAAAAATCTCACCAATCACATATGCCAGAGGTGTTTGGTGGAGGCACATATTGAATGCGCTCCCACAATTGTCAAGCAATGCACGCGTGTACCTCTCTTCGGAGCGCCTGTTCAGCAGCGCTGGAGGCATTCTTACGCCAAAGTGAGCTAACTTCTCGGACTATCTGTTTTGCTGTACGTTATTAGTTAGAAGTTTGAGTTCCTTCTTCTTTCATCTAGTAGAATAAATAGCTAGAGTAGGCATGTTCACACACAAAAATAGTCCTCGCCAAAAACGTCGTAGCCCCACCCTTATCCCTTGTTCTCATATTTGAAGAGGTACGCTAAAACCTATGTAAACTCTAAAAAATTCATCCCATATGTGGGACAAGGGATATGCGTGAGCTCTAAGGGTGGGGTTACAACTTTTTGGCGAGGACTCTAGCTCGCATGAACTCCTCTTTCGCAGCTATGAATTCAGGTGCCTTTTCGATGTCAGGGATCATGAGAGGCTTGAGAGTGGGCTTACTATCCTCTTCAGGTTCTGATAACCGATGGGCTGACTCTTCCACATCAGGAAGACCTTCAATTTTGAAGCCGAACCGATAGAAATGATCCATGCCGATTGAAATCGCATATTTCTGTTCCATGACCTCGTACGGAGCAGATAGAACGCTTTCCCCACATGGGTTCTCTACGTCCTTTGTGTCACCGATCCCCATAGACTAATGATAGATTTGTCTGAGAAGAAGAGATTTAAACCATGCTCTTCATTGTGATTCTTACAAGCACCATGCCACGCTCATACACACAAACGCATTCGAACAGCCAATTACAAACACGTCTGATAGCTAGACTGAGTTCAGAAATTAACTTAAGCCACCGAGCAATAAGTAATCGCTCGGTAGCTGTAATTAAGGATCCTTCTCTTGTTCTCATTGACCTCTGGATCACATTATACTTCGCACTGCGCGTGCCCCTCCACGGGTACGATTCAACCCTGAGGTCGATCTCGACCACCCTGAGTATGAGAGGTGCAGCCAGAGCAAATACACTGGACCGTTTAGAGCACCGTCCCTCGACCCCGTTCCTGGGCTACCGCCTCGATTTTCATGGTCAGCATTGACCACCAAGGTGCCGTGCCGGGCTTGGGCTCCTTCTCCTAGGGAGTGGAAGATGGTCGAGATCGCTCGGCATAATGCCTCCTCAGGTTATCGAGAAGCGATGTATAATGCCGCTTACTGGAGATGCAACAGGTACAACTGTTTATTCAAGAATGATGCCATGGTCATAACCATGCTGCGCCTAGTTTCTAGAGCATTCCAGCACAACTGTGTCTAATATATAAGAATTCTCCAAACGCAGGATTAGACGGCAATCAACCTTCGAATAAACCGCTGATTCAACCATAGAACCCCCTGACCACTCCAACCCACCGACTGTTTGCAGGAGATGCCAGGTTGTCGCGGGCGACATAACACGTATGCGTAGCGATCGGACACCTTATGCCACTATTCTGTCCGTATTGGACGGGGATCCAGCATTGGAGAGTCTCATTGAGCAGTAGGAAATGTGTGGGGACAAATTCATAATCAATGTCGCATATTTCACCAGAGGCCAGTGTACTTCATTAAAAGTGAGAAGTGTACCTCAAGCACAGCATATCAAAATTCGTACAAATAAATATTACTCATTCTAAACTCCTAAAACCTTAAATTTCTCAATCGCCTCAAGAGATCACTGGAGGCACTGGACCATATTGTGAAATGGCAAGAAGGGTTCGCTGGATCAGAAGTGAATACGTCTTTCCAACCATATCGCCCCAAGAGACAGCGACGTGAGTGGCCTCAGGTACCAGACACAGATAGTAGTCCTAATGCGCCACCACCACCACCACCTGCAATATCGTCTCCGACAGCAGAGCGTCGTGTGGAAAAAGGAAATCAGGGGGTACGGGCAGGCATTCTCAAACCGCGAAACCCGTCTGAGGATATCATCGCCGTGGGGAATAAATAGCCATGAATGGAGCCACAATGATTGAAATAAAAAAAAGTTTCCTTATGAATCAGAGGGGAGGAAATGCTGCAGCAACTGAGACCATCAAAATTTAGCAAAAGGCAAACTTGTCCCTTTCGTCTATCACGCCAATCTGGATCGATGAACTCGACTTCCAGATTAATCGCTTAATGGGCATGGAATAGCAGTAGGGTGCTATCCGCTCTTACCAAAAGATTGTAATCTTTTATTAGTCTCGTGCCACGGAGGACAAGGTCGCTACCGATGTGCGCGGAAAAAAACTTTTCGAAGGATAGGTCGCCGATTTAGCGTAATCCTAGTAAAGTGCCTATCCAATATGGCACACTAAATACACGATGCGCAGGAATGTAGCGCCATACATCAACAACACGTTTCTTCTTTTTTTTACCATCTCTTTTCTTCTCTTCTTTCTCTGCTTCATCACTTTCGACTGCCACGCTTTACACATATCCAGGCATCGTTCGAGTCGAGAGACAGATATAGGTTTTGATCCTAGAAAAATATTTATCTGCTGAAAATATTGGGAAAGGGGGGAAAGGGAAAGGGCATGGAGATCCATGGAGAATGCGACCCCTGTTCGACTGATTTAAGTGCAGTTCTGGGCAGTGACCGTGGCGACCTGGCAGAAGAGCACATTGCCGTTGCCGTTGGTGGCCTGGATAGTCAGCGCGATGGGAATCTATTGAAGTCGGTGACAAAAGGCAAGTTAGTGAGAAGCACGCGTCAATATCTTTGTTTTAAAACTAATGAAAAAAATAAAAAAAAGAGACACGCCCATAAGCATTTAGTATCATATTTCCAACTTACGCCAGTGGGGGTAGTAGGCTTGACGAGGACGCAGGCAGTAATGGAGGCGAGAGGAGGAACGGGGCATGGATGTCCCTGAACGTAAAGGAGATTACACAGGTCCTGATTATCGGTGTAGACGACGCGTCCGCCATATTTGCCAGAGATCGACAACCTGGCGCCGGTGACGATAGAGGTACTGAGTGTTCCGATAACGGTGATACAGACATTTTTGTTGACACACAGAGGGTAGGGGGCCAAGACGATGCTGGCCACCGTCATCTCTGTGAAACCGATCGCGTAGTTCGAGAAGATAGGAGACTGTGCGCTTGCGACGGCAGCGAGGAGAAGGGCAGCAATGGCAGTGAACCTCATGGTCGGAGACTTGGTTGCTTTTTTTTCCAGAACGGGCTTTAGGGGGTTGAGTTGTGAAGGAGAGGAGGATGAGTAGCAGAAAAAGAAAAGAAAAAGAAAGAAAGGTCCTTCCTCTTTTTATATGGAAAAAGAAGGATACACGGAAGTTTTGAACCGAGAACGCATTGGACGCAGCCATCTGCATCAGAGAATAACAATGGCCATGTATGTGCTTATTTTTAAGCCCACAGGTCTTCTTTGTGTAGCGCATATTTAACAGAACCCGACGCGTATCAAACGCTCACTTGAGTGCCCCGACTCCTTGTGCAATATTTGCTGTCAGGCGCCTAAAAGGAAAGCGGTTGGCGCAATGTGTACATCATGCGTCCACTGCATTAAGTAACTGGCATGCCGAGCAGGAAAGAAGACAAGACAACGACAATAAATACAACAACAAGTCAACAAGTCAACAAATCAACAAGACACAGAACTTTGATCGACCCTAGACTGGGGTGTTGGTTGGCCTTGGTCGCAAGGTAGTTTGCGACTGCGCGAACAGTCAAACAGAGTCTCCTCATGTCCTTGACATCGAGGTAACCTATTATGGTGCAGGATGTTTGAGGAGAGAGTGCGCCGAAGTAAAGCATGCTGAGAAAGAATTCGTCTACACAAGGCCACCACGTGCATCGATCCCAGCGATGGTAGCTTCGAGAGCACGAAGCTGTTTACGAGCCAAGCTCAGGGCTTTCAAGAAACTGTAAAAGGATTACAAAGGTAATCAGTCACGCACACGTTTATGTCCCCCGGTATTCACAGCTGACGGGGTATGTGTGGGGGGGAAGGAGGGGGGAAGGGGGAAGGGAGCAGGATATCCCACACAGAATAAACATTGTCATGTAAGCACGTATGCACGAAAAACGTGGAATACCAAAGAAAAAACATACACTCAGGTCTGTCATCCTCAGCTCTGGCGTAAACGAAACGGGGGAGGAGTACAAGCTAGGTTTGTTGCCGCATGGATGCGTACAATACTCAGAGTTGATTTGAAAGGTAGTAAGGAATTTTCTTCCTTTTCTTCCAACCGTCGCGTATCATACGCATCCAGGCATCATCCGAGTCGAGAGATAGATAAAAGGTTTGACCTCCAAAAATACTTTATTTTTTTTTTTTTTGTTGTCAGATAAATCTGCAATAAATACTAGAAAAAAAATCCGCCTTCACCTATTACCAAAGACTTTTCTTTTAAAAAGAAAAAAAAATATGGAGGAGAGGTAGATATTTTGGAGAACCGTGGAGAGTGCGAGTCCTGCTCGACTGATTTAAGGGCAGTTCTGGGCAGTAATTGTGCCGGTCACGCAGAAGAGCACATTGCCGTTGCCGTTGATGGCCTTGATAGTCAGCACAACGGGAATCTATTGAAGTAGTTGGCAAAAGGCAAGTTCGAAAGAAGCACGCGGCAATATCTTTGTTTTAGAACTAATAAAAAAAAAAAAAAAGAGGCACGCCCATAAGCATTTAGTATCATATTTCCGACTTACGCTAGTAGGGGCAGTGGGCTTGACGAGAACACAGACAGTAAGGCTGGTGACGGTGATGGGAACAGGGCAGGGATGTCCCTGAACGTAAAGGAGATTACACAGGTCCTGATTATCGGTGTAGACGACGCGTCCCAAATATCTACCAGAGATCGACAAACTGGCGCCGGCAACGATAGAGGTGCTGAGTGTTCCGGTGGCAGTGATACAGACATTTTTGTTGGTACACAGAGGGTAGGGGCTCAAGGAGACGCTTGTCACCGTCATTTCCGTGGTACCAGGTGCGCAGTTCGTGAGAATAGGAGACTGTGCGCTTGCGACGGCAGCGAGGAGAAGGGCAGCAATGGCAGTGAACCTCATGGTCGGAGACTTGGTTGCTTTTTTTTCCAGAACGGGCTTTAGGGGGTTGAGTTGTGAAGGAGAGGAGGATGAGTAGCAGAAAAAGAAAAGAAAAAGAAAAGAAAAAGAAAGAAAGGTCCTTCCTCTTTTTATATGGAAAAAGAAGGATATACGAAAGTTTAGAACCGAGAACGCATTGGACGCAGCCATCTGCATCAGAGAATAGCAATGGCCATGTATGTGCTTATTTTTAAGCCCACAGGTCTTCTTTGTGTAGCGCATACTTAACAGGACTCGACGCGTATCAAACGCTCACTTAAGTGCCCCGACTCCTTGTGCAATATTTGCTGTCAGGCCTAAAAGGAAAGCGGTTGGCGCAACGTGTGCATAACGCGTCCACTGCATTAAGTAACTGGCATGCCGAGAAGGAAAGAAGACGAGACAACGACAATAGAAACAACAACAAGTCAACAAGTCAACAAATCAACAAGACACAGAACTTTGGTCGAACCTAGGTTGGGGTGCCAGTTGGCCTTGGTCGCAAGATAGTTTGCGACCGCGTAAACGGTCAATGAAGTCCCTTCATGTCCTTGACATCGAGGTAACCTATTATGGTGCAGGATGTTTGAGGAGAGAGTGCGCCGAAGTAAAGCATGCTGAGAAAGAATTCGTCTACACAAGGCCACCACGTGCATCGATCCCAGCGATGGTAGCTTCGAGAGCACGAAGCTGTTTACGAGCCAAGCTCAGGGCTTTCAAGAAACTGTAAAAGGGTTACAAAGATAATCAGTCACGCACACGTCTATGTTCCCCGGTATTCACAGCTGACGGGGTATGTGCGGGGGGGAAGGAGGGGGAGAGGGGAGTACAAAGGGGCAGGATACCCCACATAGAATAAACATTGTCATGTAAGCACGTATGCACGAAAAACGTGGAATACCAAAGAAAAAACATACACTCAGGTCTGTCATCCTCAGCTCTGGTGTAAACGCAACGGAGGGAGGAATACAGGCTAGGTTTGTTGCAGCATAGATGCGTGCAATACTCGGAGTTGGTTTGAAAGGCAGTAAGGAATTTTTTGTCAAGGGCGCCGAAACTCTTTTAAGCAGATCGGCGAACTTTTTTCTCTTTTATGCTATCGTGCTGACCAAAGCGGTACACATGCCAAAATGAACAGACAGCTGCGTAACACAGCTAGAAATGCTTCTATAATTATAGCGATCAGCGGACCGACGGTGTTAGTTAGTCTCTTAATACACGATGCGCAGGAATGTAGCGCCATAAATCAACAACACGTCTTTTTTTCTTTTTCTGTCTTGCAAGGATTCAAGGATTAGTATTAGCGGCTGTTCAAGAAGCTATAGATATCTCTTCCCTTTATGATCTATCTCCTATTTCTTCCTTTTCTTCCAACCGTCGCGTATCATACGCGTCCAGGCATCATCCGAGTCAAGAGATAGATAAAGGGTTTGACCTCCGAAAATACTTTATTTTATTTTTTTTTGTTGCCAGATAAATCTGCAATAAATACTAGAAAAAAAATCCGCCTTCACCTATTATCAAAGACTTTCTTTGAAAAAGAAAAAAAAATGGGGGAGAGGTAGATATTTTGGAGAACCGTGGAGAGTACGAGCCCTGCTCGACTGATTTAAGGGCAGGTCTGGGCAGTGACCGTGGCGACCTGGCAGAAGAGCACATTGCCGTTGCCGTTGGTGGCCTGGATAGTCAGCGCGACGGGAACCTATTGAAGTCATTGACAAAAGACAAGTTGGTCAGGAGCATGCGTCAATATCTTTGTTTTAGAACTAATAAAAAAAAAAAGAGACACGCCCATAAGCATTTAGTATCATATTTCCGACTTACGCCAGTGGGGGCAGTGGGCTTGACGAGGATGCAGGCAGTGACGGTGGTGGTGGTGACGGGAACGGGGCAGGGGTATCCCGAAGCGGCAAGGAGGGTGCACAGGTCGGCGTTGTCGGTGTAGACGACGCGTCCACCATACCTGCCAGTGACTGCCAACTTGGCACCCGCGATGACAGGGGTGCTGAGGGTTCCGGTAACGGTGGCACAGACATTCTTGTTGACACACAGAGGGTAGAGGCTCAAGGTGAAGCCGGTGACCGTCATGTCCGTGGCACCGGTCGCGCAGTTCGAGAAGGTAGGAGACTGGGCGCTTGCGACGGCAGCGAGGAGAAGGGCAGCAATGGCGGTGAACTTCATGGTTGAGGGATTGGTTGTTTTTTTTTTGGAAGGGGAGGACTGAGTTGTGAAGAAGAGGAGGATGGAGAACAAAAAAAGAAGAAGGGTGAACTCGTCTTTTATAGGAAAAAAAGAAGAGGGAGACAATTATCAGAGTAGGGTAAGCCCCGAGGGTTCTCAAGTCGAGAAGCATCTGAAGTGATCGCTTTCACGGATGAGTAACTTTTTTTGGATATATTTACTCATGTAAACTCGCTAATACTCCCTGTGTAGCGCAAACTCGATAAATTCAACGCGTATCATGGAGGCAACTGAAAATGCCCCGACCCCTTGTGTAATAGTGTTCGCTGTTGAGAACAATATACAAACAAAGGTGTATCGCCCGTTTTAGTAACTTAAACAATGAAGGAACGAAAGCAACGATATATGGCATCAGCTGCTAGTCCAAGCGTGTTTATGGATCATTTCGTTCAATCGTTGTACCTGTAAATCCATGAATGAAAAGGCTACTAATTGCCAACTGCACAAGTACTGCTGAAATTTACTATATCCATATCTGAAAGAAAGCATCGGCGCAATGTTTTAATATGTATCCGCGACACTGAGTACAGGCGAGGACAAGTCAAACAGAAAAAAGAACAAGGAGCAACCAAACAATGGCAACAAAAAAAAAGGCAACAAGTCAACAAGTCAACAAAGCAACAAGACGAACTGTGTGTATAGTCAACACAGACCCTCTTGCGTCCTTGATATTGAGCCAACTCATTACGGCGCAGGATGTTTGAGGAGAGGATGCGGTGAGGCAATGCATGCTGAGAAATAATTCATCCACACAAAGCTGGCCGCATGGATCGATACCAGCGATGGCAACTTTTGGAACATGAAGTTGTTTGCGTAGAGCAAGCCCAGGGCTGTAAGGACAAAACAATTACGCGTACGTTAATGTTCCCTGGTTTTCACAGTTTTTGCAAGGGGCGAGAGCAGAATATCGCGTACAGACATAAACATTGTCGTGTAAGCACATATGCATGAAACAGGATATCCGAGAAGGATATATACATCAAGTCTGTTATTTACAAGCACTGGCGTAAACGAAGTGGAGGGAAAAGAGAACGTAGCTTCCCATGGTCTCGGTTCGCTGCATGGTAAATATTAGTCCACATGTGCTCCCTGGATCGCCCTTCTTCTCGTACGACTTTGGTGAGGGGTGTGTTGGACCTGGACCTGGAGAACCGTTAATTTCCATTAGTCATGAATGCTTCTGCAGAAGGTCTGGAAATCTCCCGAGGTCCTTCGCCGTGATACAACGCAATGCAAATATCAGCAGCTTGTCCTTGGGCGTCAGCTATTCTGTTTGTTTTTGTGCGTCCTCATTGGTGCATTTGTATGTATACACAAATAGAGCAAGGGAAGGTATGTGGAGACGGTTATTTTTTCGTCCATCATGATGCTTGTGTCACCAAATAAAGTAAAGGCGCACAAACATCCTTACAACGGGCTTATCCTCGCCGTATTTCGGTTATGCCATGCTGCATGTTCTTTTCACTCACTGCAGTGTCAGTCCTTCTGTTTTTTTTTTTTTTTTTTTTTTTTTTCCTTCCCCAGCACCCAATATATGTATGTGCACTATTCGCATCCACTCCCTTTCGACACAGACAGTAGTCTCAATCTTTAACCAGACAATCGCAACATTTCCCCTTGAATATTCTATTGTGCTCGACTTGATTCCTCCATACCCAATGCACAAGGATAGAGTTGTTTTTTTCGACCGCTCCACAAGAAGTGGCTACAAAGGCACTAAAAAAACTCTGCGGTACTATATTCACATACGGATGGCATGCGGAGCAAATTATCAATCGTAACCACTTGTGATGATGATACAACCGTATTCTCTTCTTCTCCACCTCTGAGCATGCAACATAGCACAACATTGTGGTTGTATACACTGACCTTATTTTCTGTTGTTGTTGTTGCTGTTGTTGTTGTTGTTGTTGTTGTTGTTTTCTTTCTATGGCAACCTATGACAACCTATGGCCTGGGCGTATGCTTTCTTCTTTTGCTCTGTTCCTGTCAGGACCAAGGGCGGCGAAAACAGTAGGCGGTTGCATGTGAAGACAAAAGTCTAGACACAATCGCTAATGGTCTGGAGTGCCATATCTACTTGTGTTTTTTCTTTTTATTTTTGAGACCAGTCCCTTTCTGCAAGAGTTGATATCCTGAACAAAGGGACGCTGACAAAAAAAAAAAAAAAAAAAAAAAAAAGGCTCAGTGAAAGCACTACCCGCGCTTATTTTTTGTTGTTTGTATGCAAATATGTTGACGTTGACGTGTATCAATGTCATAACGTTTCTTCACATACAGGGAGGAAGGATTCAGACCACAGTTTCAGCGGTCGAATAATAAAATAATACGAGGATAGGAACCAGAGTAAAACATATATAACATACACGCGCGTGATAGCTGCGAAAAAAAGAATGTCCATACAAGGGTTTCCGTAATTAATTCGCGTGTGTTGATTCGCGTATGTTCAGTCGCGTGTGTTCAGTCGCGTGTATCTAGGTCCCGACGAGTTGTGGATTTTTTTTTTCTTTTTTCATGACAAAGATGTTTTTTTTTTTTTTTTTCTTTTTTCATGACGGAGATGGTTTTTTTTTTTCCTCTGTGCTTTCTTCTTTCGCCCATCTATGGGTGATCCGGGTATAGACGCCGCCTTTTTATTTTATTTTATTTTTCTCTTCCGGACTTGTGAAGAATAGCGCGACGCGTTCAGCGTATCTTTTTTTTTTTTTTTTTTTTTTTTTTGTCGCGTAATGTGGTTTCGCATCATAGCAATGAGCTACTATCTCGTTTCAGCTCATGTAAAACATAAAGCACCTTCTCCTTTTTTCGAGGCCCCCAAAAAACATTCAACTTTATTAAACCTTGCCTGCACTGTGCGTAAAGGAACCGGCTGTAGAATCACCAAGGAGCACTTTTTTAAAATACTCCATGTATACCTTTAGACCTCACTTTGGTATATTTTTTTAATGACTTTGCAATAGCATTCTTGAACATGTGTCAATGCATTGCGAGTGGAACTGTTCTGGCTACGGCACCGTTCGACACGCGCGGGGGGCATCCACAATTTTTTTTTTTTTTTTTATCGTTGGTCGATTGGGAAAAGTAGGTGGACGATAAGAGTCAATATATTTGCTGTTGAATTAATAAAAGCCATAGCAAAAGATGTGATGTACTGGTAAAGGTGCCTAGTTGGCCTGGAAAAGCAAAAACAAAAAAAAAATGCTGTGCGCAGCTTGAAGGGATCTCCATATATTTGGGAAGAGCACTCGGCTATATTTCACTACCAGATCAAACTGCATACCTGTATATGGTGAATCGTCTCTATTTAGACAGATACTCCGCCCTGCGATCGGTGCGTCCCAACGTATCGAACATTCCCCGACATGCATGAATCTGCATTGCAAAGAATTAAAGTCCTACGTGCAGGATCGGACATTATAAAAAAAGAATCCTCTGATGGAAGTACTGGACGGGGAGTAGGAGGTTATTGAGGTTGCATACAAGGGTGAATGTATCTGTAAGCGCCTGTTTTTGAAGGCTGGTGTGTGAGGGGGGGGGGGGGGGGGGTCCATTGGCTGAGCACATCAAACAGTGTTCATTTGAGCCCTGAGATGAACCAGTTAAGCTCCCAGATAGTTGGGCCCGAGTTTTTGGTTGGAGATTTCAGGTACCAGATATCTGCAAGAAGCAGCAAACGCATAGTGCCCTTTGGAATTGCGGGCGTAAACATGGTTTGTTACTGGAGCACGGAGGTAGTGAGTGAGCAGACCTGCGCTACGCATCTTATGATTCAGATATTACCTCCTCCCCCTTCGTCTCCAAAGGGGAGTGTTGCGAGATTTTTTTTTTTTTTTTTTTTATTGACGCCAGATCCCCCCAGACGCGCAGACGTGCCACAGGCTGCATTGTCCAAGCCTCGGCTTGGACTGTCAGCCGGCCGATAGTTACCTAAAGATAGCTAACAAAAGGCCCCCACTAAACTAATGTAAAATGAGGGACCAAATACCTATGATGCACATTCTGAGTCGCATGGTTTCTAATACTTGAGCCGGGGCCCAAAACCGCTACGCAACCTGTCGGGTCCGATGGGTCCTCTCCTAGTCAAGATCACGGGCTAATATGAATTTTATCCTCCTTCCTCTCTCCATCTCGTTCAAAGCCACTTTTCCCTGGAGATGGTCCACCAAGCGGCTGTCTGCAGGGGAGTGTTGCGAGATGTTAGAGAGAGAGAGAAAGATTCCGTGGTAGCCACGGGATTCGGTTGGTTACACAAGCGACAGTGCCTGAACGGCTCACAATGGGGGTACGATCAGGTAAGCAGAGCATCGCGCGCATTGTGCATGGCCCAGCTCTGATTTAGCCTTAACGCCGCTTACTACTGGGAGTCAGGACTCTTTGCACATGCATGTTTGGCTGGCTCGATACAGACGGCGGAGAGTGTATGAGAGAGAGGGAGGGAGGAGAGGGAATATGTATCCTGATATAATAGTTATATTACAATGAAACAGCGGTGCATGTGTTCACAGACAAATGTTCATATGGCCACCTGAGCAGCGCGGCAATTTCCCTTCACTACGAGAGCGCAATCGAACAAAACGGCGCTCACTAATTTGTCGTGTTTGATAACAGCGTTCTCTCCTCCTAAATTGCAATGCATCTAAACAATCGCACTGCATCGCCCGCTGTTTCGCTTGCCCGTGGGTTTCTACTTCATAAATACCGTCTATGCTCGCATAGATCCAATGCTTCGTCTTTTAGCTGCAGCTGTCCCTTTGAACACACAGCTTGCATTTGGAAATCAATGGAAAGGAATCCTCCGCTTGCTGTTCTTTTTATTCCGCTTCACTGCTTTCGTAACACAGCCTCCCCGTTTCAACCGAACCCCTTTCCCCCAGAAAGCCCTAATGCGGCTGTCTACGACAGCCCTCTACCATCCTTCCTTATTATATCGTGTATGATGGATGACCTTTGATTGCCGCCTAGATTTCCTTACCGATCGTCGCTTTTTAATTGCTCTCATATCATACTCATACCGATACTCATAATCGCTACTATCCGAAAAGTTAGAGCTTCAATTTCGCAATCCTATACAAAAAAACTGTTTTGTCGCATGGTCTTTGTTGTTCGGGTGATCGCATTGGCACACTAAATAGCATAATAGCATAATAGCATACAACAACGACGGTCCAAACGCTCAGCCAAATAAAAAAAATGTGAGAGCCATCCCGCACTCTCTTCCCCCCTCCCTTCACTCCTCTCTTTTTTTTTATCATCCCCCTGGCATTATTGGTAACCCTTCTTGTGTTCAGGCAGCTGAGCGTTCAACGTATTTTCTTGTTCTCTTTCTTCTTGTCTTCTTTCTTTTTCTTCTTCTTCTTCTTTGTCTCTTAAACAACATCCACCCTGTAGTCCCCCTTCCCGGCAACACGACTTTGCCTCTCCCTCCCATTGTACCCTGTACCTGAATTTCTTTATTCCTCATTCACTTGCCACTCCCTTCCCACTTCCAACCTCTCACTTCTCCCTTTCCCCCTTCCCTCCTCCCCTTCCATCTTAACGTTTCTTCTCAAAACTCTCCAGAAACCATTTCGCTCTAACGTTCTCTCTCCGATAAGCAACATTCAAATCCATTCACCAGCATCAACAGTATCAACAGCATCCGCTCGCAATCTTCTATACCACTCACCTCTTAACACTTAGCAATAATAATGATAATGACTACCACAACAGCAACCTCGTCGCTAGCCTCGTCAGCGTCCTCCATCCCACTCGCCAAACCTTCACCACGACCCGTTACCCCTACCCCTTCAGATTCCCTCACAGGACGGCACCTGATCTATCGAGGATTGATCAAGAGCTCGATGGAATACATGTCCCTCTCACATTCCAACAAGCAACCTGAGGCTGCACACACCCTCAAAGGTGAGATCTTGATTTCTGGCCGCCATAACCCAGGATACATCCAATACTGCATCACCCTCGACCAGGACTGGATGACACGTCGGGTGCTTCTCACTGCCATGTTCGATAAAGGTCCGGAGAAGCGACTTTTACTGGAAGTGGACCAAGACCAACGATGGTACAAGGTGACGGAGCACCGCCTCGCAAGGTCGCGTAGCTTCTTCCGCTCCGGTGTCAATTCGCCAGCTATCTCCACTGCGGCAGCAGCCTCGTCTCCGAGGTCACTGGGCTTGAACAGAGAGAACTGCGGTTTGGAGGAGAGCAACAGCAGTTGTGTGGGCAGGACCAGTACTGATAGCATTGGTAGTTCTATGAGCATGCAGGATGCCGAGACTAGTTTCTCGGACGCAGCTAGCTGTTGCTCTTCTTCGTCCTTTTCGTCGTCATCCTCCGATTTGGAGTGCTCGATACCGTTCGAGAAGATCAACCTGACATGGACCCCGCCCCCAAAGGGCTCCAAGAGAGGCTCCAAGCGGTTTTCGTCCTTTAATCCGTTGAAGGAGGTCTTGCCGTCGCTTTCTGCCCCAACAACAACGACAACAACAACGACAACAACAACAACAACAACAACAACGACAACAACAATGACAGCAACGACATCAACAGCAGCTGCAGGTCTAGCGGCATCTGCGACGATGTCGTCCAGCAAATCTTGTACGACCTCGCCAACAACCCCGACTGAGACCCCGACAAGTCAGCCTGTTGCCCCATGTCTGCCCAAAGCGCTGTATTCCTCTTCTTCTTCCCTATCCAATGTTGTGTCTCCCGAAAGACCCACGATAGCCTTGAGGAGCCCCGTGATCGAGTTTGCAAACAGGACCCTTTCCAAGAGCAGCTCCTCATCGAGTTTGAACGGATCAACAGGGTTCAAGACGTATGAGCATTTGCCGGCGCTGGACGGATGTATCCACCTGGATTTGGGAGGCGGTGTCAGTCCCAGTACGCTTCTGCTGCCTCTGCGACGGGCGACGTTGGGGATCGATCCTGACGAGATGCGGGATCATTTGGCGAATTTGATGTCTTGTCCGTCCGCGGTGACCTCTGAGCTGACGGCGATGGTGTCGTTCCCGGACCTGGAGCTGCGACCGGTGCGCACACATGTGGCCTATGTGGGACAGGGCAGTAGCGATACACTGAGCATTGTCGAGTGCTGGACGGATGAGGACGACGACGACAGCGACTCGACACTGGTGGAGGTGGATGAGGATGGACTGGTGGTGCGCTATGGCGATGCCTGGGCCAGGATCCCGACCTGCTGAAGACTGGAGAGCAACTGTTTTTTTTTTTTTTATCATAGACTCTATACAAATGGTTCATAGGCATTGAGCATAGAAAAAAAAAAAAAAAAAAAAAAAAAAAAGCCTACCAGTGACGTAGGCTGCGTCTTTTTGACCTATTGAGTGGACAGTATTTTTTTGTATTCGCCTTCGCCGCACACTTTTATTTTTCTTTGCTTCACTTTCTCATCAACCCCATCACTCCTCCGCTACTCGTCCTCCCTGTAATCTTCCCCTCCTTCCCTCCCTTTTCCTTCTTTCCGTTTCCATTTTCTTTTTTTTTTTTTTTACTTGTAAGGAATCTCTTCTTTATCAAAGCGCGACTCAACCTGACATTTTGTCCGCAGTACTTGCTCTTTGTATTGTCATTGCGAACTACGAACGAAACCAGCCCTTTTACCGCGGAACTCGCCCAACTCACCTTGAGCTCTTTATTTTTTTCTATCTCTTTCTATCACTAAAAAAAAACAAACAACAACGACGACAACAACAATAACATCAACAGAAACCAGGTTCTTCTTGCTACATAAATGGCTTCCCGTAAAAAAGTCCTCTTGAAGGTATGACCACGCTCCATCGCACTATTTTTTTTTCTTTCATGATGACTTCCACGAGTCTCGTTTAGTTGGCATATGGACACACCACACACGGCTTGTCAAGGATTCGATAAAAGGAACGGCGTGGTGCAATTGCACCCTATACGTCGTTGGATTCTATCCTTCGCGCTGGATACATATGAACACTGTCGAACGCATGCTTTGACCTTGTCGTTTGTCCTGACCGCTGTTTGACCGACCTGTAACTTTCCTGTCTTTTATATTTACCGATTGCCATTAGGTTATTATCCTGGGCGAGAGTGGGTAAGAACATGCGCGAAACGCAGTAACCGGACCTGTCTTTTTTTTTTCTTCCTCCCATAACAGAAGGACGCGTGTATGACGAGGATGGCGGGGCATTCCTCTGTTTATCATAACAGGGCTGTTGAGGCGTGAAGGGGTGCGAGGCGTTTCCCCCCATAACGGGCACGAGATAGGAACACGCCTTTCCCCCCTTTTGCTCATCTTTGCCATGTGCCCAATTTTTTTTCTTTTTCTTTGTAACCTGCTAACAAGGTTTTTCTTTTTTGTCTCGTTTTCTGTATTGTGTTTTCTTTGCAACTGTAACTAGTGTCGGAAAGACCTCGCTCATGAACCAGTATGTGAACAAGAAGTTCAGCAACCAATACAAGGCCACCATCGGTGCCGACTTCTTGACCAAGGAGGTTCTTGTCGATGATCGCCTCGTGACCATGCAGGTAACGGAAACGGCTGAACAGGGCCCGATGCCGCTCTTTTGTTTTTCCTCCCTCCCTTTCCCTTTCCCTTTCCCTTTTCCCCCTCTCCCGATAGACTTAAACACTGTTTGCTGTTGTCGTATGACGCTTGTCGTCCATCCAGGCAACCATGCCTGAGGCAATTTTCAATACGGCTCGTGTCTTTGTTTTTTAAATGCTCTTTTTGACTGACCAGAACGCAATTCTTCATTGTTTTCATCTGTAATATAATACCTATGATAGATCTGGGACACTGCTGGACAGGAGCGTTTCCAGTCTTTGGGTGTTGCGTTCTACCGTGGAGCCGACTGCTGTGTGCTCGTGTACGATGTCAACAACGCAAAGAGTTTCGAGACCCTGGAGAGCTGGAGAGACGAGTTCTTGATCCAGGCTTCCCCTCGTGGACCCGAGAACTTTCCCTTTGTCGTCATTGGCAACAAGATCGATATGGAGGAGTCGAAGCGCATGGTATGCATCATTTACAGGGTTACAGTGCTTGGTGTCTTCTAGAGGAGGTTTTCGCCTTTTTTTTTATATATATTTTATAGCGATTGAGGGATAGGAAAGGCTGATTAAGCAATTTGTGGCCTGCGTATATTGTAGATCTCTCAAAAGCGCGCTATGGCTTGGTGCCAGTCCAAGGGCAACATTCCGTAAGTTCAACCGCTCTGTGTTATCTACGACTGAAGCTGGTTGTTTTTATGGACATGGGTCAGGATTCTAACGAACGTTATTTATCTTTTTGACAGCTACTTTGAAACCTCTGCCAAGGAGGCCATCAACGTTGAGCAAGCTTTCCAGACCATTGCCAAGAATGCTCTTCAGCAGGAGGTCGAGGTTGAGATGTAAGGATAAAAAGCCGTTGCGAACTTTATCTGGAACAACCCAATTGACTCTATCAAAAAGAAAGATGGAGGGAAAAAAAAGAAAGATGGAGGGAAAAGAAGAAAGATGGAGGGAAAAAGAGAAAAAAAAAACGTGCTGCGATACGATGCGATGCGATGCGAGGCAATGACTAAACAATTCATATCTCTTTTGACATCTTTATAGTGATTTCCCTGATCCCATCAAGATTGACAGCGACACTTCGAAGGACTTTGGATGCGCCTGTTAGAGGAAAGGAAGACGCCACAGAAGAGAGCATCGAAAGAGAACAAAGGACGTTGGAAGACGATCCTTTGAAAACAGTTTTTCTTTTTTTCCTTTTTTTTTATATCTTTCTTGCAAGAGCATACATACATACATTTCAGACGCAAAGAAATAATGAAAAAAAAAAAATCCCTCCCAAAACGCAAAAAGGACGCGTTGGATTGACTGGTTTGTCTCTGGGGGCGCAAAGCCATTGCCATGGGACCCTCTCTTTCGCCGCCTGGATATAAAACATTATCATCATCGTCATCATCATCATCAACAACAACATCTGCAGAGATTCGAGAAGGCGGCAGTAATAGCGAGAAACAAGGACTAAGGGACAGGAAAAAAAAAAAAAAAAAAAAAAAGAGCAAGAGGATGAAGAGAGGGAGAGACAGGTTCGCGCCCAACGGGCCAACGGGCCAATGGACCAAAGGGTGTTGAATGGGTTAGAGGTTTTTTTTTTATATATATATATATATATTTTTGGTCTTGTTGCACAAGATGGATCGTGCGCTTTTGCAGCCGTCGAATTGTGTGTGTGGGATCTTCTTTTTTCTTGTGTCAGCCAATGCCATGGGATGGTCTAATAAAAAAAAATGGCGTATTTCTACCCTCCCCGCCCCTTCCCTTGTTTGTCGCGGGCCTATCAGTGCTCTGGACATGAGCATATGTTTGTACATGTACAACAAAACGGAGGAGGAAAGACCTAGCTTTTTTTTTTTTTTTTTTTTTTGCTGAGTAAGGGAGGAGGAGGAGGCAAGGAGGGGGGGAGTGATTGGACAGGTCCAACACGGTAGGGGTATTCCTTGAAGGAAGACTAGGTTCATTATTGTTTCATTTTTTTTTTTCCCAAGGGCGGGTCCGCTGACTAGTAGGGTAAAATGGGGGAGAGGGGGTTTGGCTTAGTGAGGAATGGTCTAGAACATGGAGATTAAGCGTGTACTGCAGAAGAAGCAGCAGAAAGAAAGAAAGAAACAAGGAGGAAAGGGGCCGGAAGGATGGAAAGAACCCGACGATGGGCTGCGGTAGAAAAAAAGCATTGTCCCCCTGGGAGAGAGAGAGAGAGAGAGAGAGAGAGAGAGAGAAAGAGAGGAGTCTCTAGTACATGTACATGGAGAGAGAGGAGTAGTAACTGTGGTCTGGGCTGCGAAGGGAAGGGGAGGAGCGGGTTTGATGGCTGAATTGGAGGGTGGCACAAACAACAAGACAAGGCATGGCATGGCATGGCATCGCATCGCATCACAGGCACCGCAATGATGTCATTCCAGGAACATGGGATGGTTTACATTTCAACCAAAAATATATAATTTAGTTTTAATACGATGCAAATAATATAATAGATAGAGTCTATATAACAAAGAACAAAGAAAAATAACCACCTCGACAGTATAGTTTCTCGTCTCATCTCCCCAGGAACAAAGCATGTCTCTTTGCCTGGGGTTTGTCTGTCTATGGAGTTAACCAACACACTGGGTCATTGTCGCCCCTCTCTCCCCCACTCTCTCTGCGTAAGAGAACAACGAACAAAAGAAAAAGTATGTGCCCAGCTGTTCATTCGAAAGAGGGGGGGGGAGAGGAGGAGGAAGTTCATCTCAGCCAAAAGGGAGTTCCGGGGAGAAGGAGGAGGAGGGAAAAAGAAAAAGAAGAAGAGGAAATGACGACGATGGATAGACAAAAACAAACAGATCGAATCGCTGTGGGCTATTTTTTTTTTTTTTTTATTAAAACCCTAGTCGCCAGCTCTCTTTTCTTTATGGGCATAACCTTGTTGAACACGGTCTATAGACAACATACGCACACAGAGGTACTGTAGACTATATATTTCCTGTGCCTGTTTCTCCGAGAGGGAATTGAATCCCAGGGACGACGTCGCTGGGGAATGGGGGGTGAGCACGTTGGAAGGAGGGACGAGGCCCTGATCATGGGGCAATTTTCCGTGGGTCATCCATTGGTCATTCATGAGGGGGTCATTCAGACGGGAGTATGAAGATGCACAGCGAGTCTCGAGAGAGAGAGAGAAAGACAGCGAGAGAAGGAAGGCAAGTCTAGAAGGCAAAGAGGCGAGGGCGGCCCTGCGTCTGATACAGGATATCAACGTGGGCCCCATGGGCTGCCATGTCATAGCCATAGTCTGAGATGTAAGAGGAGGGAGGGAGGGGGGGAGGGGAGGGGGGGATGGAAAGACGTACGGATGTATGAAGTCATTGACAGGGCTCTCATCGCACACAAACACAAACACACGCACAACACACACACTTTTTCTTTTTTGAAGTGCAGCAGACATGGTGCAGTAGTGCGAAACTGTATCCCGGTGCAACGGGGGTCCCTTCTCTCTTTGATCTTCAGCAGGAAGAGAAAGGTGGAAAGCGAGAGAAGGAGAGAGAAGATGTACACAGAGTAAACAGGAGCAGAGACAACGAAGACCGTTTGACGGACGGATGGACGGACGGACAGACTGACAGACCATTGACCACCGCGGGTCTTTTTCCCGTCCTCGCTTTTCTCTCTTTCTTTCTTCTCTCTTTCGTTTTTTTTTTCTCTTTTTCTTTTTTCCCCCTTCTTGTCAATTTCCCTCTTTAATTGGCTGTCCTGTTCAATCGGTCTTGACCCATTCGCCCTTTGTTGATCAGCCAGCGCTCGCTTCCAGCTCGATTGCAACAGATCTGATTGGGTTTTGCAGAAGAAAGATCCTTCTCTCTCCCCTCCCCCTTCTCTCTCTCTCTCCTGCCCCTCTCCTCTCCCCCTTCTCCCCTCCTTCTCCTTCTCCCTCTCGCGCTCTGCATTCCCTTTTCACGTCGTCATCGTTTAGGAAACAAAAACAACAACAACAACAACAACAACAGTAGCAGCAGCAGCAGAAGGCTCAATTCTCAACGGTCGCCATCGTTTTTTTTTTTTCTTCTTCTGACTTGACTTAAGATCTTTTTTTCCCTTCTTTTGCTTCTTCTTCTTCTTCATCAATTGCTACTGCTTTTTCATACACACATTCATCCATCCCTATACATATTCATATTCATATTCATATTCATATTCATATACATATACATATACATATACTATACATACAGCATACAACATACAACATACCATTATATAGCAACATTATATATAATAATCTGTTATTGTTCGCTTCCCTCCTCCTCTCCTCCCCCTTTTCTTCTCTTTCTTCTTCGTCTTCATCTCCATCCTCGTCCTCCCCTTTTGCCGCTCCCCCCCCTCCAGTCCTGCTTCTTGGCCTGCTTGGTTGTTCTTTTGTGCGTGTGCTCTTTTATGCGATCTACCTTCCATCCTTCTGCCTCCTTCCCCGCGTCCTTCCACCGCCATTGATATTGCACAAAGGGCTAGAAAACGATAAGAAGGCCCCTTGTTCTTTCCTTCCCATCAGCCGGCCTATCAATTGCTTCTGTCCCCCCCGGTCTCAACTCGAAACAAAGAAACAAGGCCGCTGCAACCAACCACCGCCCTTCCCTTCTTTCCTTCTTCACCCAAAAAAATCAAACCGCCAAATCGGATAAGGAGATACGAGAGATATGAACACTTCGTCATCACGGATCCTCCAGAGCCAACAAAATGCCTCCAACTCCCGCATATCCGCCCTCTCCTCCACGGGGCCCCACGACCCCTCCACCCTCGCCCTCCTAGTCGACCCCTCCACCTCCCCGTCCGCACCACACCACCCGGCACCGCACTCCGGCGCTGCTACCAACATCGCCACAGCCACTGCTGCCGCCTCTGCCCGTCCAACGCCCTCGTTCTCCGGATCGGGCTTCTTTGCAGCCGCTCAGGACCCTGCGTTGCATCTGACGCAGCAGCTCCCCCTCGAAACCCCCTTCTTCACCCCACAGGCCACCTGGACCGAGACATCCCGCTCCGACTACTTCTCCACCGCCGCCTCCACCCCTGGCCCAACCACCTCAGCCTTCCAGCCCTCCCAGGCCAACCTCTTCATCTCGGGCTTCTCTGTCCCGGCACAGACTCCCGCCGCCATCGAGATCCCAAGCTTCTCGGCCTCCTCTCCCTCCTACTTCCCCTCCACAGCCGATCCCTCGACCGTCTCTGAACAGGACCCTCATGGCTTCCATCTGCCACCGTCCTCGATGGCCTCACACTCACATGCCCGTACCCTGAGCGCCTCATCCGCCCCGGGCTGGGAACCATACCCGTCTTCGACTGCAGGCGGAACACATCCGGGCATAGATCGCAATGGATCTTATTCCGCTGGCATGCCCGTACACAGATCCAATCTGTCGATCTCCATGCCCCTCTCCTCCTTGATGTCCCCACCGAGCTCAGGGCCGGCTTCGGCTTCGGGTGCGCGTCTCTCAATGTCGCACCTGTCCCCAACGGCGGTGGCAGCGCCTGCAGAGTTGAACATTCAGGAGATGAAGGCCGAGACGGTGTCGTGCCTGCTGGAACAGGTCTTGAATGCGGACAATATCGACGAGGCCGTGATAGGGAACAAGAACGCGATCATGCTCCTGGACATGCGGCCGTCCGTGGCGTTCGCAGCCTCGTCGATCAAGACGGCGGTGAATGTGTGTATCCCCAACATGTTGTTGAAGCGGCCGATGTATTCTTTACGGATGTTGACAGAGCAATTGACGACGGAAGAGGACGTTGAGATCTTTTCGAGGTGGAAACAGTGTGAGAACATTGTCTTTTTTGACGCAACCGGTGCGGCGCCTGTGGTTGGATCGCCGACGTTCTTTATGACCCAAAAGTTCCGCAAGGAAGGTTGCACCGCAACCCTGGGATATCTCAATGGTAAGCAGGCGCTCTTTACTTTTTTTACTTTTTACTTTTTTTACTTTTTTTACTTTTTTTACTTTTTTTACTTTACGATCAGTTGTTGATTCCGTATGGGAAAAAATACTATTGCTCACTATATCTTTTTCTTCAACTACGTGTCCTCCATTATCTAGGAGGATTTAACGAGTTCTTGGCGCGGCATAACGATCTCTGCAGGACAGAAGGAAGGCCGAACTCGGGATCGTCTTCGCCACTAAACATGTCATTGAGCGGCGGCGGTAGTCTTTCCTCGTCTGCACCAACAGGAGCGACGACGAATCCAATGTCGATTGTCTCACCGCCACGTCCGCGTCTGCACCTGGGCTCGTTACCGTCGTTGATGTCGCAACCCCCCGGAGGAGCCCTTGGATGCCAAACGCCCATGATCGAGAACCCGAATGTGAACCCGTTGTTTGAAAGTGTCCGTCAGGCGATGGGACTGAGCACGAACATCACGGAGGAGATCCCGGTGCGTCTGCCAATGGGATTCTCGGTCGAGACGATGCAGGATCATCTCCCGAGGTGGCTGTTGTCTGCCATTGCTGAAGAGTCCGGTAAGGCGAGACTCGCCGAGTTCTTTCAGGTAAAGTTCGTTTGATTCGTGATTTTGTTGTTCAAATTGCTTTTGCATGGGGCATGCGTAGACCTGGCAGAGCCTTTTTTTTTTTTCTTTTTCTTTTTCTTTTTCTTTCTTTTTCTTCTTTTTCTCTTTTCTCTGTTAGTGTGATTGATTGGTAACAAGACACCACGTTATGATACAGACTACTAATAATGGCTCTTCTTTTTCTTCCTTTTTTTTTTACGTCACTATTTCTATTTCTATTTCTATTTCTACTTTATTTTATTTTATTATCTTATAACAGAAAGTGGAGATCAATGAGAACAAGCGTTTGGCGCTCTTGATGTTGCCCCAGAACATGCGGTCGGGCCGGACGACGAACTTCAGTATCGGTGCAGGAATCGAACAAGGACTCAAGAACCGGTACAACAACATCTGGCCATACGATCACACGCGGGTCAAGATTGCGGAGGTGGAACAGGGTCATGACGATTACATCAATGCCTCGTTCCTGACACCGGTGCTCAGCAAGAAATCCTATATCGCAACCCAGGGACCTTTACCCTCGACGTTCCAGGATTTCTGGAAGGCGACGTGGGAACAGAATTCGAGGGTGGTGGTGATGTTGACGCGTGAACAGGAAATGGGTCGGATCAAGTGTCACGAATACTGGCCAACGGCTCGACAGCCCGTCATGGAGGTGGGGCCGATGCGGGTGACGTTCGGGAGCGAATTCTTGCCGGATCCGACGATTGGGACGATTCTGGTACGACAGCTCAAATTGG